GCGGTCGTCTAGCAAGCGGCGATCCTCTGTCAAGCGGCGTGAGGGAAGGTCGTCTATCATGCGCTGGATGCGCGGCAGGTCGTCTGCATGGCACGCTGCAAAGGCGTGCTCCCCTACTAGCTCTGCCTGGCGCCAGCCGAGAGTGGCGCGGACGCTGGGGGAGACATAGCACAGCCGCCACTGAGAGGGGACAGGGGGAGGGGGAGCAGGGAAGGGGGGAATGGTCCTCTGTCAAGCGGCGGTCGTCTATCATGCGCTGGATTCGCGGCAGGTCGTCTGCGTGGCACGCTGCAAAGGCATGTTCCCCCACCAGCTCTGCCTGGCGCCAGCCGAGAGTGCACGCACACTGGGAGACACGTAGCAGAGGCGCTACTGGGGGGAGAGCGGAGGCGAGTGGGAAGGAGGAAAGAGGGGGTATACGCATGGGGATATGCAGGGGGGGGATGGTGAGGAGAGAGGTAGGGGAGGAAAGGGAAAAATGCTTGTAAATAAGCAAGCAACCACCCCAGTTTGCCGTGGACAACGCAGCATAGCACAAGACAACACCGCATTTCACATCACCAATCTGCACCGCATTTCACAGCACCAATCTGCACCGCATTTCACAGCACCAATCTGCACCGCATTTCACAGCACCAGGTCGCACAGGACTACACGAGCATCGATGTCTCCCTTCACTCCCTTGCCTACATTACATTCGTCCTATTTCTTTCCCTGCATACATTTGTCCTATCTGCCACGTAGACGGTCCATGGTGACGTGGCAGAGAGGAGCAGCATGTCCGTGACCAACGACAGATCTAGACCGTCCACTGGCGATAGGGGATCATCTGACGGCCAGGAGTCCACCCCACCACCTCTGGAAAGCGAGAGGGGGGGGGGGGGGGGAAGGATTGGGGGTGGGTTTGGTGGGGTGAGAGGAGGGGAAGGAACAAAGCAATTAACGTGTATGACTGCTTTACAAAAACAGCTAATACCTATGAATTCAAAGTCAATATGGAAAACCACTGCGCAAGGCTCTAAAACGACTCCCTGGAAGGTGAACCCCGTTATAAGGTCATACTCGCTACAAGCTACAGTGCCACTCACAGGCGGGGCTTGCCGGGGATGGCAGTGGCGGCGGGGGCGGAGAGCCTGGCGGCCTCCCCGCCTATGGGCGAGCAGCACAGCGCGCCGAGCTTGGTGCCCAGCATCACCAGCTCCTCCAGACACCTGATCTCGCACTCCAATAGCCTGGGAGTGGGACAAAGGGGTTTGAGAACGGTTTAGATGGGCTAAGAGGTGGAGGGGAAGCACCGCGCGCCGAGCTTGGTGCCCAGCATCACCAGCTCCTCCAGACAGCGGATCTCGCACTCCAGCAGCCTGGGGGAAGGGGGGAAGGGGATTGAGAACGGTTGGAGGGGTTAAGAAGGAGCGGGAAGAGGAAGGTGGGGCGGAGAAAATTAATAAAGTGTTTAGTGCGTGCGTTTGCTGCGCAGGGAGTGTAAGGAGCGATTGTGCCCAAAAACCGTGCTTACTTAAGAACCGCGCTTACTTAAGAACCGGGCCTTTGGTGCCGGAGGAGATTAACTCGCTGCGCTGCGAGTCCAGCTCGTGGAACCACTGGCGGTACGTCCTTAATCTCTCCGCCTCAAAGCTCCCCCCCGGCGCCGCGCCATTGCTTAGCAGCGACGGCTGCGCGCCAAGCGACTGTGAGCTACTTCCGCCACCCCCGCCAGCCCCCGCACCTGCGCCAACTGCGCCACCTCCCCCACCCCCCCCACCTGCACCGCCTAAGCCATTCGCCATTTTACCGCCACCACTCATACTGCTACTGCTAATGTTATTGCTAACGCTATTGATATTCCCGCCACCGGTTATGGGACTTATGCTGCCTATGCTGCCGCCGCCCATGCCACCACCGGCGTTGCTGCTTCCGCCGATGCCCCCCACACTAACGCCTGCGCTGGAAAACCCGCCGGTTCCTGTTCCGCCTCCCCCCAGCCCTCCGCCAACCATCGAGCTTCTTTCCCCCAACGTTCCTCCGCCTGCCCCTCCCCCTCCCCCTCCTCCTCCCACCCCGTGAGTTCCGCCAGTTCCCCCGGCGCCGCTACCGCTCTGAGACCCCCCTCCCCCGCTGCCTTTGCCGGCCTTGAGGCCTGGAAGGTTCTCCGAAGCTGCTCCCCCCGCGTTTCCCCCTCCTGCCGACTTCGCAGTGGCGATTGCGGAGGGCTTCCCGCCGGAAACTGCGCCGGAATTCCCGCCGCGATGAGCGGAAGAAGTGAAATGAGACGCAGCCGGGGTGCTGGAAATTCTCTCGGAAGCTTCCACTGACATGGCTGCCGTCGGGTGGTAACCTGGTTACGACATGGGAGCCCGTCGACGGTAGCCGCGAGTGCTGATTGGCGCGCAATAGCGACGCTTCGCGGTAACGAAAGCAAAGCGCTAACGATTAATTACTGGCTGCGAATTGAGAACAAAAATGGGGTTGTATGCCGGAAGCAGGTCAGGTAAGCATTGACGCGTGCTGGAAGCAGAGTCATCGAAACATTGCGCAATAAGCAGTGTCAGTGAAGCAACTGTGAGGCGAATCAAGAAGAGGCGAATCAAGAAGCTGCGCATCTCGCGGTGAGCATCGCACGGTGGAGAATCTCCTTGTGAGCATCTAACGGCCAGCCGACAGCACATGGCAGCAGTGTCGTCCGTCAATGCGTCCACTCCCGTTAAGCACCGCCAGCGTAAGGCTGTTTGAAGGAAGGAAGCAGGACGGCGAAAACAGTCCGCCAGTTGGGAAGACCTAAGGACCTTCTGCGGCAGCAGCGTCGGCCGTCAATGTGTCCACTCCCGTTAAGAACTGCCAGTGCGAGGCTGTTCGCAATGGCAGGCGAGAAGCAATCGGCGAAACGCAGTTTGGCGAAAGCAGTAACCAGCTGACCTAAAGAGCTTCTGTCTTTTGACATTTACTCAGAGAACAAAACGCGAGAAGAGGCCGTTTCTCTGGTTCCATGCCAAGAAAACCAGCATCGACAGAACATTAGTCGTACATTTCAATCCCGCTCATTGCATACGAACATCAAAGTTGACAAAAGACTTGCGCTAACTACGACCTCGCGCAACGAAACTGCACCGCCTCAGAAGCGTTAGTTGGAAACCTAAAACTGAAATGCTGACGGGATTTGAGGTGGGTATGTGACTGCATCAGGTGGGAAGGGTGAGTTAATTTGCCGTACCGTAACCCTAACGGACGGCAGGTGGAGCAGAGTGCATAGAAAACTGCGGGGAAGATACGTATACCCGTTGTTCAAGTTGCTAGCGGCGTAGCGAACGAAGTTCTGTATCGAGTACGGCTGGTGCGAGAAGGAAAACTCGGTAGAAGCATTCGAAGTGCTTCATTACAATGCTAAACAGAGCTACTACAATGCACTTAGCACGTTAGTAACATACCAGGTTAAGCAGCTTCATAGACCTCAAATCTCGCCCTAACAATAATGGTTCAAAAGTTGGCCCATTTCATGTGGGGGGGATAAAGTACCATGTCTCGCCAACATATCCACTGCACTGCAAACACGTGGCATGGTGACTTGTGTGTACATAATTACTATGCCAACTCTGCATCAGTTTTTTTTTAACGTACGTATGGTATGTTGCACATGCAACTTGCAATGGACCTTGGCGAAATTCTGAGTTGACTCAATGCATGACCTCTGCTTCAAGTTAGCTGGGCACAGGCTGGACATGCAGATTGCAATGCAGTTCAGCAAACTGCCATCATCATCAGCAGCAGATGGTTCAGATCAGATCAGATCGGATCAGATCAGATCAGATCAGATCAGATCAGATCAGATCAGATCAGATCAGATCAGATCAGATCGGATCGGATCAGATCAGATCAGATCAGATCAGATCAGATCAGATCAGATCAGATGAAGCGGTAGGCAGCACATGGACCCTCAGCAGCACTACAAGCACCGGTGGTGGAGCTGCAGATTGCTGTGAGGAACATGTGACATGGTGCAGCAGTGTGGCATGGCATGATGGCACCCCTACAAACCCCTCCCTCCCCACACCATGTGCCACTTCTGAGACTTCAAAGAACCTATTGAGACTTCTGAGACCTTCAAGACTTTTAAGACATCGCCATGTCACATATGACACGGTGCAGCAGAGCGGCATCTGTTCCGTCACACCCCTCCCTCCCCCACCATGTGAAACAGAGCCCTCTTGAGGTCAGGCACTCAATCACCCAGCACAGAAAACAGCAGTTTTTTAGGAGCCTCAAAGGTCCTCCCTTTCCCCACCCCGTCCTCCCCCCACCATGTGCCTCAGAGCCGTCTTGAGCTCAGGCACTCCCTCGCCCAGCACAGCACACAGCGGCACCACTAGCACTGGTAGATCCATATCCTTCACTCCCTCCTTCCCTCCCACTACACCATCAGTACCAGCAGCACCGCCAGCAGCACTGCCAGCAGCACTGCCAGCAGCACCACCAGCAGCACTGCCAGCAGTTCTCCCGCCTCTCAGCCGCCTCTTGAGCTCCTGCAGGTTGCCCTCTGCTCCCTCCTCGTCCATCTTATTGGCAGCTATGAGAGCAGGGCGGAGGGACATCCCTGGCTGGTACTGCTCCAGCTCGCTCACCAGCACCTGCAGCTGCTGCCAGGGGGGAGGGCCCCGGCCGACACTGTGCTAGGTCCGGTAGCGCTAGGTTCGATTGCAATAGGTTCGGTTGCAATAGGTTCGGTTGCAATAGGTTCGGTTGCACTCGGTTCCGTTGCGCCTGGTTCGGAGGCGCCAAGGTCACCTGAGACAGTACCGGTAGCGGAGCCACTCATATCGAGGACGTAAACAATCCCTTTGGTGCGCTCTACATGCCTTAGAAACGACAGCCCCAGCCCCCTGTCCCTGTGTGCGCCGCCTATCAAGCCCGGAATATCTGCCACTGTAAACCCCATCTCACCACCAGGAACCCCTTCCAACCCTCTCAATCCACCTCCTCCTACGAATCCTCCATCTTCCCTCAACACATCCTCATCCCCCTCATTTTCCTCGTCCCCGTCTCCCCCCCACGCGCCGTCACCCCTCGCCTCTCCCGCCCCCAGCACGTTCCATCCCCCACCCCCGTCGTCCCCCTCCCAGGCACCCTCTCCCCCAACCTTCACAGTACCCAGCTGAGGGTGCAGGGTGGTGAAGGGGTACCAGCCCACTCTAGGTTTGGCACGGGAGAGCGCGCGCAGGAGGCTGCTCTTGCCAGCATTGGGCAGCCCCACCAGCCCCACATCCGCCACTGTCTTGAGCTCTAGAGCCACCACCGCCCTGCTCCCTGCACTGCCCTTCTCATGCGACAAATCCGATTCTTCCATCTGCCACGGTTTCACTCGACCCATGCAGGCGTTGCCCCTGCCGCCCTGCCCTCCCCGAGCCACTGTCACGCTCTGACCTTCCTCCACCAGATCTGCCACCAGCACGCCTCGCTCCCGCGCCCTAGCACGTGCCTTCTCATGAAAGTGCAACCCATTGTCATCCACACTGCTCTCCGCCTCCTCAGATCCAATTCCTTCACTCCCCTCATCAGCTCCCCTACCCTCCCCCCTACCCTCACCTGTCTCATCAGCAGCCACTCGCCTGTGGCCATACCTCTCCTGAGCCCACTGCTGTAGCAACTGCTGCCAGTAGGGTTCTTCGCCCGCCCTTCTCCTCACCTCCCCCTCCTCCCCCTCCCCCTCCCCTCCCCCCTCCCCATCCCCCTCACCAACAGCTTCCTTCCCCTCCATGTGCTCCCCCATCCGCTCCTCCTGCTGTTCTGCCTTGGAGGACTCGAAGAGAGCAGCCCACCAGGGGGGAGAGGCAGGCATGCTGCTGCTATCACCAGCAGCAGCCACTGGCAAGGCAGCTGCTTCTTCTGATATAGAGTCAGCAGCAGCAGGAGCAGGTGTAGCAAGACCAGCAGCATAACTGGCACCACCAGCACCAGCGGCATGCGAAGCAGCACCAGCGGCACCACCGGCATCAGCACCAGCATAAAGTCCACCCCCAATACCCTCCAGGGGAACTTCCCCTTCCAGCAAATACACCGCAGTCCCCACAGGCACCCTCACCTCCCTATCCACCCCCCTCGCCCCCACCCGCTTCTTACTCGATCCATGCCCACCCGACCCCCCCTTCACCACGCGATCAACATTCCCCAGGTGCCTCACAGCGGCCGAGGCAGTGAGTGTGACCCCCCCGCCCTCCCCGCCGTTGCCCCCGTCCCGGTCCCCGTGCCGTGCGTGCCGGGACTTGCGGAAGGAGGAGCATCCGCTGCCCCCGCGCCCGCCTTCCACGCGCACGCGGAGGCAGTCGATGAAGGGGCGGTCACGGGGAGGGTCGGGCTTCGGTTTCTTTGGCTTGCCACTGCTGCTGCTGCTGCTGCTGCTTCTAATACTTCTAATGCTGCTGCTGCCGCTAGGGCTGGTGCTTCTGGTGATGGTGCTGGTGCTGCTGATGCTTCTGCTGCAGCTGACGTTGCTGCCACTCCAAGCAGCGGACCTGACACTATGCCCATGGCAAAAGCCTGGACTGTTCATCAGGTGCGGGGCAAGAACGGGTGAACCGCTGTGGCTAGGTGCATGTGCGGGGGAAAGGGCGGAGAGGGAGTGGGTGGGAGTGTGCGTGTGACTGAAAACGGGGCTGCTGGTAGGGAGGAAGGCAATATGGGAGGGGAAGAAGAAGAGAAAGGGGATGGAGGAGGAATTTGAAGGTTGGGGTGGAGTGGGGAGAAGGGGAGCGAGAGAATAAAGGAGAGACGGGAGGAGGGGGGAGGAAATGGAGGGATATGGATAGGTATGAGAGACAGAAGAGACGGAAAGAGCAGGAGAGGAGAATAAAACGATGAGAGAAAAACAGAAGGTCTGAAGCAACGAGCACCGTCTTGGCTGCAAAAGTCGAAAGACTTTTGAGTCTACTCAAAAGTCACCTTTCAAAAGTCGAAAGCATGAAACAAAGAAAACCGAATCGTGATTCTATTTCAACTGTGATTGTTATTGATACAGCAAAGTCACCCCAAACCCAAACGAGGAAGCGCAAGCATGGCTAGAGACGAATTGACCAAGCAACAATCTGCGTCAGAATCTATGGTGGTGAAAACAAGACGGTGCTAATGCTCCTCCTTGCCGAATCCATGCACAATGCTAATCTGCAGCACACAGAGAGACACAAACAGAGGAGGAGATGTGCAGAGGGCACACACAGTCACACACATGCCCATGCACATGCATGCATGCACAGACCAAACACATCGAGTCATGTATATATGCACGCACACACAGAGTCACACACAGGGGCACACACACCCACACCAGGACGTTTGATCAGTCACGGAAAGAGAGAGACAGTGCATGAAGAATCAACAAGCAACAAGCTGCTGGAAAGGTGGCATACGGTAACAAGGAGTGCTGTGGGGTGGACGCTGCGTACCTCTTGGGGGAAGGGAGGGTTGCGAGCGTACTTGGATCCGCCATACACCCATGGCACTGCAGTGAGGAGAGGAGGGATGGAGCGACAGGGAGGGAGGGAGGGAGAAGGAGAGAGAAGGGAGGGAGGAGAGTCCGTGGGGGAAAGGGAGGGTTGCGAGCGTACTTGGATCCGCCATGCACCCATGGCACTCAAGTGACTGATGCCATAACTCACGCACTCACTCACCGAGGTACGGGTCGGGGTGCTGGTTCTCATGACTCACCGAGGTATGGGTCGGGGTGCTGGTTCTCCTTGAGCTTCGCTTCCCCCGCTGCCAGCAGACGGTCGATCCGATCCGGATCGCTCTGGCCGGCGGGATGGGGGGAAAAGGGGGAGGCGAGAGGGGGGGGGAAGCGAAAAGGAGGAAAAGCGAGAGGAAAATGATGGATGGAGAGGGGAACAGAGAGGGAAATAAGGGTTTCAAAAGGAGAATGGCTTAAACAACGAGCTTAAACTTGAGACAACTCTCAGTCGCACTGCGTGCATGCGTTTTCATAAGACAAGGCGCGCAAACTCGTCAGCCGTCTCACCTCCTGCCGGTTCGCCTCGAACTGCGCGCGGATCTTGTCGGCCTGCACCACATGACAGCATCGCGCGCACGAAGGAAAGAGCACAGACGTCGCGATAGTTGCGTGACACGGATCGCAAGCAAATACGGAAAGAACGTCACTTGAAGGCCAATTAGACGCAGATCTTTGAGTAGCAACGAAAGGAAACGACGTGTTGTCGCGAAAACTCGCCTCGTCGTAATAGATGTCGCGAAAGATCGCCCAGCTGAGCGCGTTCTTGAGCGATCGGCGGTACAGCTGCCTCGCGCGCTGCTGCTGCAGCTCCCGCCGCACGGTCGAGGCCGCGGCGGAGAGGCTCATGGCGGAATGCGGAAGCGGAACGAGGATGCGGAGGGCGGAGGCGGAAGGAGGAAGCGGAGAGAACGACGGCGGTATGCAGCGTGGGGAGCACTAATAGCGACGCGTAGTGCAGCCGACCTAGTTACGAATGTTGATCCTCGATACCCTCGCACTCGGTAAGGAAGTCCCAACGTTCTAATACATTTCGACAAACGCGTCATATGAAGTCCAAGTTCCAATTTGTGCGGTGTACTCGCGCAGGGATACTTTCCAGGTTCGGTGCCTTCCGCTGCAAGCCAATCAGGGTCACCGCCACCAGATCGTTGGCCACGTCTCCCTAGGTTCGCAAAAGTCACCACAATCCCGAGGCTTCAGCTCCCTCCTCTCCTCGGGCACACAAGAGACCCGAACCTCCATTTCACCCTCCACCTCTCCTCCCCTTCCTCTGCTTTCCATTCCAGCCAAACAGAAAACTAGCCTAGCCACATTCCCCCACTCTCCTCTTCCTCTCCGTCCTACTGTTCCGCTCGCTTCTCACCGAAAGGCTTGGTCTTGGTCGCCAGAATTCTGACAACTCACTCATTCCCTTCGTTCTAACAATATTTTATGGCTGCCAGGGCTCCAAGCGCAGCCATTGCCCTTCTCCGCTCATCAACCATTCCGCATTTTCTCTCCGCGCGATCTTCTCTTGCAGCAGCCCAGCGCTCTCATCCTCTCGGGGTGTTTAATCCCCTGCGTCGTCCCTCTTCTCATGCGTATCCACTCCCATCGCACAACCTCTTTCTTTTCCGTGCTAGTGTAACAACTGATCCGTCATTCCAATCCAGAACTACACCCCAGAGCTCACGACTATCCTTCTCTCCTTTTTCGCTAACTGTCTCGCCTAGCCTCGCACGGTTCGCGAGTCACAGAACTAGCAACGAGTCACATTCATTCTCATCGCTTTCGGTTCTCGGCCGTGAGAAGGCTGTTTTGCGCGCGATGGGGAGCGTAGCGACGGAGAATGGAGCGGCGGGTGCGGCGGAGGAGCAGATGGATGCGGTGCAGCAGCGACTCATGTTTGACGACGAGTACGTCACAAGCCACCCACGCCGTTCGATCCACTCCTTCCAACCCACGACCCCCTCAACCCTGCAAGAAACGTTCATTTCGTGTTAATCACTAGAATTTGATCATTAGACGGTGGTCGTTATGGTTTTGGCATCACAACGTGTCTCCTCCTTCATTGACGATTCATGGTACCTCTGTCCTTCTGGTGCCTACCGTCGCAGGTGCATTCTCGTAGATGAAAACGACAAAGTGGTGGGTCACGCGAATAAGTACACTTGTAAGTAAATGCGTAGCCTTGGGATCTTTTTCAGCATTGGACGTCTTAAGCCAAACACGTACATGTCATTCTTTCTCTTGCCAGGCTATCACGGCTCATCGCGGGGATTTTAGATTTTCAATGAACACTCATGGCTTCATCTTTTTCTAAGTCAACTCAAGAATCACCACTTATCTTAACTTGCTCTGGCAGGCCACATTATGGAGAACATCAATAAAGGCACAGCACGCCACCGTGCCTTCAGCGTCTTCCTTTTCGACTCTCAGCATCGCCTGTTGCTCCAGGTACTGAAGAATCATTTCATGGACTGCACTAGGAATGAATGTATTTTCTCAGCAGCAGTACAGCAAATGTAGCCCAGCCCGCACGAGTGCAACAAAGTTTTGGGTCTGCAGAAGTTAACTGGCTGTGTGCATGAATGTTGCCTGTTCGGTTAGACGCACAAACACTGAATCTGATCTTGCTACATGGTTGTTGTAATGAAATCCCTTTCACAACCCTGTTGTATCCCTCTTCCCAGCAACGTGCAGCGTGCAAGGTGACGTTCCCCCTGGTTTGGACCAACACGTGCTGCAGCCACCCGCTGTACCGTCCAGAGGAGATGGAGGAGGCGAACGCGCAGGGAGTGCGAGTGGCGGCGCGGCGCAAGCTGGAAGACGAACTGGGGATCGACCCGGACACGGTGGATGTCTCGGCCTTCACGTGCCTGGGCCGCATGCACTACAAGGCCCCTTCTGACGGGAAATGGGGCGAGCATGAGAGTGAGTGCATGCTCTGAGCATTGGTTACAGGGAAATCTGCATCATGCATTGGCCCTCCTTGTTGATGTGGTGGAATTTTCTTCTTGTTGGAGCCCAGACATCATGGAATTGGCCTGTTGGTCTCCCATTCCCCTTCATCGTGCGACATTTTCACATTTCTTGGACCTGGACTTTATCATTGGGTTGTACATTATTTATATCATGTGTCCTTCCTGCTCCCATCCTGTTCACCCAGTTGACTACCTCCTAGTACTCAAGGCTGACTTGAAGGCCACTCCAAACCCTAACGAGGTGGCTGCTGTAAGGTTCGTCGATCGAGAGGAGTTGAAGGAGCTGGTGCGCAAGGCTGACAATAAGGAGGATGGAGTGGTGCTGTCGCCATGGTTCCGTCTTGTAGTGGACCGGTTCCTGCCTGCCTGGTGGGACCATCTAGATGCGGGCACACTTGAGGAGGTGGTTGATATGGAGAAGATCCATCACTTGTAATGACTACAATGTACTCGCTATAAGGAATATCTTATTTAATCAATGGTAGGTGTATCTATTCTGTAAGGCCAAGTAATAGTTCAAGATTTGAGGATTCATTTTATGATGAACACTGTAACGCGAAAATAAAATGCCACTGGTTTTTTATCCAAGAATCTGTCAGACAGGATCTCCCGCCTGAAGGCGTCAGCAACACGCACCAAGCTAGTCCTGTGCTAGCACGAACAGTCAGTTTCACCACCACGAAACCAGTGGAAAGAAATCGCGAATAGCTTGCTCGTCCTCATGTTCAGTGGCTTCAAGGCAGTCCATCGCATTTAGCGCAAGTGCTATGGCGGACTGGGATCTGGACCCTGCCGCGTTGTTCGGCGACAAGGATGGCGACGATGACGAAATCCCTCAAGTACGCGAGTAGATTGTAACCGACTAGCGACGGCTGCGGCTTGCGCGTTCAGTTAACGTGTCTAGTAGCGCGTTGAAGTCGATTCAACAGGGTCGACGCTGCATTCATCTGCTCTTTATAAGCTGAATACCGAGATAAGATTTAATTCGTCCCATTCACCGTCACCTGCTAAATCATTTTATCCTATGGCAACGTCCTGCGATGGTCCTTGCCCGTGGCTATCTACGACCTTAATTTTTTGCTTACAGTGTCGTCAACCACCTTGCATTTTCTTCACGACTCCCTCCTCACCCTGATTTTTTGCCTGTCAGGACTATTCCGACGGCAAGGAGCTGGTGGTCTTCCTCATAGATGCGGGGCCGGACATGTTCCTGCCGTACCACGACGACCAGGTGTGTCGTGTCAGTTTGCTGATTAACCAATCAAACGTATTTTCTGAGGCAATGGAGCCCCAGACTGGAGCCATTACTTATACGTGGCAGCGACTGTTTCAGCTGTGTTAAATTTTTTGGTAGCAGAAAGTTTGCTTGAACCAATCAAATGTATCTTCTGGGACGCCTCAAAGTCATCTTCCTCATAAACGCAGGACCGGACATGTTCCTGCCTTACCATGACGACCAGGTGTGATGCTTATCCAAAGAATTTCACTTGTACGCTGTTCAGCCGAGTAAATGTTAAGCTTCCGCCTCGTCCTGGTATTTTCGCTTTGCATTCACGACATTTTCCCTGATACGCCTATGCTGAGCCTATTAGATATTGAACGCTTTTCCTGATGATTTTGCATAATGTTCATGACATTGCGACCTTGTGCAGGAGGAGGTCGAGGCAGGAGGCAGTTTAGGGACTCAAACCAGTGCAGCCAGCTCAGAGAGGCAGAGAGGAGAGAAGGACATGGGAGGTGCCGGCGAGAGGACGTATTTCGAGGAGGTGGTGCGAGCGCTGGTGGGCGACCTGAAGACGAGAATCATCTCCCGGGAGAGCGACCTCATGTCAATTGCATTCTTCAACACGGTAGGTGGTTGGGTGGGTGGATTCTTTTGAGTTGACTCAGATGTCAGCTCGCTGGTGGGCGACCTGAAGACGAGAATCATCTCCCGGGAGAGCGACCTCATGTCAATTGCATTCTTCAACACGGTAGGTGGTTGGGTGGGTGGATTCTTTTGAGTTGACTCAGATGTCAGCTCGCTGGTGGGCGACCTGAAGACGAGAATCATCTCCCGGGAGAGCGACTTCATGTCAATTGCATTCTTCAACACGGTAGGTGGTTGGGTGGGTGGATTCTTTTGAGTTGACTCAGATGTCAGCTCGCTGGTGGGCTACCTAAAGATGCGGATCACCTCTCGGGAGAGCGACCTTCTGTCGATCGCCTTTTTCAACACGGCGGGTGGATCTTTACAGTGGCGCGGGAGGCTCGCCGGTGCAGCAGGGGTGGAGCGGGAGGCTCGCTCGACTCAACATTCTCCCCGCTGTTGGGTGTCTTGAAGAAGCAGGCCATCTCTCAGGAGTGCGACCTTGTGTTCATTGCAGTCTTCAACAATGTTGGTGGATCCTGGTTAAGGCATTGGACCTCATGCATCCAGTTGGTTTGTCAGTCCAGATTTGAGGCTTCTATTGCCCATTCAAGTGCCTTCTTGCTCTGTGTCACATTTCCAGCTCACTTTGAGAATCCGGTCTCTTTTGGGCTTTCTCAAAAGCGATTCCGGTCATGCTTTCACCCAAACTTTCAAATGGCAGCGCGCGAAGCAAAACGTGCAGTCAGCAGAGGGCGTGTTTGTGTTTCAGGACAACCAGCAGACGTCAGCACAGCTCATCCGAGACCTCTCCAACCTTCCAGGTACCCTTCTGCACCGATTCAAATCATACCCACTCAACACCTCACCGGTTCCCATCCCAGCATCTAGCATGTGGACTGTCCATGCACTTCGGTATACTCCAGCATCCAGGTTCACTCCACTTTTCCTGATATTGTCTGCACCCATTTTTGTGCAAAAGACCACGCCTCACATTCCTTCCGTCACCCTCATGTTCTCCACGTTCACTCCCAAAGAGGATTAAGGTGTTGCACCTCCCAAAGAGGATTAAGGTGCTAGCCATGAGGATTAAGGTTCCTTCCTTCATCCATGGTTGGCTTTCACCTACCAACATCATCTGTTTGCCTTGCGATTCCCTTCAGCTCTTTGCCATTCTGCCTTGCTGCCTGTCTTCCAGAAACGTTTGAGAAGGATATCGGGTCGGGCAACTGGCTGAGGGGGAAGGTGAAGCCCCACGACAACCCAATGTGCGTGACGCGTCCCCCATTGGTATATTGGTGGTGCAGTCGTGCTGCCAGCCGGTGCCTAGGGTGCTGTGATGGTATCATGATGCTGTACTGTACTGCCATTGGGTTGTCGCCTGCCATTAGAGTGCCACGGTTTGTTCTGTGGTTAGATTGAAGACGTTATGTTTTTTTCTTTGCCCCACGTTAATGCTTTACTCTATACGTTTCTGCTTCTGTTCTTGCCGATTTTCCATGTCTGTGTGTGCACGCATGTGGGGAAACGTCTCTCGCAATCTGCAGCTCAAATGCCCTGTGGGTCTCTCAACTCTCGCCCTTTGTCTTTCTAGTCAACGCAAAACCGAAGGGTTTCTGGCATTAACATCCCATATGCCCTGAACCTGTGTCCACGCCATCCACTCTCACCCTCGTTTTGAGGTGACTAAAAAATATACACTGGTCCTCTGCAACCTCTGCATCCCGTGCGCTGTGCTGACCATTTTGTTCTGACCTTGTTTCCTCCTTACTCTCCTGAAATTTCCCGTTTTTCCCTTCAGGTGGGTCGTTCAAGGCCTTCTGCGCACAGGGTACGTCCCACTTCGCTGTTCCCACTTCCCCGCTTGGCTGTAGTTTCAATCATCCAGAAAGTACGAGTTTCTGTTCTTTTTTTTCTGTCCTTGATTCATGCCAGCTATCCTTGCTTTCAAATTTACTGCTCCCGTGAGACTTTGTACTCTGTGCATTCCTTTTCATCCTCCGCTCTCTTGTTGTGTTGCCTCACAACAAAGTAATTGTCTACGCAAAGCACTGGTCTCACGTGGTCACACGTGTAAATGGGAGTCACTTTTGCGAGTTTTCGAAAGCATCGTCTCGCACGGGCATATGCGTATTTAGGCTCTTGAGACGTTTTTAAGTACAGCTGGGGTTGCATCCTCTCACATGGCTGTGCTGAGTGTGTGATTGTGCTATTTTTCCACTTCCCCCTCGTTTCCTCACCACCAGCTACACGTCACAGGAGGTGCTGAAGAACGTGCTTCTCTTCACCAACGACGACGACCCCTTTGGGGCGGGCGGCGATTCCTGTTACAGGTGGTCACATGAATGATTGTGTGAATGTGCTCTCGTCTGCCTCCCTTCTCCTCTCCCCACCATCAGCTCCACGTCACAGGAGGTGGTGAAGAACGTGCTTCTCTTCACCAACGACGATGATCCCTTTGGGGCAATCACCAACGAGGGAGTGAGAAGCGACATGCGGCGCACCACCATACAGAAGGCCAAGGTGTGTCTGACTCTGTCTGTCCTGTTTTAGGCATGTGCTGTCACGCATGCCACTTTATGCAGTGAGGAGCGACATGAGCTGCACCACCACACACACAGAAGGCCAAGGTGATGGCTTGTTCTAGGGCAGATTTTCACATAGGAGTACATTCACACATATGTCACAGAGGGATGAGGAGGGTCATGTGACGTGACACACCAGAGCAGGCCAAGTTCACTTCACGGTGCACTCACAGCATCGCATCACAATGAGGGCTGAAGCTTCACCTCTTCCTCCCTCCCTCCCACCCCACTCTTTTTCCTGTTCTTCATCCAAGTCTCGCTGTCGCCATGCAATTTCCTTCCACGCGGCCTTTCCTGCAGGACGCACGGGAGCTTGGTATTGCGTTTGACCTCTTCCCTCTCAGCCGTCCAGGGGAGAAGTTCAACGTCAACATCTTCTACGCAGTGAGCCGAGCCTCATGCATCTTCCAATCCATGCAATACAGTGTGTGTGTGTGTGCTGTGTGCCCCGATATGCCTCCTGCACTAATGTCAACTGAAGTTCCACGTCAAATTTCTATATGGTGAGCTCAGCCCCCGCCCATGTGTCAGGATGGCCGAGTTGTGTCTCTGATGTGCAGTTGTAGAAGTGCTTTGTCAGTCCAGTCTGTTTGATCGTGTCACATGTCTGTCCCGTTTCTGTCGAGTCATTGGTCCTACACGTCTTGTTGTCATCATCGGTCCACATCACCATGTCATCACGCCAAACCTGCGCTCTGCCAAGTCTGAGTTGACTTTTGAGTCGACTCAAAAGTCAACCCGGTCCACATCACCATGTCATCACGCCAAACCTGCACTTTGCAAAGTCTGTTCCACTCTGTCTTCTTTCACTCAACCATTCCACTGTTTTGTTCACATGTTCCAGTCTGTCAAACACATCTCGCTACCTTTCTTAGCATTTTATATAAACCTTTGTACATATTGTATATAAACCCATGTACACCGGGACATTTGTAAATAAACTCTGGTCTAACGCGCCAATTTCAGGTACTAATCCGAAAGGGCGTGGACTCGAATCCCTCTCCTGACATGGTTGCCCACAACTTTTTTCCTTTCTCCCCATTCGATTGCTCTTTGTCTCATCCCGCCCATCTTTTAGACGTGCAATGCACCCCGGTGACCTTTGAGTCGACTCAAAAGTCACCTCCGTGCAATGCACCCCGCCTTCTCCACATCCCGCCTTCTCCACATCCCGCCTTCTCCACATCCCGCCTTCTCCACATCCCGCCTTCTCCACATCCCGCCTTCTCCACATCCCGCCTTCTCCACATCCCGCCTTCTCCACATCCCGCCTTCTCCACATCCCGCCTTCTCCACATCCCGCCTTCTCCACATCCCGCCTTCTCCACATCCCGCCTTCTCCACATCCCGCCTTCTCCACATCCCGCCTTCTCCACATCCCGCCTTCTCCACATCCCGCCTTCTCCACATCCCGCCTTCTCCACATCCCGCCTTCTCCACATCCCGCCTTCTCCACATCCCGCCTTCTCCACATCCCGCCTTCTGCACATCCCGCCTTCTCCACATCCCGCCTTCTCCACATCCCGCCTTCTCCACATCCCGCCTTCTCCACATCCCGCTTTCTCCACATCCCGCCTTCTCCACATCCCGCCTTCTCCACATCCCGCCTTCTCGACATCCCGCCTTCTCCACATCCCGCCTTCTCCACATCCCGCCTTCTGCACATCCCGCCTTGCTCCATTTTTTTTTTTTTTTTCGGGCCGATTTGGCTTGACAAGCCCTTTCCGTCCATCCATTACTCTTCGTACTCCCTCCCTACCCATGCGTCAGGACATGCTACGCTATGATGATTCACAACGAGCGGGCTTCCTACCAGAAGAGCACAGGCGAGTGCCTTCACGTTCACTCTAGGTTGTACGTGCTCTGTGGTACTTCCTTATTGGCGCATGCTAGTGCCCATTCCAAGCTGTCACTGCTTCCAGAGGAGCACAGGCGAGTGCCTTCACGTTCACTCTAGGTTGTACGTGCTCTGTGGTACTTCCTTATTGGCACATGCTAGTGCCCATTCCAAGCTGTCACTGCTTCCAGAGGAGCACAGGCGAGTGCATTCACTCTAGATAGTACGCCCTCTGTGATACTGCCTTCTTGGTGCGTTTTAGCTGAGTCCCAAAATCCCGAAATCCTGGTTCCCGGTATCCCAGTCTCCCGGTTTCCCGGTTTCCCGGTATCCCGGTATCCCGGTTTCCCGGTATCCCGGTTTCCCGGTATCCCGGTATCCCGGTATCCCGGTTTCCCGGTATCCCGGTTTCCCGGTATCCCGGTTTCCCGGTATCCCGGTTTCCCAGTATCCTGGTTTCCCGGTTTCCCGGTTTCCCGGTATCCCGGTATCCCGGTATCCCGGTTTCCCGGTTTCCCGGTTTCCCGGTTTCCCGGTTTCCCGGTTTCCCGGTTTCCCGGTTTCCCGGTTTCCCGGTTTCCCGGTTTCCCGGTTTCCCGGTTTCCCGGTTTCCCGGTATCCCGGTATCCCGGTATCCCGGTATCCCGGTTTCCCGGTTTCCGGTTTCCCGGTTTCCCGGTTTCCCGGTATCCCGGTTTCCCGGTTTCCCGGTTTCCCGGTTTCCCGGTTTCCCGGTTTCCCGGTATCCCGGTTTCCCGGTTTCCCGGTTTCCCGGTTTCCCGGTTTCCCGGTTTCCCGGTTCCCGGTTTCCCGGTTTCCCGTTTCCCGGTTCCCGGTATCCCGGTTCCCGGTTTCCCGGTTTCCCGGTTTCCCGGTTTCCCGGTTTCCCGGTATCCCGGTTTCCCGGTTTCCCGGTTCCCGGTTTCCCGGTTTCCCGGTTTCCCGGTTTCCCGGCTTCCCGGTTTCCCGGTTTCCCGGTTTCCCGGTTTCCCGGTTTCCCGGTTTCCCGGTTCCCGGTTCCCGGTTTCCGGTTTCCCGGTTTCCCGGTTTCCCGGTTTCCCGGTTTCCCGGTTTCCCGGTTCCCGGTTTCCCGGTTTCCCGTTTCCCGGTTTCCCGGTTTCCCGGTTTCCCGGTATCCCGGTATCCCGGTTTCCCGGTATCCCGGTTTCCCGGTTTCCCGGTTTCCCGGTTTCCCGGTTTCCCGGTTTCCCGGTTTCCCATTTTTCCGGTATCCCGGTATCCCGGTTTCCCGGTATCCCGGTTTCCCGGTTTCCCGGTTTCCCGGTTTCCCGGTTTCCCGGTTTCCCGGTTTCCCGGTTTCCGGTTTCCCGGTTTCCCGGTTTCCCGGTTTCCCGGTATCCCGGTTTCCCGGTATCCCGGTTTCCCGGTTTCCCGGTTTCCCGGTTTCCCGGTTTCCCGGTTTCCCGGTTTCCCGGTTTCCCGGTTTCCCGGTTTCCCATTTTTCCGGTATCCCGGTATCCCGGTTTCCCGGTATCCCGGTTTCCCGGTTTCCCGGTTTCCCGGTTTCCCAGTTTCCCGGTTTCCCGGTATCCCGGTATCCCGGTATCCCGGTATCCCGGTTTCCCGGTATCCCGGTTTCCCGGTTTCCCGGTTTCCCGGTTTCCCGGTTTCCCGGTTTCCCGGTTTCCCGGTTTCCCGGTTTCCCGGTTTCCCGGTTTCCCGGTTTCCCGGTTTCCCGGTATCCCGGTATCCCGGTATCCCGGTATCCCGGTATCCCGGTTTCCCGGTTTCCGGTTTCCCGGTATCCCGGTTTCCCGGTTTCCCGGTTTCCCGGTTTCCCGGTTTCCCGGTTTCCCGGTATCCCGGTTTCCCGGTTTCCCGGTTTCCCGGTTTCCCGGTTTCCCGGTTTCCCGGTTTCCCGGTTTCCCGGTTTCCCGGTTTCCCGGTTTCCCGGTTTCCGGGATCCCGGTTTCCCGGTTTCCCGGTTTCCCGGTTTCCCGGTTTCCCGGTTTCCCGGTTTCCCGGTTTCCCGGTTTCCCGGTATCCCGGTTTCCCGGTTTCCCGGTTTCCCGGTTTCCCGGCTTCCCGGTTTCCCGGTTTCCCGGTTTCCCGGTTTCCCGGTTTCCCGGTTTCTCGGTTTCCCGGTTTCCGGGATCCCGGTTTCCCGGTTTCCCGGTTTCCCGGTTTCCCGGTTTCCCGGTTTCCCGGTTTCCCGGTTTCCCGGTTTCCCGGTATCCCGGTATCCCGGTTTCCCGGTATCCCGGTTTCCCGGTTTCCCGGTTTCCCGGTTTCCCGGTTTCCCGGTTTCCCGGTTTCCCGGTTTCCCGGTTTCCCATTTTTCCGGTATCCCGGTATCCCGGTTTCCCGGTATCCCGGTTTCCCGGTTTCCCGGTTTCCCGGTTTCCCGGTTTCCCGGTTTCCCGGTATCCCGGTATCCCGGTATCCCGGTATCCCGGTTTCCCGGTATCCCGGTTTCCCGGTTTCCCGGTTTCCCGGTTTCCCGGTTTCCCGGTTTCCCGGTTTCCCGGTTTCCCGGTTTCCCGGTTTCCCGGTTCCCGGTATCCCGGTATCCCGGTATCCCGGTATCCCGGTATCCCGGTTTCCCGGTTTCCCGGTTTCCCGGTTTCCCGGTATCCCGGTTTCCCGGTTTCCCGGTTTCCCGGTTTCCCGGTTTCCCGGTTTCCCGGTTTCCCGGTATCCCGGTTTCCCGGTTTCCCGGTTTCCCGGTTTCCCGGTTTCCCGGTTTCCCGGTTTCCCGGTTTCCCGGTTTCCCGGTTTCCCGGTATCCCGGTATCCCGGTATCCCGGTTTCCCGGTTTCCCGGTTTCCCGGTTTCCCGGTTTCCCGGTTTCCCGGCTTCCCGGTTTCCCGGTTTCCCGGTTTCCCGGTTTCCCGGTTTCCCGGTTTCCCGGTTTCCCGGCTTCCCGGTTTCCCGGTTTCCCGGTTTCCCGGTTTCCCGGTTTCCCGGTTTCTCGGTTTCCCGGTTTCCGGGATCCCGGTTTCCCGGTTTCCCGGTTTCCCGGTTTCCCGGTTTCCCGGTTTCCCGGTTTCCCGGTTTCCCGGTTTCCCGGTTTCCCGGTATCCCGGTATCCCGGTTTCCCGGTATCCCGGTTTCCCGGTTTCCCGGTTTCCCGGTTTCCCGGTTTCCCGGTTTCCCGGTATCCCGGTTTCCCGGTTTCCCGGTTTCCCGGTTTCCCGGTTTCCGGTTTCCCGGTTTCCCGGTTTCCCGGTTTCCCGGTTTCCCGGTTTCCCGGTTTCCCGGTTTCCCGGTTTCCCGGTTTCCCGGTTTCCCGGTTTCCCGGTATCCCGGTATCCCGGTATCCCGGTATCCCGGTTTCCCGGTTTCCCGGTTTCCCGGTTTCCCGGTTTCCCGGTTTCCCGGTTTCCCGGTTTCCCGGTTTCCCGGTTTCCCGGTTTCCCGGTATCCCGGTATCCCGGTATCCCGGTTTCCCGGTTTCCCGGTTTCCCGGTTTCCCGGTTTCCCGGTTTCCCGGCTTCCCGGTTTCCCGGTTTCCCGGTTTCCCGGTTTCCGGGATCCCGGTTTCCCGGTTTCCCGGTTTCCCGGTTTCCCGGTTTCCCGGTTTCCCGGTTTCCCGGTTTCCCGGTTTCCCGGTATCCCGGTTTCCCGGTTTCCCGGTTTCCCGGTTTCCCGGTTTCCCGGTTTCCCGGTATCCCGGTATCCCGGTATCCCGGTTTCCCGGTTTCCCGGTTTCCCGGTTTCCCGGTTTCCCGGTTTCCCGGTTTCCCGGTTTCCCGGTTTCCCGGTTTCCCGGTTTCCCATTTTGCCGGTATCCCGGTATCCCGGTTTCCCGGTATCCCGGTTTCCCGGTTTCCCGGTTTCCCGGTTTCCCGGTTTCCCGGTTTCCCGGTATCCCGGTATCCCGGTATCCCGGTATCCCGGTTTCCCGGTATCCCGGTTTCCCGGTTTCCCGGTTTCCCGGTTTCCCGGTTTCCCGGTTTCCCGGTATCCCGGTATCCCGGTATCCCGGTTTCCCGGTTTCCCGGTTTCCCGGTTTCCCGGTTTCCCGGCTTCCCCGTTTTCCGGTATCCCTGTATCCCGGTTTCCCGGTTTCCCGGTTTCCCGGTTTCCCGGTTTCCCGGTTTCCCGGTTTCCCGGTATCCCGGTATCCCGGTATCCCGGTTTCCCGGTTTCCCGGTTTCCCGGTTTCCCGGTATCCCGGTATCCCGGTATCCCGGTATCCCGGTTTCCCGGTTTCCCGGTTTCCCGGTTTCCCGGTTTCCCGGTTTCCCGGTATCCCGGTTTCCCATTTTTCCGGTATCCCGGTATCCCGGTTTCCCGGTTTCCCGGTTTCCCGGTTTCCCGGTATCCCGGTATCCCGGTATCCCGGTATCCCGGTTTCCCGGTTTCCCGGTTTCCCTGTTTCCCGGTTTCCCGGTTTCCCGGTTTCCCGGTTTCCCGGTTTCCCGGTTTCCCGGTTTCCGGGATCCCGGTTTCCCGGTTTCCCGGTTTCCCGGTTTCCCGGTTTCCCGGTTTCCCGGTTTCCCGGTTTCCCGGTTTCCCGGTATCCCGGTTTCCCGGTTTCCCGGTTTCCCGGTTTCCCGGTTTCCCGGTTTCCCGGTATCCCGGTATCCCGGTTTCCCGGTTTCCCGGTTTCCCGGTTTCCCGGTTTGTCAGACGACATGGCAGAGCGAGGCAAGCGGGAGTGTGCAAGAGCAAAAATTGATCATTTGTTGTCAGTACGGGTGTACACTGGCTGTACATAGGCAGTTCTGGATTCAAAAAGTGTACATATGCCCTGTTGTTGATTATTGAGGCCAGTATGCAAGGACCTGGGGTAGGCAGGCTGCTGGAGTGGAGTGTTGTTTTCTGGATGGCTGAGGCAGGCTGGTTAGCTAGTTGGCTGGTAGGCAACACTTGTGACAATCCTGCTTCCTGTCAATACTTGCCATGAACACCTGTGTGTTGGGGGTTTGCCTGTCTCCTTGTGATTTCTTTGTGGCAGCTTGTTCTGCATGTGCATGCATGCAGCGCGTGCATCAGTGCCCTGCGTTTCCACGTTCTTTTCACCACTGCATGGCTGCCTGGCACGGCACAGCACCTGCTTGGGTGTTTGTTTGTGCCCAGGCACCTTCAAGGCTGCCCTGCCCACCCCACCCACCCACCTATTCCACAATATGCAGGCCCATCCCAGCCCGGCACAGCACAACACACCTATCAAAACCTAAGCACACGTAAGCAAACCTTGGCACACCTAAGGACAGATAAGCAAGCAAAGCACAGCAGTGGTCCATCTTCTTAAGCTCTTGGTGGTCGGCCCCCCAGCAAGCAGCAGCCCACCCCACATGTCCTCTGCCTCGCCCTGCACTTCACTTCACCATAGAAGTGCCACTTACGAGGGGAAGCTGTTGTAATTTCATAATTTGTACAACATACATAGGCTAGAATTAGATCTGTAGTACACTTATAAATTGGGGGGTTGTTTAGTGTACCCTCCAACCACATTTTGTGGTTGGTTGGGATTGGTCCCTAGCTCAACCAATCCCAACCAACACACATTTGTGGTTGCTTGGGTCACAAGCAAGCTCACCCATTGGCCAACTTATTGGCCAATAGGGTAAGCTTCCCTTTCATCTCTCTCTTGCTCATTGTTTGTACTAAAGGGCCTCTTGGCTCATTATTCAATGTATCTCTTCTAGCTTTTCAACATGGTATCATGAGCTATTGGCTCACGCCTTAATCCCTCGATCCTAAGGCCACCCTCTCCTCCCCGTCCCTCAGACCTAGTCCTACTACGGTGCTCCTCTCGAGCTCCGATCTACTCCTCCCGAGCTCACATCTACTCGTCCCAAGCTCAGATCTACTCCTCCCAAGCTCACATCTACTCCTCCCGAGCTCAGATCTATCCCCCCCGAGCTCAGATCTACTCCTCCCGAGCTCACATCTACTCCTCCCGAGCTCAGATCTACTCCTCCCGAGCTCAGATCTACTCCTCCCGAGCTCACATCTACTCCTCCCGAGCTTAGATCTACTCCTCCCGAGCTCACATCTATTCCTCCCCGTTCCTCAGATCTAGCCCCACCCACGGAGCTGCCCTCCCTTCACGCACCCTTAAGGCGCTGTCCTCCCTCCCCGTGCGCCCCCTAAGGCGCTGCCCTCCAAGGCACGTCCAGATCTGCAACTCCAGCGCCCAGATCTGCATTCCCCGCGCTCAGATCTGCAACTCCAGCGCCCAGATCTGCATTCCCCGCGCTCAGATCTGCAACTCCAGCGCCCAGATCTGCACTCCCTGCGACCAGATCTACTCCTCCCGCGCCTAGATCTGATCATTCCGCGCCCAGATCTGGATTCCGCGCCACCAGATCTCCTCCTCCCGCGCCCAGATCTGAACATTTCGCACCCAGATCTGCACTCCGCGCGCCCAGATCTGCACTCCGCGCGTCCAGATCTGCACTCCGCGTGCCCAGATCTGCACTCCGCGTGCCCAGATCTGCACTCCGCGCGCCTAGATCTGCCCTCCGCGCGCCCAGATCTGCCCTCCGCGCGACCAGATCTGCATCTCCCGCGCTGAAATCTGACCATTTCGCGCCCATCTCTGCTCGTCCGCGCCCTGCCCGTCCGCACGCCCTGCTCGTCCGCGCCCTGCCCGTCCGCACGCCCTGCTCGTCCGCGCCCTGCCCGTCCGCACGCCCTGCTCGTCCGCGCCCTGCCCGTCCGCACGCCCTGCTCGTCCGCGCCCTGCCCGTCCGCACGCCCTGCTCGTCCGCGCCGTGCCCATCCGCGCGCCCTGCTCGTCCGCGCCGTGCCCGTCCGCGCGCCCTGCTCGTCCGCCCTTCGCGTCCGCGCCCAGCCCGTCCGCACACCCTGCTCGTCCGCGCCCTGCCCGTCCGCACGCCCTGCTCGTCCGCGCCCTGCCCGTCCGCACGCCCTGCTCGTCCGCGCCCTGCCCGTCCGCGCGCTCTGCTCGTCCGCGCCCTGCCCGTCCGCGCGCCCTGCTCGTCCGCGCCCTCCCCGTCCACGCACTCGTCGCACGCCCTCCTTCCCCGCTCGCTGTCCCCCGTCCCCTCGTCCGCCCCCTGCCCACCTCCCTGGCATACCGCACATTTGCAAACGCATACCGCACACCTTCATGCCCTGCTCGCCTGCGCCATGCCGTAACCGCCCACACTCACATTGCTCCCTCCATGGCAATAGTCGCCCTGGCATGCAGCAGAAGTGGTGCCGGTGGGCATGGAGGAGGGCATAGTGGTAGCTGTGGTGGTGGTCAAGGGAGACTCGCAGGATATTGTGGTATCAGGGGTTTGAGCGCAGGCTGCGGCGCAGCAGCAGCCTTCTCTCCTCGTGAATATGTGCCTCGCTATGGCCCGACTCGGGGACTTCAGTGCAAAATCTCGTTTCCCGGTTTCCCGGTATCCCGGTTTCCCGGTATCCCGGTATCCCGGTTTCCCGGTTTCCCGGTTTCCCGGTTTCCCGGTATCCCGGTATCCCGGTATCCCGGTATCCCGGTATCCCGGTTTCCCGGTTTCCCGGTTTCCCGGTTTCCCGGTTTCCCGGTTTCCCGGTTTCCCGGTTTCCCGGTTGCCCGGTTTCCCGGTATCCCGGTATCCCGGTATCCCGGTTTCCCGGTTTCCCGGTTTCCCGGTTTCCCGGTTTCCCGGTTTCCCGGTATCCCGGTTTCCCGGTTTCCCGGTTTCCCCCTTTCCCCGGTTCCCGGTTTCCCGGTTTCCCGGTTTCCCGGTTTCCCGGTTTCCCGGTTTCCCGGTTTCCCGGTATCCCGGTATCCCGGTTTCCCGGTTTCCCGGTTTCCCGGTTTCCCGGTATCCCGGTATCCCGGTTTCCCGGTTTCCCGGTTTCCCGGTTTCCCGGTTTCCCGGTTTCCCGGTTTCCCGGTTTCCCGGTTTCCCGGTTTCCCGGTATCCCGGTATCCCGGTTTCCCGGTTTCCCGGTTTCCCGGTTTCCCGGTTTCCCGGTTTCCCGGTTTCCCGGTTTCCCGGTTTCCCGGTATCCCGGTATCCCGGTATCCCGGTATCCCGGTTTCCCGGTTTCCCGGTTTCCCGGTTTCCCGGTTTCCCGGTTTCCCGGTTTCCCGGTTTCCCGGTTTCCCGGTTTCCCGGTTTCCCGGTTTCCCGGTTTCCCGGTTTCCCGGTTTCCCGGTTTCCCGGTTTCCCGGTTTCCCGGTTTCCCGGTATCCCGGTATCCCGGTATCCCGGTATCCCGGTATCCCGGTTTCCCGGTTTCCCGGTTTCCCGGTTTCCCGGTATCCCGGTATCCCGGTATCCCGGTATCCCGGTTTCCCGGTTTCCCGGTTTCCCGGTTTCCCGGTTTCCCGGTTTCCCGGTTTCCCGGTTTCCCGGTTTCCCGGTTTCCCGGTTTCCCGGTTTCCCGGTTTCCCGGTTTCCCGGTTTCCCGGTTTCCCGGTTTCCCGGTTTCCCGGTTTCCCGGTTTCCCGGTTTCCCGGTTTCCCGGTATCCCGGTATCCCGGTATCCCGGTATCCCGGTATCCCGGTATCCCGGTATCCCGGTTTCCCGGTTTCCCGGTTTCCCGGTATCCCGGTTTCCCGGTTTCCCGGTTTCCCGGTTTCCCGGTTTCCCGGTTTCCCGGTTTCCCGGTTTCCCGGTATCCCGGTTTCCCGGTTTCCCGGTTTCCCGGTTTCCCGGTTTCCCGGTATCCCGGTTTCCCGGTTTCCCGGTTTCCCGGTTTCCCGGTTTCCCGGTTTCCCGGTTTCCCGGTATCCCGGTATCCCGGTTTCCCGGTTTCCCGGTTTCCCGGTTTCCCGGTTTCCTGGCATCCCGGCATCCTGGTTTCCCGGCTTCCCGGCATCCCGGTTTCTAACTTTACTCTCTTCCACCTCCCTCGGCACTTGAGTCGACTTAAAAGTTTCTTCCACCTCCGTCGACTCTCTCTCCACTCATCACTGCCATCAGGCTGAGCGACCTGCAGCAGCGGTTGCGTAAGAAGGTGTATCGCAGGCGAATGGTGATGCGAATCATGTTCGCCGTGCTGCCTCACCTCCACATCGCCCTCTCCTCCTACGCGCTCATCCGCCTCGCCAAGATCCGTGCGTTGCCTTGCATCAACCCCTCTTAACGTCCGTTCAAGCCTACCTGTTAGAAATCCACCCTCCCAGCATGTTCGCCGTGCTGCCTCACCTCCACATCATCGCCCTCTCCTCCTACGCGCTCATTCGCCCCGCCAAGATCCGTACATGCCCTCCTTTATGCCTTGCCTCTCTTTGAACCCTTTTCACATTCCTGTTGAATTTGCACTCGATTTATCCGTACCTTTTTCACTGCTGCCAAACCTCTGCATCGCCCTTTCCGCATACGCATTCCTCCTCTTTGTGAAGTTGCATGTGTTGCCACTTCCATGCCTTGCCTTAGATCCACTCCCTACCTGCGCTCTGGTTGAGCATCTAACTAGGAGGATTTCTGCCTTGTGAACCAACAGAAATATGCCATAACCTGTCCCCCCCTTATGTGATGGCGGTGCTGGCTGCTGCAGAGAAGCAAGTGTATGTGCGGGCAGTGGACAACCGCACAGTCAAGGTGCGAGGGGGAGAGAAGGAAAGGAAGCAGGAAAGCCGTTCATGCATAGGGCTTGAGTGGAGACGTGCACTGCGAATGAAAAAGGGAATGAAATGGACTAGGGGGAGCAGAAGCAAGTGTATGTGCGGGCGGTGGGCAACCGCACAGTCAAGGTGCGAGGGGGGGGGGGGGAGGGAAGGGAGCAGTGGAGAGATGCAAGGGGGGGAGCGTAAGTGGTGAGGGGAGATGTACCCACAGGGCTTGAAATGAAGGAATGGGACTGGAGGCACTATCAATGCTTGCGTGCATGTGTCTGCACTGCATGCACACATGTGCATGTGTCTGCACTGCATGCACACATGTGCATGTGTCTGCACTGCATGCACACATGTGCATGTGTCTGCACTGCATGCACACATGTGCATGTGTCTGCACTGCATGCACACATGTGCGCCCACTGTGATCCATGCCACTGTGCGTGCACACATTTTTAGTCGACTCAAGAACTTGCATTCATCCATGATCCATTCCACTGTGCGTGCACATGCTTGCAGGTGGAGACCGCCCTGGTGTGTCAAGACACGGGGGCAGTGCTGCATGGGGTGACTGTTGAGTCGCATTAAAACATACCCTCTGCTGTCTGCATGCGTCCATTGCCACTGCACACACACATGCACATGCTTACAGGTAGAGACCGCCCTGGTGTGTCAAGACACGGGGGCAGTCCTGCATGGCCCGCTGCCTCGTTACCAGCCCATGCCTGGCGGGTAGGCATAGTATGGGACTTTCAGATGTGCCGTCTTGCCCAGTGCTGAAACATGATGACTTTTGAGTCGACTCAAAAGTCACCTGGATGACGGGTAGGCATAGTATGGGACCTTCAAATGTGCCGCCTCGCCCAATGCTGATGAAACATGAATCTGTTTTTTTAGAGTTCTCAAAATGTGACCTTCAAATAGTATGGGACCTTCAGATGTGCCGCCTTGGCCAATGCTGAAACATTTCCCTTCCTTGGTCCTTGTGCCCACCCTCTTTCCACCCTCTTTCCACCCTGTTTCCACCCTCTTTCCACCCTCCTAGCACGATCCTTGTGCCATCATTCAACAAGCCTTAGCCTGCTTTGCTGAACCAATCCTTCAACTGCTTCTCTGCCAGATCGCGCATCATCATGGCAAAGGCAGAGGTGGACCAGGTGAAGGCGGTGTCCCCGCACGACCTGCTGCTGCTGGGCTTTAAGCCGCTCCATTGCCTCAAAGACTATCACAACCTCCAGCCGCCCACCTTCCTCTTCCCAGACGAAGAAGTGAGATATGATACGTGACAAAGTTGTTGAGATGTCTCAAACCACGACCTGCTGCTTCTTGGCTTTAAGCCCCTCCACTGCCTCAACGACTGTCACAACCTGCAGCCGCCCACCTTCCTCTTCCTAGACGAGGAGATGAGCTGAGCAATCTTCGAGTCCTTCTGCAGTATCTTGAATGTCCACAGAGGAGGGGCTTATCCATCAGATTGTCTTGAATGCCACGCCACTGCCTCAAGGACTATCACAACCTGCAGCCACCCACCTTCCTCTTTCCAGACGAGGAGGTGAGTTGAGCAACCCGGCACAGCTTTGAGACCTCGCAAACCATGATATTCTGCGGCTGGGCTTTAATCCCCTCCACTGGCTCAAAGACTACCACAATCTGCAGCCGCCCACTTTCCTCTTCCCCGACGAGGAGGTGAGTTGAGCAACCCTCGATACCCCTCATCATCACAACCTGCAGCCGCCCACCCTTCGATTCCATTTCTCTCTCTCTCCCATGTCAGTCCCGCTTGTGTGGTACCCTGTTCACTGTGTGTGTGTGTGTGTGTGTGTGTGTGTGTGTGTGTGTGTGTGTGTGTGTGTGTGCATGTGTGTGTGTGTGCGTGCGTGCGTGCGTGCGTGTGTGTGTGTGCGTGCTGTGTGCTGTGTGTGTCTCTCCATTCCAGACTCTCTCTGGCAGCACGGCCGCATTTATTGCCCTGCACAACGCAATGCTGGATGCAAACAGGTGGGTGGGCCTGCATGTGTGAGTGACACTGCATGTGTGCGTGACACTGCATGTGTGCGTGACACTGCATGTGTCACTGACACTGATGCGAGTGTAATTGCATCTGCGAGGCAACTCAGTGCCTACCGTTATCCAGGGCCCTTGACTTGCTTCTCTCGAAGCCTCTTCGTTTCATTTGCTGCGACCTGCCTCGTGCTGCATGTCCATGCCATCACTCTCTCTCACCTCAAGCTTTCAATCCTCCCTTCATCATACTCCCCCTCATCTCCCTCTATCCCCAACACGCACATGCCATCAACCAACCAGCTTTGCACTTGCATGCTGGGCCAAGATCGGCTTGCCACGCCTCATCCCCCCCTCATCCTCGTCCCACACCCTCTCATCCCCAACACGCACATGCCATCAACCAACCAGCTTTGCACTTGCATGCTGGGCCAAGATCGGCTTGCCACGCCTCATCCCCCCCTCATCCTCGTCCCACACCCTCTCATCCCCAACACGCACATGCCATCAACCAACCAGCTTTGCACTTGCATGCTGGGCCAAGATCGGCTTGCCACGCCTCATCCCCCCCTCATCCTCGTCCCACACCCTCTCATCCCCAACACGCACATGCCATCAATCAACCAGCTTTGCACTTGCATGCTGGGCCAAGATCGGCTTGCCACGCCTCGTTGCCATCCTTCCCCAGGTGACCTTTCTTCTCTTGCTTCCCACCTCATGAGGTACGTCTCATGAGTCATTGCTAGGTAGGTCTCATGAGTCATTGCTAGGTAGGACTCATGAGTCATTGCTTCGCACAATACTTTTGAGGCGCCTCAAAAGTAGACACCTGATGAGCTAGATTTAATGATTCGTTACTTTTGCACTAACCCTCATCTTGAACAAGCCGGAATTTAGGTGGTGTCTCACCCATCGCATCCACCTGTTTATTCATTCCTCCCTCCCATCCGCGGCTGGTGCAGCAAGAGCAGGTGGACGAGGGTGGCACGCAGGTGCAGCCAGCAGGGTGGCACATGATTCCCCTGCCCTTCTATGATGACATTCGACCCGCCGAGAAGGTGAGCTTTGACATGTGAGGGGCCACGCAGGTGCGAGGAAATGTTTGTTGCTTGTGCTATGTGCAGCAGGTGCAGCGAGCAGGGAGGCACATGGTGCTATCTGCAGCAGGTGCAGCGAGCAGGGAGGCACATGGTGCTATCTGCAGCAGGTGCAGCGAGCAGGGAGGCACATGGTGCTATCTGCAGCAGGTGCAGCGAGCAGGGAGGCACGTGGTGCTATCTGCAGCAGGTGCAGCGAGCAGGGAGGCACGTGGTGCTATCTGCAGCAGGTGCAGCGAGCAGGGAGGCACGTGGTGCTATCTGCAGCAGGTGCAGCGAGCAGGGAGGCACATGGTGCTATCTGCAGCAGGTGCAGCGAGCAGGGAGGCACATGGTGCTATCTGCAGCAGGTGCAGCGAGCAGGGAGGCACGTGGTGCTATCTGCAGCAGGTGCAGCGAGCAGGGAGGCACGTGGTGCTATCTGCAGCAGGTGCAGCGAGCAGGGAGGCACGTGGTGCTATCTGCAGCAGGTGCAGCGAGCAGGGAGGCACGTGGTGCTATCTGCAGCAGGTGCAGCGAGCAGGGAGGCACGTGGTGCTATCTGCAGCAGGTGCAGCGAGCAGGGAGGCACGTGGTGCTATCTGCAGCAGGTGCAGCGAGCAGGGAGGCACGTGGTGCTATCTGCAGCAGGTGCAGCGAGCAGGGAGGCACATGATCCAGGTTGGCGTGCCAGGTCGGGGGGCAAAGAGTGGCTCTTGAGTAGACTCACAAGTCCGCCTCGCATTGCCCACCATACTCCCCCCACAGTACGCCCGGTGGGTGCCAGGCCAGTGTGCAAAGGAAGCTGGAGGGGACGGGGAGCAGGCGGACAGCCAAGGGGAGGCGGTATCTGCACCGAGGGCGGATGCGGGGCAGGTGGCAACTGCCACGGCCCTCATGCGCTACATGCACCTCAAGGAGTTCAGCCCACTCAACATCCTCAACCCTGGTTAGTTCCCATTCACACCCTGTTCATCCTCAACCCTGGTTCGTTCCCATTCACACCCTGTTCATCCTTAACCCTGGTTCGTTCTTAGCTGGTATGGGAGTTCGCATGGGTGGGCATAGCAGCCCTCATGCGCTACATGCACCTCAAGGAGTTCACCCCCACCCACCCCTATGCCAACCCCCCTCGCAGTCATCCAGACGCATTGCTCCATGCTGGAGGCCATAGCGCTGGACCTGCCAGAAGTACAGCCTGTGTTGGACTACACCCATCTTCTAGCCCCCTCTCCTCCTGCGTTCCTTCTTCCATCCCTCCCCACTGCAGTCATCCAGACGCATTACTCCATGCTGGAGGCCATAGCACTGGACCTACCAGAAATACAGCCTGTGGTGGACACCACCCTGCCGGACTACTCCATCTTCCAGGCGCCTCCCGAAGGCAGCAAAAAAGGGTGTGTTTTAGAGTGTGTTTCGTTGCAATCTCTCGTCTCGTATGTGCTTGTGGTATAAGAGCGATGTAAAGCCTGGTTGAGCTGCGTTAGGGTGGTGGTGACGAGGGAGGGTGAGGCTGGCTGACATGTTCCTGTGGGTCCTTGTTCGTATAGTTCACACTTGATCATCTGATTGCTTTCACGTACGTTTATACTCTACGTGTGCAGGAAAGCTGCGCGTGCAACTGCGGCTTTAAGGCATTTCAAGGATGCAGTGTACGGCCCAGGGCATGATGAGGAGGAGGCACAGAAAGCAGCTGCAGCCAAGGCCAAGGCAGATGCTGCTGAGAAGAAACGCAAGGCCACTTTCGATGCCGCTACTGCCAAGGCTGGTGTTGTGGATTGGCGAGGCCTTGCTGAGAAAGGGAAGGTGAGTATACAAGATGCAAGAGGGGGGATGAGTGAGTTGGATTGATGAGCAAATGTATAATAGATTGGCGGGTGGTTGGGGGAAAGATGAGTTTTGTTTGATGTGTTTCTTTGTTATCCTGTATGCAGCTGGACACTTTGACAAACGAGGAGCTGAAGGGGTATCTTAGAATGTAGCCTTCCCCTCACGGGTCGTAAGGCAGAACTAGTGGAACGCATCAAAGAGCATCTGAATCAGTCATAATTCATGCTCGTCTTGCAGTTTATAAACCTGCAACGCGCGGCTTCTTATAGAATATGCATCGAATGCCGATTCAGCGAATCCAGTTCAGATCAGCGAATGCTTCGCATCCCAACCGCCTGGAAGGGGATGGTGGTGCCCAATCGGATCAGTTTGTCAGGCCCCATGCAGGAACCTGCTGGACCACAAATCGTCCAACAGTGCATATTGTTCCACCAATCTCGAGGGAATATCTGTCGCTCGTGTATTTTGACTGGTGCATTCAGTGCTGCGACAGTCTTTGGTCTGTTGCGACGATATCGGGTCCAGAAATGCGATGACGAATGCGACGTGCGCCCGTTGGACCATTTTGGCGCTAGTGCGTGCACCAACAATGCTGGAGGTGCCCAGGGCAGGGCAGCGACTCGGCGACTCTCGTTGTCGCACGTTTTGGCGAACTGGTTACACTCTCGCAAGTATCAGTCATGTGGCTGGCGACTATAAGGTGTTTCCCCCATTTAGAACCTCTGCGACATCAGTAAACGTTGACCAATGAGGGAAGACAGTTGTGCACTCCTTCACTCCGACTCCATTGTGGTACAATCAGAGCGAGACCTGCCCCTCGCGCTCTACACAGAGTGGTGAAAGGCGATGCACCTCGGTTTTGAGGTATTTTATCTTTACAGTTTGGAGATCTCTAGGGTTGATAGAAGTTAGCGGCCTATCCTTAGAGCTGGCTGTCGGATGATTTTCGATTAGTGTCGCTTACTGACGTCACGTGAAAGGGAAGTTCTAAATCCTTATTACAGGATGACCATTCCGGTGTTTGGCGATCTTAGTCGGAAGGGTGGGATGGTTGGTCCCGCAATTACTCGTAATTACGACGAATGCGACGTATTGAGTGGACTAAGGACCTAACCTTCGTATTTTCTTGACAGCGAATTAGTCCAGCGGAACTCAAGCAGCAGGATCAGCACGCAGTCAGCTCCAGGATAGTAACGAGCGCGACGTGTAGCGAGTAGGAAGGGAACGCGGTCGAGCGGAACGCGCAAGCACGTCCTTATGGAGTCTCCGCAGTCCCCGCCGTCCCCATCCGACGCCCTTCTTCTCCGCCAAGGCGGCAAGCCCCTTCCGCCCTCCTCCCAATGCTTCCCCTGGCGGCCCCACCATTTCTCCGCGCGCCTCGCTCCGCACGGCGCGTCCTCTCCTGGCGGAAGTTCCGCCGTCCCCCCCGCGCGCGGAGGCACGCCGACGTGCTACGGCACGGCAGGCAGTCCGCTCCCCTTCGCGCGAGTCCTCGAGCTCATGGCCAGGCGCCGACGCGCCCGCAACGGCAGCGTCGGCGGCGGCGGCGGCGGAGGAGTAGGGGTTGGCGGCGGCCGGCACGGTAGCCGGCCGGGCGGTGGGAGGACGCCGGTCAACAGTCAGCGGCGCCACGTGTCCGTCACAGGCTGGAAGCAGCATTCCCTTGACAGGGAGGGACCAGGGGAGCGCAGCAACGGTAAAGACGGCAGCAGCAGGGAAAAGTACCGCACAAGTAGCGCCAGAGACAGCGGCAGGGGTAGCGACTCGGGCAGCGGCAGCGGCAAGGGTAGCGACAGAAGTAGTCACAGCAGTCGTTCCCGTAGCGCGAGCTTGTCGCCTCGCCACAGGACGTCGGGCGTTATAAAGGAGCCAGCGGAGAGCTCTATAACGGACATGAGAGCAGTTAGAGCGGACTTGAATAAAAGGTTGGAGGAGTGCCGAGCGCAGCAGGCGAGTCATGGCAGCACGGACAGGCAGGCTTTGGTTAGTGGCGCGGGGAAAGGGCGCGGAGAGGCGGGAGGCGCGGACAGGGCGGAAGCGCAAGCCCGCGCGGTACAGGCGGAAGGGGTGAGCGCAAAACCGGAGAATTTGGCGCAGCGCGCGCGGCTGGCGGAGGCGCAGGTGGACATGGCGGAGTTACAGGCGCAGGTAGTATGCGCGGAACTGCAGTGGATACGGAGCGCCGTGGAGAGGCAAGAGGCGGGCGTAGCCGCCGTGTTGGCGGAACTGGCGGGGCTGCGCCAGCGCGTGCAGAGTGCGCGCAAGGGCGCGGAGGGGGAGGATCGCGGGGACGCGGTGCAGGAGTCCGGGGAAGGGAAGATGCGCGAGGTGCAGCAGGTGGAAGCGGCTGTAGCGTCGGCCGAGGCGCGGCTGTGGCGGGTGGAGGCAGCTGCTGCTGATGCGCGCGCCTCACTCATTGCCTTGGGGGGTGAAGCAAGGGAATTGGGGGAATTGGCGGGTATTGCGGGGGGAGAGGGCGATATGGACGGATTGTGTGGTGAGTGCTGGTGCGAGACTAGACTGGGGACCCAGCGAGTGGAAGGAATGGTGGGAATGGGGATTGGGTGTGGTGGAGAGGTGTGCAGAGGGATACGAGGGTGTGCGGGGCTTGAGGGGTACGGCGTGGGAGAGGTGGGTTTGAGCGCAGCAGAATTTGCGTTGGAGCTACAGAGAAGGTTAGAGGAAGTGCAGAAGGAACTGGTAGCCAAAGGACAAGGGCACAGAGTGGTGCTGGAGAAGGAGGGGCGTGGAGGAGTGGAGGGGGAAGCTGGGGCAGCTGGGGCAACTGGGGGAGCTGGGGTTTTGCTCCCAGTGGAAGGAAAAGGGGAACAGCCAATGGTGGAGAGAACAGAGCGAGTGAGAGGGGTCGACCAGGCGGGTGGTGGGGTTGAAACAGATGGAGTAACAGTTTGTAAAAAGGCTTGTGAGAAAGGGGCAAAAGAGACTGATTACGAATTGCTGGTTGGGAAACAGTCAGGGTTGGAAGCCACTGGGCGGGATGGAGAGGTGATGAAGCCAGAGGGGGAGGCATTGTCAGGTGCCGGTGATTTGAGGTTTTGGGATAGAATAAGCGGGGAGAGCAAGCTGCTGTCGGGTGGTGGAGGGAATGGAGGTGTTTATGGAGCTGCTGCTGATTCCGGCAGTGCAAAGGATATCCACGTGAACATTGGCCTCACAAGCTCAGCACCAATATTGGCATCACAAGCACGAGTCGACTCCTCAACCCAAATGCACCAGAACCAGTTGTTTGGGACCAAAGCACGTCAGTGGCAGCCGGTGTCAAGAACAGAGGACCAAGAAGAGGCCAAGATTCTTCGGGATGCTATGGAGTATCTTAAGAAGGAAGTCGAACGAGCACAGAAAGCAGCACCACCATTGGGTGCAATATGAGTTGCATTGAATTTCTATGATTGTCTGGTGTAAATATGTATTGTACTGCAATTTATGTACTCCGTGCACTTCTACATGTCTCGTCAACATACTCTGCTTGTTTTGAAGCTTGACCAAAATTCACGCCGGAATCGCCGGGGTGATTGCCAAACCACCTCCTCAAAGGGAAGTTCGACAGTTCACCGATGTTTCTGTAGCACGCAGCAGGCACGCGCCCTCGACTCTCGCAGCGGAAAAAGGCATCCTTGCATCCGACACACAAGGGCAAAAGGTGAGCACAGGCCCACGTTGGAAATTCATGTCGCGTCTGGAGCTGATTGTACACGTCATTGTTGAACTTGTAGTGGTGGATGATCTGCGTCATTCCTGCCGCAATTTCCGTGCGGTTCTCTCGACCAGAGCAGGCCTGGCAAGCGACCGATTATTGGCGACGGAATCAGGGTTGAGACTGGAGCAACCTGCTCATCGCAGAATCGCAGGCGTCGTTGCCACCTGTCGCTCGGATAATCGCAGAGCGCAGAAAGCAGATTTTGCTCAAATTGCAGCAACACACCAGCAACAGCATGAGCGGCACTGGCGGCTGTGGATTCATGATCCATCATGAACCAAAAAGGACACTGCGACCAGACTAGAGAGCTCTTCACCACGCTGTCTTCCTCACTGAGCAGCAAGCATCTTATCGGCTGAACTGAAAAAGCACCCACCCACCCCTCGCTTGAATTTTATGCCTCATCCATAGTTGGTTTGAATATCACGTCCTCATTCTCAAATCTTGACGCTTGAATTTGAATGTCCCTGAATATCCTTCCCCAGCTGGCACCATCACACCAGACACTAGCATCACGAGCCCTCGTCCATACCCAGGACTCGATTTTGCAGTAGTATTTTCTTCTTCACAATTTCGTCACGCCATGCTGCTAGTATACTCCTCCCTGGTCAGGTATAGTCCACTTAGACTAACGACACATGGCGAGAAGCTCCCTCGCTCGTTGCCAAGGCAGAGGAACTCCGGCGTCGTACTTCGTAGACGCGGTTCAGTAGTCAGGGCTTCCCTTGCAGTGCAACCAGAGAGACGGAAAAGAGCTTCAGACTGTTACGCTATCTTGGGATTGACTGCACAAGCAGGAGCAGATGAAATTCGACAAGCTTACAGACGACTCGCACGCATTGTACGAAATCTTCATGCGGCTCACAGCCTCGAATTTGTTCTGCTTTTGGGCCCAATCCAATGACTCCTCTCGCTTGCGCTCTGTGCAGTATCATCCTGACACTAACTCATCAGAAGACACAGTACCGAAGTTTCTAGAAGTTCACGAAGCATATAAGGTCAGTCCCCTTGGTGTTCATCGACGAGTGTGTGTGTAAATTCCTCCTCCCGTCCTCCCTCGCTCTTCCAAACAGCTCTTGCAATGGTCCTGAACGATAGCACCTGTCACTGCAGTTTGCTTTGCGGCGCCAAGAGAGAGCCCAGGCAAAGGCTCTTCTAGAATCTCAGTCTCCACATAAAAACTCCAGGCCACTCAAAACCGCCGGAAAGCCACGCAGAAGAGAAGACTGGGATGATATTTGGGACGACATTCTGGGGTCCACCACACAAAGGAAGACTCCAAAACGACAATGAGGGAGTTCAGAAGCGCACTGAGTTCAACATGCCAGAAAGAATCTCGGCGCTTGTACAGGTTGAACTGGTAAGAAGGAAGTGACGCAGTTCATGCAACGTATACGCGTGTTGGAATGCAAAATCAGTATTGTATTATGTCATCTAGGCGTTAGCCGTTGAGGGTTTGATTCGATGATGTATGCCATAAGATAATCTGAGCATGAGCTATATTACAGTTACGTCCTGTAGGAAGGCACTAACTTTCAAAACCTGGTGATGATTTGTGTACTATGAATTCACGGTTCCATTTCATTGCATACATCTGATCCTTGTTGGTACGCCAGAGCATCTGGTGGTGTCAGCAAGCTTGAAAGGGAAGTTGAATGGTAGTGGTTAGCAAGCTATGTTTTGGTGGAGTGTGCTGTGCAAATTGGCCACTTTTGTGAAAAATGCTGGAAGAGGGTGTTGTATCATGTTTGCCATGTATCTCATACGGTGTTATTGGAGTGCTTGGAATGATAGTACATTGCTAACAATGTAGGTGTAGCTGGGAAGATTGCCAGATCCGATATCATCTATTTGTGCCTACTGTATAGCCAATGATGATTATTTTTTTCAGTAAAAATTGTAATGACAATGCGTGAATGTGGATATGGAGAAAAGAGCTATATATGCCCATTATAGAATATGAAAGTGTAGCATGTAATGATGTCAATTTTCACTACTCCATGCGTTGGAGTCGCACGTCGCGACGCGAATCAAGTGCTACACATCCCAATCCAAGATGTCAATTCCTCCTGGTGCCCTTGGTTTCGACCAGCAACAGAGCGCGCGTGCTTGCCCAAACCAGTCTTCAACCCTGCCCGACCCACGTCTGGGCACGTCTTTGCCCAGAGCAGACTCGTTTCAGAGTTCAGCCCGTGACTTCCGAAACGAAGCTACAGTGCCAGCGTCATTCTTGCCGCAATCTGGGGAACAGAATTCTCGGGTCTCTTTCAGTGTGCTGGCGGCTGGAATTGTGGTTTTTTCCCCGTGACTGGAGGCGGCTCCGTTCTTCGGTCGACTGCGTGGGCTGGGCAGCTGAAACGAACCAGAAGTCACTAGGTGGATGTGGCTCGAGGAAGTGTATGGATGTGCGACACTCCACACGGCACGGAAGTGACACCGCCATCCAGTCAAACTGACTGCCAAGAGATTTTCTGAGCGGCTCTGAGTGGCTTGGAGCGGTTAATAGTGGTAATATGGTGATCCATGTAGGGGTCAGGTGGATAGGGTGAAGATGAGAGAGCGAACTGGTGGGACGTCTGAAAGTGAGTCGGCTGATGTGGATGAAGTGGCACTGGTGGTGGCCTTCAAATAGCACCATCATCCATTGTTCTCCGATCAATCCTACTTTCTCCCATCAGCTGCATCCTGATCAATCCTTGGCATTTTCGAAATCCTTGAAAATAATTGTGCAAGCGGACTAGAGTCCTGTTCAGCTGACTATCCTGTTGGCTCGCATACTACTGTAAACTAATTCCGGTAGACTGGTACCATCACACTAATTCCTCTCGCTTGAAAATCGACGACACACTAATTCCATCACTCCATTGAATCCCTACGTTCCAGTGCTACTCCAGTAGGCTATCAGGCATCCGTTACCTTAGCTCCAGGACAATGGCTCTTTCCGCCTCGCCGCTCCTGTCTTCACCCGCGAAGATGCCGTCTCAGTCCAGACTAGACGGCCAGAGTCCCTTCAAATCATCCCCTCCAACCGCTCGACGATTGTTCGTAGAAGCTCGGATAGCAGTGGCTCCCGAGCGACGACGAGCCGCGCCGAACTGCTTCACCGTGCTGGGAGTGCCTGCCAGTGCCGGAGCTGACGAAATTAGACAAGCATACAGACGACTCGCGCGCATTGTAAGCACACCCGCTAAAAAAAACATTGCACACTCTCCCGCTCGCTTGCATAACCGCTTTGTCATCTCTCCCGACCAACCGAGCACCATAGCAAACGCTGACGCTCATCTCGTGAATTGTTTGCTTTGCAGTATCACCCCGATGCCAGTGGCGCTGAGGACACAACATCCATGTTTCTGGAAATCCACACCGCTTATAAGGTAAGCGCGAGCGGCTGTGTCTCAACAATTCTGCTCTATATCCTATCATTGTCCAAGGCAACCAAGGTTTGTTAATCCCATATACGTACAAAGCATGCACTAATCCGCTTTCATCACTCCGTGCTGTTATCTGCAGTCCGCTCTCAAGCATCAGGAGAGACGACAGGCCAAGGCATCCATTGCATCTACGTCAGAAGCAGCCGTCAAGCCGTCCCCGTCATCTCTTAAAACCCAGCAAAGACCCGCAAGGAGAAGAGACGATTTCGACGACATTTGGGACTTGATGGGTGCGTCGCCTCGTCGACAGGCCTCTCCGCGGAGACAGACCACGCCCAAACACGTTTAGGCCTTCGAACGGCGGCCAGACAGTATGTTCGCTCGGTCAGAACGTCATGACGTCACCACGTCCACTGGCTTTAGCCTCTGTACAAACGCCAATTTGGGGACGTGGTCTTACCTTAGACGAGTTGCTAGCTAGCTGTAGAGTGCCCGTGGTGCGTTATAGCAAACCGGTCCCACGTAGAGGGGTCTCTTAGGTTACCTGCAAGGCCCTGCTTCCGCACCCAACGGCTGTTGGGCGAGTTACAACTTCGCGCAGGGTAAGAATAGGAGTAGGAAAAGGACACTTAGGAAAGAGTTTATACACCTGGATTGTTCTACCAGGTATATTTTCAAGTGCAGTTACCGAAGCGATGCTCTTGTTTGTAAGCAATATTAATATTCATTCATACTTGTGACGTGGCCCATCGCTGTAAGCGCGCCCCTGCAATGCAAACCTACCTGGCTGGGTGCACCAACACATGCAGCAGAATACCAGGAGAAATACGGATAGCACGAACCAGTAGACATGATAGTACGGGTAAGTGTAATTTCAGTGCCGTAACGGATGTAATTTTAGATGTGCTACAAGACCCCGAATTCTTCCTGTTGAGTATAGCTATAGGTAAGTGTAATTTCAGTGTCGGTAACGTATGTAATTTTGCTAGTCCATCTTTTGCATCCCAAAAGATTCTGGTTGACCACCATATTTCAGACATGGAAGAAAGATATCATACTGGGTCAGACAAACAGGACATGCAGCTCAATATGCATGGATTGGATAGCCCCCATCCATGCCGAACTAACACCTAACTCCAGCGATTCCAATATAACACAACCACCTAGTAATCACTACACAATAGATGGCGCATCACCCACCCATGTGCACGACGCTCGCTGCCACCGAGTGCGGATACAATCCACAAGGGGAGCTTCACGCGAAGCACGCTGCATAGGATTGGCACTAGAGTCAAACGAGTCTGCCACCACCTCAGCAGGAATTTCATCCACCCCACTGCCATCCGGCATTGGTATCACCATCAGATCTTCCGGCGACCATTTCGGCGGCACGGTCACATGAAGCCGGACTAATCTCGGCCGTTGATAGCCCATCGCGGTCAACGGTGGTGATAGCACACGTTGCGGCACATCCATACCGCCATACGACATATCTACTGCTCCATTTCCTCCAGAAGCTCCTCCTGCTGTTGCTGGAGTGCTGCTTCCTGTCTGCACCCGCTTCGCAATCCCATTGAAGTGATACAAGTCAAACTTCCTGCTGGTGGGTCTCCCCCCACTCGACCCCTCCCTCTTGAACCCCCCCTGGGATCGGTCGAGCTTCAGAAGAGCCTGCCACAGCTCGTTCCACACAATCACCCCCAGCGCCGAAAGCGAGTCTATTGTTTCCGGAGGAAAATTTACCCTCAGCTCAGCCAGCATGGGCTGTAGCGACTCCACAGCAACAAACCCCCCTCCCCCGCTGGTATCAAACCGATCAAACACCTCTCGGACCCACGACTCATCCGCTTCTGCATCGTTCTCCTCCTGAACCTCAGTCGAAAGCGCAAAGAGCACCGTATAGTGCGATTCGCTGCCCACTACCCAGATGGGCAGCTTGGGATGTTTCAACCGCTGCCCGACCTTGCAGAGGTTGAGGGACTCAAGGAGTGTGAGGAAGCCGACTTGAGCCTCTGAGGGAATGCCTTTGAGCGCCATGCCCCCTCCCAAGTCCATGGTACCATCAAACACGTTCGCCACTGCCTCACCGCACAGCAGCAGGTTCACAATCTCCTGAAGGGTTTTGGTTGGGGAGAGGAGGAGAAACATCAGAGGCAGGAGGAGGTGGGGAGAAAAGGAGAGACAGCGACGAGCAGGAGAAGTGGAGGAAAACCAGAGGTGAAAGAGGAAGGGCCAATGACTGAGCAGAGAGAAAACGTTTCTCAGGATGTCCACGGCACGACGCCACCAACCTGTGAGGCGTGCCCGAATGGGCGTGTTACAAGCGGTGGTTCAGGGTCGTCCCTGTCCTCTTGAACTCGCTCCTGTGAGGGGAGACATCCCAGAGGGCGGGAGCAGAGAAGAAGAATGGACATATTTCGATTTTTGGAAGAGGGGCAGTGTACAGATCCCTGAGCAAAGGTCAGCCTACTGAACCCCTAGCTGTTAGGATGATTGATGCTTATCCTTTTAAATAATGGGTGCATTGACTCACAAGGCCCCTGGAGAGCAGCACGGAGAAAGGTAGCAGCAGCGCGTCTAAGTCACACTCAAACACCGGAAACAGCCAGCGCAGCAAGTTCTGAGACGCCTCAAATCTTGAGGAATGGGTGCATCAACTCACAAGTCCTCTGGAGAGCAGCACGGAGAAGAGCAGCAGCAGCGCGCCAAAGTCGCTCTCAAACACTGGGAACAGCCGGTGAAGCGCCTTCGCCACGTCAGCATGCGATGCCCCCGCCAGGTGTCGCACTCTGACTGCTCCTTGGAGCGCTGTCGCGTCGCTGATTGGGCTGGTCAGCGGTTGTTGAGAGGCTGAAGTAGCCAAAGACGCCAGCCTGTGTGGTGATACGGCAGCAATGACGACTCTCTGCCCCCTGCTCGGCACCCATAACGACTCTGCCATTGCCAGCACCAACGCCCTGCAGCAGGGGAGAAGGGGGGACAGAAAAGCAATCCATCATGATGTCATAGAGCAGTGACCGATTGTGTAGTCAAAGCCACCAGCCTGTGTGGTGACACGGCAGAAATGACAAATCTCTGCCCCCTGCTCAGCACCCATAATGACTCTGCCATTGCCAACACCAGCGCCCTGCAGCAGGGGGAAAGAAGAGGGAAGAAGAGGGGACGAAGAGGGGACAGAAAAGCCATGAGGGCGAGAGGGGAAGAAGGGGGAGGGGGAGGAGGAAGAGGAAGGGGAAATGTATTAGGGATGGAGGTACGGAATATCAAGACATGGCATGGCTGGACCAGAAAGGAAGAGAGGTGGAAAGTGCATGATGGATGGCGGCAGAACGAGATTGTGAGATGGCATGGGGAGACGTGACGCATTATAGACGTGAAGTGAAGTCGAGAGGTAACTGTCCACGTTTTAAAGGGGAATTCAACAAGTCAATCCCTCCATCGCCCCACGCATGCTGCCTACCTCCTTCGCCTTCTTCTCCCCCCTCTCCATCTCCATCCCTTACAGCTTCCAGGCCCAGCAGCGCAGCAGAGTCTAAATTTGGGGCGTCTTGGTTTTTTGGCGCCTCAAAAACAGTGCAACAGAGTCCCCTCATCCCTCCATCGCCCCAACACATGCATCTTACCTTCGTCTCTCAACCTGTGAGAAGATCAGCGTCGTTGCTTCCCCTGCCTCTTCATCTTCTCCCCCCTCCCCGTCTCCGTCCCTCACAGCTTCCAAGCCTGGCAGCGCTGCAGAGTCGCCTGAACCCTCTCCCTCTCCCTCTCCCTCTCCCTCTCCTGCTGCCACAGCAGCCATACCAGAGGCAGCGCCAGCGACAGTGCCTGCCACACCACCACCAGTAGCACCACCAGTAGCGGCAGTAGCAGCAACAGCAGACGCTCTAGGGTGCACTCTACCTTGCACATCCAGGCCTGGCATCGAGTCATAGAACCCCATATCATCCTCTTCCCATCCTCTTTCGTTCCCCTTCCTCCCCTCCCCCGCCTGCCCCCCCTGCTGCCCAGCACTCGTCCCCCCAGCAGCAGCACCACCAGCAGCAAGGGCGGCGGACGCGGAAGGCGGGGCGGAATCCGCGGGGTGCGCGGGCATGGGGGGGAAGAGGAGGTATTTGAGCAGCAGAGCCTGCACCGGCGCCAGCACACCGCACGGCCCGCCTTCCCTCTGCACCAACCCTAGCGAGGTCGCTGGGTCGTCACTGAACCTGAGGCAGGAAGGGCGATCGGTAGAAGGAGAGAGGGGGTTGGAAAGGGAGTGAGGGAGGAGACGAAAGGTGGAGAATGACGGACTGGATGCACCAACCCTAGCGAGGTCGCCGGGTCGTCACTGAACCTGAGGCAGGAAGGGCGACAAAGAGAGAGGGGTAGAAAGCGAGTGAGAGAGGGTGGAGAACGAGGGACTGCGAGGAATGATGAGGAGATGTACACATAGAACGTTAAAGAAGTACACCGGAACTATACAAAAACCGCGATGAATTACCTGAAGCCCTGTCGGGACCACTGCGAGAGGGTAGCAGCAGGAGGGTTCCGCCCAAACACCATGTCGAACAGCCGAAACGCGTCGTCCAGTGGCAACTCCGCCAACCCCTGCTCAGCTTCCCAACGCCTCTCCGCCTCCCTCCACCCCTCTCCACCCACCACAACCTCCTCACCACCCGCCGTACGACCACTCCCAGACCCCCCAATGCCAGATCCCTCAGGTACAACCAAGTTCGATTGCGATCCCCCAGCTTCGGTTGCGCTTCCCTCTGTAGTTTTCCCTCCTGTACTCGCTTCTCCGGCTCCTTGAACTCTCACGTTTCCTGCCTTGCCTTCAACTGACACTTTTCCGCTAGTCTGCTCTGCCCGCGAATCACATGCCTGATCCGGCATATCAACATCGTGGACACGTGGCGGGATGGGATTAGCAGGAACAGAAACGCTCGTAGAAGCATTATCTACACGTGGATCGGGCCTGACAGAAGTGCTCTGAGGACGGCTCGAGGCGGGAACAGCTGGAGCTCCCGAGAAGGCTACGGCTGATCCGATTTTGGCCGATTCTGCACTGGGCTTTCCTAAAGCAGCCATTCGTCGTTCCGCGGCTGCTGCTCGAATCTCCCGCTGTATCCGCCTCTCTCGCTCCTCCGCCGTCTCGGGTCGCGCTACCACGCGACCGCTATAAGAACCCCCGCTATAGCCACCACCACCCCCTCCCGCTTGTCCAGGATCCGATCCTTCATCCTCAGATTTGCTGCGCTTCGCGGATGGGCGGCAATGGTCAGGACTGCTATTCAATCCGCCGGTGGACGGGGAATTGATACCGCTGCTGGTGGTCTGAGGGTTTCGCGGAGAGCCGACTGCTGGAGGATGACTCGTTAAGCTCATGCGAAAGGCCCGTTGCAGCTGCTCGTCCTCGTCGTCAGCCATGGTTACCAGCCGAGGAAACGATCGAGCACAGGACACCGGCCGGCTCTTGAACTGACAAATTCGGGAAACAGACACCAGACCACAGCAGACGGGATTTTGAAGTTTCGAACTCCCACGAGCAGGGGAAATGGGAGCTGGGAAATGAAGAAGACCGAACTGAAGTTTCACGCTGGTAGCATGAATCTGGCGGAAAAGTAATCCTCAAGAACACCATTGCATGTGTAAAGTGGCAGTGACAACCAACGGCCACAGCCAAACGCGGGAAAAGTCGGCGTCATCCAAGCCGTTCGATTAATCCAAGGGTCACACTAACACAACTGGGTTTGAGTGCACTCTGCACAGTATGCAGATGCAAGCTATGTTAGACTACAGTCAATATATGGCCTCAAAACACAAGACAAATAACCCTTGAATATATCATTTGTTTTCTTTATAAATCTATCGAAGGATTTATTCAGGTCGTCTAAAGCTTGCCAAGCCACAATGCCAAGGGAAATTGTGCAGCACCCATGGCGAGGAGCATGTACCGGTGTCGCGACGAGTCACGGTCGTAGTGCCGGGTCTCAGCGAACATCACCCGCTTCATTGTCTTCACAATAAACATTGCCATGCACAAGCTGCAACCGAAAAAAAAAAATAAACCAAAGAAAAGAACACCACATGATAATCATACAACTCCTCCTAACCTCAAGAACAATTTCATGATGGAAAGTCCACTGAAAGGCCACAAGCAAATGGAACCACCGTTCCGCAACAGAAAATGCTGAAAGTACTACCCTTCTCTAACAGATCAGCTTTTCCTCAACCACTCACCTTGTCCAAATCAAAACCGGAAAGTAGGCCATCCGCCACACCACCCACGAGAGGCTTGTCAGGGAGATGCCAACAAACATGTAGCCAGCGTATGCCACGAGGTCGAGCAATGGAGCATCGCCTGATGCCAATGAATATAGTATCGTCCGAAGCAGCAGCACCTCCAGAAACCACCCGATTAAACCCTTGCCAACACGTGCATTCACAAATGCCGGAGCAAACCTGTATGCCAGAGAAAAATAGAAAAATAAGATGTGAATCAAACTTATCAATGTTTTTAAAGAAAACAAGTGCTCTAATGCTTCCATCTCAAAAACTTCACTCCATACCCATTCGTGTGGCTGCAAGTGCTCTGGTGCTTCCTGCCCACCTAGTCCAGCCTCATTACCAAGCCACGGACCACTCTCACCCGTCAACTCCAACATCCCACCCCTCAATTCCAACACATCAACCCTCAACTCCAGCACCTCACCCTCATTCCCACTCTACCTGCCCAACAGCCCAGCAGAGAGTCCAGCGAGCACCACATAGGTGGCGAAGGCCATGGCAGGGATGTAGAGGTCCGGAGCGTTGATGTCATTGCATGGCGGCTTGTAGGTCAGCCCCCCGGCCACCTGCTCCGCCACCCGCGTCCAGTGGCCCTGCAATGGATGCAAGTGAAGCATGCTGACTAAGAAACTCAATGGGTTGCCAAAGCGAAGATAACTCACACGTGCACGCATGCACAGTTTCAGCTGTGATTGGACAGACACGGACAGGGCATATGGATGGGACGGGTTGGGTGTAATTCCATGAAAACTGGGAGACAAGGTCGACAACAATTGTACGTACCATGTTCAGAACTGGGAGGGGAGCTACAGTGTCTGTGAGCTTGCTCTGCTCATACGAGTTGTTGAAATTGAGTTGACTGAAACCCACCATAACGCTTTTGGGCTTGTTCAGGCCTGGGCAGGGAGGTATAACGCTTTTGGGCTTCTTCCGCTCATTGACCTTCATAATTTTCCGACCCTACCTTGTGTAGGAATGGGAAGACGATGATCTTGAGTTTGTTGCGCACGTAGGCATCGTTGACATGGAAGTAGTAGTGGAAGTCAGTGGATGCGAAGTATTTGCCCACCTGCACACACACCACACGGGATTGAGAATGAGAGCGACGTGGGGATGGACAAGAGACGGGGAGGAGACGGAGAGGAGAGAAAACGCCCACCGCACTCACATTCTCCTGCCAATTCAGTTGTGCTATCAGAATGTGTGTGTACGAACAGAGCATAGAGCACCCGCCACAGTCGCACAGACGCAAACAGAGGCACAGACGCACAGACACATAGAACCAGGTACGCCACCAGCCCTAGAATCTGCACATGCGTGGCCTTACACCAAGCCTAGCGAGCTGCTCACGTTGTTTTGAACGTAGGCGCGACTGCTCCCTAGTAGCCGCTCGCCATAAGCACCCAGGCCCGACCGAATGAACCCTGACCCAGCCCCCGCGAGCATGCCGTTTAGCGGGTTATGACCCGCATCCGCTCCTCCCCCCGGTCCTCCCATCATTCCCGGCGGACCCATGGGTCCCCCGCCAGGCGCAGGTCCCCCGAACCCGAATCCGCCACCTCCGCCACCTCCGCCGATTCCGCCGGGAGGTCCAGGTAGCGGACTGAAGCCGAATCCCGGTTGCTGCTGCTGCTGCTGCATCCCTGCTCCGCCTGCCGGTGGACGGTATCCTGGCGGTCCACTGAATTGATCAAACGGTCCAGGAGGTCCCTGGACAGACACGGAAGGAAGAAAATCGATCCAAGTGATTAAAATTTGCCGGGTATTAAGGACGACAAGAGAAGCAACTTAAGGCTCAACTGCGGTGTAGGAGCATGCTACGACGATCGATACCACAGAATGCGAAATTCACAGCAGCCCTCATCTGCCTTTCCCACGCCCTCCGTGTGCGCTTCCTACGCCTCCAAACCGTAAAGTACCACGGTGTGGAGCCATGGACTCACTTGCGAAACGGATTGCCATCCCGAAGGTAGCGAATTGGACGGTCCTGATTGCCCCGGCTGGGGAACGAAGAGCTGCGGTCGGGACATCGACGTTCGGCCTCAACGATCGACCTGTTAACGAAGAACGAGAATGAAACAATCTATCTGCTAACTTGGACAATGGACGCGGCGACACGTGCACCAGTAATACGGCGACGAGAATATTTTGCTACAAACGGCTTGACTCGTAAAGCCGGACTAACACCAACAAGCTCCCGAGTTCAACGTCGAAGATCTGCCAGATAGATCGAGTGATTAGGCAACGGAACGGAATTCTTAGAAAGGCGTTTCTAGGCTATACAGAATGCGCAGAACGAATGAAATCCACTTTGTGGGAGCAAAGCAAACCTCCTTGGCCCAACATCTTCCAAGAACTTGGCGGGAACTCCGACACCGCCCCCCAACTTCTAGGTTCAGGCGCAAATCGATGGTGGCTTGTTACTGAAGCGGGGGCTAGGGAGGTCGGGGAAGCTGGTTTCACATGACGTAACATGCATTTTATTTGGGCTTGGCGTGTAAGTATAGAAAAGGCGCACTCCGCTGCAAACGCATCACTCTGAAAGAAAGGCTGTGCATGCGGGGCCCCTTGGGATTCTCCAAGAAGTGTTCAAGTCAATGTCCAAATTTCGGAACCAGAAAAATAGCTATGAGCTCTCAAGCCAACTAGACCCATTTCAGTCACTCCATTTGCTCCATAGTACCTATCAGCTCGAGCTTCTTGCCTGGCTATCTCCGTCGTGAGCCATTTCTTTCCCGTCCCCTGTTCTTTGTTCCTGATGGATTCAAGGCTGAAAAAACGGGATCAAAGCGTCGGTAGTGCTGGGATGTTCAAAGTTCCACCACCTCCGTCAATCAGCCGAATTCCGTGCACTCCGCTACCAAATCGAGGCAATGATTTTGAAGCCACGCCAAAGACTATGACTTCATCCAAGTCACGCCCGTCATCGTCTGGTTCGAGCTTTGAGACGCCTGTCGCTGCTCCAGGTTTATCCAGACGTTTTTCTGCAATTGGTTCTGCTATCCAGCCCAGCCGCGTCTCTCTCCTCGCGAAGGGAGGGTCTACCATCGATCCCCAATCTCACAGCAGAACTAGTAGCTCAGTAAAGAAGCCTGGAGAGGATCCTCGTCCGCTGAAAGACAAAAATTACCAAGCAGATTGCATTCAGACCATTTATGCATTTCTGGAGGACCGTGGTTTTGATAACTCACTGAATCCTAGTATGCTTCAGCTTCCGTCAGGTAAGCTCTTCATTAAGATCTTCGAATTCGTGATGAAGCAGATGGATCCGAAGTTCAAGTACGGAAACAAGCCCGAAGATGACATTTTGGAAGTCATGAAGGGGCTGCATTATACGTACAACCTTTCTCGAAGCTCGCTGCAGCAGGCTGGAACTCCCCACACATGGCCACCCTTGCTGGCTATGCTGAACTGGCTTGTTCAGACGCTTAACTTCATTGATGCTACGTCCGATCCCGGAACTATGCCTGCACAACCTGCGTCGTCGACAGCACGAGGCTTTGAGTGTAGTCTAACAAACCGGACTTTGGAGACGTTGCTTGATGAGGAGCATTGCAGGGCTGTGTTCTTTGAGTTCATGAAGGAGGGTTACCACGTTTTCATGAACGCCGAAACCGAGGAGCTTTCCGACACAAGAATCGAGCACATAATGCAACAGTTCGTGGCTTATTTTGAGGAAGCTCGGCAAGAGGTGGAAATCGACGTGCAAAAACTTCGAGAGGAGCTTCTGAGGAAGGAGGTAATTGGGTACCGCTGGATTTGTTTCTGAGCAAGGATAAGTTGACAACGTTTCGTTTCTGTGCCACAGGCCACCTTGAAGCTCAAGCAGGATAGGTCTGAACTCGAAAAGCTATTGGAGGACAAAGCAACACTCGAAAAGCTGCAGGGCGAGTTGGTCAAAGCGACTGAACGAGGGAAGATAGACTTACAAGTGGGTCACAGTAAGTTTCTGTCTTTTGCTATGCCTAACCGACACTAACACTGCGAAATGTTCCAGACAATTGAGGAAACCTTGCTGGTTAAGCAGCAAGAGCTGAAGGATTGCACCGAGACCACAATCAGCATACAGGCGAACAATACACTGCTTCAGAAGCGGATTGAGGAACAGCGATTCTCGAGAGAAGACATAGAACGCATGGCAGAGCGGTTAGCTGGCAGGAACACCGTGTTACAAGCCATGAAGGAAAATCGGATGCATGTTGAAAAGGAAGCATGCAAGGCGGAGGTTCAAAAGGTCAAGATCATGGAGGAGATTGAGCAAGCAGCAAACAAGTTCAATGAGATGGCGACCAGGTTGGTGATAGTTTCAGTGGAATATTTGGCTGTAACTTCTTTCTGTCTAAAGCTTTTAAATTGTTGTGCAGGCTCAAGCTTATCCCTCCCTGCAGCAAGCATGCTCAGGGCCGTTGCTTCTCTGTACGAGTTAATCCGCATGCAACAGACATTCGGGATGTGTTATCTGACAGCATGCCCAAGGCAGATATTCGTGCAGCTATTCAAGAAGTGACGCAGAAGTACTCTTCGAAAGAACAGAGACTATATGCGAAGCTGGCAACACTGGACATACAGCTGGCTGAGGAGTCGGAAGAGGTTGCTAAGGTTGCTGCCGAGCTGGAAAACAAGGAGGATGTGAAAAAACGGGTAGGTTATCACAATAGACCTTGTACTGGCACTGCATGAGCTTCAAATGCATTTAGATGTTGCAACGGGCCTGTTTTGGAGCTTAACATGTGTGCATTGTTGTGCAGGAGGAGGAAGAGATGTCGCAGGCATCTCAGCGTGCTCAGCAGGAAGTTCAGGCACGCTTAGAAGACGTAAAAAGGCGCGAATTACTGGCACGCATAGAGATTGAAAACCGAGCAGCATGTCTGGAAACTCTGAGGCAGGCTAACCAGGTGCGTTTTTTCTCTCATTGTTCTTGCTGGCATGATGATGGCATTGTCTAAGAGCTAATGAAGCTTTGTCCCCTTATGAGCAGGATTGTGATATGCAGCTTAAACAGCAGGGCCAGGCAGAGCTTCAAGCAATGGAAGAGATGAAGGAGACTGCAGTGCGTCTGGAAGGCATGTTAGAGAATCACGTGAATGTGGTTCACAAAGTTGCTGATAGTGTTGCCTTGCACGCTCGGAAGTGTCTTGATGCACTTGAAGAGCTACCTGAGTGACTGATGTGCCAATGAAGGCGAAACTTTTGCTTGCCCTTTAGCCCAGCAGAATGCTCCCCCCCCACTTGGTGTTACACAATAGACATGGAGGGTTAAGAATTCAGCACTTCAACCAGATCCAATGCATGTACCGTACAGCCATACAAATTCCTGCACAGCAGCACACCATTCAGTGTAAGGGCTACCTCAGGCCACTTCACAAGGAAACAAGACCCTCAGAAGTTGCCGGGCTTCTTTTGCCACTTGGCCAGCATTTGCTAAAGCCTTGAAATGTGGCCTCGGTTTTTCCTGCCGCAGCAAAGACCAAATCTCGTCCAAAACTTGCTCACTGCCTTCTTGAGCATTTCTAATAATCCGGTGCAGAATCAAAACAGCATGCTGTTTCATCACCTCGCGCCCATTTGCAAGCAGTTTAAAAAGCCCTTGAAGTCCTGAAACTTCCATGCAGCTTCCATGTCCGCTTTGAGGATCGCCGTTGGAGCCACCAACACCATTTCCACAAAAACAGTAATTTACTCTGCTTCTTACCAAAGCAGAACGGCCTGATCGCTCCTCGCACAAATTTGCCAGTGTGTGCAAGGCCTTGTCCAAGAACCTTTCCGACTGCTTTGCATACAAATGGTTGCCTTTCTGCGTACTGCACAGCGCCACCTCCAGCAGCAAAGGTACAGCGCCGTGATACGCAAGAGCCAACCTCCCACCGTTCTTTGATAAAAAGTAGAACGTATACAATGCGTGCACCCGTCCCTTCGTGCTGCATGCTGGCTCCCTCAACAGGCCCACCAGTGGTTTCACCACGCCCGGAACCGCTAGATCCTCTCTCAGCGACGGCTCCTCAGCAAAACCGTGGATGATCTCCGCTGCAAGCTCTCGAAGAGGCAAATGCACGGAGCTGGCTCTGGCAGTGCGGGCGCTACCGTCGGAACTACTGCTGATGTCATTCTGCTGATTGTTGCTGGGTAGGGCGTGACAACCCCTGGCGTCATCGTGACTGACTGGACTGCTACGTGTGATGTTAGCCAACTCCACAATGCTAGGAATGACACCACGGCTCCTCATCATGTGCTTGGCTGTCTTATCTAGAGACAAATTCAGCAGCGCAGCAGCTGCCTCCTCAGCAACTTGAAACCGAAAATCCATCAACTCTCTTCCTTCCTCCGCTTCTATCACGCCGTTTACAAGCAACATCAGAACTTCCGGTGCTCCCATTTCAACCATGGAACTGCGTACCGCGGCGTCGCGAGCCATGAGTTTCATATCCTGCGCGCCAGCGAGGTGCCGCGAGAGCACGTGGATTTCCGACTCGCCGGGTTGCGGGGCGGATAAGTAGTTCAGCGCCTCAAAAAACTGCGGGGGAAGTTGGGTGAGCGTAAAACCCGCGGCTTCTGGAGCTCCACGCGCGGAAGGAGCGACGGCAGATGCAACGCCGGCGCCGTGGCTCCCCTGCGGGTGATACGAAGCGGAATGCTCCAGACTTTTGAACGTCCCGAGAGCAGGGTTAACAGAAGCCGCTGAATCCTCAGACCAGACCGTCCAGGAAGTTTCCGCGTGGGCGTCGAGGACGTCCGTTGACACGCTGGAAGCATCCTCGGAGCTTCGTCGTGAGAATCTGTCTTCTGGCTCCTCCTGTCTGTGTGAGAGCTGCTCGAATGTGGGGATTCTGTTCACAATGTTGTTGCTGAGCGGATGCTGCTGCGGCGAAGGGCTGTTGGGAAAGGATTGGTGCAGTGGCGACATCCGATGCTCCATCGCGGTGCCTCCGTTGAGAGGAGACGGCTGTCCTGTTGATGGGTAGATGGGCGAATGGGCGATTGGCGAAACGCGGGAACGCAACTGTTCAAAGTATTCCTCCATTCGCTCGACCCTCAAATACATGAGTTCGATCGAGTTGGAGTTCATGGCTCGTTGCGACGAGCAATGCTGGAGAAGAGGAACTCGGGATGTTTTGACAACGTTCCTTCCCGACCTAGCCATTCAAGGCCGCGGCAGTAGTATTGTACAAACTCAAGACGCTCTAGTTACTCACAGAACGTCGGCGGGTTGACAAGAAGAAACGAGGGGTGTACAAAAGGGGGACCGTACAGCACACGACCGCGTTGGGGTGGGGGGGGGGAGATGCAGACGGGCTGGTGGGCAGGTGACGTACGGGCAGATTCAAATGAGCATATGTGTACCGTACAAGGAAACCAGCTTACGTGTATACATGTACAGCCAGAATACCGACTCACACACTGGTACAAGTAACCAGACTGAACAAAATCAGCGATTCCATGCTTCAATTGCGACTTCGACAGGAAACAACACCATCAAAAGTTGCTGAGCTTTGTGAGATCCAGCATTTGCTAAACTCTTGAAATGTCGCCTCGGCCTTTCCTTCTGCAGCAAGAACCAAATCTCCTCCAAAACTTGCTCACTGCCTTTGCCTTTCCCAGCATTTCTGATAATCTGATGCAGAATTGAAAGGGCATGATGTTGCATCACCCCACGCTCATTCGCGAGCAGTTTGAAAAGCCCTTGCAGTCCTGATACTTGAATGCAGCTTCCATGTCCACTTTGAGGGTTGACGTTGGAGCCAGCAGCACCATTTTCACCGAACCAGTATTCAGTTTTGCTGTTTACCAGGGCAAGACGCCCTGATTGCCCCTCGGAAACATTTGCCAGTGCGTGCAAGGCCTTTTCAAAGAACCTTTCTGACTGCTCTGCATACAGATGGCTGCCTTTCTGTGTACCGCACAGCGTCACCTCCAGCAGCAAAGGCACAGCGCCTTGATTCACAAGAGCGCTTCTACCAGGTCCGCACTTTGATAAGAGGTAGAGCGTATACAATGCATGCATCCGTCCCTTCTTGCTGCATGCTGGCTCCCTCAACAGGCCTACCAGCGGCTCCACCACGGACTGATCCACTAACTCCTCTTTCAGCGCTGTTGCCATAGCGAGACTGTGGATTATCTCCAGTGCGAGCTCTCTAAGACGCAGACGCGCGGCGCTGGTGCTCGGCGCGCTGACGCCAATGTCTGAACAGCTGCTGCTGGTGTCATCTTGCTGAGCATCGTAGGGTAAGTCGTGACTACCCCTGGCGTCTGCGTCATCATGGCTGGGTGAACTACTACGGGTGACGCCAGCCAATCTCACAACGCAAGGGATGACGCCACGGCTCCTCATCATGTGCTTGGCGGTCTTATCGAGAGACAGATTCAGCAGCGCGGCAGCTGCCTCCTCAGCAACCTTATACCGCAGATCCATCAACTCCCTTCCTTCCTCCGCTTCTATCACGCCGTTTACAAGCAACAACAGCGCTTCAGCTGCTCCCCTTTCAACCATGGAACCGCACAACGCCGCCTTGTCGCGAGCCATGTCTTTAATCTCCCGCGCACCGGCGAGCTGCCGTAAGAGCACGCGATTTTCTGTCTCGTCGGGTTTCGGGGCGGATAAGTTAGTCAGCGCCTCGAAAATTTCCGGGGGGAGTTGGGTGGGCGCGGAACCCGCGGCTTCTGGAGCTCCAAGAGCGGAAGGAGCGGCGGCAGATGCGGCAGCAACGCCAGTCCCCTGGCCAGGCTGCGGGTAATACGAAGCAGGATGCGCGGGATTTTGGAACGTCGCGGGAGCACAGGGAACAGAAACCACTGATTCCGCTGACCACACCGTCCAGGAAGTTTCGGCGTGGCCGTCGAGGACGTCTGTTGACACGCTGGAAGCATCCTCGGAGATTCGTCGGGCGAATCTGTTGTCTGACTCGTCCTGTCTTTGTGAGAGCTGCTCGAATGTGGGGATTCTGTCCAGAATATTGTTGCTGGGCAGATGACGCAGCAACGAAGGGCTGTTGGGGAAGGGTTGGTGCAGTGGCGACATCCGATGCTCCATCGCGGTGCCTCCGTTGAGAGGCGACGGCTGTCCTGCTAATGGGTGGATTGGCGAATGGACGATTGGTAAAGGGCGGACTGCCAAAACACGATTAACCTACTGTATGAAGTAATCCTCTATCCCCTCGATCCTCTCGTACATGAGCTCGATCGCGTTGGAGTTTATGGCTCGTAGCGACGGGCGATGCTGGGAAAAGAGAGAACTTGGAGAGTGAGAAGGAGTGGCGAGTTTATAATTACGTTCCTACAACTCGACCTCACACTCAAGGCGGAGGAAGTGTGAATGTACAAGACCGTTTAGACTCTCGCCACGCACGGAACGCGAAGTCTGGTTGCGACGAGATGCGGCGGAGGTGCGATGGTGTGTGTGTGTTGGGGGTGAGGAGGAGGCGAGTGAAGGGGAGGGGAGGGGGGCGAAGGTAGGGAGGGGAGGGGATGGGTGGGGAGGGGATGGGATAGAGGGGGGGAATAGGAGGGGCGGGGCGGGGGAGAGATGGGAGGAGGTGGAGAGGGAGAAATGCGCGACGAGGCGGAGCTGGAAAATGGTCGACTTCGCGAGTCATGGTGTGATGGAGGCGAGTGTGACGTGACGGACCGTAACTTCGAAAGGGAATGATTCATTGTGATTCACGCTTCAAATACAGTAAGACGGGAATCAGAAAACACATACAACACATGACACGCACGCAGTTGCAAGTCCGATCATATCAAACACCGCAATGTACATAACAGATTCTTGCACCACAGCACACATGGTCAATGTAAAGCATCACCCCTTAAAAGGTCATACAGTTTCTGTGCCTGCAATGACAGGAAAAGGGAATCAAAGAGGGTATACTCTTGAGAGGGATGCAATACACCAAATGACAAAACTACCATGATCCCTCCCCAAGTGCATCCAACTGCACTCAAGCGTGCAAACAGCAAGATATTAACACCTACCTTGTCTCTCGCTCGAGGGCTGCCTCGCATGGCCACAGCCTTGATGGATGGAAGAGGCCCCTCCGACAGCAACAGCTCCCTCCAGTTCTGGCGGCTCCTCGCAACATAGAGCAAAGCCGAAACCGCAAACTCATGACTTCGCTCCGTGCCTATATCCAGTGACTCCAAAAGAATACTCAACCCTGAAGCCATTCTTAAGCTTTCAGAGGGTTCATGAAGCTCGATATTCCCAGAACCCCAATCCCATGCTCCATCTCTAACTTGTGAATTAACTATGGCTTCTCCCCCTGCCTCCTCCCTTGCTACATTAGCAAGCACCCCCAAGGCCTTCTCAGATATATACTCATCACCAGCATGGCCCATCAGGGTCAGCTCCAGCAGCACAGGCACCGCTCCTGCTCGAACCATGCTGAGTCTTCCTACCGAAATGGTTGAGAAGTTTGACAATGCTTTGCAGACATCCCTCCTTCCCTGGCTGCTGCACGTTGGGTCCTGTAGCAACTGAATCAGAGCCTCGGCTGCACCACGCCTCACTAGCTCAGCTCTACTCTCAACCGATTGAGAGAGGCTAAAAACAAGCGCGGCTGCAACCTCTCTAATACAATCAGGCACAACGGCGACACCATCACTTAAGCTAGCCCTGGTGTTACTCAGAATTTCACCACTGCTCCTGTTGCTGCTTCGTGGAAACCCGCCTTGCCTAGTCGCAAGCATTTGGGTAACTGGGTTGACAACCCCAAGGCTTAGCATAAGTTCCCTTGCTGAAGGGTAAATGGAAAGATTTAGCAGCGCTGTCACTGCCTCCTCCACTACTTTCAGCCTCAAATGCTTCAGTGAACTCTTATCCTCCAGTATTTCCTTCCCCCCGTCCTCGCCTAACCACGGCTGTACCCCTGGTCCGCCTTCAGCCCAATCTAGCAGAGGCAACAGCGCTCCCACCGCTCCTTTCTCAACCATCACCGCTCTGCACCCCTCTAGATCCCGTACCATATGTCTGATCTGCCGCGCACCTCCCAACTGCCTCTCTAGCAGCGCCGTACTGATCTCGCCCCCGTCCCTACAAGCACAGCAGTCCAGCAACGCCAGCTGAAAACCCGGCGGAAGGGACGGCGATGGCGCAGGCTCAGCAGTGACAGCTCCATCAGGATTCACAGGGCGGGAAGGGGTAGACGGAAGGCGGGAAGGGGTAGACGGAAGGCGGGAAGAACGGAGTTCCGATGAGACTCTAGCAGAAGGATGCAGCTCGGAAAGGGAAGGTATGGCGACGGCGGGAGAGGGGCAAAGGCTGAAAGGCGGAGAGGGGGTAGGCGGAGGGAAGGGGGAACGGGAGGGGAAGGAAGAGCAATGGGCGGAGGATGCTGAGGAAGAGGATAAGCGGGGAGCGACGGGGGAGGGAATTGATGTCGAAGAGGTGGGTGAAGAAGGGAAGGATGACGAGGGTGTAGGCGGCGGGTGTGAATCTGTGACAGGGAGTGGGTGTACAGCTGCAACGGCAGCAGCAGCAGAGCTCTCAGCAGCAGGTGGAGCACGATAATGATTCTGAACCGCACACGGCGTAACCAGATTGGTTACAGCATTTCGCAGCAGCTGCCCCATCCGCTGCCTCCCTTCCTTTGCGGGCAAAGGAACAGCATTACGAACAGGCTGTTCCTTTGCCCGTACCTCCGCTACCGCGTCGTTTGATAGCACTGGTCGCACGAGCGCCGAGTATCGGCTCGAAGAAGCTGGATAATTTAACGATTCCGTGTCAGTAGTGCCTGTGCGGGAGCTGATGCTTCGGCACGAGGCTTCGGAACAGGTGGGAGCAAGAGTGGAGCGGGAAGCTGAGGGACCGTCCAAGTCGCGGGATATTGAAGGAGAGTTTCCGTGGCTTGTTGGCTGACCGAAGCTGTGACCAGCGGAATAACCGAAAGCGTAACCGCCTGGAACCTCAGGAGGCGTAGGATGAGGAGGAGGGGGGAGAGGAGGATGAGAAGAGCCAGCGGCTGGTACAGTAGACCCGATGGTGACAGAACTTTCGTGGCTATTTGTTGGAGCAGAGAAGTTTCCGTGATTGTCTTGAGCATCGAGGCGACGGCCATAGGTATCTGGAAAAGCCGCTATGCCGTCTTCATTGTCCCTTAGCCTGGTTCGATGCGCGGTGGAAAATACGTCTCCGGAGCTGGAACCATCGCTGCAACTGGTGTTGTTGAGGGTGCACTCCACAATCCTGATGCTTTCTAGTGCAGCTTTAACTCGGTTCGCCCTGAGAAGTTTTTTCTGAAAGCCAGGAACCTGCCCTCGCGGATGAACGGGTAAGTCGTTCATACTTGCTAGTACTGACCAATCGTCAGCGGCTACGCAATACTAAGCACGCTCTTCATGCCACGGGCTATCGAAGTACGAGAAGTTATCCCTGTGAAAACTAGACACTGACTACAGACTCTACTCGTGGTGAAGAGGGAACGAGAAAGACAGACGACAAAGACAAGAAGAAAGTTCAGGACACTAGGGAATTATGTCTATGGGGAGGACTAAAGAGATTCCCATGCATTCAAACTTGCGCCCAGCAAGACGAGCAGGTGTGTCGTGAAGGCGTTTCATGTGGTATAGAGTGGTCTAAAAATAAAGCTGATAGTTTCGATCAGGCGATTAGGTGAAATGGTCCCCCAATGCCTCCAACCTGCCCACCTGGCTTTGCTGAAGTGGTTGCAGCATTTTACTGGTCCTAGTCGGAAAAATCAGCTGGATACAGACGAATCCAGACCGTTCAAAGGTAGATCTAGGACTACTGTAAATGCTGTACTTGATCGCTGTTGGCGACTGGTGTCAACGTGGACAGCATACTGTACAGCAGCTCTGGTGACCTGACCAGAGTTGAGAAGGACGAAACGAAAGAACTGTGCACCCAGCACAAAGTCATGATTTGAGGCTACACCTAGCCCGCGCTAATTTCAAAAAGACGGTACCGAGCCGCGATTTTGCCACTTGCCCGTGGGATATTTGTGCAGTGAGTCAGCACCTGGCTGCGAGTGCTGACAGGGCGGATTTGCCCTCCACGTATGTGGCGGATTTCTGACCAAAACCTACACATCATTTTCGCGTCCAGTCTGAATTCTGTCTCTCCAAAGAGTTGGGAATGCTGCTGACGCGTCAGTGCATATAGACCGCAAATATGCCTTGCTACTGTTCAGTTTTGCCCCCCACCCCCAGAGGTGGCGATAAACCTTTTCAAATTGGGGGGATTGAAAATGGCGCGGGCTAGGTGTAGCTGGGAGGGAGCGGCGCGCTCAATTGACCCAAATCCTCCAATCCCACTGGCTTCCTCATCCCGCGCGTGGCGCACGGGGAAACGCCTGGGGATATGACGGCGCCCTGCACTGGCTGAGAAGGTGCGACAGGCAGCTGGCACGCGAGACGAGATACGCTTGCACTTGAAATCCTGTACAAACTGCATTTATATAATCATGTTATAAATACCAGGGAAAGCAATTGGGAGCCCCTCCTGGCTGATTGAATAGCAGTTCATACCCGTGCTAGTTCACACGTAGCAGTTCACGTCAGCTTTTTGCTGCTTCTTTAGTCACCTTGGCAGGAAACAATACCATCAAGAGCTGCTCGGCTTGGAGCGATCCAGCAGTTGCTAAGGCCTCCAAATGTGGCCTCGGCTTCTCCTTCTGCCGCAAGGACCAGATCTCATCCAAAACTTGTGCACCACATTGCTCAGCATTTCTGACAATCCCGTGCAGTGTAGAAACAACATGCTGCTTCGTCACCTCGCTCCCATTTGCAAGCAGCTTGAAAAGCCCTTGCAGTCCTGAAACTTCGATGCAGCTTCCATGTCCAATTTGAGGGAAGCCATCAGAGCCAGCAGCACCATCTTCACTAGACCAGTATTTAACTTTGCTGCTTATTAAAGAAGAAAGTCCTGATCGCTCCTTAGATACATTCGCCACTGCATGCATGGCCTTGTCAAAGAATCTCCCTGACTGCTTCGCATACAGATGGCCACTTCTTTGCGTACCGCACAGTGCCACCTCCAGCAACAAAGGCACAGCGCCGCGATACGCAAGAGCCAACATCCCAGACTCGCACATTGATAAGAGGTAGAGCGCGTACAAGGCGTCCTTCTGTCCCTCCTTGCTGAATGCTGGCTCCCTCAACAGGCCTACCAGCGGCTGCACCACCCACTGATCCACAAGATCCTCTTTCAGCGTTGTTGACTGTGCAAGACTGTGGATTATTGCCACAGCAAGCTCTCTAAGAGGCAAATGGGCAGAGCTGGTGCGGGTGGGGGCGGTGGTCCCGGAGCTACTGTCAGAACAGCTACTGATGTCATTCTGCTGGGCACTGTTGGGTGATTTACGAGCATTACCACTGGCACCGTCAGGGCAGTCCGGACTGCTGCGTGTGATGTCAGCCAACCTCACAACGGTGGGTATGATGCCATGGCTCCTCATCATGTGCTTGGCGGGCTTATCTAGAGACAGATTCAGCAGCGCAGCCGCTGCCTCCTCGGCAACCTGATACCGCAAATCCATGAACTGTCTTCCTTCTTCCGCTTCTATCACGCTGTCTACAACCGACAACAGCACTTTCGCGGCTCCCATTTCAACCATGGAACCGCACACCGCCGCATCGCGAGCCATGATTTTAATCTCCCGCGCGCCGGCGAGCTGCCGTGAAAGCACGCACGTTTCCGACTCGCCGGGTTGCGGAGCAGAGTAGCAGTTCCGCAGCGCCTGCGGAAAATGCGGGGAAAGCCCCGAGCTCGGGGCTTCTGGAGCTCCATGCGCGGAAGGAGCGGCGGCAGATGCGGCAGCAACGCCGCCACGGTGGTTCCGCTGCGGGTGATACGAGGCGAGATGCGCGGGACTTTTAACCGTCCGGAGAACAGGAGGAACAGAAGCCGCTGATTCCACTGACCGCGCCGTCCAGGAAGGTTCCGCGCGGACGGCAGGGTCTGTGTGGTAACCTTCCGACGAAACGCTGGAAGCATCCTCGGAGATTCGTCGCGCGATTCTGTCCTTCCCTGAGCCGTCCGGTTTCTGACGCCGGTGCTCGTGAGAGTGCCGGTGCCTCTCGCTCAGCTGGTCGAATGTGGGAAGGTTGTTCAGTAGGTTGTTGCCAAACAGATGATGCTGTGGCGAAGGGCTGTTGGCGAAGAGATGGTGCTGTGGCGAAGGGTTACTGGCGAATTTCTGGTGCTGCGGCGACATCCACTGCTCCATCGCGGCTCGGTTGACATGCGACGGGTGTCCTGCTGAAGGGTGGAGTGGCGAAGGGCCGGCTGACGACGGGTGGACTGGCGAAGGCCGGATATGCATTCTATTTAGTTTATCCTCAATCCCCGCAATCCTCTTATCCATGGGTTCAAGTGCCTTGGCGCTCATGGCTTGTGGCGACGAGCAGGGCTTGAGAAGGCAGAGCTCAGAAAGTGGAAAACGGATTGGGACCTCTTCGACAACGCTCCTACTCGACCTTGACACTCAAGGCGGCAGCAGTGCGAAACTAGAAGGCAGTGTTGACACTGAACGCTGGGGTGAGGATAGGTGGGAATGGGGAGGAGTGAACGCGGCACGATAGGATGGAAACGAGGGCCGTGAATCGTGATGCCGACTTTGATGCGTTAGGGCTTGGCTAGCCGCTACTGCGTTGGCTTTGAAACTGCTTGAGTATGCTGGAGGGAAAATATAGAGGCGAGTGAGAGGTCAAGGAAGGAGAATGGATGGGGAGGGGACGGCACAAGCGGGAAAGATCGGGAAAGATGGGGAAGGTGGGGGGAAGGGGGACTTCGTTCTCTGCTCGGGAAGCATAGCAAAATGCGCGTGGTGGAGTGAGCGGTTGGATGAAGATAACGACGGTTTTGAGCCGTTCGTTGCACGCGATCGAACGTGACTGGTTCATGTCGTTGGTCGTGTCGTGTAACACGCTTGGTGTGATGATAGCGAGTGCGATGGAAAATGTGAACAGTCATGATGACTTCTACGGGAATGGGTGCAATTCAATGGGGAATTCGAACAAAACGTATACGAAAACCGTTCACATTTTCTGGGGCTAGTCAATATACAGTGTGGAAACACGCACACCCTGTATCGATCCAGGCGCACCGCCAACACGAGACCCTCGGGGTTGGCGTGACTGGTAATAACCTTCAATCTCAACCTTCTAGCCCCAGCAATTCCGCATAACTGCTTGTTCAGCCTTCAATCTTGATATAGCGACTCTGCTTCATCACCTCAACATCGTCTTAGTTGCTATGGATACCACTGACAGCCACGAGGTGTGTAGGCGAAGTACATTATTACGAATGGTTTCTGTAGTCTAACTCGTTCATGCCATTCATGCAGCGCGACATTGATGTGGAACCAATGCTGAAGAGGCAAAGAGAAGATTCTTCTCAAAAGACGGACACGCAGGATGATACTGCTGGACAACCAGATTCGCCTGAAGCACGAGATCGAGAGCCTAGCCCTGCAATGGCGGAAGCTCACAAACGAATTGAAGAATTCACACAAAAGGTTGTTCTGACTCTCAGCGTTGGTTCAATATTGATAAGCTCAAGCTGACGCGAATCCTTCATTTCACTGTCAGCTTTGTGCAATTCTTGATGCTGGGAAACAAGCTCTTTCCGCCGCTCTCGCAGCATGGGAGGAGCAGCTCGTTCAGTAAGTCGAGAAATCAGACGCTTTGTTCTGATTGACCACAGATCCGCGTTCTATTGAATTCACTATTGTGCTCCGCAGGATCCATGAAAATCAAGTTGCAATTTGGCAACGCCAACTAGAAGAAATCAAGGAACTGGAGTCCATGAATGACGATCTTGGAACAAGGCTCCGGTCCGCACAAGATGTCTTTGACCGTTTGCAGCCAGCAATTGCTGAGCGACATCTTGAAGAATGAGAGCAATTTTCTGTTTCAAACTATAACTCCGGGCGTGCGAGTCCACAACTCTAGTGTCATTTACAATTTCCACTGTGTAGCACGTAACAATTACATGTCCATTAGCAGACGCACATCGTCCATTCGTAACAATTGCTGATCTTCAGCAGATCTCCGCTCGAAGGCAGCACGTGCTATTGCTCTTTTTCTCTCCTGAAGCACCAGCATTCGTTCTTCTATGCTGTCAGCAGCAACCATTCTCACAACATCGACTGGATTTTCCTGCACAGATAAACAGCAAAACATGGATGGGAGCACAAGTCTTACTTGTTACTCTATACGTTACTGTATCAGCATGTCCAAATCTTGCGCACAACCAACTCTCATACGGGTACCATACCTGTCCAATGCGATGGACTCGGTCCATTGCTTGTTGCTCCACAGCAGGGTTCCACCAAGGTTCAAGCAGAAACACACGTGATGCAGCTGTAAGGTTCAGACCTACACCTGCCAAGCACCAACATAAACAAATGTACCAGTAGGTTAAAACCAACAGGACTGCAGAGATGGACATTAAAACTCTTCTCGCCAAGAAGATGTGCACACTCACCTGCTGCTCTGAGCCCCACAAGGAAGACTGTAGGAGAATCATGATCCACTCGGTTGAACTCTGCAATGGCCTTCTCCCTCACACTTAGCTTGGTGCGGCCATCCAATCTACAGCACTTGAATCCAGCAGCCTGCAACCTCTCATACACCAAATCCAGCATCCGAGTGAACTGAGAAAACACAACACTCTTCACCCTTTGCTGCTGACACTGCCTCCCACCTCCCTCTCCCATTGCACCAGGCCCTGCACTAGAATCTCCACCCTCTGGAGGTTGGTACCCTGGCGGCACCTGGAGGGGCTCACGAAGAGCAGCAATAAGCGCATCAATCTTGGCACTTGCATTCCCCTCAACCCCTTCCATCATGCCCCCTTTGGCATGATCCCCATTAGCACCATCTCCCTCTCCTTCTGCAGCATCAGGAGGAGCCTCCACCAGATGAGCCTCATCTACTGGTGCTCTGCACATGGGGCAGGCATGCTTCTGGATGGAGAGAACCCGGCGAATGCAGCGGCGGCAGAAGATGTGGGAGCAGGGAGTGACGACAGGAAGAGTGGGAGGAGAGAGGCAGATGGGACAATCTTCGTCTGCTGCTCCTGCTGCCAGAAGTTCCTGAAGCTTCTGACTCAAAAGGGGGTCCGAAGGAACTGCAGCTGAAGAAATGCAGAGAGTTGGAAGAAGGAAAACACAGATTGAAATAAGCCATAGCCCAGAAACGAGCATCACGCACCACTGTCAACTTCCACAACCCCATTCCAGAACTCCTCAGAATGGTTTATATGCTTGCGCACCTTTTGTATCCTGGTTTCTGTCTGCCTCTTCTGCTGCAGCAGCCGACGCAGCAATGGCCTCGAGAACGTGCGGTGGACAGAGGCCCTTGTGGTCTGCGATTTGTCTGAGCCGTAGGATCATCTCGAGCACTGTAGCATAGTTCTTCATCAACGTGCCCTGAGCCATCATGCCACCCACAAGGCGCCGCACCTCCTCCTGCACTCTGGTAGAGAATGATGAGGTTGGAGATAGTGGAGGAGTGAGGCAGTGGGACAGGCAAATGGGTATGGTTTTAATTTAACAGTCAAAGCAAAGGGTGAGTGGACAGTGACGTATGGGTGCGAATGATAGATGTACATGTGACTTGTGTGCAATCACAAGGTGAAAAACACGTGTGCAGTGTACAGTCACAAGTGTGCAGTAACACCAAAGGGCTATCCTCACCGGTCATAGAGATCCCGATCCTCTGGCAGCAAGTCGACTGGCAGCACTCGCACGGTCTTGGGGGGGAGGGACAGCAGCGGCTGACTGTTCACCTGCATGTCCTTGGTGCGCCGTAGAGCCGTCGTGAGAACCAGTACCTGTGGGGGTGAGGAGAGAAGGGTGGGAGGGAGGTAGATTATGAAGGCAAGACAATTTTTGAGACGTCCCAGAAGCCGTTCACCTGCATGTCCTTGGTGCGCCTTAGAGCCGTCATGAGCACCAGAACCTGTGGGAGTGGGAGAAATGAGTGATTCTTTATTCGTCTCAGATGTCATTCATGTGCATGTCCTCGGTGCGCCTTAAAGCTTTTGTGGGAACCAGTGCCTGTGGCGGTGCGATGACAAGGGTGGGAAAGAGGTGGCTTGTGGAAACAGGTCGAGCGCGCTCACACTCACAACATATGCACACACACACACACACACACACACACACACACACACACACACACACACACACACCCCCTCATGCACACCCATCCCCCACCCACCCACCCACCCACCCACTCGTACACACATGCTCCCATGCCCCGCGCATACCCGGAGCCTATCCAGCCCGATGTGCTGGCGCTCCCTCATTGGCCGCTCAATCGCGCGGGTCCAGATGGAGCGATCATTAAGAGGATCAAGGTGCAGGAAGCAGAGCAGCGAGAAAAGATCCCCCAGCTGGTTCTGCACGGGAGTGCCTGTCACTGCCCACCGCCTCTCCGCCTGCAGCGCTGTCGCCGCCCGCGCCGCCCGTGACTTCACGGATTTGATCACGTGCGCTTCGTCCAGAATCACCCGCCTCCATTTCACCTGCAGTAACGGCCCCCCACCTGCCGTCCCTGCTCGTGCTCCTCCTGCTGTTGCAGCTCCTGCAATGCTCCTGCTGCTCCTCCCTGCTCCTCCCACCATCCCTGCCATTCCCCCTCGCTTCCTCTGCCCCTGCCCTGCTGCCCCTGGCGCTTTCCTCTTCCTTCCCCGCCCCCCTGGCATGCCGGCATAAGCAGGCATGAGCATCCCAGGGCACCCCGGAATGGACGGTGGGGAGGGCGGCGGACTGTCAGCCCGGTTTGCCTCTGCCATCCCCCCTGACCCACCCCTACCAACACCAGCAGAAGAACCAGCAGCAGCACCACCAGCAGTGGAGGCAGAGGGAGGGGGACATTCAGAAGCTAGGATATTGTAGGTGGTAAACACAAGGTCAAAGCCAGAGAGGAAGCTCGGATCTCTCACGCGCTCTGCCCCGTGGTACACATAGTAACTCAGCGCCCCTGGCGCCACGTGCTCTGCTAGCTGCGCTGTCCAGTTGGAGAGAACGGACAGAGGGCACACCACTAGCGTCGCCCTGCTCTGCTCTGCTTGGTGCTGCCCCCCTTGCATCCCATTACCAGCAGCAGCACCAACAGCAGGGGAGGTGGTGCCGATTGCTTGTGTTTCACCAGTGTCAGCAGCAGCAGTGGTGGAAGCGACAAGGGAGAGCAGGGAGAGCGTTTTCCCCAGCCCCATGTCATCCGCCAGAATGCCTCCCCTCAGCGCCTTGGGTCTCTCCTCTGTTGTGAAGTTGGTCAGAATGTTTGTAAACAATCGCCCCCCGCCCTCTCCCCCGTCATCTCCATCCTCCTCCTCACCCTCCACCCCTCCTCCAACCCCTCCCTGTACCTCTCTTCCTCTTCCCCGGCCGCCCCTGCCCTGTCTCCCTCCCCCCCTCCCTCCGCCTCCTCTCCCTCCTCTCTTCCCTTTGCTGCTGCTCTCTGAGTCTAAGGCCCCGGCTTTCCAAAACGGTGGAAGCTTCCTTGCGCTTTCCCTCTTGATCATCCACGCCAGCGCCCGCTGCTGATGTGGCAGGAGGGACGACCTGATGACGTGGCAGGGAGGGTCCGCGGTGGGCCGATCCGCTTCCACCTGGCATGCCAGGTCATCAAACATGGATAGGACCGCCTTGTCCTGTTCTGCTTGGCTCATCGCAGCTCTTCGCGCTGCCAAAGCAGCAGCCACTGACGCAGCAGCCGAAGCAGCCTGTAACGAGGAGGACTGTAACGAACCAGAGGGGGAAGCTTCCCCGAAAGTGTCTGAGCCAGGGAGGCTGTTGGTTTCCACCAGACGCACTCCGGCAGACAGCAAGCGAGATACAACTTCAGGAGCTGATTCAGGGGAGCAGAACAAGCACATGTGGCATGGCATTTGATATTTGTTCTTTGTTCCACGTGTCACCAGACCTTCAATTGCGACCAATCCGGCGTCGACAAGTGGCGCCAGGTGGCAGGCCATTTTGGCCTCCACGTGGCCCACCTCCTGCCCTCTGATGTTGTCCACGCGGATGGCGTTGCGGTCGTGCGCGTTATTAGGCTCCCGAATAAGCCGAACCATCTGCAGGTTGGGTCGCAGGAGAGTTGAAAGCTTAAACACATGTAAAGAGGAAAGCATAACTGGAATGAACTGGCCTCTATCGAATGTACAACGAACCTCTCGCGGGTTCACGGTCCCTGGGTAATGCTGCAGACCCTTAATGTTAAAGAGCACGCTGCCGATGTACGTCCTGTCGTCCTCCGCTTGCGACGCGTCTCCCTGCGACGCGTCAACCTCCTCCTCCTCCTCCCAGTCCTCCTCCATCCGCGGGAACGATGAGGACGAGGATATTCACAAGCTTTCCAAACTCTACGCGAAAACGCGGATGTAATATTTTGGTGCGCAGATATCGAGGCCAGCGACCGAGGAAACCACGAACTGGACTTAGCTCAGACTGGAGTGCATTGCCAGGAGGAAGAGTGGAAGAGCGGGTGAAAACAAGTGGGAACTCATAAATGCAGATTCGAGAATTTCATGATTCACGGAGAGGAGTGGAAGGATCGAGCTGTTCACTTTATAGTCAGATTCAGTTGACCCTGCGCCAATGTCATCGTACTAACCGATCCTTGTCTTGAAAACGCAACTCAGATACAGAATTTAGAGGTATGCTAAAAATGTTGCAACTGGACGGTATATGCTTATCAAACAAACACGACAAAGTGGTTATTTAGCCCCTACATTAAGCAGAAACCGTCAGAACCTTGAAAAAAAAGGGGATAAAAGCACTGGCCACCGAAGAAGGGTATTGGGTTAGAACACACACAGCTTGCGGCATTTGCTTCAATGCCCGAGTTTGTACCACCTATGAGAATATTTGAGGTAATCTACAATAATGTTGATGACGGGTTAGCATACAGAGAGCTACTCGGCGATCGCTCCGAAGCCTGAGCGGCCGCGCGATCGCGAGGTGGTGTTAGTGCGAGAGTTAATGCTGGCGCAGCGCAGAAGCTTCTGGAATTCGGGCAAGCTGATTCGCCCGTCCCCGTCCACATCCCCCTCGTCTATCAATCGGCCCAGGGAACCCTTGACTTGCGCCGCCTGTTTGCACGCAGAAGGGGAAGGGGGGAAAAGGGGGGGGGGGGAGGAGGGAGAGGGAAGGAAAGGAAAGGAGAGGGGAGAAGGGAGAGCAAGTTCACAAACTTATGTGCGCATCCCAATCCACGCCCTCCTTGTCTATCAATCACCCAACTGGGCGGCCCTCCTTGTCTATCAATCACCCAGCGACCCCTTCACTTGCACCACCTTTTTGCACACAGAGCATAAGGGAGGACGGGGGGGGGAACTGTTGGGGCGCCTACTGGAACATTGCCATGCCATCCCCTTCATCTATTAATCGCCCCAGCGACCCTTTGACTGACACCGCCTGTTTGAAAGCAGAGAGGAAAGAGGGGGAGGACAGGGAAAGCGTATACTGTCTGCCCCACAAACCCTTCACTTGCGCCGTCTACTGGAAGAACAAGAGTGAATGAGTTGCACGATCAAGGTAGGCGAGTGTACATCAGGAACAGACCTAAGCACATAAACACACCACACCACCACTCAGCACCCCTTGCAACACCGTCTCACCACTCTCAGCTCCTCTGCATCGATGAAACCGTCCCCGTCCGTGTCAAAGTGGTTGAACGCCGCCCGAGACCGCTCCTCCCACTTAGCTGAATCGGCCTCCTCCAGCTGCTGCACGTGCAGCGTGGCCGCCACAAACTCATCAAAGTCAATTATGCCATCGCAGTTGGTGTCCATCTGTGGGAGAGGAGAGGGGGAAAGTGTGTGAGGCACAAAAGTTGCAGAGTGTGAGAACGGCAGGTGCAGTGAGCCTCCTCCAGCTGCTGCACGTGCAGCGTGGCCATCACGCAGCACGTACAGACTCGTCAAAATCGAATATGCCGTCACAGTTGGTGTCCGTCGGAGTGGGAGAGCAGAGAGCAAACAAGCACTTGCAAGTAAGGTGTAACGACAAGATCAACACACAGAACAATGTGCACGGGTCTGCGAGAGAAGCACAGTTGGCTTTTGAGTCTTGGCAAGAGCCAACTTGGTTGTGCGAAAGAAGCGCAAGCGCAGCAGCGTGCATGGGCATGCTGCTTGAATTGGAGAGCGCAGGCTTGGTGGGCTGGCGCATGGAGAACTCACAGCTTGCAAGTTCTGCACCACTTAGGACTCCTTCAATTTGATTGGGAGGTCCTTGTTGAGTGCCTGGCTCATGTAAGGGCGTGCTGAAAGGGCAGTGTGATAGGCGAACATGCGAGTGCTGCTAGCAATGTGAACTCACAGCTTGCAATATCTGCACCACTTTGGACTCCGTCACTTTGTATGGGAGGTCCTTGTTGAGTGCCTGGCTCATGTAAGGGCGTGCTGAAAGGGCAGTGTGATAGGCGAACGTGCGAGTGCTGCTAGCAATGTGAACTCACAGCTTGCAATATCTGCACCACTTTGGACTCCGTCACTTTGTATGGGAGGTCCTTGTTGAGTGCCTGGCTCATGTAAGGGCGTGCCGAAAGGGCAGTGTGATAGGCAAACATGCGAGTGCTGCCAGCAATGTGAACTCACAGCTTGCAATATCTGCACCACTTTGGACTCCTTCACTTCGTATGGGAGGTCCTTGTTGAGTGCCTGGAGCACAGGAAACAGAAACACACCAGGAGGAAAGACGAGCTAGGATGTGTGGGGGAATGACAGCGAGGATGACAGGGGCAGGGGGAGAACTCAGGAAAGTGACCAGGAGGTGGCACCCAGCTATCCATGCACATCAATGTGAGCACTTACAAACAGGTCAATGTGAGCACTTACAAACAGGTCAATGTGAGCACTTACAAACAGGTCAATGTGAGCACTTACAAACAGGTCAATGTGAGCACTTACAAACAGGTCAATGTGAGCACTTACAAACAGGTCAATGTGAGCACTTACAAACAGGTCAATGTGAGCACTTACAAACAGGTCAATGTGAGCACTTACAAACAGGTCAATGTGAGCACTTACAAACAGGTCAATGTGAGCACTTACAAACAGGTCAATGTGAGCACTTACAAACAGGTCAATGTGAGCACTTACAAACAGGTCAATGTGAGCACTTACAAACAGGTCAATGTGAGCACTTACAAACAGGTCAATGTGAGCACTTACAAACAGGTCAATGTGAGCACTTACAAACAGGTCAATGTGAGCACTTACAAACAGGTCAATGTGAGCACTTACAAACAGGTCAATGTGAGCACTTACAAACAGGTCAATGTGAGCACTTACAAACAGGTCAATGTGAGCACTTACAAACAGGTCAATGTGAGCACTTACAAACAGGTCAATGTGAGCACTTACAAACAGGTCAATGTGAGCACTTACAAACAGGTCAATGTGAGCACTTACAAACAGGTCAATGTGAGCACTTACAAACAGGTCAATGTGAGCACTTACAAACAGGTCAATGTGAGCACTTACAAACAGGTCAATGTGAGCACTTACAAACAGGTCAATGTGAGCACTTACAAACAGGTCAATGTGAGCACTTACAAACAGGTCAATGTGAGCACTTACAAACAGGTCAATGTGAGCACTTACAAACAGGTCAATGTGTTTTGAGCTCAGATAACACACAGCTCAGCTCAGCGCGTGCGGCGGGTGCATGCGAGGGTGTGCTAACAGACAGCTCACATGTCGAATCTCATCGATGGTGATGGTGCCATCCCCATTGATGTCCATTGCGTTGAATTGGTCCCTCAGCTGCTGCACCTCTGCGCTCTCCAGGGTGGTCGCTAGTGCCTGGTGAACGGACGGAAAAAAAAAATGTGAAAAGAAGAAAAGATGGAATAAGAGCAGAATCGGCACAGGCTGAGAGCAGGATCGCCACTGCATGGCGCGGCCGAATCACAGCAAGCAAGCAGCGACTCTCCTTGCGTGAGGCCACTGCTTTCAAATTTGTGTCTGATCGTTTCACAGGTGACCTACCTCGGCAGATACTCGCCCACCTTAAGCGCCGTCAGGGCAGCGATTTGCCTACCTGCTTGTTTGTAGCGTGATTGCTCGACAGCACTCTTGTGCCTGATAGCTGGCTCAATGAATAAGAACCAGGTGTGATTGGGTTGTGATGCGGCACTGCCAAATCTCATCCCGAGGAGGAAGTGCTCACCCACACAGCAACTCACCCACCCACCCTCTTGGGCACTTATTCAGCTGCACACGCCTAGACACCTCTTGCCCACCTTGAGCGCCATCTGCTTGAGCCGGGAATACTTAACGAACTCGTGCATGTTGGACAGCACTTCTATGTCTGAGAGATCACTGTTCCACGGGAGCAGCTGTGACGCATGCAGCATCACAGCAAGCAACCACCCACCCTGCCTGCCTGCCTTCCTGATCTCACCTTGAGCGCCATCTGTTTGAGGCGCGAGTACTTGACGAACTCCCTCATGTTGGACAGCACTGCTATGTCCAGCGGGATGGACGACGCATTGCCTCCCTCCTTCACCCACGGGTGCGCTGGTGGTGGGGGAACGGGAGAGGGAAAGGGGAGGGGAAAGGGGAGGGGAAAGGGGAGGGGAGGGGAAAGGGGAGGGGAGGGGAAAGGGGAGGGGGAAGGGGAGGAGAAAGGGGAGGAGAAAGGGGAGGGGAAAGGGGAGGGGGAAGGGGAGGGGAAAGGGGAGGGGGAAGAGGAGGGGAAAGGGGAGGGGGAAGGGGAGGGAAAAGGGGAGGGGGGGGAAGAACGTTGAGAATGGCAGGGAGCAAGCTGAGAGGGATGGACGACGCGTTGCCTCCCTCATTCACCCATGGGTGCGCTGGTGGTGGGCGGGAAGGGAGGGGGGATGGGCTTGAACGGAATGGATGGGCTTTATTTGCCGGGGCATGGAAGAGAGCAAATGGTGCGTGGGTGCAAATGCAAAATACGGTGGGTTGTGGAGCACTCACACAGCGCTTGGGCGGCGGTGGGGCGGGCGCGCGGGTCCTTCGTGAGCAGCTTCTTGACGAAGTCCTTGGCGCTGGCTGACACCTGAATTGCATTGACTCACACATGGCTACTAGGCAGGGAGGGAGTCGACTTGGCTCACAGAGGGCTTGCGCAGCGGTGGGGCGGGCGCGCGGGTCCTTCTTGAGAAGCTTCTTGACAAAGTCCTTGGCGCTCGCTGAGATCTGTGGCCATGGCTTCTCCCTGAAGTCGGGCTTCTTCTTGAGTACCTGGTGAGTGGGATGGAACAGAGGGGCAGCCGGGTGAATGCAGAGGGGATTGAATGGAGAGATCAACAGACCTGCAGCCATACCTTTTCCCTCAAGTCCGGCTTCTTCTTTAGCGCCTGGTGGTGGGATCACAACAAGCAGAGGGGCAACGGGGCGAATGCAGAGTGAACAGAGAGTTTATAGAGAGATGATTACAGTGTTTTCCTTCCCTTTCCTGTGCCCCTACGCCCCCACTTCTTGCCCCCATGCTCCTAAACCACTCTAGACCGCTATCTACCCCTTCGAAGAACCCGCACCTCTTAAAAAATCCCCGCCTCTGCTTTATCCCAGAACGGTCGTCTTCCAGACAGGAGGATGTACGTGTTGACGCCAATGCTCCACACGTCACTCTCACCTTCTAACCCGGCCAAATCCCTTCCCACTCCTCTCACCGCCCGCCCCCTCTCTTCCCTTGCACCTCGTTGAAAATCCCCGCCTCTGCTTTATCCCAGAACGGTCGTCTGCCTGACAGAAGGATGCACTTAATGACTCCAACGCTCCACACGTCTATCTCACTCTTATCCGTCTCTCTTCCCCCCCTTCTCCCCCTCCCTCCCTCCTCGTCTATTCTCTCCAACACCCCCTGTCCCTGCCCGCACCTCGTTGAAAATCCCCGCCTCCGTTTTATCCCAGAACGGTCGTCTGCCTGACAGCAGGATGTAAGTGACGACCTCAATGCTCCATACGTCTATCTCACTCTTATCCGTCTCTCTTCCCCCCCCTCTCCCCCTCCCTCCCTCCCCATCCTCACCTCGTTAAAAATCCCAGCCTCCGTTTTATCCCAGAACGGTCGTCTGCCCGACAGCAGGATATAGGTAATGACCCCAATGCTCCACACGTCACTCTCCGGCCCCGACCGCCTCTTCAGCACCTCAGGAGCCACGTAGTAGGCGCTGCCCACCACGTCCGTGAAGTGCTTGCCTGGAGAGGGGTGGAGAGCGGTTGTGTGGGGTGGGGTGGGGAGGAGAGGGGTGAAATGAGGTGGGGTCGGGTGGGGTTGGCGTGAGCAGGGAAGGCCACCTCTTGAGCACCTCAGGAGCCACGTAGTAGGCGCTACCCACCACGTCCGTGAAGTGCTTGCCTGGGGAAGAGAGGGGTGGGGTGGAGTGGAGAGCGGTTATGTGGGGTGGGGTTGGGTGGAGTGGTGTGAGATGAGATGGTGTTGGATGGGGTTGGTGTAAACGGGACAGATAGACTTCCCATTGACCGCCTCTTGAGCAACTCCGGGGCCACGTAGTACGTGCTGCCCACCACGTCTGTGAAGTGCTTGCCTGGGGAAGAGACGTGTGGAGGGTGGAGTGAGGTAGAGGGGGGTGAAATGCGGTAGGGTGAGGTTGGTGTGAGTAGGACAAACCTCCCGTTGATCACCTCTTGGGCCCACATACTAGGCACTGACAACCACGTCCGTGAAGTGCTTGCCCGGGGTTGAGTGGGGTGGGGTGGGATAGAGAGGGGTGAAATGGGATTGGGTGGCTGCGGGGATGAGTCGACTAAATCACCCTCTCGCCGTCTGGGCCCCTCTTTATTCCCCCGTCCTCGCACCTCCCACCCCCTCCCCCCCCTTTTCCCCCTTGCCTGTGCCACTCACCCGGCTTTCTGAAGTCCGAGAGGCAAAAGTCGGTGGCCTTGAGAGGCGATTCCTCTGTTTCTTTACTTAATTAAAACATCTAGCCTGACACGTGCAACCCCCCAGGTGTGCCGCTCACCCGGCTTTCTGAAGTCTGAAAGGCCAAAGTCGGTGGCCTTGAGAGGCGATTCCTCCATCTTGTTGGCGAACAGAAAGTTCTGCGCAACACGGATGGGTGGAGAGGGGTGCAAAGGGATGAGTACAGGCGGGAGTGATGCAGAAGAAATCAACTTTAGCTCTAAACCTATCTCGCCAATGCCAGGAGGCCTTTCTCATAGGCAACCCATATGGGTTTCTCAGATGGCTTGCCACCCATAGGCAATCGTACCTCAGGCTTGAGGTCATCTTACCTCGGGCTTGACACCTATCAGCTATTGCGCCTAGGGTCTAACAACTGTCAGCCATCGCACCTCGGGCTTGAGGTCGCGGTGCACGACGCCGTTGAGGTGGCAGCGCGCCACCACGTTGAGCATCTGCCGCACAACACTCGCCGCGTCCTTCTCCGAATACCGGTTGTCCTTCCTGTGATGGTGAGCAGAGGGAGGAAACGAGGGAAAAAAAAAGGAGGGAGGGAGGGCAACCGGGAGGGAGGGAGGGTGGGAGCGAGGGCAGGAGGGGGGGCGGTAGAGAGGGAGGGAGGGAGGGAGGGAGGGAGGGAGGGAGGGAGGGAGGGAGGGAGGGAGGGAGGGAGGGAGGGAGGAAGGGAGAGAGGGAGAGCGGGAGGGAGCGGAGGGAGAGCGGAGGACTGGAGGACGGACGGAGAAAGCCAAAACCTGAAACGAGTGGCAGCTTTCTGTATGGCATTGGCGTTCCCCCCACACTAGCAACCGCCCTCACTCACTCGCCCCAGCCCTCGTTCACTCGCTCCCCTTCCACCCCATTCAATCACGCGCCCTAACCGTCACTGACTCGCCTTCACCCTCACCCTCACTCACTCGCCCTCCCCCTCACGCACTCGCCATCGCCCCCACGCACTCGGTTCAGACCTTACTCACTCACCACCACCCTCACTGACTCTCCCCCTTACTCACTTGCCCAAAATCCTGTCAAGCAGTTCTCCTCCTTCACACAACCTGCATCAGATGAGACAACAAAAATGAAAACATAACATAATGACATATGGAATACACGCCCCCCCTTGTCAATTCACAGACAGCAAAACCGAAATTGTTGGAAACGGCCGAAACGTAATGCAATTTCTTTCTTGCCATCCCCTTAACTAAGTGTACACTGGGTACCCGTTATAGCAGCACTCACTCCATGACAATGTACACGAGCTCCGTATCCTCAAACACGTCGATAAACTGAACCACGTTGGGATGGCCCGACAGCAGCTGCAGGATCTTCACCTCCCTCTCCACGTCCTCCACCGCTATTGGCTGCTTCATCTGCAGCGCGCCGAGCGAGGGTACACGGGGAGAAGTGAGAGTACATGGCTTTCAAAAGAAAGAAAGAAAGAAAAAACAAAACTTTCGTGTAATGCTAAGAGCCAATGGCGTCTACAACCCACAAAATAAGACTGTAAAACTGAAATGCCATCCAGGACCAATTACTGCAAAAAGGACTGCTTAAATGGTCAAATAGGCTTTGCTCAGCACGTCATAACGAGCCAGAATAATAACGTGTCTTTTTTCCCTCCGGACAGCAAGCATTGTCTTTTTGTAAGCATGCACTCCTCGTTACAACAGCTGCCGCTGCAACAACTTGCGACTTTTGAGACGTCTCGAAAGTGTGTTGCCTCATGTGCATGTGAAGACCCACCTTGATGTCTGGCCTGGCTGCTTATATCATCAAGCACGAGCATTTTCTCTTGCGAAAACTGCCAGTGTAACGACGTTCCTCGTTGTAACGATCGACGATGCAACACTCGCCGGCGCAACGACTGGCGACTTCATTGTTATGTTCCTAAGATGCTTGTTCCTGAGATGCTCACCGATTTCTTTTGAATTGCCTTGACGGCCACGCGATTATCCGTCGCTAGTTGTATCGACTCATAAGTCGTCCCGAATTGCCCGTGTCCCAGCTCCTTCCCGGTCTTATAATGCTTCTCGAAGTCGCGCTTATAACCGAAGTCGGTCCGGAGACCTAATGGAATGCTCTTATCGTCTCTGGGGTACTTGGCGTTTTGTATTTTCGCTCCGTCGCAGTTATCGTCGCCGGTTCGACTACCGCCAATGTCAGGATGCTTCTGAACCTTGCTTTCGTCGACATTTCCTTTATCTTTTTCGACCGATGCAGAGCCGAGACATGTGGAGAGGCACGCTCCCATTGTTTCAGCGTGGACTGCTTACTGAAATAAATACGGTCAAATGTGAAGAAATAACTAATTGCTCTGGAAATATAAAAGCTATTCTCCAACCACCCGCACAGTTGATTATCTAACCACTTTACTACGGCTACCTTCGAATAATTACGTTGACCAAGGCGCGGACCGAATAGATACCCTGACCAGCACCCTATCCAACAAGATTGCCTGGTTGCTGTTGCAATGCTGTGCGCTGTGCCGTGCTGGGGAAGATAGTCACATGCGAGTGAGTCTGTGACCTGACGGAGCAAAGCTACCACCTCCTAACGCACTGAACCGCAACAAAGTTAGCATTTCGCAGGCAAACGCAGAGTTTCAAAAAGTGCTTCAGTCAAACGGTTTCTTTGGACACCCCAGCATGGGGCACCACTCGGATGAGCGGAAGGAGTTCCGCCAAACGTGAGCGGGAAGTAGGGATCGCAACAATTTCGACATATCACAATTTTAAAGAATGCCCACAAAGTACTTATGCTAGCGAAGTTTTCGCTTTTAACAATTGTAACTTGGGTGCTCTCATCCCTGTGATGCGTTGGGATCGGCGCAATTTTAGCTCCCGAGTTACCCTGTCAAACGTGAGTTGTTCATACATTTACTCTGCCTCTCAAGTTCTTGTGGCGGATAGTGGGAGGGGAACCCTGAAATGGCTAGCCGGGGCAAATTGGAATGGAGAGGGTTTGACGGGGCGATTGTTGCTGTGACAGCGTTGGGATGATATACCTCAGCGGACGAAAAATGCCGCCCAATTTCGCGGTTCAAAAGGGACAAGGCCCCCCCTCGGGATTGACGACCTCCCGACGACCTCCGAGCTCCCAGACGGGCCCAAATGGCGTCCCAGGGGCCTCGGGAGCCCTCGGGATTGTCGACAATCCGACGACACCCGTTTGCGCTGGGAGATTCCTGAGAAGGAAATCTCAGCGGACAAAATTCGCCACGTCGAGCCGCGGATGCCTCCACGCGGACCAATAGGGAGGTGCGAGACCCGCCCCACCGATTACAAGGCTGCCACGACGTGGGCGTCGTGGCCACGCGTCGCTCTAGCGGTGCAAACCCACGCGGCGCAAATCGGACCGTCCACATCTTCACTGTCTTGTGGCATCGCGGGTTGCCAGGGAAGTCGGTGTCGACCAGATCATCCCAAGGCACACAAACCCGGCCACACGGCACGTTCTCTGCCAAGCGCGCCGAGTGGAAGTCGGCGCCGATCATAGGCCCCCCACGGCATGGTTGCCACGCCGTGCTTGAGTCATCCCGGGCCTCCGGGAGATCCATGTCTGCTTGCCTTAATTTCTGCACTGGGGCGCCAATGGCGGTCGCAAGCCGCGTAACGCACGCCCATTCCGACGTGGAATGGCACTGGCTTACGCCCCTTCCGTGCAGCGCGGCGCCCAGCTAGCCATGCCTGGCACGTGCCACGTCGGACAGTGCGCCGCCTTTACGAGAACACATGCACGGCGGCGGATGCATTGGGGTGTGCGTGACGCGCGGCAGCATCGTAGTCGCTCAGGACCATACCCGTCCGTTGCCCCGCGAGCCTGCTCATTCGCTTGTCCGTTCCTGCGTTCCTTCCTGCTCTCTCGTTCCCTTAGAATTTTCAGCTGCCAGTCTGTCATCGCGCCTGTAGGTTGCTCGACAGCCGATTGTTCGTCCAAGTCGGCACAGGTTCCACGTCGCGAGTCGACGTAGCAAGTCGGCGACGCATGGCCAGAGGTCGCCCGAGGGCCCAACAGCCGCAACCCATCCCACCCCCCGCCGACTCGGTAGACGCCGACATCAAGGCGCAGCTGGAACAGCTTGAACTCGAAGCCGAGTTAGACGCGCTTGAGCGAGAATTCGAAGAAGACGAAGACCGCCTGACGCTTCGCGCGTTCGCCGCACCCGTCACACAGTACCGTCTCTGGTTTACCACCCCCCGCGATCTCGAGGTCGACGCCGAGATAGACGTTATTGAGGGACATCTCGAGGACGACCGCCGCGCAACTGTTCGGGCGTACACCGCACCCGTGACTCAGTACCGGCAGTGGTTTAACAACCTCCCCAACGCACACGGACGACGGTAGAGCAGCAGACGTGTACCGACATGGCCGACGTCGACATGTCCGACGCTAGGCCATCCACCGACCAGGGTCCGACGACCACCGACCGCAGTCCGACATCCACCGACCACAGTCCGACACCTACCGACGAAGACAACCTGCAGTTACTCTACGATCTGGACAAGCTGACGCAGATCCCAGAAGGGGTGTTCACCACGGACGTTCCGCCACCGCCGATAGGGAAGTTCAACAAGAAGAAAAAACAGACTCCTACGCAAAATGGTCGGCCAGGTACCTCGTCGGCACCGGCCGCCCCTGGAAACCAGGTCGATGACGAGGACGCGGAGGAGGAGGGGGGGGAGGAGGAGGAGGAGGAGGAGGAGGAGGAGGAGGAGGAGGAGGAGGAGGAGGAGGAGGAGGAGGAAAGCGATGACGAAAACGACGACCGTCCACCTCGTAGCTCTAATCCGCGCACCTTGGACGAACGACTCAGGCGGGAACTGCAATTCATCGACATACTGCTCGACCAGGACGAGGACGAGGACCAGGAGAACTTGGCGGTGCCGCGCGAACAGTGGAGAGCGGCAGACTTCGTCGAGGAGGACATGGTTTACGCGTGCGTAGACGTGCTCGTCATGGACGCTCTTCGCCACCTGCAAACCGTGGAGAGGAACAGCACGCTGAGGCAGTACACCTCGTGGATCTATCACTACAAGAGGTGGGCGGCGAAGATGTTGAAGCAAATTCGCAACAAGCTTCCGCAGGAGTACAGGCTTAAGCACGTCGACGAGATAGGGCACTACATCCGGGAGAACAAGAAGAAAAACTGGGACCAAGAGGCCGATGTCCCCCGGTCTCACGTGTGGCTGCACGGCCCTAGGGTCACCAAGGACCGGCTTCGCGCATACGTGAAGTACATGATTCGGGAGTTGAACCTCGATGCCGAGTCCGGCAAGGGGGCCGACAACGCCACAGGAACACAGCCGGTGCAGTCGACAACGGTACACACGCTCCTCGGGCGCATAAAGGCATGCCAGATGGCGGCGAGAGTGGAGGCGACGCTCTTCCGGGAGACGGAACTGAGCATCATGAGGGAGATATCGGTGGTCAGGTCGGAGGTGCGGTACATGATCCGCACCAAGAACGAGCGGGACATCAAGTGAGTTTATGTTTTAACCTACGTCGACCACTCTCCTGCTGTCATGATCTTTGTCGACGCCGCCCTAAATACCCCTTGCCCATGGCATTGTTGGCAGGAACTGCGCCGATCGCCGTCGCGGAACCATCGGCGATACCTACACCGCCGAACAGTTCCGCCAGATCATGTTCAGGGTGCTGCCGGCGTGGGCGGCCAAGGCGTGGAACCCGCGGGGTACGGGTCCTTCGCAGACGCTGTGGAGGTTTCTTCTCTTGAAGGTGCTCACGCTACTCTCCCACCACTCTCTCCTGCGCGGTGCAAGCATCCGCGAGATCACTCTCCCCGACATCTTCTTGTACCGACTGGCGAGCACCTCCTCGATCAACCCGGAGAACCAGCCGGTCGTCATGGTCATCGGAGCGCGGAACTCGAAGACGTCCAAGGATGCTCGTCTGCAGCAGAGCTACGCCGCGCGGCACCTCGAAGCGGAGTTGTGCGCCGTCGGCGAGACGGGCCTGTGGTTGCACTTCGTCCTCGATCAGATCGGTCAGTTTCACGGCGTCCGCCTCATTCCGCCGGTCGACACCAGCACACGCGCTAGCTGGTACAAGAAACACCTGTTCTTCGCCAAAAACGACACCGACCAGGGTGAGCTCTCTGCGGCAACCCACCAACGCTGGACGCGGCAGTTGTGGGACACCAACAAGGTGTTCTGCAAGAGGAACGTGCACGCCGCTCGAGCGGGCGGGGCCCAGGAGCTGGCTATCGACGGCACGCCGCGCGCCGAGATCGCGGAGCTTGGACACTGGGCTCTCGACAAGATGACGCGAGCGTACATCACCGCCATTCCGGTGGGGGTGGTGATGAAGAAGGCCGGGTACTCGGGGTACAAGCAGGACTACTTCTTGGGTCGGAGCAGGGTGCCGCCCTCCGAGAAGCTCCTGAAGCTCCTCGCCGAGCACATATTCCCCGGCGTCGACGACATGCTGAAGGAGGTATGTTAGTCGACGCCCTCGTAGCTTGCCGCCGAGTCGTGTTGCCGACCTTTTCTGAGCTCCCCGTACCCGTGACAAATGGCAGGCGGAAGGGAAGGCTGTCGAGGGGTCAGACGCCGACAAAGCCGCGGTGCACTTCTGGCGCACTCTCCTGATGCTGCGCCGCATCGTCGCCGAGGACCTAGCGGTGAAGCTAGTCCGCACACCATGGCACCCGTACGTCCAAGGTTCCAAGCTCTGCCGGATCCCCCTCTTCCAGCACTGGGCGAAACGGGTGGAGAGCGTCGACACCGAGACGATCAACAAGCGTCGCGACCCGACCCAAATACAGCCAGAGGTAAGTCGACGATACTGTCGCCGACGTGCAGTAGGGAGTGTAAACCAAACCACCGCGGCCCTCACGTTTTTCTCCTCCTACTGCTGCAGGAAATCTCGGTGCGCATGGACACCGAGTACTACAACATGTCCCTCATGGCCCAGATGCAGAAGGAGAAAGAGCGCGCCGCGAACGAGAAGATTGATCTCCTAGAGGAGATCGAGAAGCGCGACGACACCATCGCTGGGCTCACCGCCGAGCTAGCCCGTGTCACCGAGGCACTCCGCTTGTCGGAAGCACGGAGAGTGCCGGTGGCCCCGCCGTCGGCTCCCGCGCAGACTCCCAGCGATGGTGGATCGGCGGAGTCGGCCAGCACGGGGGCTGGAGCCAAGAAAGGGGATGACAAACCCCCGCCCCCCCCACAGACGGACGAGGAGGCCAGTTACGAGCTCAACGTGGTGCAACCGTGGCGGGAGGCAAAGACTGTGAGGGACGCTTGGCGCCTATGGAATTCCGCCACCGCCAATGACACCCGTCGCCTTTGCGACAGGGTCGCCGAGAAGGGATTCGTCGCCCGCCACACCCTCCTCACAGGAAAGGGCGCGACGCAGGGTGGGCTCGACACGAAAGTGCGACGCATGATGAGGGCCATGGATGCGGTGCGCCAGCTACGCGCGAGCGACGGCGACGCCGACACCGAGGCCGTGGTCGACGCACTGAACAGGATCGCGGCACCGGGCATTGGGACCTTCTGTGACGCCCTCACGGTGCTCAACCCGAAAACGGAACCGATGAAGTCGAAAGAGCCTGGCATGGGAGTCAAGGGGCTGGGCCCCAAGGTCGTCTCTAAGCTTCGCCTCGCCTGTGGGCTTGTCGCGCTCAATCTGAAGCCGGCCGAATGGCTCGAAGCCCTCTTTCCAGACACCTGGGAGGAGCAGATGCCGAAGACCAAGGCCGACCTGGCGAAGCCGACCGCACCTGCCAAGTCGACAGCACCGGCCAAGCCGACCGCACCCGTGCAGCGTCCTCCGACCAAGCGCAAGAAGACGGCATGAAGTCCCTCATGGGATATGCGTCTGCGTAGATTTTGGCAGACTTCAACAGCCCCCCCCCCCCCCCCCCCCCCCGCCCCATCCGACTGATGTTTCTGGTAGTTTGTAAACATCCCACATCAATGTCCATGCGAACCGATGTTGCCGATGTTGGTTGTTTGTCGCCCAGTACAGTAGGTGTGGCTAAAAATCACTGTCGACGTCATGCCGACAACCATGTTTCTGCACTGCTTATCGCCGACGTATCATGTGCATATCATGTCGACATATGCGCCGACTTGGCTCATCGGGTGATATTCGGCTAGCATGGTTATACAGTGACACCGAGTTGTTAGCCCAATATTGAAACGAACAGCACTTGAACAAAAAAAGGCCACATTTAACAAATCTACGCCAAAATCGGCGCCGTCCATACCAATATAGTACACACCCTAGCAACCTAGCAAACATCATTCCGCCGACTACGCATCCGTACTACCTCTTCCTCTTGCTGCCCTTGGCCTGCTTGACCTTCTCCCCCTTCCTCCCCCTGTGATCCAAGTCGTACTCCATCTTCGCGTCACACGGCACATCGATGCCCTCCGCTTTGAGCTTGGGCCCGTCGAGGGGGCACATTCCCCAGAACGCCAAGGTCTCGACCGTCGCTCTTGCGATCATGTCGGCCTCGTCTTCCTCAATGCCCGCCTCGAAGGCCCTGGCCACTCCATAGCGCTGCAGCTCTGGCGCGACGTTATGTGCAACCTCCCCCGCGGGAGCCTGCCGAGTGCGTGCGTGTTCGATAACCACGTGCATGACCATCGCGAAGTGCTCGCCCCTCTCCTTCCCCGCACCTGCCAGAATCGCGGCCGCCTTACCTTCGCCCACAGCACCGAGCACCGACGCCGGCGTCGACATGTAGCACCAGAGGGCGCATGCAGAGGCCGCTAACGCCTGGGCCCCCATCTGCACCTTCTCGTCCGCCTTCCTGTCCGCGCCTTCCATATCCGTCGTCTCTCCCGCGGTCGCCTCCGCGCTCCCGTCGACCTTCCCATACGCGACTCTCGCCGCGACCTTTCCATACGCCGCGCACATCGACACGCGATTCACCATCGCCGACATGTTGGCATTTGTCTCCGCCCTGCCTTCCTCCGTGTCCTCGATGATGGGGAACCACATCGCCGGCCAGAGCACGCCATGAAGCGCATCACCCGAACCTGCGTACCCACGGAACCTGCCGAGTATGTCGTCGAACCTGCCGAGCGAACACGTACACATAGAATTAATGACACCGACTTGGTCGTCAAAACACGGCATGTCGGTAACCGACTTACCTTGCTCTCGGATGGCACAAGCCTCTGGCCCACATCACCGTCCACATCCCGGTCGGCAGGATTTTGACCTCCTCCCACACCGCCTTCCATTCATCCAACTCTCCCGGCTTCAAGGCGGTGAGCTCCTTCATGAGCACCTTGCTCACGTAGCCGTCGTAGACGAAGTACGCAATCGCGTGCTCGTAGGCCAGCTCCATCTTGTCGCGGGACTTGCCGATGTACCGATTCTGGTTCTTGAACTTCATCTCGCCCACCCACCCCTGCCCGTCGCCAGACCTGTCTCGGCGGATGCCATGACCCCGGCGTCCATGCTCTTCCCCCTCCCCCACCTCCTCCTCCTCCTCCTCCTCCTTCTCCTCCTCCTCCTTCTTCTTTGCCGACTTACCCTTGCCGCCCGTCTTCCGTGCCGGCTTCTTCCCTTTGTCTTCCGCCATCTCCTTCCCCGCCGACACCGCCTTCCCTTTCCCGGTGTCGTCCTTACCCTTCCGTCCCGCATTTCCCTCGGCGACAACACCCGTTGCGGCCGTCGGCTCCGCCGAACCCCCTGTGTTGGTCGCCGACGGCTCCGCATGCGCCGTGTCCACGATGGCCAGTGCCGGGGCATGCTCGGGCCATTTTGCCACCTCAAACTGGGCCAGGACGGATTCGAGGGCGGCATGCCTGTCGGCGCGGCCGCCGGTGGCTAGCGCTGCACTGACTCCCCTCTCCGCCGCCAGATCGACCACAGCTGCTCCTGGGGAGGGTGCGGTCGCATTTACAGCCGTCGGCGTCGCGCTTGTGCCGGGTTCCGGCTGAGTGACTGGTGGAGCTGCCGCTTTGCGTGCGCCTATATGGGCGCGAAGAAACGCGGACTTGGGGTCCGCAGGCGGTGGGGCGGCGACCGGCCGCGCGGCAGATTGGGCATCGGACGGTTTGCCGGCAACGTGCGGAGTGACGGAGCGACGTGCTGTTTCTGCGAGGCCGGCGTCGACCACAGGATGCTGCTGCGCGCCCGGGCGGTGGGACTCCATGCGGTGGAGCAACACCCTAAGCGCGTTACTCCCGGGTGGCCCCTGTGCCGAAGCAGCCTTCGCGTCGACCTTGGCGGCAGTAGGGGCTGCTGGAGCTGGAGGGGCCGCACGGGCCTCCCCATGCTTCCCCGCACCTGACTGGCCGGCGGGCCCGGTGGTTGCCGCAGGCGGGTTACATGGTGTCGACTTGGTGGTTCCGGCGACCGTACCAGAAGCAGCCTTCGACTTGGTGCTTCCGGCGACCGTAGCAGAAGCAGCCTTCGACTTGCCGGTTCCGGGGACTGAAGCAGAGGCAGCCTTCGCCGTGCCGGTTCCGGCGACCGTAGCAGACGCAGACATCGCCTTGCCCTTGGCCGGCACCGCGTCAGACGGCCCCTGGGTGGTTCCGGCGCCTCCGACTTTCGCCGCCTGGGCAGTGGGGGCCGCGTCCTTCCCACCGCTCGCCTGAGGATGGGTCTGCTCGGCGTCCAAAGGCGGGCCAGGCGGTGCATCGACGTTAGCCGCGATCCCGTCGGCAGGTCTCCCGTCCGCCCCCCCGCTTCCGCTTCCCTTGCTGGTCGACCCTCCCCTCACCTTCCACCCCTTCGCCTTCAGCATGTCGACCACGCTCCGCGCAGGAGGCTTCGTGACGCGGCTCCCGTCCGATCCCTTGCTCCGCTTCGAGCTCTCCTTGTCGTCACCGTCGCCCGACCTCTTCAGGCCTTGCTTGTCGGCCGCCCTCTGTTGCGCGGCGTCGGCGTCATTGGCCGAAGGCGACGACCCACGTCGACCAGGCGCCACCGTGCCGATCATCTCGGTCAACATCTTCATCCCGGACGCAACGAACGACTGCTCGGTGGCCTCCGTCACCGTCTTCATGATGTCGGCCTTGAACGACTTCAAGAGCTCTTCCGGGAGGGCGGGCGGCGTGGGCTGAGGCGGTGGCGGCGGCTGCACGGGGAGCCTGCCGGTCACAGCTGTGGCGATGTTGACAGCTGCGGCGGACAACTGGCTCGTGATGTGCTCCCGCAAATCCTCCTGCGCATCGCCCACCACCTTGTCGACGTGGTCGGCCAAGGTGGTGACCGCTAAGGCGCGTTGATACGCCACATTTCCCTCCGGGTTGTCGAAGTCCTCCAGCCACGCCGACGCCTGTTCCGCGAAGGTCTTCATCGTCTTCCACGCCTCGTCGAAGCTGCCGGTGATGTTGCCCGTGATGGTCTGCGACATGGCCTCCGCCGCGTTTCGCAGCTGTTCCGCCGCATACTTCTCGGTGTCGTCGACCTGCTCGGCCAACTCCTTCAGGTGGTCGACGAGTCCACGTAGCCCAACAAAAAACGCGTCCAGCCGAGCCCGTTCCGCATCGAGCAAACCCTGCAGCCGAGCGTTCTCCGCCCTCAACAGCAAGTTCTCCCGTCGCAGCTCCTCGACGTCGTCCGTTGCAGGGCCCTGCCGACCAGATGCGTCCCCCGTCTCCTGCACGCCCGCGATGTTCGCACCTTCGCCGGCGTCGACCGACACCTTCGCACCTTCGCATGCCGCCTCCTCCTGGCCCGTTTCCGTCGTTGCCTCCACGCCGACCTCATCCTTTTCCTTCCCCTCACCTGCCGACCCCGTAGCATTACCCGCATCGCCATCCTCCGCTTCCTCGTTCTTCTCGTCCGCCGACCCCACCGCCTCAACCGTGCCGTCTGCGTACTCCAGCTCGTACTCCACCTCCTCCTCCACCCCTTCCTCGTGCGCCGCCTCATCCTTCCCGGCCACCACCTCCACCACCTCATCGTTCTCGTCCTTGCCCTCGTCATCCTCCTCGTCCTCATTCTCCTTCTCCCCTTCGTCCTCCTCCTCCCCCTCCGACTCCGACTCTGAGCCAGAGTCCGTCAACTCCTCTTCCTTCCTCCCTGCGCCTGCCGCATCGTCGCCTAGTCCTCCACCGGTTCCTCCTTCCGCGGACACCGGCAAGTCCTCCTGGCGCTGGGCGGCAGCTGCTGCTTGGGGCGCCGTCTGACTTTCCGCGCCGTCGTCATCAATCGCACCCTCGGCGGGTCCGTCGGCGCCTGAAGTCGGCGCCGCTATCCGGTTTTCGGCGACACGATGGCAGATGTAATCGACCATGCTATCACGGAGCGACCTCAAACCCGCGACCTTGATGTTCTCGATGCTCACAGCGCTCCGAGCCTTGTCGCCCGTCAGCAGGCCGATCTGCTTGGCCACCCACCCGAACGACGTCGCGGCAAGCATGCCGGTGCCGACATGCCCGTCCGACACTGTGCCCGGCACTTTCTGCATACAGCACAGGCAAGCGCGGCACAATATGAGCGGTGCATACAGATACGCGCAGACCGTAGCGGAGCCTAAACGTGCAACTCACGTCGCGGATAGGGTCGTCGCAGTCGGCAAGCCTTTCCTCCACCACTGCTTGTGATGGCGGCGCCCCGTCCCACTTCCTACCGGGACGCCCCAGCTCGGCCAGGGCAGCCGTGCGGAATAGCCTGGAGCAACGTAGTGGAGAGGAGGTCAGCATGAGATTCCCTGTGTCGGCGACTAACAAACTCGACAGCGACGACTATTCACAACTTACTTCAGGACGCGGACGGCCTCGTCGCGGTGCTTCCCCTTTCCGGTGTGCGGGTCGATGTGCCGGATCGATGTCCTGCAGACCTGTCCCTCAGCCTTCAGCACATCTCCTGGGTAGAGGATGGCTATGACGCTGCAGTGTGACCCTGGAAGCGGGCCGCCGCTGCACACGCAATAAACGACGGCGTCGACCACAGCATAAGGCGTTGATGCGGCCGACACTGAAAAACGATGACTGGACAACGGGGTAACAGCTCACGTCGATTTCAGCGGGATAGCGGCGATGTCGGCGTCGAAAGCCTTAGCAAAGCAAGAATGGTCGGCGGCTTTCATGGCCGATCGAAGCGGGCCGATCCCCAGCACCCACAACCGCAGGTCGTCCCGCCCAATGTCAAACCAAGCGAACCTGAGCGCACGAGTGAGCACGAGGGATGAGAACATGGCTGGTAAGCAAACGCTGCCATGTCGACGTGCTTCGTCAAACGCGCCCGCCGACGTACGTCGGAAGACAATCGGCGACAGTGCGCCCTACTAGGGTTGGTCGGCACCGACATCTTCCCTATTCGACTACCGCGACTACCCGCGTCCCACCTGATGGCGAGTCCAAAGCATCTCTCGGTGAACTCTTTCTTTTGGTCGCGAAGGACGGCGTAGTCGTTCCACTCTAAGGTGAAGCTGAGACCGCGACCCATTTGCACCCGAAGGGGAAAGTCGGCCGATGTCGGCGCCGACTTATCGGCGGCGGAGATCGGCTCCATATCTGTCGACTAAGAAAAGAGGCGGACGGCTCTGGTAGGAGAGAGGGGAGGCGCAGAGCTGTCAATGTTTGAAAATCCAAAAGAGATGCCGAAAATGCGGAGCGAGGCCACCTTCCACAAAGAAAAGGAGGTGGTGCCCCCCCCCCCCCCCTCCAGGCCCAAGGGTGCAGGGCCTGGCTCGGCAGTGCTCGGAGGGCGGATGCGCAAGTGGCACAGGTGGTCCGTCTCCGCCTTGGTAGAGCGTCGACTTCGCGTCCATTGGCCCAGGTCGGCGAGGGGACGCACGAATCCTCCTGCGCGCGGAGCGACGCTACAATCGACACGTGTCGATTTCGTAGCGGTTCGCGACGATAGAATGCATGCGATGGGAGAGAATTTATTTCCGCCTCGACAAAAATTTCGCATGCGCCCGATGCGAAGCCACGGGCGAACACGTGGCGCCACCGCTGCGAATCGCGAAATTGTCGAGTGTCCCGAGGGGGGCCCGTATTTTCGCACGGCCCTCGCCTGCCCGTCCGGGCAGGCCGCGATGGGTTACTAGGACCTCGCGGGCAGGCAGCACGTGTGGGCTGCCTTCGCGCGAGGGTAACTTTCCCTCGCGCGAGGGGTCGCCAGCTCGCCGACCCCACCCAGTAACGTGGGTCGCTGTTCAATTTCGGAGGGCGGCGGTCGTGCGCTCGGCCCAGCCCTGGGCCAGGCTGGCGGGCCCGCACGCGCGTCAGTCGCCCGCCTCGTCAGGCCCTCCTCCGACGACCCCTCCCGTCGACACTGGCAAAACGGGTCCGACGACCGAGTTCCGATGAGGCTTTCGGCTTGGCAATGGCTGCCCAACTGATTTGGCGGGAACACTTCAAGGGCTGACAGTGCGAAATTGCGACTAAAATGGGGACATCATTGCCCCGTCTTCCGAAGCATCTACACCTAGCCTGGATACCTAAGAACCTGAGCTATAATTAATAGATTCTACAACTGCAAAGCCGAGCAATCAAAACTCCTAGAACAAAGCCTAAGACGCCCGCTACGGTGGCAACTAATACAGCCAGCCAAAGCATATCTTCTAATCTTCTTGATAGTTCTGAAGAGACCCCTCTGCAAGAACAAAGCAAGATCCCCAACATAGCCGTAAGATGTAAGCAGGAAACTTGTAAAAAAAACATAGCAGTACATAGCCAGCAGGAGACATGTGTGAGATAAACTCACCTGGCACTGATTATGCTTTGTCGAAGGCTCTCCACTTGTTCCGAAACATCCTTACGAATTCCCTCCAGCTCTTTTTCATGCCGACGCTCCTGCACAGGTCATACCAGCAACCGAAACCTAGGTCAATTTCCATGCATATTCCACAAACGAAAACTCAAAAGAAAACACATAAAACCGTCGCACACAAAACAGCCAGCAAGCACACAAATCCCTCGCATACAAGCACACACACCCCCCCCCCCCCCCCCCCCCCCCCCCCCAAAAACACATGAACACAAAAATCCACTCACTGCATTCTGCAGCTGCGCCTGCAGCCCTGCAATGGTAACCGTTGCATTCCGCAATCGCGTGCGCAGCGACAGAAGCTCAGCATCTGTAGAAGCGAGATTAGCCGCATACGAGGCCGCCATGTCTTCAACATACTGCTCCAGCACCGCCTGCTTGTCCTCCCACAGCCTCACCATGTGCATCAGCGACTTGAGCCCGTACAGGTTGCTGGCAGCGCCGGCAAAGCTGCTGCCGCTGCTGCTGATGCTGAACGTGCTGCTGGTACTGGAGACCACCTGAGCTCCACTAGTGAGGGCTCCGTTATTGCCTAATGCACTGCTGGCTGTCGAGTCAGTGGGTGTCCCACTGGCGGGCATTGCAATGGTATCCGTCTCGTTATTGCCTGTTGTGCTACTAGCATCACCTCCTCCCCCGCTGCTGGTGCTGCTGGTGATCGTGGGAGTGGTGGTGGTGGTGGTGCTGCTGCTGCTCCCCACCTCAGCCTCACTGCCGGTCCCAGGCACCTTTCCTGTGATGTTTGGTTGCGACGATATACCATCCCCGTTAGTGGGATATCCACCATTCGTTACTGTGTTCCTGTTGCCTGCTAAACTGCTACCTTCTGAGCTGCGCTCATCGCCCGTCATAGATCTCGATTCCCGAGTTTCTTGGATTTTATTGCCGCCCGGATCAGAGAACCCTTTCTGCTGACCATCTGCTGCTGCCGACGGTGACCCCAGCACCACACCTGTCACTGGTGGTTTCTCCTGGATGCTCTCTTCCTTGTCTGATAAACCACCTGATAAACCACCTGAAGGAGCAGCTTCCAGCCTGCCTCCCCCTCCACCCTCCACCATATTCCTGTTCACTCCCTCTCCCTCCCCTCCACTCTCCCCATCCATCTTTGCTTCTCCTGCCTCCATTTCACGAACTCCTGCCTTCCCATTTGCACCTGCCTTTTCACCCGAACCTTCCATATCATCCAAACCTCCTTCTCCCAGCGCACCTGCCCCACTAGATGAACCAGTCCCAGGGGAAGATCCCTGATGAGAGGGCGTGGGAGCAGATGGCATGGAGGGAGCAGAGGGGGAGGAAGAAGCAGACGCAGCACTTGCCTCACTGCCAGCCGCACTAGCAGTGAAAGCTTGACCTTCCGCCTTCCCAGTGGCACCTTCACCATTTGCTTCTCCAGGGCCAGCTTGACCTTTCAGCTTTTCAGAAGCAGCAGCAACTGAGCTGCCTCCACAAGACACACTGCTGGCTTCTCCCTTGGCCAACTGAGCTGCCGCTGCCTCCACCTTTGCCTCAGCCTCAGCCTCTGCCTTGGCGACATTCCTTGCATCTGCACCTATCTCTGCCTGCGCCTGTCCCTCTGCCTCGGCTTTTTCTTCTCCCTTCGCCAAACCGGTCAATGACGAACCTCTGCCATCCCCAACCGCACTTTTCACCTTAGCCTCTGCCTCGCCTCTACCATTACCGCCCTCCACACCCTCCGCTTCCTCGCTTGCTCCTCCTCCCACATCCCCCCCATTCTCCCCCTTCTCCCCTGCCACATGTCTAGCCTCATCCGAACCTAATCCCCTACCCAACAACTTCAAATCTCTCCCCTCAGCTTCTCTCGTTCCCCCAAACTCTCGTCTAGCCGGCTCACTACCAGAATCACTCTGCTCCTCCTCCGCCCCATTGCCTTCCCTTCCTCCTTCCACCCCACTCCCTCCCTTTGCTTCTCGCCCTCCTGAAGCTCCAGTCCTATCCTCCTCCAAGGAAAGAAGCTCCCCAGAACCTTCTCTGCTCCCTAGCTCTGAAGCGCTGCCTTTTGGCCTAACCGCCCCTGCTCCTCCCTCACTACCTGCCACAGCGCCTGCTTCAGTGCCTGCTTCAGAGCCTGCTTCAGAGCCTGCTTCAGCATTTGTCCCAGCGCCTACGCGCACGCCTGCCTTAGAATGCGCCCTTTCTACATTGGAACGGTCTCCCGCACTCATGCCCACACCTCCCCCAGCATCACACCCAAAAGAAACATCTGCACCCGCTGCTGCTCCCCTTTGCTCTGCTGCTCCATCTACTGACGCACATCCTGCACCATCTCCCTTCTCAGCCAGCTTCGCACTCTCTCCCTCTCCCAACCTGCCCGCCCCATGCCCTCCCCCCGTCCTCCCCTCATCCCAAGCCGCTTCACCTGCTGCAGCCGCACCACACTCCCCCTCAGCACTCCCATTGTCACCTGTCCCCATTGCCCCTGTACTTATCCGCAGCTTCTCCTCTTCCCTCCCCTCAACTTCCACCCCACTCTGAATCGAACCCACATTGCTCCCTGTGGTGGTGTTGCTGCGTCCACTGCTCCCTGTGCTGCTACCACCGCTCGTGACGTTGTCTCTACCACTGATGTTGCTTCTGCCACCACTGCCACCAATACTCCTTAATGAATCCACTCCTTTCTCAGGCACTACTTTACTGCTGCCTCCCCCGCTGCCCTCGCTGCTCCCTTCCCCTTCCCTCTCAGTACCGCGCTGCTTCAACCCACCTTGCTCCTCCACCCCCCCATGTGCCTTAACTACCTCACCGCCTTGCTGCTCCCCACTCCCGTGCCCCACCTCTCGTTCCTCTACGCCCACTGTACTGCTCCCACCAGACTGCTCCTCAGCCTCCATAGAGGAAGTTTTCGGAACAGTTGAGTGAGGAACCGAGCCAGGAATGGGTGGTTGAGGGGTGGCGTCGGCACCTGTGTTGCTAGACGCGCCTGTTGACTCGCCAAAAGCAGCAGCGGCCGCAGTATCAGCAGTAGCCGCAGCAGCAGAAGCTGCGGCAGCATCTTTGGTAGCAGCAGCCGCAGCACGAGGAGGGGCAGGAGGAGGAGCATGAGGAGGAGGAAGGGAGTGAGCCGGAGGTTGGGAAGGCTGGACAGGCTGAGGAGAGTCACGAGAGAAGGGAGAGCTTGTGGGAGCAGCAACGCCAGCTGCTTCTGTAGCAGCAGCAGCAGCGGGTACGGAGAGTGGCGGCGATTGCTCAGTTGGTGGCACACTGGACGGTGGCTCAGAGCCCTCTGCCTGGGCTGGCACCGCTCTGGAACCCTCTGAACCCACTGAACCATCTAAGCCCTCAGACCCCACCGTCACCACTTGGGGAATGGTAACCACTTCAGGAGCAGTAACCATTTCACGAGTGGTAACCACTTGAGGAATGGTAACCGCTTGAGGAGTGGTAACCACTGGAGCGATAACCGCCTGAGGAACCACCGGCAGCGTTGGCGCAGCTGCAGCAGCAGCAGCAGCAGCAACACCCTGCCTGCCCGGAGGAGCAGCAGGCACGGCCTGTCTGCCAGCCCCCATCATCCTTGTCATCGCTTCCATCTCCTCCCTCAGCCCATCTAGCTCGTTCACCCCATGCACTCGCACCAGACTCAGCGTGCAGAAGAATTCCGCCCCGTGGTGCGACAGCTGCCGCACCATTACGTACCGCACTGAATCCCCTAAATCTCCGCTGCCTGTCACCTCGAACGCCTGGGGCGTCCGCACGCTCTGCGCTGAGAAGTTTCCCAGAAAGTGCCAGCGGTCCGAGGGGTAGTTTCTACTAGCCCAGACTTCAAAGTCCTTAGTAGAAGACGCGTAGAACTCGTAATTTGCGAGTACGATCGTTTCTATCCGCGCTAAGAACTCGGAGAGCTCTATAACGAGGAATTTGTTCGCTACACTGCACGGGATGCGTAGATACTTGTCCTTATCCTCGTCTAAAACAGCCTGGGGTCGTTTCGCCTCGCTGCTACATTCCACTATCTTGGCGCCGTGATTCGCGGAGGCATAGTTGTATCGGCTCTTATCTGTGCCCGTCTGCCTCCGCCGAGGCCATTCTGGTGGTTGACCACCCATTCCGCCCGCCATTCCGCCTGCCATTCCCCCGCGCATCCCTCCGCCCATCCCTCCGCCCATCCCCCCCATCCCTCCGCCAATCCCCCCCATATCAACCATTTCCCTCATTTGCGCCCCTCCCATTGCACCGCCTACCATCTGCCCGCCTCCCATGGGCGGAAAACCAGCGCCAGGCACAGGGACCGCGCCCCCCGCGGGAGCAACCGCATCCGCGGGTACACTGGCGGAAGCTCCGCCCGCTGCGCCTGGCACTGCGCCAGCGTACGCTACTCCCGAAGGGGGGCTGGGCACTCCCGCGGTAATCACCCCCGGGGGAAGTTCGTTTCCTTCCGCCGCCCTCTGCTTGTTGAAATATTCCCGCTTGTACGCGTCCAGGCCGGGGGGGATCACGCGCACTGGCCGCGCAGGTTCCGCGTCATCGTCGTCAAAAAACGACCCTGCTTTCGCTGGAGCGGCGGCTCCTGGTGGTTCCACTGCGGCTGTCTCTGCGGCTGCTGTCTCTGCTACTCCTCTTTCTGCGGCTGCTCTTTCTGCTGCTCCGCGTTCCGCCGCTGCCCGTTTCGCCGCTGTTGCATCTCCAGTTGTCGCTGCCTCCCCTATGGAGCGCTCTTCTCTTCCTTCCCCTGCGGTTTCCCCAACCTTCCCCGATTCCCCTGCACCGCTTGCTCCAAGCGTTGCCTCTTTATGCCTAGCCCCGCGCGTGCCGGCTTCTGCTGATAACCCCGCTTGCGCCGCCGCGCCGGTTGCCGCTGTTGCGCCCGCATCTACCGGCGCAGCACCGCCAATTCGGCCCAAATCCTCGATATTAGCCGAGCCCGTGAGTTCTAGCGAAGACTCCGCGACCTTCTCTGATACCGTCACGTCGCTCACAACCATACTTACTTCCCCTCCAGAAATTCCCTGCGGGTTCGGTATCTCCTTACCAGCATCGGCCTGACTCCTCGCAGGATCGCTCTGGCTTCTCTGCTCTGCTCCCGTCGACTGCTGCGCCACTCCCCGCCGCGACTCCACTTTTTCTCGGCTACCCAATTCTGAGGTTGAAGGACGGGAAAGGGTTGGCGTAAAAGTACCATGGTTCCCTTGATGCGATGCGCAATCGCGCAAACCAGTGCTAAAGCAGCTTTCGAACCCGAAGAGCAAAACTTGAAGGAGATTCAACGAGGTCGTCAATCCCTGTAACGGAAGCACCAGCGGCGATTTGTAAGTCTCGTGGTACGTGCCGTCGTCGCCGCAAACTTTTGGTAGTCCTTTCGTGATCCCCGCTGCGCTACTGGTTGCGGTACTAGGGCAAGTCGCTCTGCCTTGCTCCACGCATGCCTCTGCTCGGCCGCGCTGTTGGTGCTTCTGCTGCAGCTGCAGTGAGAACAACGTGCGATTCGGGTCAAAATTGCCGCCGAGGAACGCGGGCGATAGCTGAACGTCGCCCCAGCACAGCAGAAGAATTAAGGTTAAAACCAGACTGGCTGTTCGACCTAGCGGAAGGACAACGACCGCCATTTTGGAAGACGACTTGCGGCCAGACGTGAGTACAGTGGGACGAAAGCCCAGGCGATCCATCGTGACCGTCCATAACTATCACCTAGGCTGTACCTGAGATCATTCTGAATTTAGAAGCTGGAGCACAAACACGCAGAAAGAGCAAAGATCATGTAGGAAGAGAGGTTGATCAAAACACCACCACACCAGGCGGGTGGTACAAGGTCAAGGGAGTGGAACGACAGGTTCCCAACCCCAAGGTTGTGGTGGAAGGGAATGGATGGAAGCCTTGGGTTTTGTGCCTTTGGAATTGGGTGCTCTGCTGCTATGAAGGTTTTGTTCAGATTTACCCCCTCACTTCTCAGGGTGGACTGATGATTGTCAGCGAAAGTGGAATCGCACAAGCGAGGGACACTCGAGAAATTTCCGTATGGTAGTGTTCTTCCGCAGAGCTTCGGTGCACGGCATGGCTAATTTTGTGTTTCTGCAAGTCCTGAAATCGGCAAAAAAGTACAGAGGGGCAGTCGCAAACGTTTTGGACATGAATATTGGACAAGATGGCGGCACTAACGGGGATGCTCTCGATGTGCCATGGAATGAGGGCGCATTCCTATGGCGGGTCTGTAAAGGTCATCCGCCCTTAGTCTCTGATTTGTCTCTTCTCAATGTTGATTTGCCCCTATTTTGAACCACTTCGGGTCTTCCGAGCTTCTAAGGACGGATGACCTGATGTCAGACACGAGGTAGAAATGCACCCTGACAAGTATGGGTGACGCGATCCGGCGTGGTTTCTTGGTTCAGGAATGTAACGCAGGCCGATTGCGAATAAAGTGTGAGTTTTCGTGAGCATGTGCGAGATCTCATGCGACGTCCGTACGCTCTGACAAAAATCTGAAATCGGGACCCACCACAGTGAATCGCCCACACACATAATTGCAAATTGGAACAACATGTTTTAGGAATAAAGAGCATTCTCATCAGTGTAGTTGTTCTGTGCTCATCAACAGCAATACATCGTCACCTTACAGAAACCTAGAAATCTCATCCATTTGTTGACGTGGCTCTCCCATGATCGAGGAGTGCTGTCATTATCAGCCCAATGGCCCCAGCAGGTCCAATGTGGCCTGTAATTGGATGTGGATGACACAGATTTTCGCCAGCGTCAGCTCATCAGCGCTAATCCGCGCAGAACACTCCCTGACACAACCCCTCGTGGTTTGCAATTGCGATTGCGCACCCCTTCCTTCCCCTTCTCATCCCTTCCCCCTCCCCCCTTTCCTCCCCTCCCATGGGACTAGCTTCAATATTTCCCCGCAGCATGCCTTCCATCTTCCTCTTTTCTGGATTTCTTCTGGAATCCTTACCCATTTGCTTCCTTAGGCTTAGGAGCTCAGTAGAAATCCCTTAGGTTAACTCAGATATTTACTCCAGAAATAGGTATTACGTTGTTTCCTACCATTACGAACTTCGTGATTTTAGTGCTCATGATCGGAGGATTTTATTAGTTTTTAGTTTCCTCTAGCTGATACAACAGCTACAGCTTAGCTTATCTTTGCGTAGAAATGGCGTCAGCGAACTTCTTCTCCCTCTTGGGGGGAGACGAAGTAGAGGATCCGGGGGTCTTCTTGGCTCGCGCTGAGGAAGAGCAGGCCAAAAAAGCAGCAGCTGCTCCTAAGAAAGGTATTCACCAATGTAGTCACTGTTGCATCCCCATTTTCACCATATTCTTACAACTGCAGGGCTGCATTTGATCAATCTGACATTCTCGAGGGGATTCTTTCTCTGCGGTCTCGTCGATCTTTTTTTTTCCAGATTCCAAGCCTGCTGCCAAGCCAGCAGCCGCCGCGAAGCCCACACCTGCTGCGCCAGCCGCCGGTCGTGGAGCCGGCGCAGGAAGAGGCGGAGGTCGTGGTGGAGGCGGACGGGGAGGCGGACGGGGGGGTTCGTACCCCGCGGAGGGGGGCCAGGATGGCGGACAGCCGTACAGGAACCGACAGCTGCGCGGAGAGGACGGCGAGGTGTCTGGAGGCGGTGGCGGAATCCGCAGCGGTGGCGGCGGCGGCGGCGGCGGTGGCGGCGGTGGCAGTGGCGGCTATGGCGGTCGCGGTCGGTCCGGCGGAGGTTCCCGGGGAGGCGACGGGGAGCGGAGGGGGCCTCGTCGGGAATTCGACAGGCACAGCGGCACTGGCCGTGGGTGAGTTCTTGGCTGTACGACGATGCTTGGAAACGAAGAAGCGGCTATGCTGGATTATCCGGTTTGTGCGGGTCTTTTAATCGTCGACGATCTAATTACGTGACATTTCTCGGGTTCTTTTCCTGTTTTCTTCTTTCATTGTATTTGATCGCAGTCACGAGATGAAGCGCGACGGTGCCGGACGCGGCAACTGGGGGCGAGCCGACGAGGTGCCGCAAACGGGGTAAGTCCGTTGGAGTCTGGTCGTCGTTGTAGGTTTTTTTTTTTCTCTTTATTAAGATTATGTAGAGTTCTTTCATTGTCTCTGTTTCGTCCTGTCCCAGGTGCTGTTACTCACATTCCTTCCTGTGAGCTCCGTAGTTTCCTTTACAGTAGCATATGATGTCGCTCTTCAAGAGCTTAAATATACGTTGAAAAGAGCGCTCGCTCTTTACTGAGCACACCTTTTTCCTGATGCTACTACACGTTAAAGCTCCTATTGTCTTCTACCTTCATTGCCACCTTTGTTTCTGTTGGCACCGTCATGGGTGCCGTTTCGACAAAATTCATTGGCACAGGAAGCTACTCATTGAGAGCAGTCCATCTCATGAAGTCATGTGGAATCATGCAGTAGCGCGTGATGTCGCTCGTTAGGAGCTTAAATATACGTTGAGAAGGGTTTTTCCGCTCTTCCATGAGGTCAAATTTACCCTGATGCTACTGTTCGTTTCGTTTCCCTTGCTTCGTCATGATTGCTTCGTCGTGATTGCTTCGTCGGTTCGACCAACCGACCGGCAAATGTGGCGGCTGCTTTGGAGGAAAGTACTTAACCGTCGTTAAACCTCCTCCCCGATAGTTCACAAGTGTCGCTAATAGTTCCGCCTTTTACCGTTTGCCTCACTCGCTGGTACGTTGTGTGTGCTGCTTGCCAGCGATCAGGAGGAGGCGGGCGAGTAAGGGGAGGCCAAGCAGGCCAATGGAACAGTTGATGAATTGATAAAGAAACTCGCTCCTCTTACACCCACTGGTTCCCTGTTTTTGCTGCTTGCCGTGCAGCGATCAGGAGGAGGCGGGCGAGGAGGGCGAGGTCAAGCAGGCCAACGGAACGGCGGAGGGAGAGGCCGCTGCTGCTGAGGGCGACGTTGCTGCGGGAGAGGCTGCCGCTGAGGCTGCCCCTGCTGAGGAGGAGGACAAGGTGAGGCTTTAATTATAAGCCGTAAGATTGTTTGCTGACTGACGGGTTGATGCGTTTTTCCTTTGCTCCTTGTCCAAAATTCATTTCCCGAAGGCCCGATGCATTGGGTATTCTCTCTCCATCCACGCGGTGTCTTTCATCTCTGTGCCACGTGCGCTGCTCCACGCCTTTCAAGCCCTAAACCTCCCGATTTTCATTCTCTACTTAACACGCACACAGCCCCCCTAATCGCTCATTACGTTCTGAAACCTTCTCTTCCCGCAGAGTTTGTTTATAGCTGGTACGACACCTCCCTCCTCTCCACCCTTCTTCCGTGCCCTTTCCGTCTGGAGAAGGTTTCAGAGCATTACGAGAAGCTGCGCGAGGAGAAGCGCTAGGCGCTGTGCCTCACTCTATTTGCGCCTCCCTCCGTCCACCCTATCCCCCCATTCCCCCGTCAGGAGATCACGCTCGAGGAGTACGAGACGGTGCGCGAGGAGAAGCGCAAGGCGCCTCACTCACTCTACCGCCTCCCTCCCCCTTCCCCCCCTCGTCTTTCCATCCTATACCCCCGCAATCTTATCAGGAGATGACGCTCGAGGAGTACGAGAAGCTGCGCGAGGAGAAGCGCAAGGCGCTGGCGGCGAGCCGCACGGGGGAGGCGCGCAAGGTGGAGGTGGACCCGGAGATGGCGGCCATGGCGGTGCACAAGAAGAAGGACGTCGATGAGGACGCCGTTTTCGTCAAACTCGTAAGGAAACTCTTTTGCACGCCCTCGCTTCTCCCCCGTCGCTCCCGCACGCCTTAGCTCCAAGAAGAATGACGTTGATGAAAACGACGCCGTTTTTGTCAAACTCATCCTTGCTCTTTCCCGCCCTCGTTTCTTTCCCTTCTCCCCCACTCCCTCCCCCTCTTCCCCCCCCCCCCCTTCCCCCTTCCTGGGGCTTCCCTTTCTTTGTCCCCCCTCACGCAGGCTGCTGACAAGGCTGCAAAGAAGCGGGAGAAGACAGACGATGAAGACAAACCCAAGGTAAGACGCACGACGAGATGCCTCCATATGTTTGCGGGCGAGGGTTCAGGGTTTTATTGATTTGTATAGGGCATAGTCTATTGAAATGGTGGAAACACGTCAGTGGTTGGCTGCCGCATCTTGTCCATGCCCCCCATAGAAGCACTTTCTATTCCCTCACCATGCATCCCCGTCCACCCCACATCCACCCCTCTCATCCGCCCAAGAGCCTTTCTGACACATGACGTGAATAATTTTTTGGTGCATATTCCGTCTTTATTGTCTTTCTGAGAATATGTGAACTCGTGTCTTTGTTTCAGCTTTTGTTGATTATAACCTTTCCTTCCTCTCTTCCCCTCCGGCCATCCCTCGTCACCCCTCTGCACCCGACACTACATTCCTCCATTGGTCACACTCTCCCTCCCCTCCGCTTTTCCGATCCTCCAGTCCTCCCCTCAAGTCATTCAACCCCTCCTTCCTCTCCCATCCTCCCTCCTCTCCCATCCTCCCTCCTCTTCCATCCTCCCTCCTCTCCCATCCTCCCTCCTCTCCCATCCTCCCTCCAGTGCTAAACTTGTGTTTTCTTTATCTCCTCTCCCCCCGTCCTCTCCCCCCTCCTCCCCCATCCTCCCTTCCACTCAGACTGTGAACATCAACGATTTCCTCAAGCCAACGGACGGCAGCACCTTCAACCCCCGGCGCTCAGGAGGCCGTGGTGGAGGCAGGGGGCGTGGTGGGGGGCGGGGGGGGCGCGGAGGCCAGCAGCAGCAGCAGCAAGCAGTGGAGATAGCAGATCAGACTCAGTTCCCCTCGCTGGGTGCTGCTTGAGTTGTCTGATGCAGAGTGCTCGTGGTGCTGTGATTCATTAATAGCAGTATGGGGGAGAGGATTTCGGGTGGTTTTGGGGGTGGTTGGGAGGGGTTGAGGGTGATAGGGGGGGAGTGGCAGGGGGTGCGGACGGCAGCGCCGGCTGCGGCAGCAGCAATTGGAAGCCATTGCAGATTGTGCTCATCTTCTGTGTTTTGCCTCCAAGTGTATCTTGGCCACTGGTGCTACCGTGATTTTTTCTCTTCAACAGTCTAGGTGTCTTAGGCGTCTTGATTCTTATACTGTAGCTTGTTTGGTGTGGCTTAGCGACGTGCGGATATGTTTTTATCAGGGTTCGGTCTCTCTTCAAGCCTTGTGATCCAACACCAATTGTCCGTAAGATGTTGGGCAGTGCCCTGGGAGTAATCAGGAATGTTGGGCAGTGCCCTGGTAGTAAGCTGGTACCGCATCCTGAAAGTAGCATTGAATGTTATCAGTGGACATTACCCATAAATGTACAAAGTGTACATCTGCAAGCCTCAGCATACAGAAAACATGACAAAATTGTAGTGACATGAAGTGTTCGGTATACGCGATAACAACTCCACTGAGTTTAAATGTCGTGTCGCCGTGACTCCTGACCACAAGTGAATTATAATAATTGCTTTAGAGAAAATGGCGGTTAACGCCGGCTTTCTTTGATTGAAGCAGCGCTGCAGCCGGCCGCAGGATGTAATTGGTGGACGGATTTTCTGGAACTCACTGCTGCTGCTGACACGCTCGCCATACAGTTCCAGTCACATTTCTTCTTGTCGATGCGCGTTGGGTGGGGGCTGTGCGCTTTACACTGTACACCTACCCACTTCATTCGGGTGACGTGGAATTCCCATTGACCGAATTCGGGTGCGTTGGGTGGAAGGAAACTGTTTTCGGTCAGAGTTGCCCGAACGGGACTGTCTCGCAGAGAGTAACGACGTAACCGTCATAGCAGTGGCGGAACAGCCCATATGGCTTCGCAAACCATTCGGCGGCTTAGCTGCCAATCACGAAAAATCAGACGGGGCAAGGCAAGGCAACCAAGCCGCCAAGAAGCGGCCTTTGTGGGCCACACAACAGTGGGGTTGGCTCTAGTCCAGTCGCCCTTGCAAGAATGCTTTTTCAACGATTGGATGAGCTTCTGCGACTGTGCGCCTTGTTCGTTTTGCAGCTTGCGAAATCAGACGAGCAGCCAGGTTCAGCTGCGGACCAGCCCCCTCCAGGCTTCCCTCCACCTGCAAAGCTGATCCGAGCTACAATCGCAATCACGACTCACATCATGAGTGGTTGCAATTGATGGAACTGAATGCGGTGAGATGACTGTTTTGGGCGGAGAGCAGCAACAACTAGACGGCGCAAGTGAAGCGAAAGCAGGCGAGAGCTGTAGTACACTCGCCTGGCTGGATCGACAAGGGCAGCGTGCACACTCGCCCAGACGTCGATTTTATTTCATCTGAGTGGACCTAATCCTGCACGTGTCCGCTAACCGCCGAGTCTGTGGACCACAACGCTGTGCGACGGACCCTCCATCCGCCGTCAGCGTCGCACCGCGCGGCGAGCATCAGCGAGAAGGTTTCAGGATTCAAGTTGTTAACGAGCATATCATGGTCCGACGAAGAGTCTTCATGTACTCAGGTTGAAGAGGAAGGGTGTATTCGCCTCTCGCATTTAGGTGCATGCACCCCCCAGTGTGCTGTTCTCACTCTCAGCACAGTATCAGAGCTTCGCAGCTACTGGATTGAACCACAAGTAGCAGCCCTGAAGGCCTGAAGCACAAGTAGCCCTGGATCAGAGAGAGGCATTGCAAAATTGTTACTCAGCAATTTAGCGAAATTTCCCGATCTGTCCTAGTTCATCTGTTCCTCAGTGAGGCCTATACAGCCCTGTTTTTTTCTGTCTGGAGTTTCGTACGGCAAAGACGATCGAGGAAGTTAAGCCGTCCGATCATGTTCCATATTACTTCACCAGATCGGCGGTCGGGGATCGTTCGATCGCCGGGGGAGAGAAGGAGGACTTGGTAGCATAAAGGGGCGGGACGCCGCGGGCTCGATGCGTTCCTTTCTCAGCAACAGAGCGGGCTCTAGGCTCATTATTAGTAATATTTTATGTTTATTTTTCGTCAGGTCTTTTTGGTACATATCTTTGTTGGGCCGCACGGGCGACGAGGACGTATCGTGATTCCACTTAGTTAAATTCTGCCGCCATTGCGGGTCTATCCTTTCCCATGAGTTCCCACGGTCCGTTCCTCGCATGCTTCAACCAATCCCCGCACGCGACGCTAGGCGATTCGCCGCCTGGTTCGCCGACGACTGCCGCCGTCGTCGTCGCCGAGCGACCACTGTGCGACGACTCGACCACGTCGCGCACGGATGTGCGACAAGGGGACGGAGTCGTGAGCACGAACGCGCCTCAAATGCGCAGCAACCCGGCCGTCGCAGCGGTGCCAGGCACAACGACCGTTCGTGCTACTGATGCAAGTACTAGCAATCCTATTAGTACCCGTACTGCCAGATTGGACGAACCACTACTAAGTTTTAGAGAGTATGACGTGGATTGGATATGTGCCGCCACGTGGCATTTCTCGAAGCGCTGTATTGTCAGCCAAGGATGGGACTCCACAGTTTTTACCATACCTGGGCAGAGGGTAGCAGACAATGAAGGCGCCTCGGCGGGAGGCTCGGCAGGAGGCTCTTCAGGAGGCTTGGCAGGAGACTTGGAAGGAGGCGCGGCAGGAGGTTCGGCAAGAGGGCCGGTGGGAGGGTCAAACAGCTTGAGGGTGAAGCGGTTTGGTGGGCAAGGCTGTTCGCTCTCGAGGGAAGCCGAAGCTGCCTTCCAGGTACGGATAGACTGTTTGTTGGGGACTGAGGAAGAGAAGGGATTGCCAGGGATAACTTCAGCATAAAACCCGAAACCCCGTTTTTCTTGCGTAACACAACTTGAGCAAATGTTGTGACCTAATCTCCTCATTCCGTCTCTACCTCACTCTTCGCATTACCTCCTCACTGCCCACCCGTAGCTCCCCTCAAACACCCCCCTCCACCCTGCTTCACTCTTCCCCCTCCCCCCGACCCCCTTCCCCCTTCCCCCTTCCCCCTTCCCCCTTCCCCCTCCACCCCCCGTTCCTCTCCCCCTCCGCAATTGTTGCCTATCAGGAACACGCACGTGCGCTCTCACGCCTCTCCCACCCCTCCCTCCTCCCCCTTGTCGGCTACTCACCCTCCCCTATGCCCTCTCTCCTCTTCCAATCCATCCCCGCCCCTGCTGATCCCCATTCATCTCACACACCCCCTCACCCTCACTTACCGCACTCAACGGCTCCCAATCCCCCAACTGCTGCGCCAACTGCGTTCTCACCCGCTATTCTGGCTGCACCAGCTGCTGCTACTGACCCAGTTTCAGCAGCCACGGTGACTTTTGAGTCGACTCAGAAGCCAGCTGCTGCTACTGACCCAGTTTCAGCAGCCGCAGTGCCTCTTCCTCTCCCCTGTCCCCTCTCCGTCGCTCTCCCTCACACCATTACCCCTCCCACCGACGGTGATGATGGCGCCGGGGGTTTTGCTGAGCGATCCTCGCCGTCGATTCCGCCGCCCAAGAGGTTTTGCAATGGCGGGTTTGCCCGGAGCCGTTTGCCGACCATCCCCAGTATAGGCAGCATCAGTAGCAGCATAAGTGGCAGTAAACGTGGCAGCAGAAGCGGCAGCATAAGTGGCAGTTTGAGTGGCAGTGGCAGGTCGCTGCTAGGAGGGAGTGGGAGGTCGCTTGGTGGGGGGTCGGGCGTAGGGGGGAGTGGGAGATCGGGTGCAGGAGGCAGTGGGAGGTTGGTTCTAGAGGGTAGTGGGCGATCGGGTGCAGGAGGAAGTGGGAGGTCCCTTGGTGGTGGCAGTGCTGGGTGCTTCTCAGGTAGAAAAGAGGACAGTGATGATGATGGTGAGGGTGATGATGAGAAGGAGGAGGAGGAGGAGGAGGAGGATGAGGAGGAGGCTTCTCAGGGGAGGAGTGGAGGGAGTGAGGAGGAAGGAGGGGGAAAGGGGAAGGGGAGATCGAGTGGTGAAAGTGGCAGTAGCGGTGCTGGCCCTGCGACTCTAGAGTGCGATGAGTCTCCCACACGAGTAGACCCGGCCACACAAAGAGACTCGCCCACAGTTGAGGATTCAAGCACGTCAGTCGGACGAGGAGAGTATGTGGAAAGAGGAGCAAGTCCCAGGCTTTTTGAAGGAGCTGCAGTGCTGTCGACGGTGCAGGAAGGTGGCAGCGAAACGAGTGGGAGAGATGGTGGTGCCAGTGGCAGTAATGGCGGGGGTGATGTTGGTAGTGGGAGTGGCGGTAGAGGTGATGTTGGTAGTGCGAGTGGTGGTAGAGGGGATGCGGCCAGAGGGAGTGGTGGTAGAGGGGATGTTGGTAGTGCGAGTGGTGGTAGAGGTGATGCTGGTAGTGGGAGTACCGAGGCTGCTCTAGGTGGGGATGAAAGCGCCTTCTATGTTGCTCCAAGGCCTGTTGGTAGAGTCTCTGCTGAACTTCTTGCTGCTGCTGCAGCTTTAGCGGCTACCACTCAGGAGAGCAACGATGAGGGGAGCAACGATGGCAAGGATGTTGAGAAGGACGGTGGCAATAGTGGGGCGAGTGATGACAGTGATGGTGATGATGACGACGGTGGCAGCAGCAGCAGTGGTGATGGTGGTGGTGAGGGTGGTGGTGCAGGAGATACAAACCGCCTCTCCCCCTCCCGCTGCTGGCCCCACATATCCACTCCCTCCCTCTCTCGCTCCCTCACTCGCTCCCTTACTCGATCCTCCCGCTCCTCCCGAAGAGCTAGAGCTGCAGAGCAAGTAGCAGCCGCCAGTCCATCGCTCCCCGAGCCTACCACCACACCCCGCGTCACCCTTGCCGAAGCTGTCCCCTCAGGCTCGGACCAAACCACTGTTCCAGGCTCGGTAGGCGTGGAAGAGGCCTGGAAGGGCATTAAGAAAAGGATGGAGGGGTGGGAGGCGCGGTTAGACGTGCTAGTGCAGCTGGCTGGGGGGTTGGCATACCTGCATCGGCAGGGGATGGTGCATGGGTCCTTGGGACCTGCTAACGTGCTGCTGTGGGAGAAACACGAGGAGTCGAGAGACGAGTGGGTGGAGAGAGGTGGGTCTGAGAGGTTTAGGGGGGGTGGGCTTGGGGCGGTGGAGCGGGTATCAACTGGAGCGGCAGCGGCAGCTGGAGCAGCAGTGGTTGCACGGTCAGCAGCAGCAGCAGCAGCAGCAGCCGCCGCAGCAGCAGCAGCAGGAGCAGCAGGAGCAGCAGCAGCAGCAGGAGCAGCAGGAGCAGCAGGAGCAGCAGCAGCAGGAGCAGCAGGAGCAGCAGCAGGAGGAGGGGGCGGGGAAGGCTTGAGCTTGGCTGCTGAGGGAGGGGCGTTTGTGCAGGGAATGAGGGAGGGAGGTCTGTCGACAGCGGGTCCAGCAGAGACAACTGAGAGAAGAGCGGTGGGAGGAGGAGCGGAGAGAGGAGAGGAGAGAGGAACAGAAAGTGAAGCAGAGAGAGGAGTTGAGAGAGGAGCAGAGAGAGGAGCAGAGAGAGGAGAAGAAAGAGGAGCAACAGCAGAGCGAGGAGCGGACTCAGAAAGAAGCCCTGTGATGCCTGGAGTGAACATCAGTGCACTGGTAGCCTCGGCCCCGCTGGACGCAGACCCAGTGACTCTCTTCTCAGCCGCTACAGGCATACCCACAGACCGGCCCTGCATGCTGCCCCTGAGTAGCAGTCCGTTTAGAGAGGCCAGCGGGTTGCTGGCTGTGATTGCAGACTATGGGCTGCCGACGGATCTGAGGCTCAGAGCGCTGTTTCCTGCGAGGAATGCGCGGGCGTATGCGAGTGGCGCCGGTTCGATGTACCTGGACCCGTCGCTGAGCCGCCTTGGTAAGGAGAGAGAGAAGGGTGTCTTGGCCTATGTGAGCCCTTTCTCGTCAAAATGTTTCTCGTTCCTCCTGTCCTCCCTGTGAGACGCCTTAGAAACCTCTTTTTTTGTTTCTTCCCCTTGCAATCTGGCCCTTCATCCTGTCCCTCCCCTTCCTCCTCCCTTCCCCACCCGCCACCCCCCACCCTTGCCCTGTAAATCCCTCTCTCCTGTCTGCCAGGCCCCTTCCACCCATCCAACGACATCTTTCCCCTGGGAAAGCTCATACAGCATCTGCTGCTCCCGCTCACCCAACCATCCACGTCACATCCACCCGACGCCAGCGCCACGCCTCCCGCTTCCTTTCCCTCGGGTTCCTCTTTCGCCCAATCTGGACCGTCCACTTCACGCCTCCTCCCGTCCTTCTCCACCTCCTACCGTGTCATACCCAGATTGGGTCAGTTGAGGGGAGGTGAAGGAAATGTTTCCAGGCAACCGCTCCCACATGGAACAGCACAAGCAGAAGAAGTACAGGCACGTGGGAAAGAAATTCAAACACTTTGGCAAGGGCAGGTGTATGGGCAGGTGCAGGTGCAGGTGCAGGGGCAGGGGCAGGCGCATGTGCAGGGGCAGCAGCAGGTGCAGGTGCAACAGGGGCAGGGTCATCCGGGGGAAGGCGCATCTCCCGTCCTGTCGCCATCGGACGCCCTGGACCAGGCTTCATGTCGCAGTGGCGGTCCCTTGCTGCTCCATTCATTGGTGCAGGAGGCAGCAGAGGGAGCGGAGGCGGCCGCAATACTAGCGCTCCTGGTGGTGCTGGTGCTGCTACTGCTGGTGCTGCTGGTGGTTTTGCTGCTGCTGCTGGTGGTGCTGGTGATATCGGTGGTGGCTCTGCTGAGAAGTATGGCGAGAGCAGTCAGATAGACTTCAGCAGCAGGAGCGGCAGCATGGTGCATGGTGGGGACAGAGATATTAGCCGCGGCAGCAGCATGAGCAGGAGCGGGCGCAGCAGCAGCATGCTACGAGGCAGCGTGGTTAGCCGGGACAGCAGTATCAGCAGGAGCAGCAGAGGCGGGAGCATGATCCGAGGTTTTGACAGTCACAGCAGCAGCATCATGCGAGACAGCCGCAGCAGCAGCATCATGCGAGACAGTCGCAGCAGCAGCATGATCCGAGGGTTTGACAGCATGAGCAGCAGTATCAGCAGCAACACTACGGGGTTCAGTGTGAGCAGTAGAGTTAGTGTGTGGTCCCCGTGGAGGACTCCCAGGAAAACACCTGGAAGAACTCCTGGGAGGTTACCTGGGAAGCTGGGTTGGGGTTTGGAACAACAGCAAAAGGAGCAGCAGCATCAGCAGGAGCAGCAGGAGCAGGGGCAGCACGAGGAGGGGCAGCAAGAAGGGAATGTAATGAGGACTCCTGGAACTGCTAGCGCATGGGGCTTTGCCCGAGCACTCAATGTTTTGCCTGCACACCAAACCCCTGCATCCGCTGAAATTGCCACTACTAGCCAACCAGCGCCTTCATTCTTTCGCAGTGAGAGCGACCATTCGGATGACACCGACCTTCCGACCCCCAGTGCAGATGGGGAGGCTAGCAGCACCCCAACAGCAGCAGATGGAGAACCAGCAGCTCCGGAGGAAGATCGGGACTCCATAGGGGATCCTTCGGGGTTTCAACTGGAGTGTGTGAAGAATCTGGTCGTGTGGTGTACATATGCGGATCCGTCGTATCGACCGACTGCTATTGTAGTGGAGCAGGCACTAAGGAGTATAGCAGCGACACGCAGTGTGGAAGAGATTGGTCACAGGCAGGTGCTGCTGGCACGGCTGAGCAACCTCACTCCACTCGTGCATGTGGGGGCGAGTGAGACAAGCGAGGGCAGCCAAGCGCACATGGAGTGGCTGCTTAGTGGTTAAGGAGTATTGTGGCGGCGTATGGAAGAGATCAGATCAGTCACATGGAGCAACTGCCTTGTGGCGAAGGTTGAAGGTTTTTGCACATTGGCCAATTTTGACTACTCTTCTTTTGGGTAATGCTCTTCTTTTGAGCATGACAATAATCAAATAAAAGTCTTGGTGGAAAAAATAGTCCAAGATGGTGTAAAAATGTCCCCTGCAAAGCCAGTAAGTTACAAATAAGCAAAAGCTCTGTTCCTACAGGCCTAACATACCTTGTCTGTCATGTCATGATGCACATGCCGTAATGCTGGGTACATGGAATTGAAGCACTTGTGAAGGCCCTTGGAATCCTGCATCAGTAAACTGCAATTCAGTGACCATCTAGAAGCAATTGTACCTTTTAAGTGCTTCTCATCCAGCATCTACCTTGCATCCAAGTTATGTGTAATTGAACACGGCCCAGCCGTGGCTAAATAAAGCTATCACAGAAAAATCCAAGTAGAGAGGAGTGGTTTCGCTGCAACGGCCTGTGATATTATCCAAAGGTCAGTGGCATAACCGGGAAGCAAGAGTTGCTGCAAAACTCGAGGAACTGGAAAGCCCTGATTGCTGGGAGCACGGCTCTCTGGTGGCACAGGTCTTGTCTATCGGCGCTTCTTGGAGGATTTCTTGGATGTGATCGGTGCGAAGACAATGAGGAGAGCCACAACCACCAAGGAGATTGCTCCCACCAAAGGACCGAACTGAATGGCTAGATCCTGATGAGGGAGGAGAGTGGTGACAGGGTGGATGGAAACAAGGGTGTAGATAGAGTGTGCTTGTGAGATAACTTTTGGATGAGAGGCTGAACGTGGATTGGAGTGAAAATTGCAACTTGCAAATTGCAGTAGCGGGATTGTGAGGTGGGGTTCTGAGGGGATGAGAGTATAGCAACTTGCAATGGACGGAACAATCCGAGAATGGAAAATGAGGTGGGGGGAAACAGGTGCTGTGAAGGAATTTGCATGGAGTGTTGTTATGCAGGAAAGGGGTACTCTAACTGGGGGTCATCAATGCGTACCTTGAGCTGTTGACAATTGTCGGCCCATCAGAACGTGAAGGCCATGCCAAAAGCACAGTTGCACACAAGGGAGGCAGAGCGGGGAAAAAGAACGCACGGCAAATGAACAAGACAGGGGGCTTCACTCTACAGATTTTGATATTGATCTTCAATGCTTGCTCGATTCTTTAGAAAAATTTTAGCACAAGAAAAAGCAGAGAAAGGAAGAGAAGAAACGGCGACTCACCCAGCGGTACTTGGCGGCTTGATCCACAGGAGCCAGCAGATCCAGCTCAGGCACGCCCGTCGACTTGGCCGTCTGAGAGAAGCGGATCAGCGAGCAAAACAATACATGATAAAATCATATTGACGGGCAAACCACCAGATTACGCCCCAAAGTCTTTAGTAATAACTATTTTTTCCAGTCACATTGTGGAGTTTGATCGCTTTGAATAATTGTTGGTTGTGAGTTATTAGCATGAACTGACCAGAAGCTGAGCCTTAGATGTGACTCGGAACTTGACGGTAGCTGGAGGGGTGACGAAAGTGCCCTTTTCCTTGGGCTTGACAACGTATGTGTGCGAAACGGCTGTCCCCCTGCAACAGTGATAAGTGTTCACCGTAGATCGGAGCCACGGAGAAGTTTTACAAAATTAATTACCATTGATCAACGCATTCTTCTAAAAAAATTGGCTAAGAGTGGATTTCGTGGAGATGATTCCGTAAAACAAAACCAGTGGAGAACCCATCCTGACAAGGTAAGAGATAACTTACATGGCAAGGGAGTCCCAAGAGTGGGTGGTGTTCCCGACCACCTCAAACAGATCCGACGGCCAGTTCTCGTCGTCCAAGGAAACATCGTACGCGATGCTGCGAGAGAACCGGAAATAAGTAAAAAGAAGCGGGATTTGATTACGATGTAATGAATCATCGACGCTGTCGCAACATCCGACTGAGGTATTACCTTCCGCCGGCGTTGTAAATCTTGATGTTGACAGAAATATCCTCATCGTTTTCCTTTATCTTCTTGATCTTCACGGATTTCGATACCAGCAGAAATGGAACGTCGGCAGCAGATTCCGCTGTCTCGGCGGTCGCATTTTGAACGAGGCACAGGAGACTGAGTGCTACAACAAACAGGCCAAGAAATCTCAAGGCAGCCATGGTCGATACTCCAACACAATGATCTGTGAGTGAAGGGAATTAGCTGACAAAAATCTGAATGAAGAATCCGAATCAAACACGATAATCACGAGGTTCTAGATCGCGTGGGACCAACCAGGCCCAAGGTTGAGGTGGATGGGATGGGATGGACGTTTTGGTTGGTTGGGCACAGGTTGTCTGGCCTCTCTGTTACATCACCTATTTGCGAAAGTTATAAATGATCGCTTAGAGGCACAGTGCATGCAGCTACGTGTGTGACCCATCGTCCATGCATATTCGTTTGTTCGCTTAGCCCTTCGAACAATTCGTCGTTCTTCGCGAATGTTCAAACCCCAGTCGGACCCCCAGTGTTACTCTCGCCCCCTCCCCACCCGCAGCATCCAGAGTTCCTCCTTGAACCCTGAACAAATCCCGAGGCCCCTAACACATTCCTGGCATACTTACAGTGCCCAGCTTAGCTTGCTTGCCTGGCCGCGTTTTGGTTCCTCCGCCTGGATCCAGCTCTGGTGGGCCGTGTACACGTGCGCTTCGGCGACGTGCAATTTTCCTTTCGTTAAGATTTTTGGTGGGCTACAAGAGATAGTATGCCATTTCTTTAACCTCGTACTGGTTTTTTTAGCAGTCTATTCTCTGCTTGCCAAGTACACTCGTTTAAATTCCGCCCAGCTCAGATCTTGACGCTTAATTGGCTTAGGAACTAAGGGAGTAACGCTTAAGGGGGACTGAAGAGATAACGTCTGGTGACAGCGTTAAATTGCGTCATGGCGGATCACGAGGAGGCTAATAAGGAGGAAGTCGCGGGAGACGCGGAAGTGAAGGACTCGCAACCCGAAACGCCGAAGGAGGAGAAGAAAGATCGCAAGGACCGGAAAGACCGCGACAAGGAAAGGGATAGGGACAGAGACAAAGACAGGGACAAAGACAGAGACAGAGACAAGGAGAAGGGTCGAGATCGGGACAAGGACCGCGATCGTGATAGGGACAGGGATCGGGATCGGGAAAGAGGGCGAGATCGCGGGAGGGATAAGGATCGGGATAGAGACAAGGACAAGGGGAGAGATAAGGACAAGGAGCGGGAGAGGGGTTCGGAGCGGGACCGCGATCGCGACCGTGATCGCGACAAAAAGCGCGACCGGAGTAGATCGCCGGAAGGCCGTTACCGTCGCAGCCGTCGCCTGGGCGGCTACTCGCCCAGGCGACGAGAAGGCGAGCATGGGAATCGCACGCCGTCGCCGGGGTCGCGCTCTCGCAAGCAGGCGTCGCCGGAGAGGAGGAAGAAGCGCGGATGGGATCAGGGGCCGGAAGGTGTGGATCCTGCGATCGCGTCGGTCATGGCACACGTGGCAGCCGCTCAGCAAATCGCCGTCACGCAGACCGCCACCATGGGCTTTGGCGGAATGGGCGGGTTCGGCGGCATGGGTGGGATGGGGGGGATGGGGGGAATGGGTGGCATGAGCGCGGCGATGCTGGATCCCGCGATGCTGGCGCAGCAGGTGGCGGCGGCGCAGCAGACCGCCGCGGCGATCACCGCAGCCGCGCAGGAGCAGAATCTCATTCCGCCTGCGCCTGCGACGCAATTCGACGCGGGCGGTTTTGAGTCGTTCCCCCCGCAGCAGCACGCCCCGCAACCGCTGGCGCCGGCGCAGCCTTCCGCGCCCATGAACCCCGAGCTGGCGCAGCAGCTGCAGGAGGCGCAGCAGAAGGCAGCGGCGGCGTTAGCCGCCGCCGCGCAGGGAATCCTTCCGCCAAGCCTCACCGGGGGAGCGCCGGGGGCGGGCGCGGAAGGCGCAGGGCTGCTGTCGCAACCAGCGGGGGCGCCGACGCCGTCGTTGGCGCAGCTGACGCGGCCGGCGCGGCGGCTGTACGTGGGGAACGTGGCACCAGCGGTGACGGACAACGAGCTGCTGGAGTTTATCAACGCGTCCATGGCGTCCATCGAAGCCGCGGAGGACGGCCGCAAGCCCTGCATCGCCGTCACGGTTCGTATTTTGTTGGATTTGGGAATGGGCTCGGTTGGCTGTTAGTGTGTTGGGATCGCGGTTACTTCCGTTCCGCTCCGCTCTTCTTCCCCGTCCCGCCCCCCCATCCACCTCTCCCTTCCCCCGCGCTCGCCGGCGGTGACGGACAACGAGCTGCTGGAGTTCATCAACGTGTCCATGGCGTCGATCGACGCCGCGGAGGACGGCCGCAAGCCCTGCATCGCCGTCACGGTTCGTGCTGCGTTGCCTTAGGGTGGCGGTGAATGGGCTGGGGTGGCGGTTTATGGGTTGGCGTGGCCGTTAGTGTGTCGGGGTAGCGATTATTGCTTGGCTTTTGCGTTCCGTACTTCGCTCCGCGCTCTTCGCCCCACTCCCCCCCCTTTCGCGCCGTTCGCCAGCTGTGACGGGCAAGGAGCTGCTGGAGTAGTTTCTTGGTCAGTCCTGTATGGTTATGGTTTGTGCTTACATGTTGTGGTCGGTGCAGTATGGTCGGTGATGACTTGTAAGCAACCCTCGCACTCTTCCCCACCCTTTCTCACATTCACCCGAGCCCCCGCGCTCTTTCCCGTGCCCCCTCTCTCTTCCTCTGCCCCCCGCGCACTTTCCCGCGCCCTTTCACTCTTCCCCGCCCAACCCCACTTTGTGCACATATGCGAGCTACAGTCGAACAAGGAGAAGGGCTTTGCGTTCGCGGAGTTTGAGAAGCCCGAGGACGCTACCATCGCGCTACAGCTGGACGGCATCGTGCTGCACGGCGTGGGGCTCAAGATCCGCCGCCCCAAGGACTACAACCCCATGCACGTGGTGAGTGAGAGTGTTGTGTGCGTTGACCAGCGTTGACCAGCGTTGACCACGCTACAACCGCGCTACAGCTGGACGGCATTGTGCTGCACGGCGTGGGGCTCAAGACCCGTCGTCCCAAGGACTACAACCCCATGACCGTGCTGAGTGGGGACTCTGTGCGTGTCGAGCAGGCTACAACCGTGATACAGCTGGAAGATGTATTTTTCCTTCCCGTTTTCCACATTTCTCTCCTCCTTTCCCCCTTCTGCCTAAATTCTGACCCCTCTTTCTGTCTGTTTGTCGACTCAATTTTCCTTGTTTCGTCGCCCTCCCCCCCCCCCCCCCCCCTCTCCCCCCCCCCCTCCCCCCTCCTCCTGCCCCTTCCATTGCTTCTGCTTGATTATGTTGGTAGTCAATTCTTCTCCTTCCCTCCGCGCCCTCAACCCCTTTCCTCTGCATCAGTTGTCCCGCTGTCCCTGTCCCCCTTTTACGCAGCCCTGTCCCCTGTTCATCAACCTTTTGAACCACAACCCCTTTTCGTTCCCCCTTCCCCCCCTTTTCGTCCCCCCTTCCCCCCCCCTTTCGTCCCCCCTTCCTCCCCTTCCCCTCCCCCCCACCCCCCGGCGCCACCCATCCCCTGTTTTTTTTGGCTGAATCGCCCCACCGTTATTTTATGCCCCGTGTAGCCCGGGTCAGATGCAAACGCCGTAGCGCTCGGAGGGGGCGTGCCCAAGCCAGTGGCAGCTGCAGCAAAGGAGGTCATTACCAATGTTGTGCCGGACGGGCCTAATAAGGTGCGTGCTGGGGGATTGGATGAGGGGCAGTATGGGATGGGGCTTGGATGAGATGGTGGGGCATGGCGGATTTGGATGGGGCGGGTGGGGGATGGGATTTGGGTGGGCTTGGATGTGGTGTGGTGTGGTGTGGATGGGTCTTAATCGTCTAGATTCAGTGTTCCGTTCACCTGCTTCCCAGTTGTAAACGATTTGGGAGTTCTAAAAATTCGCCCACGTGTTTTCTTACTGCTCCGTTCATCTTCTTCTCAGTTGCTCACTACCAGTTGGCTTGCTGGGACGGAAGGAATCCACTTAGCTTCTAAGACTTGGAAGAATAGGTTGTTACACGGTTTCTCTTCTTTCCTGCTATGTCCCCTGCTAACTGTGTTCTGCTTTGCGTGATGGTGCATGTGATGGTGCATGTGATGGTGCATGGGATGGTGCATGGAACGGTGCATTTGTGGTGCATGGGACTGAGCATGGGATGGTGAATGGATAGTGCATGGGATGGTGCATGGGATGGTGCATGGGATGGTGCACGGGATGGTGCACGGGATGGTGCACGGGATGGTGCACGGGATGGTGCATGGGATGGTGCATGGGATGTTGCATGGGATGGTGCATGGGATGGTGCATGGGATGGTGCACGGGATGTTGCATGGGATGGTGCATGGGATGGTGCATGGGATGGTGCATGGGATGGTGCACGGGATGGTGCACGGGATGGTGCATGGGATGGTGCATGGGATGGTGCATGGGATGGTGCATGGGATGGTGCATGGGATGGTGCACGGGATGTTGCATGGGATGGTGCATGGGATGGTGCATGGGATGGTGAATGTGTTTGCAGTTGTTCATTGGCGGTATCCCGCCAGTGTTATCAGCTGAAAAGGTAAACCAGAGAACCGTGTGGCTCTTTCTACCCTCACATAACATTTTACCCTCAAATAACATTCTACCCTCCTGGTTTGGCAGCTTTCATCTTTCAATTCAAACCTCCTTTTGCTTCCACCCGCTTCTCTCGTCAACCCCTCCCATCCCCCCTCCCGTCCCATTTACCTTTGAAGTCTTTTCAACCTTTCCCACGCCTCTTGCCTCACACCCCATGCCCAATGCTCTGTCCCATGCGCTTCTATCTATGCACCTCCTTCTGAATTCTTTCCCTTCGTTTGTCCAGCTGCACTCCTTCTCACACCTCCTCGCCCCTCTGCACGTCTTCAACCCCCAACTGCCCTCTACTCCCCCGTGCCTCTCTGCACCCCAATGCGCCCATCTGCACTGTGATAATCAGATCCGGGAGGTGCTGTCAGCGTTTGGGCAGCTGAGGGCATTCCGCAGGGAGCTGGATCTAAACTCCAAGCCCCCACGTGCATTTGCATTTGCTGAGGTCAGTTAGTTGGGACCCTGAATCCCCACTCAGCTCATGGCATCATGCCACCCCAGGCCCCCCAGACCCCTCACACCACCCCTTGCCCTTTTTTGGCACGTGCTTTGTGTGGCATCCAAGAAAAGTCGACCTTTTGCTATTTTCAACTTCTCCCACCCTTCCCAAGCCCACTCTCCCCCTTCACTCTCCCCCTTCACTCTCCCCCTCAACCCCCCCTTTTCCCCTCTCACCCCCTCCACCCTCCTGCCCCTTCTCTTCCCCCTCCCACCTCGCATGTCGTTTTCTCTGCTCATCTGCTGCTGCATGGTGTTTACTCCCACCCCTTGTTATGTGCCCCGTTATTGCGTGACCCGCTACTGTATGACCCATTACCACAGTACATGGATCCGAGTGTGACGAGTGCAGCACAGGCGGGGCTGAACGGGCTGCCTCTGGGCCACCAGTCCATCCTCTCTGTCGTCAGAGCCACTCCAGATGCGCCTGAAGAGGTACGGTGCGGTTCTGATGGTTTGATTAGGACCCTATGTTTTTGAGGCGTTCAAAAGCTGAACGGGCTGCCTCTGGGCCACCAGTCCATCCCCACTGTCGTCAGAGCCACTCCAGATGCGACTGAAGGGGTACAGTGCGGTTCTGATGGTTTGATTATGACCCTATTTGTTTGAGGATCCCATAAGCTGAACGGGCTGCCTCTGGGCCACCAGTCCATCCCCACTGTCGTCAGAGCCACTCCAGATGCGCCTGAAGAGGTACGGTGGGCGCAACTGTCTTTTTCAAAATAAAAGCAATTGTAGATTGGGTCCTCCCTATGAGGTGTCTCGTAAACCAATGGGCTGCCTCTGGGCCCACCAGGCCATCCTCACTGTCGTCTTAGCCACCCCCGATGCACCTGAGGAGGTACTGTATGGTTCTAATGTTCTGATAAGGGCCATAAGTCTTTGAGGCGCCGAATAAGTGAAAGGGCTGCCTCTGGGCCACCAGGCCATCCTCACTGTCGTCAGAGCCAATCTCAAAGCGCCTGAGGAGGTAGGTACTATGCGATATGAATTGCGATGACGCGGTGCTATACGGTATTGTATGGTCTAGGCAACAAGTGTTGGCACCTTGCTCTTTTGTGTATGCAAACATTAGCCGCCACATCCCTCCTCGCCCTGTCTCCTTCTGCCAAATCTCACCGTGACCTTCTAATGAATCCCCTCAACCTGCCCCTACCCTCTTCCTTTCCTCCCATCTTTCCCCTCCTCCCCCCCCCCCCCCCCCCCCTTCCCCCCCCTGCTTCCATTGCGCTGTGTGCCTGTAGCCTCCTCCTGACGCCACTCCTACGTATTCCATTCCTGAGGAGGCTAAACCGCTCATGCAGACCCCCACACGCATTTTGGAGATCTGTAACCTGGTGCGTTTCTTGTAACCCCAACCTCAGTTGTAATTCTTGGTTCTAACCTGGTGCATTTCGTGTAGCCCCAACCCCTAGTTGTAACCCTTGGTTGTTAACTGGTGCGTTGCTCACGGTCCATTACACACAATAACACACAACCACACACACCCATCTCGCTCCTGTCGTCCCCCCTCCTCGCTCTCCTTTCCTGGCCGTGCACATGCCCAGATGACAAAGAAGGAGCTCAAGGCGATGAGCGAGGAGGAGTTTGAGGACCTGGAGGAGGACATTCGCCTCGAGTGCAAGCGGTGCGTGCTGAGAGCATTGAGCTGTGGTGGGGTGTGATGCGTTGCAGTGTGGTGTGGTATGGTCCTTGGTCCTTGAAGATCTGGAGGAGGACACTCGCCGCGAGTGTTCTTTGATTTTTTGACAGATGACTCTTTTATCACTTTCACTTGTACGCCTGTTTGTGCGCATGTATGCCTGTCTGCGTGCCTGTGTGCAAGACTCAGTCTGATTTCTCTGTGTGCAATTTTGTACATTGTCATTGGCAGGTTCGGCACGGTCAAATCGCTGCACATTGTTTGTCCCAAGGATGTCACTAATCCGGATGACAGTGACAGTGACGAGGAGGAGGAGAAGGAGGAGAAGGAAGAGGTGAAGGAAGAGGTGAAGGAGAGATTGGAAGGGATTAAAGAGGAGGTGGAAAAGGAAGAGGAGGCGGAGGTGAAAGGTGAAGAGAAAGTGGAGGTGAAGGAGGAAGTGAAAGAGGTGAAGAAGGAAGAGGAAGAGGTGAAAGAAGGGAAGGAACAGAAGGAAGGGGAAGTGAAGGAGGGAGAGCAGGGAGCAGCTGCAAGCGATGCGGGTAAGGAAGTGAAAGCAGAGCCAGTGGAAGAGGAGAAAGATGTTGCAAAGGGGGAAAGTCAGGGTGGGGGTGATGGGAAGGGTAAGAAGGAGGAGAGTAAGGATGAGGAAATGAAGGATGTTGAGGTAGCGGCGGGTGAAGAGGTAGTGGAGGCGGAGAAGGTGGAAGGAGCAGCGGAGGGAGGTGCTGTAGCAGAAGAGGAGGATGATGTGAAGGAGGTGGTTAAGGATGAGAAGGGTGGAGAGGAGGGAGGAGAGAAGGAGGGAGAGAAGGAAGGAGGAGAGGAGGACGCAGAGAAGGAAGGAGGAGTGAAGGAGGGAGGGGATGAGGAGATGAAAGAAGCAGAGGAGGCAGCTGAGGGCAAGGGCGAGAAGGATGGGGCGGATGGGGAAGGGAAGGCAGAGGAGGAGGTTGGGGAAGGTGCGGATGCAGCAGGAGATGCTGTTGTTGAGGTCGCTGAGGCTGTTGTTGAGGTGGCTCAAGCCAAGGAGGAGGAGAGGGAGTCGGATTCGGACAGTGATGTGGTGGAGGTGGTGCCTGAGACAGGAGAGGAGGTAGAGAAGGGAGAGAAGGAAGAGGAGGAGAAGGGAGAGGAGGAGAAGGGGGAGGAAGAGGTGGAGGAGGTGGAGGGTGGTGCGCGTGCGTCTGAGAAGAGTGGTGAGGCGGAAGGGCAGGCGCTGGATGGGTTGGCGGATATTGCTGCTGCTGCTGCTGCTGAGACGGCAGGAGAAGAGACAGGGGCTGCAGGAGCAGGAGCAACGGGAGCAGCAGCAGCGGACAAGGAGGGCGGTGCTGAGGGAAAGGAGGCTGAGGGTGGGGGAGGGTTTGACCTTGATCTGAATGTGACCGTAGAGGGGGAGGAGGAGGGTGGGAAGGGTGTAGGTGGGGAGGCGGAGGGGGTGAAAGAGGAGGCAGAAGGGGGGAAGGAAGGGACAGAAGGGGGTAAGGAGGAGGTGTATGAGACGGCTTCTGAGGATGAAGGGGATAAGAGAGAGGGAGGGGAGGAGGCTAAGGCGGAGGAGGGTAAAGGGGGGGAAGAGAGTGGGAAGGAGGGAGAGGGTGAGGGGAAAGCGGAGGAGGGGAAAGAGGAGAAGCAAGAGGGGAAAGGTGAGGAGAAGGATGGGAAGCAGGAGGCGGACACCGAGGAGGGAGCAGCATGGGGGAGTGCCGTGAAGGAGGGAGAAGGCACAGAAGCACCAGCAGAGGGTGCAGCAGAGGGAGCAGCGGAGGGAGCAAGCGAGGGAGCAGCAGAAGAAGCAGCTAAGGGAGGATCAGAGGAAGCAACAGAGGAGGGGAAGGATGGAGAAGAGAAGCAGGGGAGCAAGGGAAGTGAAGAGAGCAAGCCGGAATCCACTGCAGCAGCAGAACCTTCCCCTGCCGCTGCCTCTGCTACACCTGCCGCTCCTGCTGTCCCTGCTGCTGCCACAGCCCCTGCTGCTACCGCTCTTCCAACTGGGGCCACACTCGCTGCTGCCACTGCTGTCCCCATACGCCCCCCTGGAGTCCCAGTGGCCTTTCCTGTCCCTGTGCGCATGCCTGCTCCCGGGCCCCCTATGCCCCTCATCCCAGGAGTCACCTTCCCCGCCCCGTTCCGCCCCCCTATCCTCGTCCCCCCAGGCACAGATGTACCTCCCCCAGGTGTCGCCACCCCAGCTGTTACTCTTGCTGCTCCAGGGTCTATCCGCTTCCCTGCACCGTTTGCCCCTGGTGCTCCTCCCCCTGCCGCTGGCAAGGGGTTGCTGGGGCACCAGCCGGGGCAGGTGGGGAAGCCTGGAGAAGCAGGTAAGCCAGGGCAACCGGGGGCTATTGTGCTGGCTGGGTCGAGAGGGATGGGTGATTTGGTGGAGGCGGCTAGGAAGGGGGAGAGGGAGGTGGAGAAGTGGAGGGTTGGGCGGGCTTATGTGGAGTTTTCGCGTGAGGAGAGTGCGAAACGGGCGGCACATATGTTGCATGGGAGGGTGTACGCTGGGAGGAAGGTGACGTGCTCGTTTGTGCCACTGAGGTTGTATCAGAAGAAGTTTAACAAGGGGTTGAAGCCGCGCACGCACGAGGAGAAACAGGAGGCTGCGTTGGCTGTGCAGGCGCATTTGACGTCACATTTGCCTGATGACTTCTGATGATACGTGATTTGCTGTACTTTTGTGTGGATGCTTGTGCCTGATGAGATCTCAATGAGTTCTCTGGTGTAACGTTACCCACCTAGGCACATGTTTGCTTCAATTCTCGTATGAACTCTGTAATGACTCGATACACCGGTGTGTGTTCTTCGAAATTGTTGGTGGAAGCGATCATTGCTTTAAAGGATCCGCTACAGTGAATTCAACCATTGTCAAATACGGTAAACAGGATGCAACCCCAGGATCTCCGCAGATAACTGTATCGAAAAAGTTTCGGTTTGCCCGTGCAGTTCCCGATACCAATTCAGTGCATTTTCGATTGGCTCATTGCGCCAATCTGAGCACCTAGCTGTGTGGCGCTGGATTTCTGGTCTGCCACGCTAGCGGTTCACAAAAGCGCTTCCCAGCCGGGGAGCTTCTGGCGATTGTCCGACGTGGCGGCGGTGGCCACCAGCCGCAATTGCTGCATCCGCTCCCTCCCCCCGCTCCGCACCTCCCCATTCAGCTGTTGTTAGCGCCCAGCGAGCCCCCCCATCTCCTGCATTTCCTCCACATCTCCCCCCAGCCACGAATCCTGCAAGCTGCCTCCCCACAAGTCATTGTTACTACAGTGGTGACATCACGTCCTTCTGCCCTCCGCTCCTTCTCCTCCTCCCTTATTATCCCACCTCCTCCGCCTAGAATTTCCATTTTATAATTGGGTGTCTGCCTAGGCTTCATTTCTTGGTTCTAACTTCAGGAAAGAAAGCCATGGCTTACCCCCTGATCACGTTGTTAGTGGCGTCGCTGGCCGTCCAAGCTTCCGCGTCTGCACAACAAGCCCAGGATGGCTGCATCACGAACTTTGATCCTACCGTGAACTATTTCCCGGACCAGTACCAGGACGAGCCGTTCGCTCTGCCGATCAGCCAGACTATCGTGGACAATGCGAATGACTTCACGGTGCAGTACGGTAACTACTACAAGGTCGTTAAGAACAGCTATGACGATACCACCTACGTCCTCTATCAGGTACATCCCGTTCTCATCCTCATATCTGCAAACGCATTGCGGTCGTGCACTCAATCTGTGAGATTTGTCGTGATTCTAAATTTACTATTGTGATTGTCTTTATTGTAGTGTGGAGCTGTCAAGCCTTCGAACTTCCCTGCTGCGACCACCCGGTTCTTTGAGATCCCCCTGAAGGGTTTCGCTGTCGACTCGTCAGTTGCAGGTGGGACGCTGTTTCGCTTTGTACCTTTACTTTTCGTGCTCGACACTTTATCTTACTAACTTTTAACAATGCGTTCGCTTCTTCGATGTGATTTTGGCGTATTGGCTTCCTTCAATCCATTCTGCTTATGGATCGTCCAGTTAGCTTCGTCCAGGTAACTTAACCATTTCCTGAAAACGTAGTTTCCAAGTCACAATAATGTATCAGCATCTTTCCTTAACTGTGTTGTCCGTTCAATGGTCTTGACCACTGAGTACTTAATCCTGTCCTCACCGGCAGATGCTGGGTCTGACCGGCCTTCTCAACGAGACGAGCAGCTACTCTGTAGCTCCATGCGTTCAGAAGCTTGTGGCTGACGGTGCTATGAAGCTCTTCAATGAGAGCGATGGTCTTTTCCCTGGTACGGTCTTTACGGGAATGAACAACATGAAGCCGTTTCCCAAGAACTACGTCTCGCTCGACACGTCGACCGACCCTGGGCCTCTGAAGGTGCACATGAAGGGATTTGTTCGAGCCAAAGCCTCTGTTTCATGTCATTTATTCTATTCAGGTTACGGTTCTAATCCGACGGTACGATACGATTTTCTGTGTTTCAGCGCGCGGAATGGATCAAGTACATGGCTCTGTGGTTCAATGCTGAGTCGCGCGCCTCGGAAGTCTACTCTGACGTAAGCCGTCCTATTTTTCCAAAGCTGTTAGAGTCTATTGGCGATCAGAGAAACCCTGGCCGGCTTTTCGAATGCTTAAGGAACTTTGTTGCATTGCCTTGCCTTACCAGATCGAGACGTCGTACAACTGCTTGAAAGCATCTGCTCCGAAAACCTCCACGCCGATGGTTGGCTGGCTGAGCTATTTCATGGTGAGTCTGTATCCGTAAATAAATATTAGGGGAGACTGTAGTTTTGAGACAGGAAAGTATGAGCTATTTCATGGTGAGTTTAAATCAGTGAAAAAATATTTGCAGAGAAAGTAAAACAGCTCTCCTGAATGTTCAACTTCCTGTTTTGTGTGCTATGTTTCCCTTCGTTATCAAAAACCAGGATTCGTGGACCGTCTCTGGTGCTACGTACAAGCTTCAGGTGCGTGTTAACTATCTGCTTAGTTCAGTGTGCGCTGCGTTTATAATTTGATTTGAACGAACTCTAACGTGCAATTTCGTTTCTTTCAGTACGTTGCGGACGCTGGTGGTGTGAGCCCCGCCAAGGCGTTTCTGAGGACCTACAACATGTCTGTTCCATCTGATAAGAAGGCTTTCCAGACACTGCTCGCGGTAAGGCTTCTTCGCCTCGCCTCGTTCAGAAGTCTTTCCAAAGACTGGATAACCCAGGAATCTTGTCATTAACTTCAGATCTGAACAATCCGGGAAAATCCTGTTGCAATGGCAGACACTTGATATTGTCATCGACGAGACCTACCTGATGACTGGCCCGTCTGGCTACAGCATTGATGCTTTTGCCACGAATGCTGGCATCTCTGTCACTGATACCGCCACCTACAAGTTCCTTGCCACTCCCAATGTCTGGAGCATGTATGGTCGCGCCACTGGAGCCCCCAACTACGCCACTGGTACGCGCTTGCTTCACATCAGTAGAAAATGAGGTTATGTTCTTTCTTCGCCTTTAAAGTCCTTTTCTCTTTGCTAACCTTGGTCTTGGCTGACCATCATCTTTGCAGACTGGTATGAGAGCGCCATTGCTCAGCCCCAGGTGGTCCTTGCTGAGCTGATTTCCATCATGCATCCTGGCAATGTGGCTGTTCCCGAGAAGTACTATTTCTACAATGTTGCTCAGGTGTGTGCTATATTTCCCTTAGCTTCTCCTGGCGAATTTCGATGCAAATACCGCTTGCCTGATTTATCAACACTAAGTGTTTCTATGTCCAACATGCTAACTAGCTCTTCTGGTGTTGCTTCTGCAGTTGGAGACGGGTGCTGTGGTCACTGCAGCCAACTGCACAACCCTGGACCCCACGGAGGTTGTCAACCCCATCATCCCTGCCTGCTCAGCTATCGTTACTCCTGAGCTTCCCGGAACGGCATCCCCTCCAGCTACCCCTCCTAGCTCATCCCCTCCTAGCTCACCTCCTCCCTCACCCACTCCCAGCTCGCCCTCACCACCTGCCCCCAAGGCTGCTGCCTCCTCTGGCTCCCTGCTTGGTGCTGGTCTAGCTGCCCTTATTGCTGCTGCTATGGCTGCACTTGTCTAAAGGTCTCAATTTTTGATGTTACTGGGTTGAGAGCTTCCTTGATGGAGAAAGATATGCTGCTCGTAAGTGCCACATGAGCGTGTTCTGTTGCATGGTCGGATGTAGTGTTAGTGTTGATGCAAAACATGGATTGTCACACTTCCAGTATGGTACATGTGCCCATTAACTGTCTGCACATCTACAGGTACCGGTACTAAAACTACAAAACGTATCTTGTAGAAATCACTGGGCATATGGAAGAAATGGTGGCTTCTATCGCGTTGGATTGGAGGTGCAACTGCAGCAGCCCAAAATGCAACTTATGTCGAAACTGTTAACAAAATCCTCATCTCAGGCCAAGTGGACAGATGTGCTGGTATTCACACGTGTAACACCACCCGGCATGTATTCACACAGCGCGGAATTACCATGAGCTGCAGTTGCCACCCGCTCACACACCATTCAGCACATGGCACAAGGTGGCCGCCAACTGTCGGACTGTAACTGGTTTGAGCAATACAGCATCCATGCCTGCTGCTACACATGCCTCCGCCATGCCGCTGTCTGTGCGTGCAGTGAGACCCACTATCAAAGGCCGCTCGTCGGGCCTGCCATAGGAGACAGGACAAGGAAAGGGAGAGGGCAAGGGAATGTAAGAATGGGGCGCAAAAGCAACAGAGGAGGTTGATTCGTGACTGGGAAAGGATAACAGTGGATGGCGGGGGGTGGAGGGAGGTTGAGAAGGAGAAACAGGTGGTGGGAGGTGTTAGTGGAAAATGGAGGCGTGTCGGGGTGCACAGTGGACTCCTAATCGCTTCAGCAGTATGCAAGGAAACAGACGGTACAGAAAGAGGATGTGCAAACCGATGTAGACTCAACACCATCTCTATCAGGCATGCAGGCATACTGCAGCGTGACGACTTTTTCTAAACAGCTCAACATTAGCAGAGAACGGAGGCAAGCAAAGTATCCTACAACGCGGGGTGCTGCAAGGGAACATCCTTCTGACGCCTCTCTGAGCTCGATACCAAAAGGGGATCACAAGAAAGCCTACCGGAAGACGCAGTGGATGCGGTGGGCGACTTCAAAGCCGTCTGACATATGGCATGCACACATTGAGCAGATTTTTCAGTCGACGCAAAAGTCACCTCCACACAAACGGGAGGGGGGAGGAGGAGGAGAGGGGGGGCCTGCAAGAGAGCCTACCGGAAGAGGGAGTGGATGCGGCGGGCGACTTTAAAGCCATCGACATCGGGCATGCAGACATCCTGCAGCACGACATCGACTGGTGGGACTGCGGGGCTCTTGTGTGACACCTCTCTGAACTCGATTCTAAAGGAGAGGAAGCAGAAGAGAGCCTACCGGAAGAGGGAGTGGATGCGGCGGGCGACCTCAAAGCCGTCGACATCGGGCATGCAGACATCCAGCAGCACGACATCCACCGGCGGGATTGCGGGGCTCTTGCGCGTGGTCAGCTCCATCTGGCACTCCTGCGCACTGCCCACACTGCTGACGTGGCACCGCAGCGTCAGCAGCATCTGATGTGTCGCGATGCGATTCGCCACGTTGTCCTCCACTAGCTGCGGAAGAGAGAAGAGTGATGGGGAGGAGGGGATCGGCGGGGGGGGGAGAGGAGGAAGGAAGGCGCAAGCGAGATTGATGAGGAGAGGGATGGAAGGGGGTAGCGACTTTTGAGACGTCTCAAAAGTCGCAAGGGAGATTGAGGAGGAGAGGGATGGAAGGGGGTAGCGAAGGAACGAGGGCGGAGAAGGATGGAAGGGTGGGGGATACCGTGTGACGAAGGGGCGAACAGGTCACAAGATAGCAGGTTAAGGAGAGGACATACACGCATGCATGCATACATGATTACATGCACACACATCCAATCACACATCCATGCACTCACCAGCACATGCACTCCTTCAAGCTCCTGTACATAAGAATCCATCGACGAAACCGTGCTGTCACTAAATGTTGAATCCTCATCATCATCCTCATCCTCCTCATCTTCCTCGTCTTCGTCATCATCATCATCCCCATCCAAGTACGAATACTCCTCACCACCCTTCCTCGTCCCCCCTCCCCTGCCCTCCTCCCCACCCACACCATCGCCAGCACCATCAAACCCACTGTTCCACAATAGTCCATTGCTCCTCTCATCTCCTCGACCAATCCCATCAAGACCAGCCCTTCTACCTCTCCTCCTCGCCCTGCTGCTAGAAACCCGCCCCCCCCTCTCCCTAAACCCTAAATTCTGCCTCTTGGTTCGATCCAGCACCAACCGCACCACAAACGTCACCGTCGCCCCCAACCCCTCCCCACCGCTCTCAATCCATATGTACCCCCCCATCAGCTGCACAAACTTCTGGCAGATTTCGAACCCTAGCATCGTCCCTCCCTTCCTCCCTTCCCCAATTCCCTCCACTCCGCTTGCCTCTCCCTCGCCTACTCCTGATCCTCCTCCTCCTGCTCCACTCTCCCCATCAGCATCACTCGCTCTTTGCTGCTGCAGCAGCAATGCCTGGTGCTGTTTAAACTCCATGGCTGTCAGGCCGCACCCAGAGTCCTTGATATCTACACGGATGTTCACCAGGTCTTGGCCCAGCAGCAACTGCAGAGCGGGAAGGGAGGATTGGGCATTGAAGGTTGAGAGGGTTGGGCGAGCAAGGGGAAGAACTTAAGTTGACTCTAAAATCATCAGAGGTTGCATTGCAATCCGAGTCCACAAGGATATTCACCAAGTCCTGGCCCAGCAACAGTTGCAAAGAGGGAAATGGGCTTGATAAGGTGCCACATCTGTGGAACATCGGTTCTTGCAACGGCAATGGTTGGGGACTTGAGACAACAGCAGCAATACGGTTGGTTCAAATCAACAGAGGAGCAGCTCCTACCTCCCATGGCGTGTGTGGCTGGAGGCCAAGCGAATTGACTTTTGAGTCGACTCAAAAGTCACCTCGTTCCAATGGCACACGACACTTTTGAGTCGACTCAAAGGAGCAGCTCCTACCTCCCATGGAGTGTGTGGCTGGAGGCCAAGCGAATTCTCGCCTGCCGCGGCAGCTGCAGCAGCAGCAGCAGGGAGGGAAGAACTGGCAGGGCCATCACCGGCAGTGGAGGAGGACTGGGAGGAGTGGGGGCGGGGGGTCCTCCCATCGTCCACTGATACCCGCACGGACACAAAGCCCTGCTTGGGAGAGAGGAGTCGAGAAAGCGGGGGTGGAGTGGGGGCGTGTGGTGTGGGGGAGGAAGGGTTTGAGAGACAGAGTGCAGGCGCCAGAAGAGGAAGGGAAAGAGGAGAAGGACGGTTTAAAATGGCCCGCTCATCAAACACTGATACACCAATTCACACCCCACAGTTCCCCCCCTTCCTCCCCACTTTCCTCCCCACCCCACCTCACCTCGTCAGTCTTCTTCACAGCTCGCCCGATGAGGTGCAGCATGAGGCGCAGCAGCAGCTTCTCATCGCCCACCACACACCGAGGCACCACTGAAGCACACACCAGCAACCAGACTGCCCACCCAACCCACCCCTCTCCCGCTCACCTCGTCAGTCTTCTTCACAGCTCGCCCAATGAGGTGCAGCATGAGCCGCAGCAGCCTCTTCTCATCGCCCACCACGTATCGCGGCACCACACCCGCCACCTCCAGTGAGAACCGCAGCCCCTTGGACCGCACCAGCGGCCACGCCAGCTTGCCGGCTTCTCGGCACAGCTTATGCAGGTCAAAGGGTCGCTTCTCCAGATGCAGACTGGGGTCATAGAGGAGGGTGAGGAAAGGATTCGGAAAAAGGGAGATGGAGGGAGGGCTGACTTTTGAGTCGACTCAAAAGTCAACTGGGGTCATAGAGGAGGGTGAGGAAAAAATTCCGAAAAAGGAGATGGAGGGAGGGAGGACGTTGAGCTGATTAAGAAAGGCAAGAACTGGCGGGATTAAGCGGACCGCACCAGCGGCCATGCCAGCTTCCCGGCTTCTTCTCACAGCTTGTGTAGGTCAAAGGGACGCTTCTCCAGATGCAGACTGAGGGGTTGAGGTAAGAACTCCCATAGGAAGGACGGAGGGTGAGGAGCAATGGAAACGGAAGGAATGGAGCTGAAAGAGGAGGAAAACAGGGGCTCTTGGAGGGAGCAGACAAGCATATCAACAGGTCTACTTGACACGGGCGCCACTTCTCCGTGTTTTCACACAGCACAGCCCTGCACGGCCCTGCACAGCCCTGCACAGCCCTGCACAGCCCTGCACAGCCCTGCACAGCCCTGCACAGCCCTGCACAGCCCTGCACAGCCCTGCACAGCCCTGCACAGCCCTGCACAGCCCTGCACAGCCCTGCACAGCCCTGCACAGCACAGAGCAGCACAGCACAGCAGAGCAGAGCAGAGCAGAGCAGAGCAGAGCGGACCACAGCACAGCGGAGCACAGAACAGACTGAAAAGGTCACAGACATTCCGCACCTCTCCTCCTGTCGGCTGAAGTCGAGCACGTCAGTGATGAGGGAAGTGAGCAGGGACGCACTGCGCAGCACAGTCGCCACCATGGGTGCTTGCTCTGGTGTGAGGTCCTCCTCCTGGAGGGAATGGAGTGCAGTGGAGGTGTGAAACGGTGAATGCTGACTTGGCTGAGAAGGAACGGTCACCACTATCAACCCATCTCATGCCCATCAGTGCCAGCAAGCTGAATGCGCTCACATTGAGTAATGCCGGGCAGGGGGTGCACATATGATGGTGCATCCCTGTGCTGACTGCAAGTGGTGTCAACAGCACAACATGCAGCCTGCCAACACAGTGTGCTTACATTGAGAATGGAGGCGAGAGCGGTGATGGAGTGCAGGGGAGTGCGCATCTCATGGTTCATCACTGCGCTGACTTCAAGTCATGTCAACAGCACGCATGCCGCATGCTCTGGCACAGTGTGCTTACATTGAGAATGGAGGCGAGAGCGGTGATGGAGTGCAGCGGAGTGCGCATCTCGTGATTCATCACGGCCAGGAAGTCGTTTCTTGCCATCACTGCCACCTCTGCTCTCTGCCGCGCTGCCTGCAGCGTTCGGTTCTTCTCCTCCAACTCGTCCCTTCGCCGCTGGTTGGGGGGAGCGGGGTAGAGGAGAGGGAGAGGGACGATAAGGGCGGGAAGAAGGGAAATGAAAACGGTTTCTTCTTGCCATCACTGCCACCTCTGCTCTCTGCCGCACTGCCTGCAGAGTTTCTGTTCTTCTCCTCCAACTCGTCCCTTCGCCGCTGGTTGGGAGGAGAGAGGAGAGGGAGGGAAGCGAGTGCAAAGATCAAAATAGAAAGATCAGGTTGCTCTTTGCAGTTCCCCCTCGAGCGTTTTCCCCTGCCCCGCACTACAATCCATTATCCACCTGCATCCCTCATCCACCTGCATCCCCCATCTACCTGCATCCCCCATTCACCTTGCACTAGGTCGGGAAACACAACTAATCACCTCCTTCAAGGTGACTCTTGAGTCGACTCAAAAGTCACCTTCATGGCCCCTCACCTGCGTCTCCTCCAGCACTGCTGCATGTGAGAGAGCCACTGCCACGCCACTTGGTCTGTGACATGAGCCTGAAAACCCAACTGATCTCCTCCATCACCCCTCACCTGCCTTCCCTCCATCCTGCCTCACCTGCGTCTCCTCCAGCACTGCTGCATGTGAGAGCGCCACTGCCACCTGGTCCGCCACCACCTCCACCATCTCCACCTCGTGCGCCTTCCACTGCCTGGTGAGTGATAAGAGGAGAGAGGAACGGAGGTGAGGGGATTAAAGTAGTGCTAAGGGGTCTCTTCCCCACAGCCACCTGATCCGCCACCACCTCCACCATCTCCACCTCGTGCGCCTTCCACTGCCTGCAATGGAGGGTGAGGCGAGAGCAAGGGAAGTGAGGGGAGCACAGGAGAGGAGAGTGCAGCAGAGCAGAGGTATGGAGCTAAGGCGTCTCCTCCTCCAGCACTGCAGCATGTGAGAGAACCACTTCCCCCTCACCTTCTAGCATCCCCATGCAGCACGAGCACCATGAGCCCATACATACACAGGCTTTTCAGTCGGCTAGTTGCGTCGATTTGTTGCGTCAACTAGTTGCCCAAACATCCACCCATCCTCACCTCCTCTTCCTCACCTTCTAGCATCGCCATGCAGCACGAGCACCATGAGTCCATACACCGGCGCCACTCCCCCTACCCTCTCCTCGCCTCCCTCGCCACTCCCACCCTCCCCTCCTCCTGCCGCTGCACCACCATCACCACCACCACGACCAAGCAACGGACTGCTTTCTCCTCCACTCCCACTCACATCCTCACAACCTTTTTCCACCGCACCCGCACCCACCGCCGCCCTCGCTGCCGCGGCCGCAGCAGCAGTATCGGCAGCAGCAGCAGCATCAGCCATGGCTTCGAGAGGCAGTATCGGCAGGCGCACGGCAGCAAGGGAGGTGCTGTGCGCGGTATGGGAGGCAGAGGCGCGGCCGATGAAGGAGGTGGGGGAGATGCGGAGGGCGCGGGGTGTGTGGATTAGGGATTGCACGGTGGGGTCGGAGAGCGGGACCAGCACTGGGGCTTGCACTAGCCGCCTCTCCAACTCGTGTGTCAACTCCAAATAGGAGCCGGCTGGTATGGGAGAGAGGGGGGGAAGGGGGAGATGCGGAGGGCGCGGGGCGTGTGGATGAGCGACTGGACTGTTGGGGTCGGAGAGCGGGACGAGCACTGGTGCTTGCACTAGCCGCCTCTCCAACTCGTGTGTCAACTCCAGATGGGAACCGGCTGGAGAGAGGGGAAGTGGAAAGGGGAGTTGGAAAGAAAGTGTTATAGCACAACCACAACGACTCTCACGGGTAACAGCACTGACAAGCAACAGCACCCACAGCCGCTCCTCACAGGCGTGCGGCATCCAGATGGTGCAGTTCTCCAGCATGAGCGCCTGGGGAGATCCTTGAGCAAGCACCGGCACAGGCACAGGCACAGGCACAGGCACAGGCACAGGCACAGGCACAGGCACAGGCACAGGCACAGGCACCGGCACCGGCACCGGCACAGGCACAGGCACAGGCACAGGCACAATATGGACCGTCACCCAGTGTTAACAGCACTCACGGCCGTCACTCACAGGGGTGCAGCATCCAGATGGTGCAGTTCTCAAGCATGAGCGCCTGGGCCATCATCAAGCAAGAGGGTCTCCCCACCCATCATCAAGCAAGAGGGTCTCCCCACCCATCATCAAGCAAGAGGGTCTCCCCACCCATCATCAAGCAAGAGGGTCTCCCCACCCATCATCAAGCAAGAGGGTCTCCCCACCCATCATCAAGCAAGAGGGTCTCCCCACCCATCATCAAGCAAGAGGGTCTCCCCACCCATCATCAAGCAAGAGTCTACCCACACACGCACTAGGGTTGGCGACACTCACAAGGGTGCGGCATCCAGATGGTGCAGTTCTCCAGCATGAGCGCCTGGGCGAGCTCCACCAGGGTGGTGTTGAGGAGGGTGTGGCGGTCCAGTGACTGCCTGATCTCGTATGTCAGCATGCGCACGTGCCGCCCCACCTCCTCCTTGCGCCTCATCACGTCCATCTCTCTGTCAAGCTGGGCTGCTTTATGCTGCAGGAACAACTCTCGGACCTGGCAGGGAGTGGGGGAGCGCGTGGGGGAATGCGTGGGGGAATGAATGTGAGAAATCCGAGGCATACACTCCACATGGGCCACACGAGAATGGTGTTGAGGAGGGTGTGGCGGTCCAGTGACTGCCTGATCTCGTATGTCAGCATGCGCACGTGCCGCCCCACCTCCTCCTTGCGCCTCATCACGTCCATCTCTCTGTCAAGCTGGGCTGCTTTATGCTGCAGGAACAACTCTCGGACCTGGCAGGGAGTGGGGGAGCGCGTGGGGGAATGCGTGGGGGAATGAATGTGAGAAATCCGAGGCATACACTCCACATGGGCCACACGAGAATGGTGTTGAGGAGGGTGTGGCGGTCCAGTGACTGCCTGATCTCGTATGTCAGCATGCGCACGTGCCGCCCCACCTCCTCCTTGCGCCTCATCACGTCCATCTCTCTGTCAAGCTGGGCTGCTTTATGCTGCAGGAACAACTCTCGGACCTGGCAGGGAGTGGGGGAGCGCGTGGGGGAATGCGTGGGGGAATGAATGTGAGAAATCCGAGGCATACACTCCACATGGGCCACACGAGAATGGTGTTGAGGAGGGTGTGGCGGTCCAGTGACTGCCTGATCTCGTATGTCAGCATGCGCACGTGCCGCCCCACCTCCTCCTTGCGCCTCATCACGTCCATCTCTCTGTCAAGCTGGGCTGCTTTATGCTGCAGGAACAACTCTCGGACCTGGCAGGGAGTGGGGGAGCGCGTGGGGGAATGCGTGGGGGAATGAATGTGAGAAATCCGAGGCATACACTCCACATGGGCCACACGAGAATGGTGTTGAGGAGGGTGTGGCGGTCCAGTGACTGCCTGATCTCGTATGTCAGCATGCGCACGTGCCGCCCCACCTCCTCCTTGCGCCTCATCACGTCCATCTCTCTGTCAAGCTGGGCTGCTTTATGCTGCAGGAACAACTCTCGGACCTGGCAGGGAGTGGGGGAGCGCGTGGGGGAATGCGTGGGGGAATGAATGTGAGAAATCCGAGGCATACACTCCACATGGGCCACACGAGAATGGTGTTGAGGAGGGTGTGGCGGTCCAGTGACTGCCTGATCTCGTATGTCAGCATGCGCACGTGCCGTCCCACCTCCTCCTTGCGCCTCATCACGTCCATCTCTCTGTCAAGCTGGGCTGCTTTATGCTGCAGGAACAACTCTCGGACCTGGCAGGGAGTGGGGGAGCGCGTGGGGGAATGCGTGGGGGAATGAATGTGAGAAATCCGAGGCATACACTCCACATGGGCCACACGAGAATGGTGTTGAGGAGGGTGTGGCGGTCCAGTGACTGCCTGATCTCGTATGTCAGCATGCGCACGTGCCGTCCCACCTCCTCCTTGCGCCTCATCACGTCCATCTCTCTGTCAAGCTGGGCTGCTTTATGCTGCAGGAACAACTCTCGGACCTGGCAGGGAGTGGGGGAGCGCGTGGGGGAATGCGTGGGGGAATGAATGTGAGAAATCCGAGGCATACACTCCACATGGGCCACACGAGAATGGTGTTGAGGAGGGTGTGGCGGTCCAGTGACTGCCTGATCTCGTATGTCAGCATGCGCACGTGCCGTCCCACCTCCTCCTTGCGCCTCATCACGTCCATCTCTCTGTCAAGCTGGGCTGCTTTATGCTGCAGGAACAACTCTCGGACCTGGCAGGGAGTGGGGGAGCGCGTGGGGGAATGCGTGGGGGAATGAATGTGAGAAATCCGAGGCATACACTCCACATGGGCCACACGAGAATGGTGTTGAGGAGGGTGTGGCGGTCCAGTGACTGCCTGATCTCGTATGTCAGCATGCGCACGTGCCGTCCCACCTCCTCCTTGCGCCTCATCACGTTCATCTCCCTGTCTAGCTGTGCCGCCTTGTGCTGCAAGACCAACTCTCGGACCTGCAAGACTGTGTGTAGGAACGTGCACTTTGAGGAGTGTGCCCCATGGAGGGGGAATGCGAGGTGGAACGGATGACAGCAGCAGGCCTACAGAGCATCTTTAGTGTCCTCTATGGAACTTGCACCTGCTGTAGCTGATGCGCGAGCACAGGGCAACACAACTTGACGTTGAGCAGAGCGGGGATGATGGTGACGAGGAAGGCCGTGGCACAGGAGACAGCCGCATAGAATTGCGGAGCACCGCACAGCACACCTTGAAACCGCGCTCCTACCTTGACGTTGAGCAGAGCAGGGATGATGGTGATGAGCAGGAAGGCCGTGGCACAGGAGACAGCCGCACAGAGCACTTTGAGCACTGTTTGCAGCAGTGCCACTGCGCTGGGGTGAGGGCCGTACGTCCACATGTTGACCAGATGGGTCAGACCTGGGAGAGGAGGAGAGTGACGGGGGAGAGAGAGGCAATGGAACTGAGTAGCGCAGAGCACAATGAAGCGGGGTCACTACTCACTGTGAGTAGCGCAGAGCACAATGAAGCAGGGTCACTACTCACTGTGAGTAGCGCAGAGCACAATGAAGCAGGGTCACTACTCACTGTGAGTAGCGCAGAGCACAATGAAGCGGGGTCACTACTCACTGTGAGTAGCGCAGAGCACAATGAAGCGGGGTCACTACTCACTGTGAGTAGCGCAGAGCACAATGAAGCGGGGTCACTACTCACTGTGAGTAGCGCAGAGCACAATGAAGCGGGGTCACTACTCACTGTGAGTAGCGCAGAGCACAATGAAGCGGGGTCACTACTCACTGTGAGTAGCGCAGAGCACAATGAAGCGGGTTCACTACTCACTGTGAGTAGCGCAGAGCACAATGAAGCGGGGTCACTACTCACTGTGATTAGCGCAGAGCACAATGAAGCGGGTTCACTACTCACTGTGAGTAGCGCAGAGCACAATGAAGCAGGGTCACTACTCACTGTGAGTAGCGCAGAGCACAATGAAGCGGGGTCACTACTCACTGTGAGTAGCGCAGAGCACAATGAAGCAGGGTCACTACTCACTGTGAGTAGCGCAGAGCACAATGAAGCGGGGTCACTACTCACTGTGAGTAGCGCAGAGCACAATGAAGCGGGGTCACTACTCACTGTGAGTAGCGCAGAGCACAATGAAGCGGGGTCACTACTCACTGTGAGTAGCGCAGAGCACAATCAAGCGGGGTCACTACTCACTGTGAGTAGCGCAGAGCACAATGAAGCGGGGTCACTAATCACTGTGAGAAGCGCAGAGCACAATGAAGCGGGGTCACTACTCACTGTGAGTAGCGCAGAGCACAATGAAGCGGGGTCACTACTCACTGTGGTAGCGCAGAGCACAATGAAGCGGGGTCACTACTCACTGTGAGTAGCGCAGAGCACAATGAAGCGGGGTCACTACTCACTGTGATTAGCGCAGAGCACAATGAAGCGGGGTCACTACTCACTGTGAGTAGCGCAGAGCACAATGAAGCAGGGTCACTACTCACTGTGAGTAGCGCAGAGCACAATGAAGCGGGGTCACTACTCACTGTGATTAGCGCAGAGCACAATGAAGCGGGGTCACTACTCACTGTGAGTAGCTCAGAGCACAATGAAGCGGGGTCACTACTCACTGTGAGTAGCGCAGAGCACAATGAAGCGGGGTCACTACTCACTGTGAGTAGCGCAGAGCACAATGAAGCGGGGTCACTACTCACTGTGAGTAGCGCAGAGCACAATGAAGCGGGGTCACTACTCACTGTGAGTAGCGCAGAGCACAATGAAGCGGGGTCACTACTCACTGTGAGTAGCGCAGAGCACAATGAAGCGGGGTCACTACTCACTGTGATTAGCGCAGAGCACAATGAAGCGGGTTCACTACTCACTGTGAGTAGCGCAGAGCACAATGAAGCAGGGTCACTACTCACTGTGAGTAGCGCAGAGCACAATGAAGCGGGTTCACTACTCACTGTGAGTAGCGCAGAGCACAATGAAGCAGGGTCACTACTCACTGTGAGTAGCGCAGAGCACAATGAAGCGGGGTCACTACTCACTGTGAGTAGCGCAGAGCACAATGAAGCGGGGTCACTACTCACTGTGAGTAGCGCAGAGCACAATGAAGCGGGGTCACTACTCACTGTGAGTAGCGCAGAGCACAATGAAGCGGGGTCACTACTCACTGTGAGTAGCGCAGAGCACAATGAAGCAGGGTCACTACTCACTGTGAGTAGCGCAGAGCACAATGAAGCGGGGTCACTACTCACTGTGAGTAGCGCAGAGCACAATGAAGCGGGGTCACTAATCACTGTGAGAAGCGCAGAGCACAATGAAGCGGGGTCACTACTCACTGTGAGTAGCGCAGAGCACAATGAAGCGGGGTCACTACTCACTGTGAGTAGCGCAGAGCACAATGAAGCGGGGTCACTACTCACTGTGAGTAGCGCAGAGCACAATGAAGCGGGGTCACTACTCACTGTGATTAGCGCAGAGCACAAAAAAGCGGGTTCACTACTCACTGTGAGTAGCGCAGAGCACAATGAAGCAGGGTCACTACTCACTGTGAGTAGCGCAGAGCACAATGAAGCGGGGTCACTACTCACTGTGATTAGCGCAGAGCACAATGAAGCGGGGTCACTACTCACTGTGAGTAGCTCAGAGCACAATGAAGCGGGTTCACTACTCACTGTGAGTAGCGCAGAGCACAATGAAGCGGGGTCACTACTCACTGTGAGTAGCGCAGAGCACAATGAAGCGGGGTCACTACTCACTGTGAGTAGCGCAGAGCACAATGAAGCGGGGTCACTACTCACTGTGATTAGCGCAGAGCACAATGAAGCGGGTTCACTACTCACTGTGAGTAGCGCAGAGCACAATGAAGCAGGGTCACTACTCACTGTGAGTAGCGCAGAGCACAATGAAGCGGGTTCACTACTCACTGTGAGTAGCGCAGAGCACAATGAAGCAGGGTCACTACTCACTGTGAGTAGCGCAGAGCACAATGAAGCGGGGTCACTACTCACTGTGAGTAGCGCAGAGCACAATGAAGCAGGGTCACTACTCACTGTGAGTAGCGCGGAGCACAATGAAGCGGGGTCACTGTCGGAATAGTAGGTATAGTGAGAGGCCATAGCTAGGAGAACCCTAGCTAGGCAAGAGAGAATTGAACGGAAGAGAGGTTTTGCACTAGCAACAACGGTGGTACAAATAGCTAACCCTAGAAGGGCTGTACTCGCTATAGAGCACCCCACTGCAGGCTAGAGCATAATATTCTGACACACCCCCATAGCCAAAGTGGGGTGTAATCAGCACAGCAAGCAAAGCAGTACAAGCTCAGGGTGGATCACGATGTCACCACACATTCTGAGCACATGAACAAGAAGCAAAAGTTTAAAGTTCACAATTATGGGTAAAGCTAAAGCTGTCACAGAGGGCAAGCGAGGAGGAGGAGGGCTGGTGAGATGAGAGAAGAGTGGAGGCGACGACTGAAGCTGCAGACACTCGGGCAACAGACGGCTCTGGTGCAACGCTGGTGGCTACCGGGAGGAGAAAGGCCCCGGAATACAGGAGTAACAGGCTCTGCAACTGATCAGCCAGCGACAGTAGCAACGGACCCACGGGCGACAGGTGCAACCGGCTCTCTGAGCTACCGGGAGGAGAAAGGCCCCGGAATACAGGTGCTGCGGACGACACGACGGCAACCTCCGCTCAACCTCCTCCAACTGCCCCACACACCCCCCACACACCCACTGCTGAAACCCTAGCTCCATTCCCACGGCACCCCCCTTAAACCCTAAACCCTCGGCTCCCACACACCACCCCCCTCAGCGGCAGCTAGTGCAAATCCTCTCTTCCGTTCAATTCTCTCTTGCCTAGCTAGGGTTCTCCTAGCTATGGCCTCTCACTATACCTACTATTCCGACATGCTATCAGAGCATAATATTCTGACAGTCACTACTCACTGTGAGTAGCGCAGAGCACAATGAAGCGGGGTCACTACTCACTGTGAGTAGCGCAGAGCACAATGAAGCAGGGTCACTGCTCACTGTGAGTAGCTCAGAGCACAATGAAGCGGGGTCACTACTCACTGTGAGTAGCGCAGAGCACAATGAAGCGGGGTCACTACTCACTGTGAGTAGCGCAGAGCACAATGAAGCGGGGTCACTACTCACTGTGAGTAGCGCAGAGCACAATGAAGCGGGGTCACTACTCACTGTGAGTAGCGCAGAGCACAATGAAGCGTGGTCACTACTCACTGTGATTAGCGCAGAGCACAATGAAGCGGGGTCACTACTCACTGTGAGTAGCGCAGAGCACAATGAAGCGGGGTCACTACTCACTGTGAGTAGCGCAGAGCACAATGAAGCGGGGTCACTACTCACTGTGAGTAGCGCAGAGCACAATGAAGCGGGGTCACTACTCACTACAGTAACACTAGCAACCCAAACAACTGCGGGACAGTGACGGGGAAAGGTTACATCATGCACGTGGCTCACCACAGAGGAGGAGGAAGCGGCCAAACTGCAGCAGCACCCAGCGACTGAAGCAAGCGAGCGACAACGACAAGGGTGCAACAGAGAGGGGGCATAGCGGGGATAATCGCAGTGCAGAGGGCGCAGGGAGGCTCACCGCAGAGTACGATGAAGAGGCCGAACTGCAGCAGCACCCAGCGGTGGGGGAAGACCTTTGAGTCGATTCAAAACTCAAGGGTGCAAGGCTCACTCACCACAGAGCAACGAGGGGAAGCAAGGCGGCTCACTGCAGCGCAAAGAGGGTGTGCTATTAAGCTCACCGCAGAGCACGATGAAGAGGCCAAACTGCAGCAATACCCAGCGGTGGGGGAAGACCTTGGCTCGCAGGAAGAAATAGACTAGCTCCAAGGGTATGGAGAAGTAGGCGAGGGCTATGAGGAAATCGCTGCAATGGGAAGACGAGGCAGAGAGGGAGGGTAGAGGATGGATGCACAGGGGATGCACAGGGGATGCACAGGGGATGCACAGGGGATGCATTAAAGGGGGAGGGAGGGGACGTTGTAAGAGCTTGGCGCGCAGGAAGAAGTAGACTAGCTCGAGAGGGATGGAGAAGTAGGTGAGAGCTATGAGGAAATCGCTGGGTACGAGAGGGTGGGGAGGGAGGGTAGTGCATTGAGACGGACGAGGGAAGGGGGAGGAGGTAGCAGGGGTTGGACGACTTGAGAGCGCAGGAAGGAGTACAGAAGCTCCAAGGGGATCGAGAAGTAGGCTAGACTAGAGCTATGAGGAAACCGCTGGAGGAGAGAGAGTGGTGGGAAACAGGCGAGGCAGAGATGTTTTGAGACGGGAGGGGGGAGAGAGAGCGGTAGTGGGGGGAAGAGTGCATTTTCTTCCTCTGCCCCGCCTGGTTCCCACCACTCTCTCGTGATAAAAGAGATGTTTTGAGACCCCCCCCCCTTTCCCCTCTTCCCCCTTCCTTTCTCCCCCCTCCCCACCTGGCTAGCTGGCAGCGGGCAATGCGCTCGTCCAGCACGCCATGCTCGTCCTCTTCTCTCCTCATGCTCTCTTCACCCCACTACCGCTCGCTCCCCCTCCCTTCCCCTCCCTCCCCCCCCCCCCACCACCTGGCGAGCTGGCAGCGCGCAATGCGCTCGTCCAGCACGCCATGCTCGCGCCTCATCCCCCCATCATCTCCCCCATCTCCCCCTCCCCCCACCCCCCCCCCCCCCCCCCCCTTCACACACCCCACCTGGCGAGCTGGCAGCGCGCAATACCCTCGTCCAGCACGCCGTGCTCGCGCCTCATCCCCCCATCATCTCCCCCATCATCATCTCCCTCATGCTCTCGTCCTCTGCTGCCCTTCCTGCACATTCTTGCTGCACGTTCCCCCATCCTCCCCTCCCTCCCCCTTTTTCCCTTCTTCCCAGCCCCCTTCCTTCCGCACCTGGCGAGCTGGCAGCGCGCAATGCCCTCGTCCAGCACGCCGTGCTCGTCTGCTGCTGCCTCCTGCTGCATTTCATCCCCCATTTCATCCCCCCCCCCTCCTCCCACCCCCCTCCCCTTCACCTGGCGAGCTGGCAGCGCGCAATGCCCTCGTCCAGCACCCCGTGCTCGTCCTCGCAGGAGCAGAGGAAGGGGAAGATGCGCGGCATGGGGTGCAGCCTGGGGGGAAAGGAGAGAGGGGGAGGAGGACGGGAGGAGGGTTATCGTAATACTTGAGATCTCAATCTCGTCCAGCACGCCATGCTCGTCCTCGCATTGGCAGAGGAAGGGGAAGATGCGCGGCATGGGGTGCAGCCTGGGGGGCGAAAGAGGGAGGGGAAGGAAAAGTGGGGGGGGGGGGGGGAAGCGGGGAAGGTGGGGCGTGGGGGGAGGGGTTTGCTGCTATGTATGAGGCGCATTAAAGCTGGTCCTTGCAGGGGCAGAGGAAGGGGAAGATGCGCGGCATGGGGTGCAGCCTGGGGGGAAAGAACGGGAGGTGACGTGGCACATGGTCGCCTGATCGCAGATGTTTGTGAGTACGAATTCCGGATCATTTCTGAGGGGTAGAGCTTAACTGAAAGCCCCATTCCCATTCCTCCAATCAGGTCCCCGTAAACACCTGCCTCAACCCATGTTCATTTTTTATGCGCCTCAAAGAAAGTCCCCATGCACCTGCCTCACCCCATGTTTCCGCCACTCGCGTGCAGCGCGGTGGCGCACGCCGCCAAAACGGACGCCAGCGCCGCCACTGCAGTTCCGCCGACCATCCAGCTCCGCGCCATGGCGCAATAACGGGGCAAGGCGGGCAGCGGGGAGCGGGGGAACGGGACGCGTGAAGCAGATCAGCGCAGATTCGAGAACGCGGAGAGGGGGAAAGGCCCGGATGGGGGACGTCGGAGAGGCCGCGCAAAAACAAGGCGGGAGGCGCGGAAGGCGCAACGACAAAAGGTACGAAGAGGAAGGAACTCGGCGCGAGGCGAAAAGGAAATCGAAGTGGCGTCTTGTGCTAGGAGCCCTAGTGGTACTCGCTTCGCCTATGCCTCGGTCTCGGTCGCGTGCCCGACTAAATTAGCCGACTGGTTCTACATACTCTTATACACGACGAGTGAGTCGATGGCACACTGCGGTCCCACACGTCAACGACTTCCTCGCCCATCTCGCAACTATTTGACGCTGATAACCTCGAGCCGCCTGAATTAAAGTCGAACTGGAGTAGCTTGCCTTGTCAGCACGCATGCGTGCGTGACGTTGATCGCACGCCACCGTACGACTCCGCTCGTGCAAGAAGCGTCCCCGTTCACCTTCTTATGGTAATACAGGTCATGCAAGAGGGTGTGCCTATGCTGGCGTGCGGACGGCTGGCAACTAACTTATTCTGTTCTGCCTGCCCGTCCTCGCCTCGCATCAACGAAGTAACGCAGGAAGCAATAGGGAGCATTAGGGGCAACAGGGCAGCTGTCGGCGGCGCGCGTGCATGTAAAGTGCGACCGGCGGGCAAGCTAGAACGAGTGGTTGATTGGCTGAAAGTGCGACAGAGTTGGTGGTTACACACGGGTCGGGCAGGTTGGGAAAACCGGGCAGGCTCAGGGATAGGTGTTGAGGCAGTGAGTTACTGAACGGGAATTAAATAAACGACGGTGGCCCGTGTGGATTTTCTGGCCGCCCATTGGCTGCTGAACTTGGTACGTGTCGATTTGCCCTGAGGTCTGTTGGATCTGGCAGCCAAGCTGTAAGGCAGCGAAATTAGGACGCGGTAAGAGTGGAGATTCGATCGCCTCAGGGTCGTTAATTAACGCGGTTGTAAACGGTTGTGTACCGTTTAAAAGGCATAACGCGAGGTTTCAGTGCAGTGACCGAATCTATCTCCCCCCCGATCGCGCACTGTTACCGCGCGCAAAGCATTTTCCATACAATCAGGATCGTTACAGATGAAAGCATATGTCCTGTCCGTGACTCGTACAACGAAATCCGAATACATGTTGTCCGGTTATCGAGACGTATGCATTAACGAAGCAGAATTCACTGGGGAGGGGAGGGGAGATCTGAATGTGATCCAAGTACACATGATGCCTGATTGAGCCCCTCCCGGTTGCCTTGTGATGGGGGCATATGAGCTGTATCGTGAATTTCGCAAAAGTTTCGTCAATTCGCAGCTAGCTAAAAAGGACTCGCAGGTGCTTATATAAAGGATCTGTAACCTTATCCGTTGACATTTTGACTTCAGTCTCTTCAGTATGACCACGGTCTGTTCGTTACTTGTGGTTCATAATCACTACAGCTTGCGCGACGTGCTTGTAACGTGGGTGCAACTGGCTGGGGAAAAAACCTCGGGTGCAGCGTTTCCATCCGGTGCAGAGCAAATTCGCGTGCATGGGGTGGGCATCACCTGTACACTGACTGGTCAGCTGAAAGGCGCGCATGGTACAAGACTTCGGGCAACGGGAAAGGCGCGCGTCACAGAAATGTTTCGAGGCTGCCCCGTACAGCATGCTCTGGCTTTGCCGACTCCCGCTTTCAACTCTCCAATAGCAGCTTCGTCCGGAACGCGGCTACGGCCTGCTAGAACGCACCGCGAGGCGGTCCGGCCTTGCAGGGCCTTTCGCCGAGACATTACAGCGGACGTCTCCGATGCAACGTGTTTTGCGGGGAGAAACGGATTTCTGAGGCGCCTCAAAAGTCGGATTTCTGAGGCGCCTCAAAAGTCGTCTCCGATGCAACGTGTTTTGCGGGGAGAAACGGATTTCGCCGCGGAAGAACGGTGCGGGAACTTGGCAAATCAAGTGGGATGCAGCGTTTTAGTGAGATTCGAGTGGCACATTTCGGGGAGAGCTTATATCGAGGAATAGAAGGGATGGCTGGCATCGGCTGGCGATCTAGCGCGCTTCACAGGCGGACAGCTGATGTAGTCGCGACACCGTGTAGCTATCATGGGAACAGCAGTGAAGCCAATCCAAGTGTTGATCATGGTAGTCATCTTAGGGAGGGCAGCGACAGTAACGACGGTGACAGTGACGGTGACGTTGACGGCGACGGTAACTGTACGGATAGGTCAGTTGATGTTTCTAAGGAACCAGTTAGGGTCGAAAGAAGTTGTCCCTCTGAAGATCCTTCGTCTCCGGATGACGTCACGAGTGACAGCAACGCGTCCAGGACACGTGGCAGGCAGGGAATGGTCCGAGTCCTGCTGTTCTGGCCCAACATCATTGGATACCTGAGAATCGCTCTCCTCCTCGCCCTCCTCCTCTACCTCCCCCTCTCGTCACCCCACCCCACCAACCTGCCATCACTCTCCCCACCCTCTTCCCTCCCATCTATAGCTCATGTACATGCATCCGCTTACCCCAATGTGTACGCCTCCCCCCTTGCAACCCATGCCATGCCTGTGCTGCTGTGTGCGCTGCTCTATCTGCTCATGGCATTGGACGGTGTGGATGGCATCGTGGCTCGCCGCCTGCGCCAGGTGTCGGCGTTTGGTGCGATCCTGGACGTTGCTGTGGACAACGCACTGCGCACCGCCATGTGGGCGGCTGCCGTGAACAGTGCCATGCTGGGCGTGAACAGTGCCATGCTGGCCATGAACAGTGTTGGTGCCGCTGTGTCAGGCATGAACAGTGTCGGTGGAACTGTGTGGGGCTTGATCAGTGCAAAGATGTTGCAAGTAGCGGCCGTGCTTGTACCATGTGTGGAGTGGCTTACGTTCACCTGCTCCCACGCCAGCACGCATAGAAGTAGCACTGAGCCACCACGTTCTAGTGACCGCTCCACAGCACCAGCGCCCAGGCAAGCAGCCAAGAAAGGGAATGGGGAGGCAAGGCATGGGCAAGAGGGACAGAAAGAGGTGGTGGAAGTTGGAGGAGACGTGCAGCAAGTGGGGCAAGGACGGGAGCACGGCGGGAATGGGGAAGAAGTGGAGCAGGGAGGAGGTTTGAAGGAGCGGGCAAAAGAGAGGGGCAACTGGAAGGAGGTGTGGGGTGGCAAGAGCGACACTCCACTTCTGGTCTCCCTGGTTATGAGAAATGGCTTCAAAACGTACGTGACATGGGACTGTGCTGTGGGCTGGAATGTAGGCTATCTGCTGTGCTTGTGGGATGAGCAGAGTCATGGGTTTTCTATGCTGACATGGTTATGAATTTCCCCCCCCACCTCACATCATCAGCTTCTTTTCATTATCACTCTCTCACTCTCTCTTTCTTCACTGCTAGCCCAACAACCCTCCTCGGCCTCCTCCCTGTCCCCATTTTTCCCAAATCCTTCCTGGCCGATCACAGCCCTACTGGAGTCATGGCAATCGCCGGCCTGCACTTCCTCCCTCTCTGGCTCTTCCTTCGACACCATCTACACTCGTTTCTCACTTCACTCTCACATGCATACATGCAAAGTCAACCACGGGCCATTGCACCATCTTGGGATGGTTGCATTTTCGGCACTGACCTCCCTTCCAGTTGGGTTGACTCTTGGTGTTGGAAGGCTTCTGTGTCTGTTTGTGGAGTTTTGGGTTATCCGAACTCACCTCTTCCAGATTCTTCAAGCCGATGCAGAAGCTCATTCGAGCAATTAGTTATTACGATAGCTGTACATGACTGAGTGACTAACAACGTAAGGCAATGGTAGTGTTGGTATTCTTTCATTAACCTACGGTAGCAGCTAAAAAGTTGCATTCTATCAACAAAGGGGAAAGTCTAGGCTAAAAGCAGCTGGTTTGTGCTACCGTATTTACCCGGGTAATAAACCCGGGGGTCTAATCCTACCCCGGGAAAAAAAGGGGGGTGGGTCTATTAAGTGGGTGTAAATTTAATAGACCCGGGGTCTAATCCTATGTGCATTTATAGTTTGAAAGTCATGTAAAATACCAGTGTTTCAGGCCCAGAAACGAGAATTCCAATGTTGAGTCAGGGAAATTTTGACCACAGCCTGACGCGAGGCACTCGCGCGTCAGATTCTGCAGTCAAGTCAGTGAAATTTCGCTACAGAAAGTTGTCCCTTCCTACATTCTCGCTAAAAATAGAGGTGTATACAGTGCGGGGGGTCTAATCCGAATTCGTTACGAAAAAGGGGGATCTATTACAAAAGTGCACATAGCATTAGAACCCCCCCCATTTAACGACCCAGGGGTCTATAAGGACGTGGCCAAGACCGCTTCTGATTGCCTCGATCAGAAGCGATCAATAACTTCCAGGAAGCCCCAAGGCCAATTCCAGGCAATCGGGGGCAATCAGCTGATCGCGATCAGCTGATCGCCCCATCTCGATCAACCGCCTCAAACACCCCAATCAAACACAATCACACACAATCACGCACGATCAGTTGATTGCGTTGGGTTGCACCCCTATGCGACGCCAGCGAAAAGTTACAGTGTTCGTCTGTGTTTCGAGTAGCCCTCGCCTTACCTCCACGACTGCAAGAACTTTCTGGACGCGCATACAGTTTCTGGGTTTCCAAGTCAGAAGTTTCTGGAGCCGTCGTAGCGTTGCTGTCTCCCTTTGCGAAATTACAGGGTGACACAGGTATCGCTGGAGCAGTGCTCATGCCTTTCGCTGTCGCCAAATTTGGCCCGAAGCTGGTGGGAAATGTGTTTGTGCTTGCCATGCACCATCCCATCATATTCGAGGAATTTCGGCTCTGATCAAAGTCGCCCCGATCAGAGTCGCCCCGATCAGATCCAACCCGATCAGATCACTGCCGATCAGACCCGGTCTGGTCCACGTCCTAATTATGGGGGGTCCATACCCGGGTAATACGGTAAATGTTGATTGAAAAATGATGTCAGTGGAGTTATGTATTGCGTACAAGTCCCGCACCATGCGCCCGTCGTTTTCCCCGCACTTGGGGATTCTCGCGGACAACTGTGCATTTCCTCCAGACAGCCAGCGCGGCGCATTCTTTCGCGCAACAGCAGCCAATCAGTCACAACCGTAGAAAACTTTCGCAAATCAAAACCAATCATTCCAGCATGCTGACAAGGTGTTGGGCGCAGACACACCCAATCACCCTTCCCCGTTCCCCCCAGGAAACACATTGTTACCAGTTGCAAGGGGGGAGGTAAAGCGCGGAGCGCTCAAGGAAATCCTCCTCTGCCCTTCCTTTGCTCCACTGCTTACCCCAGGGAGTCCCGCGCGCGCAACCATGTCATGCTGTCATCACCGCGCGCGCAAACGTGTCAACTTGACATCACCGCGCGCGCGTCCTGCTCCGCGACTCCTTATGTTAGTCACCGTTGCATAGCACAACCCTTTTCGAGTTGTCCATGAGCTCATCTTTCCTGTCTGCAACACCTGGTAGTTTGTGTTGCGGCTCCGTCGCTCGATCTTTTGAGCGTCGACGGCCGCTGTGTTCCCTGCGGCGGCGCGCGCATCCACGTGAACCAGTCGCCGAAAGCTTACATCTTTTATTGGGTTTTGCATTATGGCGTCCGCTATTCGCGTGCATGTGCAGCTCGGGCAAGTGGCAGAGAGTAAATCCGACTCGTCGGCAGCTGCGCAGTCGTTCTTCGGTGCTGGTAACGCGGTCGCATGCCTCGGCTTCCCCTCTCGCGAAAGCATGCGTTTCGTCGACTCGTTTCGACACGGAATCCCGCTAAAACGGTCCCTTGCAGCCACTCGCAGCAGAGCTGTGCGAAATGAGCGACTTGTAGTTACCATAGCTAGCGATTCTTCCTCTCCCGTCGCAGCACCCAGCGCCCGCCAGGACGTTCCGTGCTTTCCCTCACGAAGCTTCCTAGCCGTATCCTCACCATCCAGCAGCGTTATGTCTGTAAATCTTTCAGGCGGCTCCTGCTTTGGACGGTCCGGATCGCTCCTTAACTGTAATCAACGATCACGATTTCGAGTCTTCGCTCGTCACAGCAAGCGACCCGATATCGACAAGGCCCCCCCTCCTCCCACATGCGCCATCCTCCCCGAAACCGCAGCGGAAGCCGCCACGCTTGACGCCGACTCCCCCCGCGCTGCCGCTGTTGCGCGCGCTGTCGCCACTGCCGTCGAAACCGCTGACCGCGCCGCGCTTCCTAGCGGCGCGGAGCTAGCGGCGCAGCTCCAGGCGCAGCCGGCGCAACAGGCGCAGCCCCCCGCGCTGATGAAAGTTTCCCCCGAGTCCCTGACCTATCCGTCGGGGTTCTTGGGGGGTTTCGGGGATAACAACCCCTTGCCAGTGGATTCCAAGGGACACGTGGCGGATGACGTGGCGGTGGATAAGGACGCGTATCTGAGGCAGATCCTGAGATCGCGGGTGTATGACGTGGCGATCGAAAGCGCGCTGGAGTTCGCGCCGAAGCTGAGCGAGAGGGTCGGCAACCGGGTGTTTCTGAAGCGGGAGGACACGCAGCCGGTATTTTCGTTCAAGCTGCGAGGCGCATACAACATGATGGCGCACCTGACGCCGCGGCAGCTCGCCAAGGGCGTCATTTGCTCGTCCGCGGGGAACCACGCGCAGGGGGTGGCGCTTTCCGCCTCCAGGCTGCACTGCAGGTGGGGCCTTCTTTGGATGTCTGGGACGCCTTCTGAGCCGGTTTGTGGAACGCCTTTTGGGTGTCTTCAGGGTAATTCAGGGTGGTTCAGGGTGGTTCAGGGTGGTTCACTTTCTTGCTATTTCTCCGTTTCCTGCGCGCGTGTAATAGCATGCATGTGACTGTGTTTTATGCTCTACTGCACGCATGTGAGTGTATACCGCCTCCTTATCACACCGCTGTATTCGCGCCCGTTTTCACTGCACGTGTGTGACTCTATGCAGTGCCATAATAGCGATGCCAGTGACAACACCAGAGATCAAGTGGCGCGCAGTGCAGCGGCTGGGAGCGGAGGTGGTGCTGGTGGGGGACTCATATGATGAGACTCAGGTGAGGGATTGGTGTGGGCGGTGGAGCTTATTTGTCACGTCGGGGGCCTGTGAGTGAGAGGAGTGGAAGGGCAGCTTGAGTGATGGACGGGCAGTGCAGCGGGTGGGAGCAGAGGTGGTGCTGGCGGGGGACTCATTTGAAGAGACGCAGTGATTTGGAGGCTGGTGAGACGCAGGTGAGGTGATGCCCTGTGTCTTGGAGTTGGTAGTCACAGGTAGAAGGGCAGGGCATGGTGGGCATTGAGATGCTCCTTTCCGTTGGTGGGGTTTCTGCTGTTCACTCCCCATCTTACTCACCCATCTTATTCCCTCATTTCTTCATCGTTCTCCCTCTTTCCCTATCCTTCCCCCCCTTCTTCACTTCCTCCCATCCCAATAGGCCTATGCCAAGAAGCGAGCAGAGGAGGAGGGACGAGTGTTCATCCCGCCGTTCGACCACGAGTTGGTGATAGCGGGGCAGGGCACGGTGGGCATGGAGATCCTCCGCCAGTGGAGGCCCTCCCTCCCTTCTCACTCTTCTCCTTTCCCCCACCAAAATTTTGAAACACGTTCATGTCAGGCCTATGCCAAGAAACGAGCAGAGGAAGAGGGGCGTGTCTTTATCCCGCCGTTCGACCACGAGTTGGTGATAGCGGGGCAGGGCACGGTGGGCATGGAGATTCTCCTCTCCTCCAGCCAGTGGAGCACGTGCTGTGCTGACCATCCATCCCATCTTCCCTCCCCTGCCTCGTCTTTCAGGCATATGCCAAGCGCAGGGCAGAAGAAGAGGGACGAGTGTTCATCCCGCCGTTCGACCACGAGTTGGTGATCGCGGGGCAGGGCACCGTGGGCATGGAGATTCTCCGCCAGTGGAGCACGTGCGACCGCACGGGCGGCTGCGGGGGCGGCGCAGGCCAGTGGCGGTTTTTGGACTCTTCCTCAGAGGATGAACGGGAGGGGCATGGGAGCAATGGGGGCGCAAACGGGGCTGTGAATGGCGCAGCGGCAACAGCAGGAGCCGCAGCAGCAGGAGCAGCAGCAGCTTCATTGTCTTCCTCCTCCCCCTCCTCCTCCCCACCATCATTATCATCGTTATCATCAGCAGCAGCAGCATCCCTACTATCCAGCGAATCTCCAGAGCAGCAGCAGCAGCTATCCCAAACAGCAGATCTGGCCGCTACCTCCCACTCCTCTCCCTTCTTCCCTCCCCCTCCAACGACCCCGATCAACCCACCATCGTCACTATCAGCAATGCTTTCGCAGTCAACCCTAGCAGCAGAAGCAGGGGAGGGCGAGGGGCTGTGTCACATGGACCCCTCGAGTCTGCACGCGGTGTTTGTGCCGGTGGGGGGTGGTGGGTTGATTGCTGGCATCGCTGCTTACATCAAGGCACTTCAGCCAGAGGTGAGTGCGGTTGTGGTGAAAATGCAGCAGGGGAGGGCGAGGGACTGAGTCCCATGGACCCTTCGAGTCTGCACGTGGTGTTTGTGCCGGTGTGGGGCGGTGGGCTGATTGCTGGCATTGCTGCTTAAATGAAGGCGCTCCAGCCAGAGGTGAGTGCAGTTTAATGGGATAGGATGCGGTGGGATGCGATAAGATCTGGTACATTTACACATGGGTGAAATGGGTGTTATGAGTGTGTTTTTCTTAAAAAAAAAAACCTTTTCAGCGCAACCTTCATTTCTGCCTTGCCCCCTCCTCCCCTCTCCTCCCCAACCCCACTGCTCTCCTGGCCGCTGCTTTCCACCATGTGTCTAACACCAGGTGCGAGTGATAGGGGTGGAGCCTGCTGATGCCAACGCCATGGCACTCTCCCTCTACCATGGCCGGTGAGAGCTGATCCACGCACATGCTAAACCACCCACACCGCATCCCACCGCATCCCACCTAAATCAAGGTCCCACAAAGCTCACCTGCTGACGCCAATGCCATGGCACTCTCCCTTTACCACGGCCGGTGAGAGTTGGTCCACCCACATCCCTTCCCATCCCACCCCTTCCCATGGCACCTCGTGACCTGACCCACCCACATCCCATCCCACTTCACTATGGCGCTCGGTAAGGGTTTGCGCACCCGCAACCGGCTCTGCCAGCAGCTGGTGGACGGGGTGGTGCTTGTCTCTCGGGACGAGATCTGTGCCGCCATTGAAGAGATGTTCGAGGACACGCGCGCATGTTCAAGATGCGCTTGCTCAGTCACTTCGTGCCCAACCCCTCCCTCTCTCCCCACCCCCAGCCGAGTGGAGCTATCCTCCTGCAGCACATTCGCTGATGGAGTGGCTGTGCGGCAGGTGGGGGTGGAAACGTTCCGGCTCTGCCAGCAGCTGGTGGATGGGGTGGTGCTGGTCTCTCGGGACGAGATCTGTGCCGCCATCAAGGACATGTTCGAGGACACGCGCAGCATCCTGTGGTGTGGGTGGGTGGTCCAAGGCACGCTTGCTCAGTCACAGTGTGCCCCCCTCCTCCCTCGCCCCCTCCCTCGCCCCCTCCCTCTCCCCCTCCCTCTCCCCCTCCCTCTCCCCCTCCCTCTCCCTCTCCTTCGCCCCCTCCCTCTCCCTCGCCCCTCCCCCCCAGCCGAGTGGAGCTATCCTCATGCGGCACCTTTGCTGATGGCGTGGCAGTGAGGATGGTGGGGGAAGAAACGTTCCGGCTGTGCCAGCAGCTGGTGGACGGCGTAGTCCTTGTCTCTCGGGACGAGATCTGTGCTGCCATTAAAGACATGTTTGAGGACACGCGCAGCATCCTGGAACCGGCGGGGGCGCTGGCGCTGGCAGGGGCGAAGGCGTATTGCCGGCAGTACGGGTTGAAGGGCGAGGGCGTGGTGGCCGTGGCGAGCGGTGCTAACATGAACTTTGACCGGCTCAGGCTCGTTTCAGAGCTGGCTGATCTGGGGGCCAGGCGAGAGGCGGTACTGGCAACAACTCTTCCTGAAATCCCAGGGGCGTTCAAGCAGTTTGCCAAGCTGGTGAGTGGGTTGAGAGGGGTGGAAAGCGGTGAGAGAGTGGTGTGAGAGTGGTGAGGAGAGCCCAGCAGGGGCGCTGGCGCTGGCAGGGGCGAAGGCGTATTGCCGGCAGTACGGGCTCAAGGGCGTGGGCGTGGTGGCCGTGGCGAGCGGCGCCAACATGAACTTTGACTGGCTCAGACTGGTCTCGGAGCTGGCCGATTTGGGGGCGAGGCGAGAAGCTGTGTTGGCGACGACGCTGCCGGAAATCCCTGGGGCTTTCAAGCAGTTCACCAAGCTGGTGAGTGAAAGGAGGGTGTAGAGAAGCTGAGGCTCCAAGGCGTATTGCCGGCAGTACGGGCTCAAGGGCGTGGGCGTGGTGGCCGTGGCGAGCGGCGCCAACATGAACTTTGACTGGCTCAGACTGGTCTCGGAGCTGGCCGATTTGGGGGCGAGGCGAGAAGCTGTGTTGGCGACGACGCTGCCGGAAATCCCTGGGGCTTTCAAGCAGTTCACCAAGCTGGTGAGTGAAAGGAGGGTGTAGAGAAGCTGAGGCTCCAAGGCGTATTGCCGGCAGTACGGGCTCAAGGGCGTGGGCGTGGTGGCCGTGGCGAGCGGCGCCAACATGAACTTTGACCGCCTCAGGCTCGTGTCTGAATTGGCGGACTTGGGGGCCAGGAGGGAGGCTGTACTGGCGACGACGCTGCCGGAAATCCCAGGGGCTTTCAAGCAGTTTGCCAAGCTGGTGAGTTGGCATGTCTGTGAGGGGGAGGGGAGTGTGGCAGTGAAGAGTGGGCGGTGGCGAGTGGCGCCAACATGAACTTTCACCGCCTCAGGCTGGTCTCGGAGCTGGCTGACCTGGGGGCGAGGAGAGAAGCCGTGCTGGCGACGACGCTGCCGGAAATCCCAAGGGCTTTTATTTAAGCAGTTTGCCAAGCTGGTGAGTTGGCAAGCTGGGGAGTCTTTGAAGGGAATGGGGAATGGGGAATGGGGAGTGGAGAGGGGCCAGGGCTTTCTGTGGGTATTTCAGGTTGATGGGTGAGGGTGTGGTGGCGGTGGCGAGTGGTGCCAACATGAACTTTCACAGCCTCCGGCTGGTGTCAGAGCTGGCTGAATTGGGGCCGAGGTGACTTTTGAGTCGACTCAAAAGTAAGTTGCGTTGGTAAGCATGTTAGGGGAGTGGGGAGTGGGGAGTGGAGAGTGGAGAGTGGAGAGTGGGAGGTGGCGAGCAGGGAAGTACCGCTGAGCAAAGGTGGCTGAACGTTTTTTTCCTGTAATCCATGCTTCACCTCCCATGACCTCTGTGTTTCCCCGCAGGTGGGGCCCGGGCATGAACATCCCAGAGTTCAGGGTTTAGGGTTACCAAGTAATGCGTCTGAACAGATGGCTCACCGCTTTCCCCATCGCCTCCCCTGCTCCATCCCCCGCTCACCGTGTTCCCCGCAGGTGGGGCCCGGCATGAACATCACGGAGTTCAAGTACCGCTTCTGCTCCACTGATGCTGCCCACGTGCTGTACAGGTGCGACCATGGTGCCCACGGTACGGTGTGGTAGCGGGTGGTTGGGTGTGGTAGGGTGCACTGGGATGTGCCTACAGGTGGGTTGTGAGGCTGGGCATGAAGATCACGGAGTTCAAGTAGCGTTTCTGCTCCACTGATGCTGCCCACGTGCTCTACAGGTGCGTGCGGTGATGGTGGGTTAAGTGGGGTGCGGTGGGGTGTGATGTGATGGTAGGGGAATGTGCTGTACAGGTGCATTGTGAGGTTGGGGCATGAGCATCACAGAGTTCAAGTACCGCTTCTGCTCCACTGACGCTGCTCACATCACATGCTCAACATGCAGAGTGATGGTGGGTTGCATTGGCTTGATCGCGGCATGCCTCTCTGATGATTTCACAGCTAGAGGCAGGAGACATGCCAACCGGTAGCCTAACACGACATGACATGTAACGATCTGGCCAAGGACCATCTGCGCCACCTCACTCCCCCTCTTTCCTCCTTTGGTCCCTCTACTTGCAACGTCGGAGTGCACACAGAGGGAGACCTGGAAGCCATGATATTGCGATTGGAGGATGGCAGCATGCCAACCTCAATCTGGCCATGATATGACGGACAACCATCTGGCCAAGGACCATTCTGCGCCACCTCGTGGGAGGGCGCTCGTCTCCCTCTCCCTATTTTTGTCCCTCGGCCAATTCTCACTCTCTTTCTCCTCCAACTTTCTCCTCCGCACCCCCCTCGCGCACTCTCCTTGGATAGTGTGGGCGTGCACACAGAGGAAGACCTGGAAGCCATGATCGCGCGCCTAGAAGGCGGGGACATGCCAACAGTGGACATGACGGACAACGATCTCGCCAAGGACCATCTGCGCCACCTCGTGGGCGGGCGCTCGTCCCTCCCCAACGAGATTCTTTTCCGCTTTGTCTTCCCTGAGCGGCCTGGCGCGCTCGTCAAGTTCCTGGACCCCATCAGCCCGCGCTGGAACATCACTCTCTTTCACTACCGCCGCACCGTGAGTACTTTGAGCAGAGGATTCATTTTGCAGAGGTTGAGCAGTAGTTTGTACGGTCAGTGATCGTGGCACTGCTGGTTGAGTTGCGGTTGTGCTTGTCAGTGCCCACACTGAGGTTCACATGTCCAGAACCCAGCCAGTGCTTGTCAAGTTCCTCAACCCCATCGGCCCGCACTGGAACGTCACGCTCTTCCACTACCGCCGCACTGTAGGTGCATTGAGTTGAGATGAGCGGTGTGGGCTCATGCTTCAAGTGGTAAGGTCAATCTCAGTGGTTCCAGCCCGTTTAATGGTGTTGGTTCACATGCCCACAGCCCCATCATTGCACTCGTCAAGTTCCTGGTCCCCATCAGCCTGGGCTGGAACATCACGCTCTTCCACTACCGCCGCACCGTGAGTGGTTTGCGTCGATCTGGGCTCCCGTGGTCGTCTCGTAAAGTCAGTCACATTGGTTACCAGGTGACCATAACGATCGGTCAAAGCCCGAATTGTGTTCTTGTCAAGTTCCTGGACCCCATCAGCGTGCTGAAACATCCCACTCTTGCACTACCGCCACACCGTGATTCCAAGGAAGTAGGCGGCAGTGGGTGGTCAAATCTGAGCTGTGGGATCCTGCGTCTTGTGGCGCTGCTGATCAGACCTATTACTTATGCCTCTTCTACTTCCCTTCGCCGTGTTTCCCCTTGCTGTGTTACTCATCTCACATTACTCCAGGGGGAGATGATCGCGCATGTGCTGGTGGGGCTGCAGGTGATGCCTCACGAGGAGGCGGAATTCAGAGCGGTGGCGGATGCGCTAGGGTATGAATACAGTGATGAGCGCAACAACAAGGCACTGCGCATATTCATGCAATAGAGGGGGTAAGTGTTGTCACCCGTTGAGGTTGCGCTAGGGTATGAGTACAGTGACGAGCGCAACAAGAAGGCGCTGCGCATCTTCATGCAATAGAGGGGATGTCTGTGTTTTAGGTGCACCGTGCTGAGCCCTGGAATACTGTATGATGAGTACAGTGATGGGTGGAAGGCAATACACTCTGCACTCATAAATATTTGGATGGTAGCCTCACAAGAGAGCATCAGTTTCTCAAGGAAAGAGGCAGAACAAAAAGGGACAAAATGTGGTACTCATGAATCAGAGGTGTGGTGGTGGAGTAGATGCAATGGGTCTGCCTTGGGAATACCATAGCATCATTGGGAGAATTGCATCACTAGGCCTATCACACACTTCATAATCAAGCTGGTTGTACACCTACAAAACATTTTGTATACAGTGTAATCAGTATCATATCATATTCACATGCCACAACAGCACACTCTAAAAACATATTGTGGCAAAGCTTCGAGGTTGATTGTGTCTTTCTTGAGTTTCTCAAGGACGATGAGGTGAGCCTTCAAGCAGTAGTGACATCACCAACAGGGATTTCAGGGTTCTTGGCAGCCCACCAACCAGTGAACTTGAAATAGAGGCGATATTCCAGTAGACTCAGAACGTCAAGGTTGACGGTGGTTGAAGGACAATGATGTGGCGAGTCCTCAAGCGGTGGTGACATCGCCCACAGGGATTTCGGGGTTCTTGGCAGCCCACCAGTCAATGAACTTGAAATTGGCATCCATGGAACTGAACTTGTACAGGCCCAGCCCAATGTTGGCCGCCTCCTCTGTTACGGCCCAGCTGGTAACCGCACCCACCACGAGCGTCAGGAAAGCACCTGGGGGTGCGATGCGCATGAGGAGGGCGGGGGGGAGAGAGCAGAACAGGAGGTGTATTACTGTGTCACTGCAAGGGATTGGGGGATGGAGTGATGACCTTAGTAACTAGAGAAAAAGAGAGGCAGAGAGAGGGGACAGGGGAAGGAGGGGCATAGGAATCGGACAGTAGGTAGGCAGCATTTGGAGAATGAGAGTTCGGGCTGGTGGGAAGGGATTGAGGTACTTGGAACGCCGTCTTCATGCTGAACGTGCCAGCATTTCCTCCGACAAACCGTTTGGCTTCCATGTATACTTGCAAAATTCCCACATCCGACTACATTCCCTCTTAGAGTTCTCTCCCCAGCCCACCCACCTCCCCCGAATCCCCCCCTTCTTCCTTCCCCCCTCCCTCCTCTGCCACAACACTCACCCCCAGCGCTCCGCGAGTATCGGTAGTTGTACGCCGCGAGCGCCAGACCTCCTACAGCCGCTCCGCCAGCCGCCATCAGCGACGCCTGGCGCGAAAGAAGCACCTGCGCCGGGGGGGGGGGGGGGGGGGGGAGGTGCGGGAGGAGCGTGTGGGGGGAGGGTGGGTCGGGGATAAAGAAGGGTGCGGGAGACTAGGAGCGAACTTGAGCACCAACTAGCTGCTGACGGCGTATCGGATCTAGTCTAGCCGTCATTCTTTTTCCCTCCAGACATCGCACTTGCTCGCCGTCAACAGAACTTGCGTGCCGCAAACCGCACCTGGTTGCCGTGAACGGGATCCTCCTTAGCGAACGCCTCGATATCCGCTTTAGTCCAGCGCGGCAGCGGCGTCTCGCGGCCCTGGCTGAGATCCAGGAGGCGGTTCACCGTGGGACAGCTCTTCGCGTCGCCCTCCCCGCTCTTCTTCATCCACCACGGCGTGTAGCCTGACGCCATGCTCGTGATTATAGCGAGTCGTCACCAAAACGAAATGTGACTAAAAGGGGATTGACTGTTGGGAGATTGATGGGATGGGATGGAAAGTGATTTGGTGAATGATTGTGGTTTCGGGGGTCAGAGCTACGCGGTAATTGACGGTGGAAAATGAAGAAGCGGAGACGAAGACGGGCGGTAAGTCGTAAGAGCCGACAAGTGCGGGGAACTAGTGAAATGGTCTGCCACGCCTGCGTAACTAAGTTCAACTTAGGGAGGCTTTTTCGTGGAATTTCCTAGGGAGTGCACAACCGAAACCTAGAATGTCCTATTTCCTCTCAACCCTACTCAACCGTCTTGGAGCAGGGAATCTATGTGGTACAGAATAGCGGAAGCGGAAGGAGGCGGAGGGTCCCCAAGCTCCGCAAGGTAGAGTGCATGAGAGTAGTCTTACGCGGAGAGTGTTTTCCGCCAGACGCGCTTTGTCGGGCTGTCCCTCGCGAGCGGGAAGAGAGTGCTTCCTGATTGGTTAGGCCGGTTTGTTCAGCACAGACGTGGCATGACGTGGAAGCGGGCCAAAAAAGCATTTAGTTTTTCAGTATATTGTACCAGCGTTTTCAAAAGGTATTTATGTTCACTGGGCCAAAAAAAGCATTTAGTTTTTGGTACAATATACTGACGTTTGCATTTAGTTTACAGTAGAAAAAAGATCTGGATGCTTAAAAACACATTCATTGTGTAGGTTTTTAAGAATCAAACAAGTCCACAAAGTGACGTGCTATCATATAGTGCGAATTTGATATATTGCATCAATCTAAACAAACAAAATGCATTCGCATTACAAAAAATCATCATACACATAAATATAAATGATGATGTGAGGTAAATTTAATCTTTTTTGTCTTTCGTTTTGTCACAAAAGCCAAATAAATGCTCGTGTTATTTGTTTCTGCTTTTCTATCTATCTGTAGGAGCACCTGTTCAATTTATATGCATACGGCCTTATGAAATATGTTCGAATAACCGAATAATTTCTTTCTATGTTGCACTCTGTCTAGTGTAAGGCACGTTCGAACATTTATGTTCAAAGGTATTTATGTTCACTGAAAGACTGTAAACGCTGGTACAATATACTGAAAATTGCATTGAAACCCATGTTGTACGGTGTACTGCTCGGTTGAAATGTTGCGGTACCAGTCAGGGAATTCGCGCACAGTTGATGGGTACTACGTAGGGAAGATGGGTACCACGGAGGGAAGATGGGTACCACGAAGGGGCGCGCATGATCTGACGGGTACCATCGAGCCACGTAGGTGACTTCTGACGTCAGCGGGCTTCATGTTGGTTACCCAGAAGGTAATTACCCTAGTTTTTTCGTGGAAGTCAGATGTCTAAGAAATATTTATTCACGACTGCATGAAAACTACGTGTATATGTGGTCCATAAGTTCTGCAGGTTGGCGGGTGGGACAGAAGCGAGGATCAACTCTGATTTTGAGTCTTCAAATTCTGACCAACAGCTCCATTTGAGGTGTCAAGTTGTTTCTAGCCTCGCTGGTTTCGCTGTTTCATTTCCGCATCGCACCGCATCTGATAGTTTGCCAGTTACTGCCTCGCCTCACCTTTGTCTAAAACTGTCGCACCGTTTTTCGAATCCCCTATTTCGTTTTTTATCCTCCTACACGTATCTAGGCGCGCCGTTAAATCACCCCCTTTGCAGAATCAGCCATTCATCCGTGCATCAGCAGCGTATACAACGAGAAGAGGCCACCCCCGTCCCTAACGCAGTCGGAACAAAACTTTTCGTGAAACTTATCGCCCGCATTCGTTGTCTTGTCGCTTTCCTCGTGCGACACCTGCTTCGCTGATCGGCGATCCAATGGCGGAGGGGAAGCAAGCGAAAGTGGAAGCAATCACCCTAAAAGTTGTCGCCCAGGTGAGTGTGGCTCACGAGTGAAACTTATTTTCATTCATGTTACAGGTATGGAAGAGCTGTTTACTGTTCAAATATCCTAGAAGGTGTTGCCATTGATGTATGCTTGTATGTTTCGCTTTTCTGTGGTCCTTCGTTGTCTCACGGAAGAGCGTTCCATTCGTTTTCCTCCCACCGTGATGCGCTTGTGCGGCGTTCCTTCCCTCCTTTTTCCTCCCTGCTGGTCCCACAGGACGGAACAGAAGTGTCGTTCAAAGTGAAGCCGAAAACCAAGTTCAGCAAGGTAAGGGTTGATCAAGTTAACAATGTTTCTGAATAAAGCAAAGCTCACCCGGCAAGTTGATGAGGTTTATAGGGTTAAAGACGAGAAGTAACCCTGTTCGCTCTTCTCATACACTCCAGAACCTGGTCGCAACTCCAGCAGCCAGAATGCACGCCTCGCTTGCGTCAGTGGCCTTGCGTGCTGTCGAGCTTTGCGACCTGTCGTTTTCCACCCGTGCGATTTTTCCCATCGCAAGTATCCATTCAACCACACCGCTCTTCTGAACCTTCAGATTGCGGGCCTTTTGTTTTTCACGTTGATGTGACATAACATTCCCCCTCCCCTCTTCCCCCCCGCCCCTCTCCCCCCCCCTCCTCTCCCCCCCCCCCCCGCTAAACTGCGCTGCCATCTCTTTTCTTGCAGTTATTCCAGGCGTACAGCGAGAGAAAAGGGTTCAAGTTAGATACCATGAGATTCCTTTACCACGGGTGAGTGCCCTTCCCTGTACATTGTATGAGTACCTTGGGTGTTTTTGAGAGTTGCAGGGTAGTTTTGTTTTCTCTAGAAAAACCACGCAAGGTCAGGACCTTGAGTTCTTGGTAATTCCATGGTCCTGTGATTCGTGGGAAGGGTTGGTGACACCAGTTTTTAATTGTAGCGGAAGCAGAACCGTGGTGGGCCCATGATTGTCCTTCACATTAGGTTCTCATCAAGCTTCACCTACTTTTGTTCTTAACTCGAGTTTCAACTATCCTTCCTTCCTTCTCTCCTTTGCCCTCCCCTTACCTTCCCTTCCCGTCCCGTCCCGTTTCCCCCCTTGCCCTTTTTTCTCTTCCCCTATTGCGCACATGCACATTGCCTCCTCTCTTTTCCACTCACATTGCATTCGTGCAGGGGTCGAGTCCTAGGAGACAACACACCTGCTGAGGTATGGGCTATATCAACACGCAGTGTTTCTTTCAACGTTTGGTTTCACAATTCGTGGGATTGGGTCTATTGCAGCACATCGTGCACTCATTTTTCTAGATTATGAGCAGGATTTGCAGCTTCACTGCCACCACTCCCATCTGTATCTCATAGCTACTGCAAGCACACCGACCGTTGTCGATTCGCAATTCTCATAACACACCATTCAACCACACCAACCAGGTTTGTTTGTCCCCCCGGTGGTGTGTCTGCATCCCCCCAACTACAGCTGGGCACCGAGAAGAATGACCAAATCGATGAGATGGTGGAGCGATTGGGGGGAGGGAGATGGCTCCAGCAGCGGCACACTAAGACCCGATTTGTTTGTTCTCCCGCGTGTGTGTGTTTGTACCAACAGCTGGGCATTGAGAACAACGACCAGATTGAGGTGATGGTGGAGCAATTGGGAGGAGGCATGTGGGCCCAGCTGCAGCACCGGGACCCCTCCAGATGACCAATAGGCGGACACGCTTTCGTCAGAGGCAGGCTGAGATGGTTTTGTCAATAGACAGGCTCCATGGGCTTTTTACCCTTTTGAGAGACTCCAAACTGCATTTTTTGTCAGATAAATGGGTTGACAGCCAGGTTGTCCTTCCATTCTAACCCGTTTGGTGTCAGCACTGAATTAATGTCGGCAAGTTTATTCCGCCAGTGCTTAGCGGATCACCATAGTTAGTTTCGGTGGTGCGCCACATTTTGTTTATGATACCTACCGTATAGTGGATTTGACCCTTTAGACGTCTCATGAGTGGTGCGCCACATTTTGCTCTGATACTTTTAGTGGATTTGCTTGGGCAGCGAAGTTGTGGTCAGGTCAGCATCAGTTATGGTACCATCTGGTAGCTAACTTTACTACATAATGCATTCCTATGGTGACGCGTGTTCTGAACTTCTCGTCTCAAGCATTATTCACGATTAATTGTGATACTCTGAAACCATGAACAGCCAACCGGATTGCTTCACTGCTACCGTATTAGGGCAATGACATTCTGACCCTTACGAGCATTGCAGTATCAAGTGTGCATATTCCGGTTTCAGGCTAGCCTCACATTGACTCCGGTTACAACTAAAGAACCTGCTGCAAACTTTCAATGTCAGCACATGCTTGATTGCTGCAGCATCTGGGTAGCAGGGTAGCAGGGGCAACAGAGGCAGCAGGAGCAGCGGTACATGGCAGCTTAGGATGCTATTCCTTCACAGCAACATCTAGGCACCGGCAACAGCAGGGGCAGCAGGAGGGGACGCGGGCGGGAGTTTGGGAGCAGCAGCAGAGGCGCCTTCCTTGCCGACGGAGGAGGAGAGGTACGGTAGAAGTTCCAAAAGATGGCGCACACTGACATGAACAACACCTCTAGGCACCAAGGCTGACATGAATGCCTCTAGGTACCACTCGGACACGAGCGGCATCTAGGCACCAGCAGCAGCAGCGGGTGCAGCACTAGCAGGGGGAGATGCGGGTGGGAGTTTGGGCGCGCCTTCCTTGCCGACGGAGGAGGAGAGGTAGAAGTTCCAGAAGATGGCGCACACTGACATGAACGCCACCCGTGCCTCTAACGGGACAACTCTGTAGAGGGGACGGATGGGCAGGGGGGGGAAGAGGGGGCAGTTGAGGGGGAGTAAGGGGAGAGGGGGGTGGGGGGCCGAGGAAATGGGGGAAAAATCTGGATAACGGGGAACATGGAGAGAGATACAGGAATTGATACAGAGAGATACAAAGTGGTGGTGACATGGAGTGCTGGGGCGGGCGGGATGAGGGGCTTACGCAAAGTTGAGGCTCGCAGCTGGAATCCAGAACTTCCACCCTGATGGGATGAAAAGAGAGGATAGGAGGAGGGCACATGAGGAAGGGATAGAGAGGGCAGGAGGGGCAACGGGGGGCAATTTAAGGAGATGACTTTTGCGACGACTCAAAGTTAAGGCTCGCAACTGGAATCCAAAACTTCCACCCTGATGAGATGAGAAGAGGATAGGAGATGATTGAAGGAGGACGGGATAGGAGGAGGGGCAGCGGGGCCAAGTAAAGGAGAACACAGAAGTAAAGTACTCATAGATTTTGCATGAACAAGGAAATGTGGATAAGGACAATCATGTGCTCCTCTAAACATTATAGATACAAGACCATATAAATACAATCACACATGATACATAGCTCACCATCAACAAGCAACAGGAAGAAGTCCCTGCGGTACTTGTCAGGGACGTCTTTGGCCTTGCCCATCCTCCACGCCATGTTTCATGCAAACACTTTGAGGCGCCTCAAAAGAAACATATATAGCTCACCATCAACAAGTGACGGGAAGAAGTCCCTACGGTACTTGTCAGGGATGTCTTTGGCCTTGCCCATCCACGCCATGTTCCATGCAAACACCACCAGCAGCACACACGGACCCAGCACCACCTGATTCGCTGTCACCTGGGAGCATGGGAACAAGTGGAGGAGGTGCAAGGGAAGAGAGGACAAGAGGAATGGGGGTTAGGGTGGGGAATGTGGGAGAAGTAGTGCAGTGGTGGTGGGGAGGAGAAAAGGGACGTCTTTGGCCTTGCCCATCCACGCCATGTTCCATGCAAACACCAGCAGCAGCACACACGGCCCCAGCACCACCTGATTCGCTGTCACCTGCGTTGGGGAGCATGGGAAAGGGAGAAGGGGATAACAAGCGGGAATGAGGGGGAGTGGGAGGAATGGGGGATGGAGCAGGGGAAAGGGATAGGGACACTACTGCAGCAGCATCTTAGCCGCAGCAACATATGACCCGCTTATAGCGAGTACAAACACTCACCTTGAGAACAAAGTTTGCCAGTGCGGGAGCAGGCAGCAGGCGATCGAGACACTGGTACCACACGTAGCTGCCAGGGCCGTAAAGCAAGAAGCCATAGCGTATTATATGCAGCCATCGTACACTGCTTGTAACGAGTACAAGCACCCACCTTGAGCACGAAATTTTGGAGTGTGGGAGCCGGCAGCATGCGGTCGAGGTACTGGTACCACACGTAGCTGCCGGGGCCGTAAAGCAGGAAGCCATAGGACGCCATGCGGAGAGCTCGAATGAAGTCATGCTGCCATAGCTCCTTGTCGGCCACTCCCCGCAACTGGTGGGAGGGGAGGGGAGAATGGGAGGGGGAGCATGGGGGGAGTGGGCGGGAGGGGTGGGGAGGACGGGGAAGGCTCGATTGACCAGCCACGCACAAGCAGACTGTGGAGCGGGAATATATGAAGCAAGAAGCCATTGGACAACATGTGCAAAGCTCAAATGAGATCATCTCGCCACATCTCCTTGTCAGCCACTCCCCGCAGCTGATGTGGCAGGGGACAGCGTGGGAGGGGAGGAGCGGGAAGCTGCAGGGCCATCCCATGCAGAGGGCTCGAATGAAATCATTCTGCCACATCTCCTTGTCCGCCACTCCCCGCAACTGGTGTGGCGGACCCACCCAGACGCCACCCATTACTCCCACCCCACCCAGGCCAACTCACTCTCTTTCTGCAGCAGGGCGATGCCGCCTCTATCTCCTTCTCCTTGGCCTGCCGCCGTCGATACCGCTCCACCAGCTGGGCTATCGTGTCACCCGTCAGGGCCAGCCCACTCGCCGTCACCGCTGCTTTCAGGGGAAACCTCTGGTTGCGGCAAGCAGAACATGGGAGGGAAGGGACAAAGGAGAGATGAACAAGAGGACGTTGATCGTTTACGCTCCTCTGTCTCTCTGAGTTGTAAGACGCCTTAAGATTCAATAGATGATAACATATCCCTATATCCCCCTCTTATTGGCCTGCGGCGTCGGTACAACTCTCTGATAGGGGGGAAAGACAAAGGAGGGACACGAGGGGGTGTAGGCAATGCTATCAACGCCGGCATTGTTAAGATGCTAGCAATGCCAGCATTGTAATGCTAGCAATGTCAGAATGTCAGCAATGATTGCAATGTGAGAACTGTGAGCTATGTTGGCAATGTCAGCAATGTGAGCAATCTTAGCAATGAGATCAAAGCTAGCTAGCAATGTTACCAATGTTACCAATGTCAGCAATGTTAGCAATGTTAGCAATGTCAGCAATGTTAGCAATGTCAGCAATGTTAGCAATCTTAGCAATGTCAGCAATGTTAGCAATGACAGCAATGTTAGCAATGTCAACAATGTTAGGAGTATGAGCAATTTAGCGATGTTAGCAATGTCAGCAATGTTAGCAATGTCAGCAATGTCAGCAATGTCAGCAATGTTAGCAATGTCAGCAATGTTAGCAATGTTAGCGATGTTAGCAATGTCAGCAATGTTAGCAATGTGAGCAAATGTCAGCAATGTTAGCAATGTGAGCAAATGTCAGCAATGTTAGCAATGTGAGCAAATGTCAGCAATGTTAGCAATGTCAGCAATGTTAGCAATGTGAGCAAATGTCAGCAATGTTAGCAATGTCAGCAATGTTAGCAATGTTAGCGATGTTAGCAATGTCAGCAATGTTAGCAATGTGAGCAAATGTCAGCAATGTTAGCAATGTGAGCAAATGTCAGCAATGTTAGCAATGTGAGCAAATGTCAGCAATGTTAGCAATGTGAGCAAATGTCAGCAATGTTAGCAATGTCAGCAATGTTAGCAATGTGAGCAAATGTCAGCAATGTTAGCAATGTCAGCAATGTTAGCAATGTGAGCAAATGTCAGCAATGTTAGCAATGTCAGCAATGTTAGCAATGTGAGCAAATGTCAGCAATGTTAGCAATGTCAGCAATGTCAGCAATGTGAGCAAATGTCAGCGTGTTGAACTTCCATCTACCCACCTCCAGCAACGACCCAGGTTGCCCTTTCTTCTGTGATGGTTCTTCCAACGGCTGAGATGCGTCAGACGCACTGCAGGCAAAACGGGCAGAAGTGGGTTGGTGGTAGCAGCATCAATGAAAATGTGGGAGGAAGCGTCAATGGGAAGGTGGGCAAGCAGAAGATAATGCCATTTACTGCGAGAGAGCGCGAGTGGCACCTATCAAGAGGGGAGCCAAAACCCCAAAGTAGAACCCGAAACCACAAATCAGAACGTCAGTTTGGGTCCAACATCAGCTTTCATGGAGTAACTTTCCCTTCCTACTTTTTATTAAATAAACACAAACGGCTCAGCCTTCTTGGGGCTTAAGTGCGGGATGAATACTCACCTGGCTCTAAGGCGGTGCTTGCCGTGCTGCCACGTGGCAGACAGAGACGAGAGCAGCGAGAGCGATAGTCCTTGTGAGAGCGAGCAGGAGAGGGCCGCCGGTGGCCGAGCACGGAGCACGTCAGAGAGAGGGTTGACTCCGTTGACCCCGTTGAAGGGGTTAAACGGCAAACCGCCAGAAGCGGCCATCTGGATTGGCTGGTTAGAAGTCGACGGTAGTCAGTGATGGCGGGAAAACTTGGTTGCTGACTCTGCTTCGCGCTAAAGTGATCGAACTGGGCCTAAGACAACCAGGAAATGATTAGAGTTAAATCAGACTGCAACTGAGTCTGACGGTTATCTGTGCGCCTGATCAATCTGAAAAAGGTGTCACGTTGACGGAAGATTTATTCGAAGGTGGAATTGGTTGCCGGGGAGAAGGTGAAGACGGTAGAGTTTCGTTCTCACGTACGGCAAGCTTGGTCGTTACTTTAGGAGACCAGAACTGTATTTGCTACGGAGCAAAAGCAGGTCTGCCAGACCAGTGGTCTGGTTTGCTATGGGCATCACTTGACTTGACAGGTCTGATGAGGTGTCTGTTGGAGAAATCGAGGAAACCCAGGGATTATCCTCACGACGTTGCGAAAGGTCCTCGTGGAAACTTTTCTGGCTCTCCGTTACACTGAACCTTATCAAGGAGCTCAAGAGAAGAAACAAAAACTACAGATGATTGTATACTCTACAAATTCTTAACAAAGTGGTATTCCATGATACACACAACAAAAAATACGCTGTGAATGCTTTGGAACAAAAAAAAATGAAAGCGAGAGGATGTAATGCTCCTCTGAAATCATGCCGACAAAGGCACCGAAGCCGCTAATGGCGACGTTACAGCAGCTTTAGCAGCTGATTTGCCTCCTCTTTGCCCAGCAATTGCACCATCTCCAGAATCGCAGTCCATGCCTTCACCTTCCCCATTCATCACACCACCACCTCCTCCCCTTCCCCCAGTCCGCTCCCTCTTATCTCTCATCCCTCCCCCACCTACCCCATTCACCTCTCCCTTCACATCCCCACACACCCCATTCTCCCCCTCCCTCCTCGCACCACTCTCCTTCCCCTCCCTCACCCCACCCCCCTTCTTCTCCCTACTCTCCCCCCGTTTCCTCTTATCCTCCACCTCCCCACCACCCCGGCCCATCGCACCACCCGCCCCTACCTCCGCAACCAAACCTCCTGCACCATCCAAACCTAGCGGCCGCTCCGGCTCAGGTTCAGCGAGCCAGGGGTGGGCAAGGGCCTGGCGGGCAGTGGCGCGTCTCTCAGGGGCGAAATCAAGCATGGGGGTGAGGAAGGAGGCGAGGGAGGTGGCTTCTGCTGGAGGGAGGTCGTATTTCTCTATCAGCACTCGGTCTAGCGGCCAGAACTTGAGGCGCCTTATGTGCCTCAGCTCCCCGTTGCGCGAGAAGAAATCACGGGAATACTTGCCTCCTAAAGCAATCTGCAGAGAGAAAAAAAACCGCAGGCGGATTGGGGAAGCAGGGGAGGTGGGAGGGATGGAGGGGGTCGGGGAAGGGAGAGGCAAGCATGGGGGTGAGGAAGGAAGTGAGGGATGTGGCTTCTGCTGGAGGGAGGTCGTATTTCTCTATCAGCACTCGGTCCAAAGGCCAGAACTTGAGGCGCCTTATGTGCCTCAGCTCCCCGTTGCGCGAGAAGAAGTCACGGGAATACTTGCCTCCCAAGGCAATCTGAAGGCAGATAGGAGGGCAAAAAGGGGAGGGAGAAAGGGGAGTGGAGGGAACAGTGGGATGAAGAGGCCATAACTTGAGGCGACTTATATGCCTCAGCTCCCCGTTGCGGGGAAGGAAATCCCGGGAGTACTTGCGACCAAGGGCGATCTGGACGGGGGAAGTGTGAGGGGGGAAGAGGGGTGGAAGCGGGTTGGAACAGGGGGAAGGAGGGAATGTAGGGGAACGAGGGATGAACTTCCACTGCCTTGTGTGGCTCAGCTCACCAGCTCGGGAGAAGAAGATTCAATAGTACTTGCCTCCTAGAGCGATCCTCGATTTACTTTTGAGGCTTCTCAAATGTCAATTCAGATGCATCAGTGCAAAGAGCATGGGTGTAGAGAGCATGGTCGGGTGTGCGCTGTGATTTGAATGCGGGTGTGGTTGGAATGCAGGTGTGGCTGGAATGCGGGTGTGGTTGGAATGCGGGTGTGGTTGGAATGCAGGTGTGGTTGGAATGCAGTTCTGGTTGGAATGCAGTGCAACTGACCTTCTTTGGAATCCGACCAATTAGCTCCATCATGAGTGCCAGATGATCCTGCACACACCCCACACAGCAACACAGCCACGACAACAGCGACTCAAGAATTTTGTGTAAAACGAATAGAGAATTCGGTTCACTGTCACATAAAACGGAGGGATCCTGGTGAAGTAGGAGTACAGTGATATTGAAATCACTATTGAGATTTCTCAAAAGGAGTACAGTGATATTGAAATCACTTCTAAGAATTCTCAAAAGGAGTACAGTGATATTGAAATCACTTCTGAGAATTCTCAAAAGGAGTACAGTGATATTGAAATCACTTCTGAGAATTCTCAAAAGGAGTACAGTGATATTGAAATCACTTCTGAGAATTCTCAAAAGGAGTACAGTGATATTGAAGTCACGTCTGAGAATTCTCATAAGGAGTACAGTGATATTGAAATCACTTCTGAGAATTCTCAAAAGGAGTACAGTGATATTGAAATCACGTCTGAGAATTCTCATAAGGAGTACAGTGATATTGAAATCACTTCTGAGAATTCTCAAAAGGAGTACAGTGATATTGAAATCACTTCTGAGATTTCTCAAAAGGAGTACAGTGATATTGAAATCACTTATGAGAATTCTCAATTGGAGTACAGTGATATTGAAATCACTTCTGAGAATTCTCAAAAGGAGTACAGTGATATTGAAATCACTTCTGAGAATTCTCAAAAGGAGTACAGTGAAGGAGTGGCACGGTTGACTCGTCAGCGAACGAACTCAAAGCAACGTGCATGGAAACTAATTAACAAGCCAAGCAAGCGCAGCCCACCTCTTCCCGGTCAAAGTCATGCCCTAAGCGCGGGTCAAAAAGCACATCCCAAATGACGAGCTTGAAGGAAAGCAGGCGAAGGATCCCATGTGAACTAATCAAGGTCCATGTTTCCAAGCAAGGGCATCCCACCTCATCGCGGTCGAAGTCATGGCCTGAGCGCGGGTCAAAGAGCACATCTCCGGTGACGAGCTCGAAAACAAGGCAAGCAAAGGTCCACATGTGAGTGAACTGATTAAGGTCCAAGTTTCCAAGCAAGAGCATCCCACCTCATCGCGGTCGAAGTCATGGCCTGAGCGCGGGTCAAAGAGCACATCCCCCGTGACGAGCTCGAAGACGAGGCAAGCAAAGGACCACATGTCCGCGGAGGTGGAGTAGCGCGCCCCCAGCAGCACCTCAGGACAGCGGTACTGGCGCGTCTGAATGTCACTCGTGAACTGAGAAAGGATGGGGGGGGTGGGGGGGAAAGGGGGGCAACAGAGGAAGACAAAGAAAAAAGTGGATGTCAACCCTACACCCCCCCCAGCAGCACCTTGGGGCAGCGGTACTGGCGCGTCTGAATGACACTCGTGAAGTGGGGGGGTTTGGGGGGCGAGGGGGAGATAGGGGGGAGACAGGGCCACGAGACATGTTGACTTGGCTCAGAGCAGCAGCACCTCAGGCCACCGGTACTGGCGCGACTGAATGTCACTCGTGAAACTGGAAAGTGATGAGTGAGTAGAGAAAGGGAGAGGCGATAAAAAGTAAGGAGGAATAAAATGACGTTTCAGAGCTCCTACCACCACCTCAGACTGCAGCAGACTGGTCATGTCGAAGCCAGAGAAGCTTCTGCAATCATCTAATTCAGCATGACACCTGCTTGCATGCTACATGCGTGCCCCTGCTTGTACGTCCAGCAGGCATTCCCCAGGTCCACGATCTTGCAGCTCAGGTCCAGCCCTGTCAGATCCACCAGCCTTTATGACTTTTGTGTGGACTCAAGCTGACTCTTAAGTAGATTCAAAACGCACCTGCTTGTACGTCCAGCAGGCATTCCCCAGGTCCACGAACTTGCAGCTCAAATCCAGCCCTATCAGGTTCACTGGCCTTGGTGACCTTGAGTTGACTCAAGGTGACTTTTCAGTCGAGTCAAGATGACTCTTAAGTCGACTCAAAACGCACCTGCTTGTACGTCCAGCACGCATTCCCAAGGTCCACGATCTTGCAGCTCAAGTCCAACCCTGTCAGATCCACCGGCCTTTTCCTCCTCCCTGCAAGCTCTGCTGCCGCCTCTGCTGCCGCTTGTGCTGCTGCTGCCTCTGCCCCTGCAGCTGATGCTCCTGCTGCTGCAACTGCCCCCCCTGCTGTTGCCACTGTAGCTACCCGAGATTTCTCCCCTGCACTCTTTGCCTCGGCTCCTCCACCACCCCCTGCCACACCACCACCACCACCAGCAGCAGCAGCAAGAGGGCCCGTGCCGTTGCCAGTGCCAGTGGCAGCAACAGATGCAGCAAGGTCGGTCAGACCGAGGTAATCCTCCATTGAAGACGAAGACGTGAATACGCCTTTCTCTGCTCCCTGTCCCACAGCCAGCGGTGGCGCTACTGGCACTGCTGCTGTTGCTGCTGCTAGCGATGGCGCTAGCTCCGTAGGCAGTGGTGCTGCTGTTGTTGCTGTTGTTGCATCCCCGCCCCCCCCTGCCCCTGCTGCGGCACCTGGCCCCCTTGCCTTTCCGTTACCTGCGAGCCCTAGGTACTCTTCCAGCCCAGCTTCTAACGCGGATGACTCTCTCCCTCCCTTCACCGCCGCTCCCCCTGCTGCTCTGCTATCCGCCGTGTCTTCCACCATCCCCTCCGCGCCTCCCCCCGCGCCCCCGCTACTCTCCTCCATCCTCGACACCCCCTCACTCTCCCCTTTATCCGCTGCCCCCGCTTCCGCCTCTCCCCCTTCTTCCCCCCCTCCCTCCTGTACCCCAGCAGCCCCACCAGCAGCGCCACTAGCAGCACCGCCAGCAGCAGCAGCAGCAGCTTCGGCCTTCTTGGCTTTCTTCTTCAGCTTCTTCCGCTGGTTCTTCGTCAGTCCCGACGACGCTGGTGACGCCAACGGCTCCCCTTCCGCCGCTCCCCCAGCCCCTCCCCCGCGCCCTCCCCCGGCTCCCGCGCCATCCCCCCCACGCGGAACCGAAACCGGAGGCGGAGGCGGAGGCGGAGGTCCCTCTAATCTCCCCCCAATCCCCAGCTGATCATCTATCGACCGTACCAGCAGCACGTTCTCGGGCTTTAAGTCCGTATGGATAATCGACAGCTGGCGGTGCAGGTAATCCAGCCCTGTGAGGATGTGGCGCGCGAGGTGCCTGACTGCGGGGAGGGGGAGCCCGCGGTAGCGGAAGCGGCGGATGAGCGAGAGGAGGTTTTCCCCCAGGCACTCGAAGACCATGCACACGTGCGAGCCGTGCGGGCCTGAATGGCGGAAGTGATCGAGAAGGCGCACCACGCATTTCTCATTCCGCGGATCGCCGTCCGTTACCTGGCAGGGAGGAGGGGTGCGGGGGGGAGTGGAGGGGATGGGGGGGGGGGGGGGGAAGAGGGAGGGGGAGAGGGGGGAAGAAGAAAGGGGAAGAATAGAGGGGGGGAGAGGGGATGGGGAGGAGAGGGGAGGGGAATTGGGAAAGCATGGAATGAGAGAGAGGAGGTTTTCCCCCAGGCACTCGAAGACCATGGACACGTGCGAGCCGTGCGGGCCCGAGTGGCGGAAGTGGTCCAGTAGGCGCACCACGCACTTGTCGCTCCGCGGATCGCCATCCGTTACCTGGCAGGAAGGGGAGGTGGTGGGAGTGGTGGGGCCAAGGGAAACGAAGAGAGAGGAGAAGAGGGAGGAGGGATTGGGTTGGGGAAGGGGGGGGATGAGAGAGGACACGTGGAACGACACGAGACAATTCTAGCAGATCGCAATAAGTATTTATTATTGTCACACTGAAGCCGAAATACCCTTCCGTACCTGTCTAAGGAGCTGAATCTCGTCAAGAGCTGACTCGGTATAGTGCGACGCACTCTTCTGCACCTTGAGAGCCACGTAGCGCTGCAGACACCCACGAAAGTCGGACGCGAGAAGTCCCAAAGGGTGAAACGGGGAAGTGACAGAGATCAGAAAGAAGGCATTCCTGAGAAAAGAGACAATCCAAACAAGGACGGCTCCAGATGAAAACGTCAAGAAAGGGTTGAAGCGCTTGGGTACGAAGTGGGGCAATTGGATCGCAAGTCGTAAGTTCCGTTCACCGCATTGAATGTACCCTTTGTCCCGTTCTAACTCCGTATTCGAAACCCTCACCTTGCCCTCCTCATAACGACAGATTCCAGTCACGTTGTCTGCTCGTTTTCCTCGCCTCCTCGCCATATCTATTTCACCCTCTACATTCCCGCTTCATTTTCTCCTCCCAGTTCCATCTTATCGTTGCATCTTACCTTCTCCGTTTCATCCCACGCCAGCCAGACGGTAGAGAAGTGACCCCAACCAAGCTTCTTCACCACGCGATAACGACCATTCCTGAACGAATCGCCGATCTTCACGGGGTGGTAACCACCCCGCTTGTAATCGTCAGTCCCTTCGTCTTCCGACTCCGAAAGGTAGTCGCTATCGCTAGAACCCTCGTCAGCCGATTCCACTTCGTCACGGTCCCCGGTGTAACCCTTCTCGGGCTTGTCGCCGCCGCCTCGGTGGTTCCTATGTTTCGCGTTGGACGCCTTTCCCATCAGGGACTTCTGACACGTAGCACTTGGCGGGATTGATGAATAAGGAAACGAATCGCTCAGAATGCTAGAGAATGCTAGGAGTTTCTCCCCCCGGTGGATCGATGACACTGCTGCGAGCTGGTGGTAAGATTTCCACCCCGACAGCGGGAAACCCCTATGCGATGTATGGATGAGAGGATTCACGCGCAACAACTCAGTCAACAAGCAGCTGGCTTGATATGAGTGGATTCGCGGGATGCTCGGTGGGTGGAGCTTTCGACTGGATCTGGCCATGTGCTTCTGCTCTGCTCTGTTTGTACTGTTCTTGCTGCACAGGTATCAGGAGACAAAGTCGGGAGAACTGAAGAGGAAGGACATGTAGCATCAAAGTGGTTAGGTACATTTGAATGTGTTTCCTTGAAGCGAAATTGGCAATTTGCTTCGGTTCGGATGCATCATCGCAACCTCTGCGGTGTCGTCTCGACGCTACACCTTGTTCTCGATAATTGCACACCCCTACCTTTGTTTTTCGTAGGTACCCTTTACGTGCTTTGACTTGATGCGACGGACACCCAGAGATTGAGGGACTATAAAGATACAACGGGCAGGTGGCTCTAGAAAGGAATCGCACTTAATGTTCAGGGTAGGGTTTAGTCAGGGTTGGGTTCTCTTTTATATTCCTGGTCCACTCCGACCAACCCGAAAGTCGTCGGACCCTCCTCCGCGGTTTTCCTAAACGCTGATAACTACCCTACGATAACGACTGACCTAGGGTAAATACCTCAGGGCGTGAGATTAAGGGGTGTGAAATAATCGAGAACAGGATGTACGCTTGTGGTTTGAAGACATGGCGACGGGAATCCGAACATGCCTCCTTGTCGCTGATTGGTCCACTCAAACGGGGGCATGATGGCCATCGTCATCGATTTGTGGCTGCCATGTCCCCACGCCGATCCAGCAGTGTGTAAAATGGTCCAAATCGTAGCCTTGCCAAAATAAATAAAAACTGGTAGATCCGTGTACTGAGTTGTTGTTATCGATGACAAGCACAAGAAGTATCACCTCAAAGAAAGCTTACTCTCTAGCAGAGCTAGAAAAAAACACTCCATAGGCGAGGAGATAACATCTTTTAGCGCGTTCACTTAGACCTTGAGCTCTGTTCGTGTGCATGCTTTCCTGTACCGTGTCGCAATGTCGAATGGTCGGGTCGCGTGGCGTGCATGGCATTGCCATCACCCCTCACGTGCAAAGGTTACCGCATTCTTAAGCTTCTGGAGCGTTTTTCAAGCGTTAACTGTACTGCGTGGCCAGGGTTTCAAGCTATCAAGAACCTTGTGATCTCGGAAAAAAACTCCAAAGCAGAGAAGTTCACTTGCAGTGCTGGTCCTCTCTCGAACCCCAGAGACTTCCAGAGTGGAAAATCTTGCTTCAAGCCAGTCGCAGGCGAAGGACCCTTAGTGCTTGGCGGAAAAGCTTGCGCTGAGTGGCTGCTCTGAGAAAGATCTCTTCGAGGTGACGCAGAGGTGAGCCTGCGGACGCTTGGATATGCGTTGTGCGAGTGCGTCGCTGGCCCTCCATTTGGCAACCTTTTTTTTGCAAGGTTGATTATCTCTCACCTTGAATTTCCTTCCTTGATCGCGTCGCTATTCTTGCAGGATCGTGCGTTTTCTAAGATCTGATGTGCTATGGACGACCGTGCAAACATGTGCAGCACGAGCATGATGGCGGCATCCCTTGTGGCGCCTCAAACAGCGACTTTTGGGATTAAATCTGAGGCGCCTCAAGAAGCGACTTTTGTGGTGCCTGGAAAGGCGAAATCTGAGGCTCCTCAAGAGACGACTCCTAATTCGTTTCAATCCATGGATGACAGCGCAAGTGAGTGCAGCACAGTTATGACAGCGGCGACCATCGACCCAGTGGCGTACTGGCAGCAGCACGCCGCCGTGCGTCTCACGCAGCAGCACTGGGCGAATGAGACCGATGACACTGACTCCGCTGAGTCCTGCCGCAACAAGGGCTGCGGCTCGTGGGGCGCCTCGGGCACCACTGCGCACGGTGCTGCGCACGGTGCTGCGTGCGGCGCCGCATACGCGGGGTGGGGTGGGGTGGCGCCAACAGCACCAACAACGCACGGCAACAGCACGGGTTGGGGTTCCCCCGCCGCACCCACCGTCATGCCAGGATCGGAAGATACAGCGACACGGTTGGCGCTGGCCGCACCTAAAGCAGCAGCAGCAACGAGAGCTCCTTCCCCTGTGTCCTGGGAAGATGTTCATGCTAACATGCGGCCGACCCGTGTTGCGGGCCAGTTGCCGAACCAACCTCAAGCTTGGTCCGGACCGAACCGAGCTTGGTCTCAGCAGGTTCAACAGCCCCATGGTTCATGGAGTCTGAGTCAGGCTTGCGCGGCTGCACATGGTAGTAGTAATGCAGCCGTTGCCTCCATCACTAGCAGGTGCCACACCAGCGGGTCCAGCTATCCTGCTCCTCTCAGTGCTAACGCGTCTGCCCCTGCTGACTCTGCAGTGGCTGCTACTCCTGCAGCTGCTCGCACTGCGTCTGCTGGCTCATCTACTGCTGCAACTGGCTTCTCTGCTGCTGTCAACACTGCTGTGTTTTCAGGTACAGCTGCTGGCGATGGCACCACGGCTGCGAGCTGTGGTGGCATGGAGGGGCAGGTTGCTGGCAAGGTGCTGATACTCAATGGATGGGGTGACATCGTCGGGTGGAAGGATGCGGCTGTCGAGACTGCTGGGTTCTCAGGTACAGCTGCTGGTGATGGCACCACGGTTGCGAGCTGTGGTGGCATGGAGGGGCAGGTAGTTGGCAAGGTGCTGATACTCAATGGATGGGGTGATATTGTCGGGTGGAAGGATGCGGCTGTCGAGACTGCTGGGTTCTCAGGTACAGCTGCTGGAGATGGCACCAAGGCTGCGAACAGTGGTGGCATGGAGGGACAGGTAGCCGCCAAGGTGCCGATACTCAATGGGTGGGGTGACATCGTCGGGTGGAAGGATGCGGCTGTTGAGACTGCTGCTGTGCCGGCCAATGCCGCCACTGGTGCGGCTGCTGTTGCTGTTGCAACTGACGATGGGGCTGTGGCGGGGGTCGCTGGTCGCTGGTGCCAGCAGCAGCAGCAGCAGCAGCAGCAGGAGCAGAAGTTTGGGAATCAAGCACTTACGTGGCAGCAACAGCAACAGCAGCAGCAGCAACGATGGGGCGGCTCCTCGGGGAAAACCAATTATGACGACTCTATGAGCCAGTTCAGCTCCTCTAGCGGCTACATGCATCCCAGGAGCACAGCTACTAACGAGGACGTGAGTGTAGTGAGCACTGCCTGGTCGGACGCCAAGTCGGACCTCAGCAACCAATGGGGCGACAGCGCCTTCTGGCAGAGAAGCAGCAGTAGGAGCAACGCCAGCAAAAGTGGCGCCAACAATGCGGCAGGGGGGCGTGAGGTTGCGGAGTGGGAGGATGCCGCGGCCAGGAGCAGCAGAGGCTCAGGTTGGACCTCTGGCAAGTATGTGCCACCCAGCAAGCCGGTTGGTGGGAGGGGCCAGGGTGATGCGCTAGGTGGGGGGACGAGGGGAGGGGCGGAGCGGAGCGCTGAGGCTGGGGCTTACACGTGGGAGAGCAGTGGTGGGCGCATGAGCGCTGCTGGTGGTGATGGTGGTGGGACCACGTGGGAGAGAAGCCAAGGTGGCAGGAGCGCTATTGGTGGTGGTGGTGGTGGTAAGACCACGTGGGAAAGAAGCATAGGTGGCACGAGCGCTGCTGGTGGTGGTGGGACCACGTGCAGGAGGAGCAACGGTATGAGCGCAGGCAGTGCTGGTGGTGCTGGTGTTGGTGCATCCACTTGGGAGAGCAGCAGCGGTGGCTTCAGCCCTGCTGCTGGTGATTCTTTTGGTGCTACTGTTGCTGCTGGTGGCACTGGTAGTGCTGATAGTTGGAGAGTAGGCGCAACAAACGGAGGGTTGGGCAAGAGGGGGCGGCGCCGACTCCCCAACAGCATAGGGACGAATGAGCTGGAGTGGCGGAGTAAGGAGAGCGACTCTCCAACTCATTCAAACACGTCCTCGCAGTCAGCAACAGCAGCGAACGAGAGAGCACAGGGTGCGGGAAGGGGTCCTTTGGGAACTGACAGGGGTGGAGGATGGGGGATGGACATGGGCGAAGCCACCGGCGCTTTTGTTCATGGTGAGTTTGAGTCTCTGCCACGTGGGGGACAAGGGTTGCTTGGAGGCGATGCGGGCGATGCAATTGGTGGCTGGCGCTTGGGAAAAGATATGGGGGGGAGTGCAAGGGGGAGCTTGGGAAAAGTTGTGGGAAAAGACATGGGGGGTGTGGCGGCAGGGGGGGGCCTCAATGTGGTCGCAGTCAAGCTACGACCCACTATCGGAGCTGCACTCTAGTGTGCTGCACTTGCCGGCACGGCAGCAGGGGAGAGCGGCAGTGAGTATGTCCCCCCCGTGAGTGAGCTCGAGGTAGGCTTCTCTGATAGTGTGAGCAATGCTGGCGCGGTTGAACGGGCCCGTGCCGCTGTTGCCCTTGCCCTTGTGGGGGTTAGAGGAGCTGCTGGTGGTGGGTTTAGCACCTGTGTACGTGCTAGTGCCCCTGCTGCTGCTGCTGCTGGTGGTGTTTGTGGTGATGATGGTGCTGGTGTAACCCCAGGCCACGGCGTACGTGAGCTGCAAGATGAAGACGAGGATGAGGACGAGGATGAGGACGAAGGGGAGGGGGAAGGCGGACGCGAGGAGGACGAGGAGGGGGATGATGATGAAGACGAAGATGACGATGATGAGGAGGAGGATATGAAATCCTCCCCCTACACAACACCCACCGGGCAGGCATGCGCCACGGATTACAAGCACTCGCCTACTATCACGCGCTTCCTCAAGCATCTCACAATGATGGGGAAGAACCAGATCTGTGCACAGGATTGTGAATACAAGTGCCCCTCGTGTAGGGGCGGCAAGGGCGAGACCCACTGGTGGCCCGGCATACACTCGCTGCTGCAGCACGCAGAGACGACCCGGTCCAGACGGATTAGCGAACACCGCGCGTTTGCTGCCGCCGTGCATGTGCATCTGAGAGAGAGAGGGGTAGTGCTGGAGGGAGGGGGAGGCGGGAGGGAGGAGGAGGAGGAGGGGATATTGCAGGGGCAGTGGCGCGGCGTGGAGGGTAGGAGGGTAGAGGACGCGATGGTGCTATGGCCGCCTGTTGTGATTGTTAGGAATAGCACCATCGCGTCCTATGACTTGCAGCGAGGCCCTGATGGGCGGGTGAGTGACAAGAGAGTGGTGAGTGTTGGAAGAAGGGATATCTGTTTCAAACGTTACAAGGAGGGGGGGGGGGGGATAGAATTGGCTCCTCACTGGATTGTTCGAGGCCTTGAAAAACGCCTTGCGACTCTCATTCTTTGCTTGCTTACAATCTTCGCTGACCCTTCCTGCCTTTCTGAATCTTTTCTGTTCCTTCTCCTTTTACGGTTCAAAACTTCCCCTTTCCCCCTGCCTCACATGCACGTCCCCCGTGCCTCACAACCTCTGTTTGTCTCGTGCATGTGAGGGCAGTGGTTGGGCATATTAGGGCAATAAAGAGCTGCGGGAGCACTTCGCCGACTATAAGTACATCATGAAGACTAAGCATGCCTATGGGCCTCAGGTGATTTCGTGAGCACTTTCTCAGCCCAACCAGCCACTAACATGCCAAGCATCCCAAGGGGACATGAATGTTACTCTGTTTCCTCACGGCGCCCCTGAATGTCCCCCATCTTCCCTGTTGCTTGCTTCTCCCAAGCACCAAGTCCACTCATGCCTGAGGGAACTACAATAGAATTAGCAAGGCAGTGCGGCTGCCCCAGCAGTTTGAGCGCGAGGGGCGCCTCCCTTGCATCTCCCACTTCCCTTCCCCTCTTTTCCCCACTGTCCCCCACAATTTCAGGACTAAGCATGCTCGTTTTCGGCATGTCCCGGCTGGCTCCGGGAAGGTGGAGCGCCTGGTGTAGCAGTTTGAATGGAAGGGACGAGAGCTCTGCTTCCTCTTGCACTGCCGTGCCGGATTCCACGAGGCGGAGTGGAGCGCCTGGTACAGATGTTCGAGCGAGAGGGGCGCCACATCCCCTGTTTCGAATGGTCCTTCAATAGTCCCCGGTCTCTCCCTCTTTTCTTCTCCCTATTTTTCCCGTTGCCTCCCAAAATTATCAGGGCCATCGAGGTCGTTTTTGAGGCGCCTCAAAAACGACCTCAACGTTTCGAATGGTCCTTCAATAGTCCCCGGTCTCTCCCTCTTTTCTTCTCCCTATTGTCCCCATTGCCTCCCAAAATTATCAGGGCCATCGAGGCATGAGCGCGCTGGTCTTTGATGCCACTCCGGACGGATTTCAGGAGGCGCAGCAACTGACGCTGCAGTTTGAGCGCGAGGGGCGTCACATCCCTTGTCTCTTCTTTTCCTTTCCCCCCTCTTTCCCCCACTGCCCCACCAAAACCATCAGGGCCATCGAGGCATCAGTGCGCTGGTCTTTGATGCCACTCCGGACGGATTTCAGGAGGCGCAGCGCCTGACGCTGCAGTTTGAGCGCGAGGGGCGCGGGCGGTTGGGGTTTGCACGAAAGTTGGTGCCTCTGGTGGATCAGTCAGGAAAGAAGAACCTGTTTGGATACTTTGCGACCCAGCAGGATGTCACTGACTTTAACCGTTTCGGCAAAGGTGAGCGGCGGCTTTAATCTCGAGTGGTTCTTCGTTCCCTTTGGGGGGGTTGAAAGCTGGGTCAGGGAGGGGGGTGGATGGGAGAGGGGGGAGGAGGTGAGCAAGGTGGCTTTAAAGGTGGAGCGGAGACAGCAGTATGTGGTGGTTGGGGCAAGGAGGCATGCTGCATGCATGTGTGGCAGGTGTGGTGGCAAGGGTTGCACTCAGGCTGTGCTCTCTCTGCATCCGCAAGGGGCCGCTCAAGGTGGAGGTGAAGCGGCTGTGGAGTCTCGAACACAGGAGGTGTGATATATGCTCATTGAACCATCCGTGTGCATGCGTGCGTGCGTGTCTGTGCGTGGCAGGCAAGGGGCCGCTGAAGGTGGACGTGAAGCGGCGGTGGGAGGTGGTGGACGAGCCGCTGCAACGCATGAAGCAGCAGGCGGCACACGCGGAGCTGTACAAATCCCAAGTCGTTGAGGTGGGCTCATATTGGGAGAGTTGAGCATGTGACCCGACCCGACCCGACCCGACCCGATTTAGCCGGGCCATGCGGGCCCTCGGGTCGGGTCGGGTCGGGCCGGGTTCGGGCCGGAATCCTGAAACAGATGGCCCGACCCGGGCTTACTGGCTCGGGTCAAGGGGGACCCGAGTTCGAGTCGGGCCGGGTCGGGCCAGGAAGACCCGCCCCTTTAGGGGAAGGGTGGGGGTGCTCACCATGACTTGTACATTTCCTGAAATGGTGCCCACGCGAACGTATGGTGCTGCGCTTGCCACTAGAAACGTCTAGTACAGCGCGTGTGTCACGGAATGCCGGTGTGGTGGAAAGAAAGTAGGGGTTGCAGTTGTTTCATGGTGGTCCCAAAACTACTCCAGTGAAGAGCGCGAAATGGACTACTTCTTGCCAGAATCGTCCATATAGACGAGGTAATTAAAGTAAGAGGATTCGGGTGGGTTTACCTAAGTTCTGTGGTAGTTTAAGGACAGTTAACTACTACTCTAACTAAGTCGACTAGCTGCTGGCTTGGCGAAATGTAAATCGACGAGGAAGAAATCCCCGCGATTTACATTTGTGTTAGGGTTTCGGCCCTAACACTGTCAAAATCGGGTCGCGCTCATGGCCCGACCCGATTTCGACACTTTTGACCTGAAATCGGGTCGGGTCACGCTTGACCCGAGACCCGGCCCGACCCGGCCCGTAGAAGGCACTCGGGTCGGGCCTCTTCCCGGGTCGGGTCGGGTCGGGTCGGCCCGTACGGGGCAGGGCTTCGAAATCCATGACCCGGCCCGGGGAAGAACACGGGTCGGGTCGGGTCAACCCGACCCGACCGGGCCACATGCTCAATTCTCAAAATTGATTTTTAGCGATGGTGGGAGGTGGTGGAGGATTCCATGTTTCATATGAAGGAGCCCATGCATCACAGACGGGGTTTTACAAATCCCAAGTCGTTGATGTGAGCTTTAGACTCTTAGAGAGGGGCCTTTGAGAAAATCCTGTGAGGGAGAGGGTCCTGTGAGAGGGTCCTGTGAGAGGGTCCTGTGAGAGGGTCCTGTGAGAGGGTCCTGTGAGAGGGTTCTCAACCTATCCTATGTCGTGGTGGTGATCCCTAGTCTGGAACGTGAGTAGCTGTTCAGTCATGGTTGTTTGTGGCCGGTGAGTCGTGGTGGTGGGTGGCTGGAGGTGCGAATTGAGTCGTCTCAGGTGTGGCAGCATCTGGACGAGGTGCACGAGAGCAGGGAGCAGCTGGACGAGGTGCACGAGAGCAGGCAGCAGCTGGACGAGGTGTCATAATCACCCCTCTTCAACCCTTTCCCTTCGCCCTCCTCCGTGCCCACACGTCCCTCAGATGTCGCACAAAATGGTGAAGCTGCGAATCAAATCGTCGCAGCTGCAGGAGAGCAGGCAGCAGCTGGAGTCAGCACTGGAGGCAGAGAAGCAGCAGCGCCTGCAGCTGGAGGGCCAGGTGGTGAGCACGGAGCAGCTGATGCACATCAAGGAAGCCGAGATGCAGGCCATAGTGGCGCGCAACAAGCAGCTGGCAGCGCAGCACGAGGAGGAGGTGAGAATTGAGCTGTTGTTGAGCTGGTGTGGTAAAACAATTCGCCTCACACGCACCTGGAGTGCCAGGTGGTGAGCACGGTGCGGCTGATGCTCATCAAGGAAGCCGAGATGCAGGCTATAGTGGCGCGCAACAAGCAGCTGGCAGCGCAGCACGAGGAGGAGGTGAGGGCTGGGTTGATGAGCTCGTGTGGTCACACCGTTTGCCTCACACGCATGGGGAGCAAGGTGGTGAGCATGGTGCAGCTGATGCACATAAAGGAAGCAGAGATGGAGGCCATAGTGGCACACAACAAGCAGCAGGCTGCGCAGCATGAGGAGGAGGTGAGGGCTGGGTTGATGTGCTCATGTGGTCACACACACCGTTCTCCTTGCTCCTGTCACTAGTGTGATGCTGAGCGCCGAGCGCCTGATGCACATGTACGAGGCCTAGCTGTGCTGGTCATGGAGACTACTGTGTGAGGCTGGGATGTCGTAACAACAAGCCGCTGACCGTGCAGCATGAGGAGGAGGTCACACCGTGACACGGGCTGGGTTCTTGTGCTCGTGTGGTCACACCGTTCGCCTTGCACGCGTGGCGCTAGTGTGGCGCTGGGCGCCGAGCTCTTACGCCTGATGCACATGAAAGAGGCAAGCTGCATGTCATGATGACCACTGTGTGAGGTGCGGATGCCACAACAAGCAGCTGGTCGTGCAACACCAGGAGGCGGTAAGGAGGGGGGGATGAGCAGTGGGTGATGGACAATTGGGAGGGGGAAGTGCTGGGTGAATCGGGTTAGTCACTCACTCCCCACCTCCCCACCATTCCTCACCGCTCTCCACCCCCTGATGCCTGGTCACCAGGTAGCGAGTCGCGAGCTTGGATGAGGCGAGGGCGAGTGCTGGAGGCGAGGAGTTGGAGAAGCTGACAGATTCCACCCTATTTACGAGCTGTTTTTTATATTTCTCTTAAATCCCTGAATAATGACGAGCCTGTCGAAGTCGAACAGGTGGGCTGCGGAGGCCTTATTTCCATCAATCCCTGGATAATGACGAGCCTGCACATGCCCATTGCCCACCGGCCATCCTCTCCCCCTCTAAACACCCAGCCATGTAGTAGCGAGCATGCAGGAGGAGCCAGCATGGAGGTGAGAGAAGGAGGAGGAGGAGGAGAGGAGGTCGAATGCTGAGAGGAGGTAGAGGGCTGAGGAGGAGAGAAAAACGGACCTGGAGCGCACCGAGTTGACTCAGAGCACACCCACATTTCTCCCCAACCATTTCCTCCTCAGGTAGCGAGCTTGGAGGAGGCATTTGCACGGAATGCGGAGGAGGCGAAGAGGAGGTGCAGGGCAGGGGTGGCGCAGCTGAAGGAGCAGCAGCAGCAGGAAGTAAGGTTGCTGCCGTGTCGGGGGGGCGTCAAGCAGGCTGGGTTGGAAAGTGAGTCAATGGATGAGCCAGTGAGGCTTGTGGACGTGTGTGAAGGTCCGCAGGAAGAGAGTGGGGCGGCTTTGGATCGGGTTGAGTGCTGCGGCATGGTGAAGGTGGGCAGGCGTGTGGGGGGTGGGGGAGGGGACGGGGATGGGAGTGAGGTGGGGAGAGGGGAGGGGGTTGAGAGTGAGGTGGTGGGAAAAGAGAGGGCTGGGAGTGAGGTGGTGGGAGGAGAGTGGTCCGGGAGTGATACTGGGAGAAGGGAGAAGGTAGGGACTGAATTTGGGAGGTGGAAGGTAAGGAGTGTGGTTGAGGGAGGGGAGGAGGCAAGGAGCATTGAGGAGGAAGGAGTGGTGGTTGGAGGGGAGGGGGGGAAGCAAGCAGAGGGTGTGAGGGAGGAGGACATGAGGAAGATCGAGAAACAGGTGTTAAGCGTGTGTGGGGAGCAGGGAGAGAAGGAATTGTGTGGAGCAGTGTGAGGGGAGGAGGATGAGATGGTGGTTTGTGAAAAGAGAGAGGAGGAAGGAAAGGAATATTTCATTGAGGAGGGAGGGAAGGAAGGGGAGGAGGAACGAGGGGGGAAGGAAGGAGGGGAGGAAGTAGAGGAGGGAGGAGGGAATGGAGAGAAGGAAAAGCTGGAGGTAGGGGGAAGGGATAGAGAGAAGGAAGGGCAGGAGGAAAAACTGGAGCAATGGGTGGAAGACAAAGCGGAGGAAAGAGAGGACGAAACGGAGGAGGATGGGAAGGAGGAAGGAGTAATGGAAGGACGGAAAGGAGGTGAGGAATGGTGGATTGAAGGAGAGGAATAAGGAGGGAGAAATTAGATGCAGAATGGGGGAAGGAGAAGGGAGGAAGGAGAAGAGAACGAGGGGAAGGTCCAACAGAAGGAAAGAGGGAGGAGATCAAGAGGATGGGTGTGAAATGTGGAACTCATATTTTGTTGACGACGTATATGTGAACATTGTATTCAAGATTTCAAACAATATGAAAGCTTACTGCATTGGTTGCTTCTTGTACCATTACGCTCCATATAGTGCAATTAAACAATAATAACACTTAAGAAATGAAATCCTAAAGGAGCAAGCTTCTCCAAATGTTGCCATATCCCAAAATGAGACCACACTTTATTTGGACATACCCTCCCCCCACTTCCTTTCCCCCCCGCCCCCCCCACCTTAAAGGACATCTGAAGGACTGATGTTGGTATCACATTAATGAAAACGCCAGGTACAGACTTAGTGCTTAATGTGAGCCACTAACGGCGAGGATAGGTGTTCCCTTTGACCTTCACCTCGACTAGTCTAGCGGATTCAGTGTGAGTGAAACTGAGCATTCTTAGGAGGCGGTGTCAAGAAACGCTTATACACTCCACTGGTCGTTTTCGATTAGTGCGGGGACAAACTGGGTGTGAATGAAGGCAAGAAACATTAGGCAAGGCAAGCCTTTGCAAGACGAAATCGAAACTCTGAACACGTCCCCGGATCGGAAACCTACGCAGCGCTAGAGCAACCCAAGAATTCCCGCGTCATAGCTTCTGACAGTGTCTTTGATATCTGACAATCAGTTTTGACAACTACATCATTGCCTGGCATTTGTCTAGCTTTCCTTTACCCGGTGACGTTGTGTTTCTGACTAGTATTCGCCGTTGGGCCAATTGAGTGGTCCGTGACGTCTAACCTGCACGATCTTGACAGCCAGGCCGAGCAACCATGCAAACGCGATCAAGGAGCAAGCGATCCTTAGTGTCGACCTTCGAAGAGCCTTCGGACTCTGTCTCTACGAAAAAACGCGTTAATAAAAATTCTGTCGCCTTACAAGCGGATAGCCAGCCGTGCAGCAGCCGAAATCGACGAGCGGCTGCGATGAATGCGACGGCTGCGACGAATGCGACTACCACTGCCACTACTGCTAAAAACGGGAGGAGTTGTAAGGCCGCGAGCATTACCAGGAATTCGAGAATAGCGATTGTTGCGAAGGATGGCGTCAGCGCGAGCTCAGTTGCAATCAGTTCGCCTGACGAGCTTACCACCAACAGGGTTACCACCAGCAGGGTTTCCACTAGAAGCAGAAGCGGGAGCAAAGGCGGAAGCAGAGACATTAACCAACGCGAGGCGATTAACGTCAGAAGAAGCAGCAGAAATGGAGGACCTACCAACGCTACCGAGAGCCGGGAGGTTGTCAATATGGTTTTTACCAGCAGCAGCAGTCCAGACGACGGAGGCTCCGTGAATCATTCTCCGCATGATTCGGCCGAGAAGTTCTTTTCACCGGCGGTGGAGGTAAAGCCATCCGAGCCGGTTCAGAAGGCTCTGTTCCGGTCGCCCGAGGACCCTTGCGAGGTGGAGGAATTCCATTCGCCTGCTTCAGACGTGGCATTTTCCGAAGCTGGGAAGGTCCAGTTTCCAGTACTGAATGCAGTTCCTCTTGAAGCAGTGAAAGAGAATTCGCCTACTTCGGTCAGCGGCGCTCCGGAAGCTTCTAGAACGAAGCAGTTGCCTGTTTCGTATGCGGTCGCTCTCGAAGCACTGCAAGGGAACTCGCCTGCTTCGGTTGTAGCAGTTTCTGAAGCTTCTAAGAAGGTGTATTCGCCGGTTTCATTGGCAACCACTTCGGAGGCTTCCAGGAAAGAGAGCTCGCCTGTTTCAGTCGCAGCCGCGAGTGAGGATGTCAGGAAAGCAGCAGCACCAGCACCAGCCGCACCAGCAGCAGCACCAGCTGCAGAAGCAGCAGCAGCAGCCGCCACTCGCTTACCCATCCCCTCTGCTTCCATGCAAGCGTCAAGCAAACCAGCAGCGAATGGATCCGTGACACGTGTACCAGTAGACGTTGACCACGTGGCTGGAAGAGGTTCTTTCGCCTCAGCTCGGCCGCCTGCCGCAGATGTGATTGCACTGAGCGACGACAGTGACAGTGACTGTGACGCTAGGCCGCGGAGGCTGCGGAGGGGCAGCAGAGGCGCGAGGGGGAGAAGAAGGGGCAATACAGCTAGCAAGGGTTTCGCTGCTGCGTGCAGCAGTGCTTCTCTTATTGTGTTGGATGATGACGATGAGGAGGAGGAAGAGCAGAAGGAGAGGGAGAGAGAGAAGGAGAAGAAGAGGGAGAGGGAGAAGGAGGGGGAGAGGGAGAGGAGGGAGAAGGAAAGGGAGAGGGAGAGGGAGAAGGAGAGGGAAAAGGAGAGGGAGAAGGAGGAGAAGGAGAAGAAGGAGAAGAAGAAGGAAAACCATCAGAAGATTGAGAAGGAGAAGGCAGGAAAAGGAGCAGCTGAAACGGTGACAGGCGGTGCAAAGGGGGGCGTTGTGAAGGAGAGCGGTACTCAAGTGGTTGATCGTAAGCCAAGCTTTGGTGTAAATACTCGATCATTTACCACAGGAGCAGCACCAGTGGCAGCACCAGCAGCAGGAGCAGCACAGGCCGGAGCCCTCGTAACAAATGGCGGCACTAGCAACAATGCTGAGGATGAGGAGGACGAAGCGGATGAGGATATAGAGGACCTGTTCACGTATGGGAAGCTGGGTATGACTTTTTCGCGTCCCACACTCCCTTGCAAGCCGTACAGACCCGTGGGTGCGTCTGGTAGTGATGGCACTGAGGAGGAGGAGAGAATCGAGGGTGGTGGTAACCCTATCAACCCTGGACCGCTTTCCCCACGCCTAACCTCCCCGCTCAGCTCTCCTGCTGCCCCGCCTCGTGCAAATCCTCTCAGTCCCAGCGGATGCATGAGTCCTACCGGTACCGGCCAGAACCCAGCTTGCTACGATGTGCTAAGTCCCACCCAATCAGGATCAGCAGCAGGAGAAGCAGAGGCGCGTAGTGAGCTAAACAGATTTCGGCTGCACCAATCCAAGGGTCACCGCCATAGGGCTCTTGCGTTCCTCGCCTCCGAACCTGCGTCAGGCTCGGGTTCAGGCTCGGCCAAGGCAGGCGAGACAAGCGCAGCTGGGATCCCCTCCACCATGCCCCATGCCCCACACCCGTCTGCCATGCATGGCGCCATGCCAAGCCATCCAGCCTCCCATGTAGCAGCCATGCCAGGCCATGCAGCGGCGCATGGGGATGCAGAGGCAGGGAAAGAGAGGGGCGATGGGGAGGATGTATGGGACGGGTGGGCGGAAGGGAGTGAGGATGGTGCTGCTGGTAACTTGGACGACCCCCAGCTGGAGCTGTATCGAAGGGAAGTGAGGTGAGTGGTTATGTGAAGGATGGATGGGGTGAGGTGAGGGGTGGATGACCCATAAACTGAATGCAGCGATTATGGTCGACAAATAGGTGAATACAGATTCTGGATTTTATGCTGCTGTACATCTCTTTTCCCCCCCTTTGTCGTACTTTTGCGATTCCTTCGTGCAGCCATTTCAGGGAGCAACAGGCTGAATTAGCTCGGATGAGGGAGCAGCTATCAGACAGGGGCGTGAGGATCGTTCGCTCAGCTCAAGCAATTTCATCTTCTTCATTGTTGTACATGTTACATGACTTTTTTGCAGCCATTTCAGGGAGCAGCAGGCAGAGTTGGCCCGGATGAGGGAGCAGCTATCAGACAGGGGGCTGAGGCAACACGTGATGTCAGCATGCCCCCTGCCTTCACCAGAGCAACAGCCGAATTGGCCAAGTGGTCAGAACGAAACTCGAAGCCAGTTGGACAGAGCAGCGGCGGCGACAGCACCAGCAGGAACACAAGCAGCAGCAGCAGCAGCGGCGGCGGCAGCGGCAGCAGCAGCAGCAGCAGCAACAGCAGCAGCGTTGGTGGCGGCTGTGGAGGCAGCGAGTAGGTTGAGATCAAGAGGCGGCAGGAGGAGAACAACAACTGTGGACGTAATTAGAGAAGGGTGGGCTGCAGCAGTAGCAGCAGCAGCAACAACAGCACCGGCACCAGCAGCTTTTGCAGCACCAGCACCAGCAGTAACACCAACAGCACCACCAGCAGCAGTAGCAGCAGCAGCAGGTGTTGCAGGGTCGAGAGGGGGAGTAGCAACAGCATCGTCAGTGAGGGTACCACATTTCAGTCACCCTCGTGCAACACCAGGGGCAGCAGCAGCACCAACTCCAGCATCAGCAGCAGCTGCTGCCGCCTCTAGGGCAGCTACCCCCGCGAGTTACAGGATCGCAATGCAGCAAAGAACAGCAGCAGCCATCGCCGCTGCTAGGGCAGCTACTCCCGCCAGTTACGGGTCCCCAGTGCAGCAAAGAGCAGGATTTGCTGGTGCCACTGGCGCTGCTGCAGGGAATGCAAGTGCGGGTGCAGGGCATATGGGAGGCGGGCATGTGAACGGGGGGCACGTGGCGGGAGGGGGGGAGGCAGCGGAGCCAGAAGGGGAGGGGGGAGGCGAGCGGATTCGGCTGCGGGTGACGGGAAGCCTGGGAGAGCACATGTTTCGACTGGGCAAGGTAGGCCGAAAGGGACCTTATCGAGTCAGCTAACAAATTTACTGGGGCCGATTGGGAGCCTGGGAGAGCACATGTTTCGACTGGGCCAAGGTGGGGAGAATGTTTGCCTGTGCTGTAGCATAACTGTCTTTTGAAAACTTGATTTTCCATTCCCTCTTCCAACCCTTTCCTGCACTAGAATGTGCTCCCTGCCAGGGTGACCAGCTGGAAAAGCATTTTGGTACCAGGGCAACAAGATGCCATATGGCTGGGGGGGCACCAGCTGCAACTTGCCTCAGTCTGCCATCCCCATGTCCCTGCATTTCTCTCCCTTTCTTCCTCTCTCATCTCTTGCATCCCTGTCAGAGTGACAAGCCGGAGAAGCTGTTCACTGCATATGCCAACAAGGTGGGGGATGCCAGTGGTGCTCAGCCTGTCATGACTCAGCCCCATATGCCCATATCTCCCTCTCCCCCTTGCATCCCTGTCAGAGTGACAAGCTGGAAAAGCTGTTCACTGCACATGCCGACAAGGCAGGGGGGTTGCCAGTGGTGCTCAGCCTGTCGTGACTCAGCCCCATATGCCCACATCTCCCTCTCCCCCTTGCATCCCTGTCAGAGTAACAAGCTGGAAAAGCTGTTCACTGCACATGCCGACAAGGCAGGGGGGTCGCCAGTGGGCTTAGCCTGTCGTGACTTGGTCCCCATGTGTCCACCTTTCCCTCCCCCTTTTCTCTCTCTCTCTTCTCTCTTCTCTCTTCTCTCTTCTCTCTTGCCTCCTGCCAGGGTGACAAGCTGGAGAAGCTGTTCACTGCATATGCCAACAAGGTGGGGGGGCTGCCAGTGGGCTCGTTCAAATTTGTCTTTGATGGCGATGCGCTAAAGGGTGATTCAACACCGGCAGACCTGGACCTAGAGGATGAGGACCAGATTGAAGCTGTAAAGAAATAATCTCTGCAGCATACTGACTGATATACCACCAGTGGGCTCGTTCAAGCTTGTATTGATGGCAATGTGCTAATGAGTGATTCGACACCGGCAGGCCTGATGACATACAATTGAAGCTGTATGGGTAATATTGCAAGCGAGATTCAGTCAGGCTAGTTTAGTGTACGATGAGATGAGACGAGTCTGAACATAGCACCTTTGTGTGCAATGTACAGTACAGGTGAAATGCTTGCAGTTGCCCCTTCCAGATACGGTAAGTGCACAATTTCAAATGATCTGTAATCATGACAGAGCAACTTGTTCTGGTACAGTAGTTTTAGGGGATGGCACAGCAAACGAAATCCGAAAGAGGCAATTGACCAGCGCATATGCACAGGGTGGTACTAACTCAGTGACCAGTAATAAGATGTAGGTACAGTGAGGTGCTACAATACTTTTTACTAGCAAACCACAGTTAGTTTTCAAACCAACACCCTCAGAAGCAGTGCACCAAGAGGCTAGACCCCGCCTTGCTTCTTCGCCTCTTCTGTGAGCTGCTTCACATAGTTAGGAACAATCTCCTCCCCATCTTCACTAGGTGCTGCACTGGTGCCAACTGTGGCATGTATAGATCGCCAGTCCACAGCACCTAAACCCCAGATTGCTTCTTTGAATCTTCAATCAGCTGCTTGACATAGTTTCGCACAATCTCCTCCCCCTCCTCACCCCGCTTGGCGCCGCACTGGTGGCAGCTGTGGCGGCGCGGAAAGTTGACGTTTTGGCACGAGGAGCACGCCCAGTTGCCGTTCACTCCCACCACGGGGCGTGTGTGGTTCAGCCCCCGCTGGGACTGCAGCGCTGCTGGATCTCCAAACTCCTGAGAAGCAAAATGGGTGAAGCATGGAGGGTGGAATCACATGGAAGACTATAACACATGGTAGCGTACTTTGAACTTACTTCAAGCGAAAAAAAAGGGAACCGAAAGACCAAGGCATCCGGGCAGAAGGGCACATCAGTCTCATCAGATTACATTGTCATCCGCAGGCGTGACATAGACGAGGAGAGACTCGTAGAGCCAAGCCCATCCATGCACTCTCGGTTCCCTGCCTTTTTGTAGTTCCACATCATCTGTGCCCTCAAAACTAACAAACGTGGACAACGCAACAATGTAAAAACAACCATCTAAGCAGCTAATTAAACCCCAACCTCGATCTGCTACTCACTAATGACAGCTACAGCAGAAAGCGGAGAGGGTGACAAAGGAGAGCTAGCCGAGGTGAAAGAGTGGGAGCATCAGCCTGAAGTTCATTAGTTTGTTTTTGTTGGCACAAGGGCAGCAGAGGCCCACAGGACCATCTCCTGCCTTGCCGGAATAGGTTATCCTCATTGCCCCCAATATTAGTACATCTCGTCATACGAGACACAATGTAACGCACAGATCACAGCAACAAAAGGGAGGGACGTTACAGGGAAGGCTAAAGCGCAGGAGAAGGGAAGGATGAAGACTACTGAGACAATACGCAAGGGGGCATCAGCCTGAAGTTCATTAGTTTTGTGTATTTCGGCACAACGGCAGCATTGCTGCTGCCTTGCCATAGCGATTGTCCTCATAGCCCCCCTTACACTCACACACAGCCAGAACCAAATCTCTTCACAAAGACCAGCTATCAGACACATGCAAAATAAGGTGGCCAATACGAGCAGCAAACACAAGCAGCACTCACCCTGAGGAAATCACTCGGGCGATCCTTATAATCCTCGAAGCTGATATTAGCGGGGATGGGCTTCACAGACGGAGGTCGGGCAGCAGGAACAGCAGCCATGGCCGCAAACTGCGGCATCCCGCCCATTTGTACGAATCCCCCTGGCGCAGGCTGGTAGAAATACGCCATTCCCGCTTGATCCCCTGTCACTGGACCTGCGGGTGTGTAACCGTACGCGGCCGCCGCCGCCATTGCCGCGGTGTTCGCGGCGGCCGCGGAAGGATCTCCGCCGCCCCCGGGGATGTTCATGCGCGATTTCATGGTTTGGAGCCAGAGCGTGGCGGGGGCGAGACACTCTCCCGCGTCAGCGATGGGGTCGGCTGACATGGCGAAGCTCGCTACAAGCTGCTCCGCTAACCGCTTGCCTTCGGCAGCCGCGCTGGGGAAGAATAAGGGGAGGATGGTAAAACAGGGAGAGTGAACAGGGACACGGGAGATCGTGCGAGCTGTGTGAACGTGCAAGGAGGGTATAAGAAATGAATGCGAATGGAATACGGGTATAAGAAAGCGGCTGGATTAAGCAACTTACCAAATCAACAAACGGCATACCGACGACCAAATGCCTGTTGCTAACAACAACTGCACTCGTGAATAAACGCCGTTACTTACCTAAGCGTGGACCTTCGGCCTGCACCAGCACCATAACCGGGATCAGCAGCCACCGTATACTGAGAAGCAAGAGTCGCACCAGCACCAAAACCACCATCACCACCACCAGCACCAGCACCAAAACCAGCTGCCGCAGCTGCACCGTACGGGTCATGCTGCAGTACCTGCACCTGAACCGGCGGACAATGAATGCGGTGGTTTACCACCAGCAGCGGTTTACCCACGAGAGTAAGGCACAAGCACAGTATGCACCGAGTTAAAGATAAACGACAAACCAACGAGAGAAACGCAGCGCAAGAGCAGACGACCGTGCAAACCACCAAATCAATACCGGAAATAAGATATCGAATAGGAAGCCTACCAAGAGCACCATGTAATAGAACCATTTACGACCTAGACCGGGAATGTAACACGCGTTGAGCAATTTCTTTTTATGTCCTTACTCTGCCTTGGTTGTAACCGCAACCACCCGCATCGCCCGTTCGCTGGCCTCTCATTCGCTTGTTGTACTCCGCCACGATCGTGTCGCCCAAAGGTCCACGTTGTCTCCCGCATTTATGGCACTGCGAAAAAACAACGTTCTAAGTTAGTGGGTCACAAAAAACAAAAGATTTTGGCTTTGCAATTATTATTTATTATTATTGAGATACGAAGCTAGGTAATGACAGTCCATACCTCAGTGCGACGAGGGTAGTTAACATTGAGACAAGCCGAATCTTCGCAGACCCAGTTCCCGTCTTCCAGTGGAACGGGTCGCTTGGATCCACTGCAGGGAGACATTGCAACGAAACACAAGGGAGAAAAACAAGGATTGCGTGACTTGCGGGTAAAACTAGAACATTTGCATGATCGCAAAAATTCACCATGACAACTGTTGTGTTTAAAATACCTTGCCTGCCTAGGCTGTGGACCATAATCAGCCATCCCCACTCAGATGACAATCTCGATTACTTGGCACGTGAATTCGATCAGGTCAATGCCTGAACAAACGAAACCCTGACGCACGAAGGTTTCACAAGAGCCGACGGATCTTCCACGATCAGCAGGGGCCTTCAGATTTGAGTAACAAGGGAATGGGACGGGGTTATGAAAGGAGAGTTGGGGGAAAGGTGACGGGCTGTTGGTCAACCCAAGGCACTTGAGAGGGATTTGCCTGTGTTTGTGGATACTGTATTGGCTGTCTCGGGTTGTGTCTATTGTTGTGGGGCTTATGCCAGTATTCTTATAAAATACTATAAGATGTTGTCCTTTACACGGGGGTCATTGCCATTTCCGCTATTATTGTTTGTATGTTCTTATGGAAGCATCCCGTTTCAGTGCAGTCGTCGTCGTCGCAAAGGAATCGTTACAGGCGCGGCGAGAGATGCGCTTCGTGCACTTGTGGGTGGGGAGCTACACCACCAGTTATGCTGAGGGTGGGTGTGGTGTGGTCCCCTCACCATCCCTTCCACGACAACTGAATCATTGGTCCTGAAGTGCCTACATGGCGTCGCTGTCTCTCTGCGACGCCACGTAGACTTACCAGAGGCTGCTAGATGCCCTTCCACGAAACCATCGCGACCTCGCACAAGGAGGACGTTCGCAAATGGACCACTCGGGCTTGGCGGGAAGTTGGTCACTTCTACACGGTGGCAATCTGACTGACACAACCTTCGGAGCGTCCACCCCACGCCACGAGAATCCAGCTTCAACAAGCGCAGATACCTTCGATTGAATTTGATCATCTTGAAATTACTAAGCTTCAGTCTCCACTCTAGACCTGTCCACCAACAGAAATTTGCCTGTCATCTCACACGTCTAGCAGCCATGGATCCCGCTTCTGAAGCTGCCAGGACCGACCTTATGACACTGACCAGACATGTGTTGAATGAGCAGTCCAAGCACCCAGAAGCTCGTGGAGATCTCACCATTTTGCTAAATCACATTGTGCTTGGCTGCAAATTCGTCTGCTCTGCTGTCAACAAGGTGCACAGTCCACTCAAGAACGCAGTCGGTCCGAATAGGCGCCTCGTTTTTCCCTTACTGTTTCCCAGTCTTGCTGATACGATTGATCGTATTTTAATTGCAGGCTGGCCTCGCAAAACTTATTGGTTTGGCTGGTGAGACAAACGTCCAAGGAGAGGAGCAGAAGAAGCTTGACATTCTGTCCAACGATGTGTTCGTCAAGGCCCTTGTCAGCAGCGGCCGAACGGTACGTTCCAGCGAGCGGACGCTCGATACACCATGATAAAATCGGGATGTGATGTTCACTTCACATATGCATTCTTGTTTGCAGAACGTTCTCGTGTCAGAGGAACTGGAAGATCCTATCTTTGTCGATAAAAGACTCCGCGGAAGGTAACGTTTCTGGTGATGCAATCTCTGACCGTGTTATTTTCTTGAGTTTTGTCACCGAGTATGCGAATGACGTTGTTGTTCTTCTTTCAGGTATATTGTGGTCTTCGACCCGCTCGATGGATCTTCCAACATCGACTGCGGAGTGTCCATTGGAACAGTGAGTGCTGGATGATTTAGCCTAATGTATTTTGGACGTTAAAACGTACAGTCGATGCGTGCTTCCTAAATCTCCACGCTCTTCAAAGGTGGGCTATCAGACAAGGACTTGAATGAATGCAAAACCTGGATAGCCAGATAGACAGCAATTTGTTAGTGAAAGTAATGGGCGATAGATGAAAGTCATAAACGCAAGATGTGCCGCTGCTACTCATGTATGATAATAACCGAGGCTCCCCCATCACTTACTTCAGATTTTCGGCATCTACATGCTCCAAGCGGGCGATGATGGCGTCATTCCCGAAGGCACGATTGAGGATGTTCTGCAGCCTGGAACCAAGATGGTGGCAGCAGGGTACTGCATGTATGGCAGTTCGTGCATGGTACGGCTGTGGTTCTTGAGCTTGCCCCGACCTGCTTTGATGGAGCTTATAAACGCTGTATTATCTCGTGGAATTTCATTCTATGTTCTGGTACTGACAGTTTCCTACTGTGTGGTTCTGCAGCTTGTGCTGAGCACCGGTAATGGAGTTAACGGGTTCACCCTGGATCCGTCTCTCGGGGAGTTCATCCTCACTCACCCCGACATTCAGGTGAAGATTGCAGTTTTTCGGCGTGGGAAATGTTGCAAGCGTGCACCGGAGCATATGTGCACAAAACTCGTCTTACCAGGAGTTCAGTTCTCTCAGTGTGAAGTAAACCCCGCGAATGCACCTGCAGATGCCCAAGAAGGGGAAGATTTACTCGGTTAATGAAGGGAATGCACTGAACTGGGATGAGCCAACCAGAAAGTAAGTAAAAACGCCATCCTTTAGCATTCTGGTGAACATATGTGTAGTAGTGTATTGCTGGTGTCTCATCTTTGAGCTGCCGTGGTCCAGGTTTGTGGAGTCCTGCAAGTTCCCAACTGATGGCTCGGCCCCGCGTTCCCTTCGCTACATTGGAAGGTGAGGCTAACAACTGAATGCCAGTGTCCCTTACTGTCAACCTTCAGTGGAAGCGGAAGTAATCACGTTTGTTGTCCATTCTGTTAATGCAGTATGGTGGCGGATGTGCACCGGACACTTCTGTATGGTGGAGTTTTCATGTACCCAGCTGATAAGAAGAGTCCCAATGGCAAACTGAGGTAAGAGATGTTTTCAAGGCACAAGCTTGCGAAAATATGGCACATTTGATAGTTTTTATGGTTTTATTGGATACAAATAACTCATGGCTCATGGATACGACTTCCCTCTACTGTGCAGGGTGCTATATGAAGTTTTCCCCATGTCTATGTTGATTGAGCAAGCAGGCGGTCAGGCTTTCACAGGAAAACAACGTGTAAGTGTGTGGCAGCAGGGTTTCTTCCGGTCTTTTATTTACTCTTCTCTCCGCTTAGTTATATTATTTCCGTTTATTTATGGAAGATAAATTACTACTGTTTTCTACGTTCGCAGGCCCTTGAGCTCGTTCCAACCAAGATCCATGACAGGTCCCCAATTTTTCTGGGCAGTTATGATGATGTTGAGGCTATTAAAAATCTGTACGCCTCTCAAGCCTAGAGCTCAAATACTGCATGTAACATGTTTAATGTGTTGTTGGGGCCATCAAGTTGGAATTAAGACATTATGTTGGATGCCTTCGCGCCGTCTATTGAATGCGGTTTCAAACGAGTATAGGTCGCAACCACGCCAAGCCGCGACCCGTCAGGTACACACAACACAGGTGTGTCAGGCGGGAAATGGCACATGAGCTGCCCAGCAAGTCCTTAAGACCAGATTCGTGTTTCTTGAGAAGGTCCGCCTTCGGGGGACTTACCACAGTTCACGAAATTCGCGTGATCTGCTCCCTGCGTTTCATCCCGAGACAACACGATGTCTCGTTGATTTAGATTTTAGCCTGTCGGCTGTGTGCCGTATCTTAACTGGAGCCGTTAGACTCGTCATCGCAATCCCCGACGTATATGTTGTCTAAATCCTCTGTATCATGAAGTGTGTCTAGAGTCGCCGACCTCTCCTCCGCATTCTGACCACTGCTATCGTGTCGTCCTTTTTGAATGGTAGCGGGTCCGCATCCGGGGAAGCGGAGAGCTTACTGTCGTGGTGCCATGGGATCGATGCGGACGCCGTCAAAGAAGGCGCCAGCAGGCCTCTTCCGTTTCGGCCTCAGATTTGTGATCCTCCTGTTCGTCGTCGTTATGGTCGTATTCATCTTAGAGACCGGAAAGCTCGCAGACAGACAACGAAAGTCGGAGTTTGAAGAGCGTAAGGTTCTTACTTCCGAGTTTAAACACATCCCCCATGCAGCTGGCCACTTTTGCCATGTGTTCTGCGCCAGTCCCTGCTTCCCGTGGTTCTCTCTTAATCGACTTTACTTATACGATGCATACGTTTCTCCCAAAGCGCCTCCGTAATTCCTCTCTGTCTCTGCTTGCATTCGGTTCGGGTTCATTATTCCCTCTCACTACTCTTCCACCGCTAGTTCGCCTTCTTAGTGCCCTCGCTATCCTTATTCACCTTCAGTTCTCCCGTTGTTTTCTTTCCATCCAACCATCGCTGGGACAGTGCGAGAGCAATCGTTGAGGAAGATCTTGAGGCAGCACGAGATGGAAATTCAGGCCGCTATCGACAAGAACATTGGCTGGTTCTCCCATTACCTCTCCAGACTCCGTCTGTCGTCTCGTGCTGGGGCTGGAAGAGGTGTGTTCGTGTTTTGCCAGTAGGGGGTGTGTTGCAAGAAGCTTCAGGTAGCTGTCGATGGCAACGTTAGCTGGTTCTTGAACTGACATTTCCGTTTCCAAGTGTCATCCCGTGCTTGAGCAGGAGAAGTTGAGGTTTACATTGCGACGACGTGCGTTTTCTGCTCAGTCTTACCTGCCCGAGATTGTTATTTCACTCATGACGGACAACTTCGCCGTCCCTATGTTGTTCCTACCTGTGTGTGTGTATACGGGTTTCTCCCTGACTCTATGTGTGCGTATGTGCTCCCTTGTCTGTTTGCGCGACCAGACGAGGACGACGATGATGACATCAGCAGCGTGTCTTCGCACTCAGCCTCTGCTACAGACACCCTCGCTGCTGACACGTCTGAGGGGGACGAGCGTGGCGGGGAAGTCGGGGGGAGTGGAGGCGCTGGGGGGATGGTGGGCGGCGGGGTTGTTAATGGGAAAGGCGGTGGCGAGGGGCAAGGGGGAAAGCGGAAGAAGGGGAAGGAGCAGGACCTGTCGAATGTGGGCAATATGGACATGCCCATGCACAAAGTGCACGGGGTCCTGAAACGTGAGTGTTTGAATACATGCAACTCGGGAAATTAAACTCTTGAGGCGCCTCAAAAAAAGATCTGTCGAATGTGGGCAATATGGACATGCCCATGCACAAAGTGCACGGGGTCCTGAAACGTGAGTGTTGAAACAAATAAGGTGACTTCGAGTCGACTCAACGGAGCAGGATCTGTCGAATGTGGGCAATATGGACATGTCCTGAAATGTGAGTGTCTGGAAATCTGGAAATTTGGGATTGGAAAGTCGGAGCTTAGTCTTTCTTAATCCACATGCATCTCTCCCTCAGTATAACATCCTCTGTCTCATTCCTCTGTCTCATTCCTCTGTCTCTCTCTCTGAATATCCTACTCGCTGTCTTCCTGCTCGTCTGCCCAATCCATTCCCCTTCCAAACCCCCCAGCCTGCCTCCCTCTGCCACCCGAGCCTGAGCTCTCGCACCTGCAGCTGCCCGAACCTCTCCCTGACAAAGTAGTGACGCGCCTTCGTTATTATCACATGGACGAGGATGCAATCGAGATCGAAACCACACTAGGTGCCAGGCAGGGCCAGCTGGGACGCACCGTCCAGCTGGACATGTTCACAGGGAAGCAGACGATGGGCGAGAGGGCCAAGAGCTTCCAGGTGCAGGCGAGCATGGAGGTGCACTGTGGGTTTGCAGGGCCCAACACGGGGTTCACGGTGGCAGAGGCGGACCAGCGGTGGCTCAAGCGGTGCCAGGTGGCAGTGGTGACGGCGATATTCGGGGGAGGTGACATCCTGGTGCAGCCAATTGGGATGACACAGACGTCCCTAGAGAAGGTGCGTGGGTGGGTGGCTAAAGCGGTGTCAGGCGGGGAAGGTGACATTCTGGTGGAGCTATTTGGGATGACACAGGCGTCCCTAGAGAAGGTGCGTGGGTGGGTGAGCTTTTGAGTCGACTCAAAAGTGGTGACGGCGATATTTGGAGGAGGTGACATCCTGGTGCAGCCGATTGGGATGACACAGGCATCCCTAGAGAAGGTGCATGGGTGCATGGGGTGTGGGGTTGGGGTTTGGTGGGGTGTGATGTGAGGATGGTGGGATGGGGGATTGGCGCTATGTGAGGATGGGGAAATGAATCTTAATGCATGGTGTGAACTGGGAGTACGAGAAAGGCTAGGGGCATGGGAATGTTTATGGTTATGAGTATGTGAATGAGGTAAGGATGGTCTCGGGATGGGTTTGAGACAAGCTGATCAGCAGCTACGCACAGGCTTCGCGTATGAATGAATGAATCCATATTGCATTTCTCATCCGCCCCTGGCGTACCTTCAGGTGTGCTATGTGGCGTTTTGGGACGATGTGACAGCAGCAGCGCAGGCAGAGGCAGGGGTGGTGCCGGATGCGGAGACCATGAAAGTGGGGCTATGGCGCGTTGTCATTGTCAAGGACCTGCCGTTCGTGGACCAGCGGAGGAATGGGAAGATCCCAAAGGTGAGGCATATTTTGTTCTGCCTCATGTACCCCCCTGTTTCCTGTTCTACCCCCCTTTACCCCTTTTGCCCCATGTCCCCTGTCGTACCCCTGTTCTTCTCTCCATATTCGCCCATGGCTGCGCATATTCACATCTCCCACCATGGCCCCCCAACAGATCTTATCTCACCGCCTCTTCCCGCGCGCCCGCTTCTCCATCTGGGTCGACTCGAAGTACCAATTCCGCCGCGACCCCCTCGAAGTGCTTGATACGCTGCTGTGGCGGCAGCAGCCGCGGGCAGAGTTTGCGATCTCGGAGCATGGGGCAAGGAGCTGCATCTATGCGGAGGGGGAGGCGATCGTGAGGAAGCACAAGGCACAGCCGGAGGAGGTTGCGGTGCAGCTGAACCAGTATCGCACCGAGGGGCTCCCGGTTAATGCCACTTACAATGGGAAGAAAGGTGAGGAAAAGTGGTTTTATGTGGTGGTTCGTGAGGGTGGCTTTGTTGCTGGATTGACAGTTATTTTGAATGCTAATTCCTTTTTTCCTTTTTTTATTTTTTTGCGTGTGTGAGGTATCTGACCAAAGCATGTTCTCCTCCTTTTATCTCCAGCATTGGCAGAGGCTTCCATCATAGTGCGGGAGCACACAGCAGCCACGAACCTTTTCATGTGCCTGTGGTTCAATGAGATGGTGCGATTCACTGCTCGTGATCAACTCAGCTTTGGCTACACTCTCCGACGGCTTGACCTGGTGAAACCAAACATGTTCCCGGTGTGCACACGGCGGGCACTGGTGAACGCTCTTGGCCACAAGCGCAAGGCAAAACCACTTGCACATGGAATGTCCTGAATATTAGGTGATATGAATCAATTTAGGATCATAAGTAAATATTGCAAAAATTGGCAGTGTGCCGTCTTCCAGAAAACCACCCTGAAAGCAGCTCAGCTTGACGGGTCAACGCTGATCGGATTCGGCGACCGAGTTTGCGACAGCATGCTGCAAATCCATTGGTTTACCAGTTCCCGCCAAGAAATTGAGTCACTCAATTTCTGCCTCGGGATTTCCAAATGAACCTCGGCCATGGATCCACATTCAGTTGGCTTTCCGAACTAGCCAATACGCGAGGCTCGACTGACGGGAGGTTCGGCGCGGCGATTCAGTCGCAATTCCCTGTGTTTCTGACCTTCGCGTCCAAGCCTGGGCTGACCATTCATTCTGGATTCCAGAGGCGGGCTTCTGGAATTCACACGTCTTACTCACACATGATCTCCCTACACAACTCATGATCAGAATCCATTGTGTTCAGTAGCTTGTGCATATCAGTCCTTTAGCTGCAGCGATTGAAGCGATTGAACTAGCAGAGTGGTGGCTCGAAGCAGTTGTCTTCACCAACCAATCTGGACGAGGCTCGTTTTTGGAATAGTTCTGTGCTAAGCCGAGGAAGAACTTGAATCTCCATGATAATCTGAATCAATCGCACCATTCTCCCGAGGCCTCGCTTCGGGACATTGTCCTCGGTAGGTTTTGATTCAACGTTGACAACAGCTTATTTGTTTCTTTCCTGTTTGAGAGCTGATCGTCTTATGAAAAGGAATCATGGTCTTCTCAACAAAGCTCAACCGGAACTTAACATTTCTTATTGGAATTCCAAGAAAGGAATATGAATCAGTGCCTTTATAGTACCTTAATGGCCGATCTAGCGTTTCTGGCTTCATTTCTTTTGGAATGTAATCGCATTGTGGGTGAAGCTGGATTCGCCAGGTTTCTGGGTTTCTGAGGCCGCTCGAATTCCAGACATAGCCCATTGTAATTCACAAGTAACACTTGATGAAGCAACTCACTTGTAACGTCTCTTCCTGCTCGGCCTCCTGGCTTCTTCTATCACCCCAGGCGGAGAATGCCAGCTCTGGAGTCAAGCAGCGATCCTGTCGCCATGGACACTCAGCCTCCAAGCGTCGGCGGTAGCAGTGCGCTGGGTGGCTTGGAGGGGAGAGGCAAGCTGCAGCTGGTGCAGCCGTCGTCGGCAGATGAAGAGGCGAAGGTGGTGAGGGAGCTGATGAACACGGCGGATGCTGGGATGAAGGAAGGAGATACGTACAACCTCGTAGACGCCAGGTGCGTTCGCGTGATTCGGGGCATCTAGAGGCGCGCGTAAATCGGACGAGGACACGAGGGGTGGTGGGACGAGAACGCGAGGGGCGGTGGGAGAGATGATGGAGATGGCGGCGGATGCTCAAATGAATTAAGGGGACGCGTATAACCTCGTAGACGCTTGGTTGAATTCATTTCACAAAAGAGCGTACAGTTGTTTTGGAGTTAGCTGGGGACTTTGAGTGGTTTCATGAATGTGACAATTTCTACTCCATTCTCCACCTCCGTCACTCCCGCTTACTCTCTGGTATGTGTGGCGCCGTTCACTCGCGTTGACTCGTGCAGGTGGTGGCGCGCGTGGTCCAGATACTCTGGTTACTCAGAATCAGAGGGTGAGGCGCAGAAGCTTACTGTGAAGCCGCTACCCATAGACAACTCGAGCCTGGTGGACCGGGAGGCGCAGGACAGGTTCGGCGGTGCCGAGCCTCACCTACGGTTGGAGCTGATGGAGGAAGGAGACTACGTGCTGGTGCCGCAGTCAGTTTGGCGCGTCCTGCACTCGTGGTGAGTCCTTGTTACCAGTGCTGCATTCATGGTGAGTCCTGGTTAGCAGTGCAGTAGAGACGCGTTTTGATGAGCAGTGCAGTCAAGGTGAGTGATGGGATGCAGGCGTCAGGTACAGGGAGCGGTTCAGGGATGTCTTGCCATGTGGTAAGGAGGAAATCTCATTGGACGTGTATCCGCTCTTTCTCGAGCTCTCCTCTCTGCCGCCACGTTCCCCTCCCCTCCCCCCCCCCCCCCCCCCCCCCCCACCTCCTTCCCTTCCCCAAATACTCTAGGTACGGAGGCGGCCCAGTGGTGTCCCGCCACGTGGTGCGCATCGGGGCAACGGAGGAGCTATCAGTGGAGGTCTACCCGCTATCCCTCGAGCTCCCTTTCTCTCTGCTCGAACGTCTCCCTTCCCCCACACGCCCACCGCCTTCCCTTTTCCCACTTCCCTAGGTATGGAGGAGGCCCAGTGGTATCCCGCCACGTGGTGCGCATGGGGGGAAGGGAGGAGTTATCAGTGGAGGTCTACCCGCTCTCCCTCGAGCTCTCCTGCGTCTCTGCCGCCACCTCGCTGCCCCCTCGTGTGGAGTCGGTGGTTATCAGCAAGCGAGCTACTGTGGGGCAGCTCAGGCACCGCGCGTGCGAGCTGTTTGGTCTCGAGCCAGAGAATGTGCGTCTTGGTGACTTGACATTGAAGGTGTCCGTGTGAGTGAAGGTAACGTAATAGCGAAGCCTATAGCCCCCTCGCGTGGAGTGGGTGGTCATCAGCAAGCGCGCGACTGTGGAGCAGCTTTGGCACCGCGCGTGCGAGCTCTTTGGGCTGCAGCCAGAGAATGTGCGTTGGGTGGCCTGGGAGTGATGAGTGAAGGTGACTGACGTGTTTGGGGAATTGGGTGTGGAGTCGGTGATTATCAGCAAGCGCGCGACTGTGGGGCAGCTCAGGCACTGCGCATGCGAGCCCTTTGGGCTGCAACCAGAGAATGTGCGTCTTGATAGTTTGAGAATGAAGGAAACATGTTAGACTGTTGAATTTTGAGTTAGCTGAAGTGGACACATTGGTCTGCTCTGAGCCTGCACTTTGCTCGCCTGGGCTGAGCCCATTCCGTGCTCATCATTGGGATCCGAACGCCTCAATCCCTTTCACGGATCTGCCCTCTGTGTTTCCGTGTGCTTTATGCGTATGCGTGCGTTTGCGTGAACGCGGCATGTGGTATGTGACGTGTGTGTATGTGTGACGTCCCATGTGTGCATGTTGCATGTTGCATGTGGCCATGTCGCACGTGTGAATTCGCATTTGCGCATGTGTTTGTGCATGAGAGCAGGTGCGAGTGTGGGACAACTACGGGGGCAAGCGTCACAAGGTGTTGAGCGATGAAGGCCAGGCCTTGGAAGACGCAGAGCTGCAGATGGGTAATCAGGTGAGCACCTGTGAACGTACAACCGTGCATGTGTGTGTGCATGGAGCAGGTGGGGGTGCGTCACAAGGTGTTGAGCGATGAGGGCCAGGCCCTGGAGGACGCAGAGCTGCAGATGGGTAATCAGGTGAGCACCTGTGAACGTACAACCGTGCATGTGTGTGTGCATGGAGCAGGTGGGGGTGCGACACAAGGTGTTGAGCGATGAGGGCCAGGCCCTGGAGGACGCAGAACTGCAGATGGGTAATCAGGTGGGCAATGGGGAAACCTATCTCTCACACACACACTTGCACTCAAACGAAACTCAAGCGACCGACCAGTTTTCTTTCCGCAATGCTCCCTGATCGTTTTGTAACGTTGTTACTCCTCCCAATCCTCCCCCCACCCCCTATTTCTCAGATTCTTGTGGAGGTGGGGGATAACGGCCAATGGCCCGCCCAGGCTGTGCATCTAGAGTCCTCCTCTTCGCCCTCCTCTCCTTCCACCCCATCCCGCACATCCAAACCTGCCAGCACCTCCCCCTTCCACACCGTCACCTCGCCCCGTACCTCCACCCTCGCTTCAACAGCCGAACCCACCGCCGCCGAACCAAACGTCTCCATAGCAGGGGGCCCTCTGTCCCACTATAGCAGCGTGGGGGCTGCCCCCCCCCCTGGTGCGCTGTTCATCACCTCATGGCCTCCAAACCCCGCTGGGGATGGAATGGAGGCAGCAGGAGGAGAAGCAGGGACAGGGGTGGAGGGATCGACCTGGTCCCCTGTGAGGGAAATGACTGATGCCGAGGCGGCAGGGGGTGAAGAACAGGGCGAAGGGGGCGGGTCCGCTGCAAGCGGAGTTGATACCAGCACTGCTGCTGCAGGGGGGGGTAGTGCTGGTGACGTGAGAGGGAAGCTGAAAGCAGCCTTCCCAGCAGATGTGGGGCCAGCTAAGAAACCCACGTCCGGGCTCACACTCTCCATTGCACCCCCTCCTCCCCCCTCCTCCTCCTCCTCTATGGCCATTGTCCCCGTGCCTGGTGCCGAGGAGAAGAAAGGCTCGGGCTCAGGCTCGGGTTTCCCGTTCAGGTTCGGGTTCGGGTTCGGCAGCTCGAGTGCCAAGGCAGCAAGTGCGGCAGCAGCTGGTGTGGGAGCCGGAGCAGGGGCGCGAGCAGGGGGGTCGCAGGGGATCCAGGGTGGTCCAGTGGGGTTGACAGGGTTGGTGAACCTTGGGAATACGTGCTTCATGAACAGTGCGCTGCAGTGCTTGGTGCACACTGTACCGTTAGTGGAGTACTTTATGGGGGACTATATGAGGGAGATCAACAGAAGCAACCCCTTGGGAATGGAGGTGAGTGGGGGTTCAATCAATAACTGGAAATTCAAAGGCTTGGTGCACACTGTACCTCTAGTGGAGTACTTTATGGGGGATTATATGAGGGAGATCAACAGAAGCAACCCCTTGGGAATGGAGGTTAGTGGGCTCTGGAAACTACCGGTCTCACCATGGCTGCCTCCTTCTTTGTGTTTGTTTGTTCGTCCCTTCTCTCTCAATTCTTCCATGTTATGCTCGCTTTGTTGTTCTCGCTTCGTTATGCTAGCTTTGTTGTTCTCGCTTTGTTATGCTCGCTTTGTTGTGCCTGTTATGAACCCTAGTATAGTCCACACTCCCTGTCCCAGTCGCTTGTTCCTTTCAACCACATTCCCCAATTTATCCCCCACCCATTCCCACCTCCCACTTACCGCCTCCAAACCTACCCCACTTGCCCTCGTCTCGCCCATGCTTTTCCTCTCACATCGTTTCTGCTCGTTCCCAGCCCCCACCACGTCCCACAACAGCTTTTTGCTTTGCATCCAACCCCCCCCGCCCCAGGGTGAGATGGCAACAGCATTTGGCGAGCTTCTGCGCAAGCTGTGGGCCCCAGGAAGAGACCCCGTGGCTCCCATGAGTTCACACACCTCTTACAATGCCGACTTTGCCCTGTGCCACCTTTCCCCCTCTCATTCATAACCCCCACACCCGCACCAGGGTGAGATGGCAACAGCATTTGGCGAGCTTCTGCGCAAGCTGTGGGCGCCAGGAAGGGACCCTGTTGCTCCCAGGGCGTTCAAGGCGCGCCTTTCGCGCTTTGCTCCCCAGTTCAGCGGTTACAACCAGCACGATTCACAGGTTTGGCCACAAACTGGCATGACTTTGTAACCACAACTCGCAGGTGGGGCGCTGGTAGTGGCCTTTGTAACCTCCTGAGAGATGTAAGCGGGGTTACAACCAGCAAGACTCGCAGGTTGGGTTATACTGGCGTGAGGATGTGATCTGCGCGATGACTTTTGAGTCGACTCAAAAGTCAACATGTGCGCGGGGTTACAACCAGCAAGACTCGCAGGGTGGGTTATACTGGCATGAAGATGTAATCTGCATGATGAGCATGTCGTACCAGTGGGCCTTCTGCTCTGCATGATGTGATCTGCATGATGAGCATGTCGTACCAGTGGGCCTTCTGCTCTGCATGATGTGATCTGCATAATGAGCATGTCGTACCAGTGGGCCTTCTGCTCTGCATGATGTGATCTGCATGATGAGCATGTCGTACCAGTGGGCCTTCTGCTCTGCATGATGTGATCTGCATGATGAGCATGTCGTACCAGTGGGCCTTCTGCTCTGCATGATGTGATCTGCATGATGAGCATGTCGTACCAGTGGGCCTTCTGCTCTGCATGATGTGATCTGCATGATGAGCATGTCGTACCAGTGGGCCTTCTGCTCTGCATGATGTGATCTGCATGATGAGCAGAAGCCAAGGGCAGGCCACCAGTGGGCCCTCACACAATCACACCCGAAACCTTGAACTCTAAACTCGAAACCCTTGGCCTGTCTCAGGAGCTCCTGGCGTTCCTCTTGGACGGCTTACACGAGGATCTGAACAGTGTGATGCGCAATCCGTACATTGGAGCCAAGGACGCTGATGGTACATCCCTCCTCTCCTCCCTCCTCCCCTCCTACCCCTCTTCTGTCAACACACTAACAGGAGCTCCTGGCATTCCTGTTGGATGGGCTACACGAGGACCTGAACAGGGTGATGCGCAAGCCGTACATCGAAGCCAAGGACGCCGATGGGCGGCCGGACGAGGAGGTGGCGCGGGAGAACTGGGAGAACCACAAGGCGCGGAATGACTCCATCATCGTTGACAAGTTCCAGGTGGGCTCCTTATTGCAACCATGTGGTAACCCGATTGTAACCAGCTGGGCCGGTTAGTCCGAGGTGCATAAGAGCTTGTTGATGGGCGGGCGGATGAGGAGGTGGCGCGGGAGAAGTGGGAGAACCACAAGGTGCGGAACGACTCCATCATTGTTGACAAATTCCAGGTGAGTGTGCTGGTAACCATGTTGTACCCCGACTGTAGCCTAGTAGTAACCAGCTGGGCTGTTAGTCCAAGGTGCATAAGAGCTTGCTGGCGGGAGGCCGGATGAGGAGGTGGCGTGGGAGAACTGGGAGAACCACAAGGCGCGGAACGACTCGATTATTGTTGACAAGTTCCAGGTGGGTTGCGGTGGTAACCATGTGGTAACCAGTTTCCACATGGTTACTAGGTGGTATGTATCTTGCAGCATGTGCATCCCTGTCAAAAAACTCTAAACACCAACCTCTCCCTCCATCCTTCTTCCACCCTTCTCCCCCCAGGGTCAATACAAGTCAACGCTGGTCTGCCTGCACTGCAAGAAGGTCTCACTCACATTCGATCCCTTCATGTACCTCTCCCTGCCGCTGCGTGTCCCACCCCTCCCAAAACCCTCTAACCCCCCAGGGTCAATACAAGTCAACGCTGGTCTGCCCACACGTCAAGAAGGTCTCAGTTACCTTCGACCCCTTCATGTACCTCTCGCTGCCGCTGCCCTCCAAGGCCACTCGCTCGCTGCACCTCATATTTATAACTCGACTGACGAGTTCCCCCCAATTCATAAGCACCTATTCCATTTCCTTCCTTCCAGCCTTCCCCTGCCCCTCCCCGCCCAACCCCCCCTTCCCCCCCTTCCCCCCACACACTCCTCCTCCCCCCAGGGTCAATACAAGTCAACGCTGGTCTGTCCGCACTGCAAGAAGGTCTCAGTCACCTTCGACCCCTTCATGTACCTCTCGCTGCCTTCCCACCCCTCCCAACACCCCCCTTCCCCACTCAACCCCCAGGGTCAATACAAGTCAACCCTGGTCTGTCCGCACTGCAAGAAGGTCTCAGTCACCTTCGATCCCTTCATGTACCTCTCGCTGCCGCTCCCCTCCAAGGCCACTCGCTCGCTGCACCTCACGCTGCTCTCCTCCTTCGGCGACCAACCACCCCGCACGCTCACTGTCACGGTGCCACGCACAGGCAGGATTCTGGACCTGCAGAGAGCGTTGGCAGAGGCATGCCAGCTGCCTGCTGGAGAGAGACTGCATGTTGTTGAGGTGAGCTTCTGCTACCTTAACCCCTTCTTAGAGCTGCTCCCCTCCTCTGGAAACCAGCCCCCCCGCACGCTCACTGTCACGGTGCCGCGCACAGGCAAGATTCTGGACCTGCAGAGAGCACTGGCTGAGGCGTGCCAGCTGCCTCCCGGGGAGAGGCTGCACGTGGCTGAGGTGAGCTGCTGCTACCTTAACCCCTATTTAGAGCTGCTCCCCTCCTCTGGAAACCAGCTCCCCCCTGTGCGCCTGACTGTCACGGTGCCGTGCACGGGAAGGATTCTGGACCTGCAGAGAGCGTTGGCTGAGGCGTGCCAGTTCCCTGTCGGAGAGAGGCTGCGCGTGGCTGAGGTGAGCTGCTGTTGCTGCTCTTTACCTGGAGCCACTTTTCCTTTGTCTGAGTGCTAGAAGGAACGGGGACCTGCAGGGAGCACTGGCTGAGGTATGCCAGTTGCCTGTCGGGGAGACACTGCACGTGGCTGAGGTGAGCTGCTCTCCCCCCTCTCGTCCTTGAAGGACCAGCCGCCCCGTGCGCTGACTGTCACGGTGCCGCGCATGGGGAGGGTGCTGGACCTGCAGAGAGCGTTGGCTGAAGCGTGCCATTTACCCGCTGGGGAGAGGCTGCATGTTGCTGAGGTGAGCTGTTGCTGAGGTGAGCTGTTGCTGAGGTGAGCTGTTGCTGAGGTGAGCTGTTGCTGAGGTGAGCTGTTGCTGAGGTGAGCTGTTGCTGAGGTGAGCTGTTGCTGAGGTGAGCTGTTGCCGGTGTGGTGGGTGCAATTCTATGCCTGAGTGGTGGCAGGGAACACCACGAGTGCTGGCTGTCGCATGCCTGTTGCCTTCTCAGGAGCCCCGCGCACCCACTCACCCCACTTGCTCACCAGTCCCACATACTCAGAGCAGTGGACAGAGGTACAGAACGAGCTGGGCACTTTGCTTGACTCTCATCGCCCTTCCTCTTTATCCCTTTCCCCCCCCCCGCCCCCTCTTCCGCTCTCCCTGGCACACCAGATCTACAACAACCGCATCTTCCGCTCGTTCCCACCGCCGGAACAGATCTCGTCCATAGAGGATAGAGACAGGCTGGTGGTTTACAGCGTGCCATCTTCTCTTGCATCCTTATCCTGCTACCTCACACCCCTTCCCCTCCACATCCCTTCCTCACCTGCCCTGCTCCCCCCCCCCTGCTTACACACGCCTAATTCCCTCAGGTGTACAACAACCGCATCTTCCGCTCCTTCCCACCGCTGGAGCAGATCTCGTCCATAGAGGAGGCTGGTGGCCCGAGACAGGCTGGTGACCTCCAGAGTGCCCTTTACTTGCCTCTCTTAACTTATTCCATACCACCCCCTCCTCCCCTCTCTACCCCCATCCCCGCCCCCTTCTCCCCCATCCTCCCCCTCCTCTCACACACACACACACACACACACGCGCGCGCGCGCGCAAACACACCAGATCTACAATAACCACATCTTCCGCTCGTTCCCACCGCCGGAGCAGATCTCGTCCATAGGGGTCTGAGACAGGTTGGTTGCTTACCGCGTGCCATCTTCTCTTGCCTCCCTTACCCCACACGTTTCCCCTTCCCACAACTCTTCCTCCCCTGCCCCAAACACGCCAGGTCTACAACAACCGCATCTTCCGCCCGTTCCCACCGCTGGAGCAGATCTCTTCAATAGAGGACAGAGACAGGCTCCTGGCTTACCGTGTGCCACGGGGTTGTGAAGCCCCTGTTATAGTCACACAGCGAATCAAGGAATCGTGAGTGTGAATGAGGAAGGGGGGGAAAGGGGGTGGGGGGATTGGGGGGTAAATGTAGGAATGTTTTATGCGAGAAAGGAAATGTCTTAGCTATTTCCTCCCCCTCACCCCATTCCCTCCTCCCCAATCTGCCCCCCTCGCAACGCAATCTGCTCCTGACAGTTTCACAGTCGCAGAACGATTTCTTCTTGCGGCTTCTTAGCGCGCCTCTCCTCCTCCCCCTTCCTCCTCCCCTCTGCTCCCCCCCCTCTCCTCCTCTCCTCCCCTCTGCTCCTCCGCTCTCCTCCTCCCTTCTCCTTCCCTTTCCTCCTCCCCACTCTCCCTTCTCTCATCCCCTCTCTCCTTCCCTCCCGCAGCTCCACACTCACAAACGATTTCTTCTGGCGGCTGCTTGCCGCCGCTCTACTCCTCCCCATCATCATCTCCACTATCCTCCCTTCTCTCCTCCCCATTATCCTCCCCACTCCTCCCTTCCCTCATCCCCTGTTTTCTCCGCTCTCTCTTCTCCTTCCCCTCTCTCCTCTTTCCTCTTCTCTTCTCGCTCTTCCCTCTTTTCTCTTTTCTCTTTCCTATCTCTCTTTTCTCCTTCTCTTCTTCCAACGGATCCCCTCTTCTATCCGCAGCTCCACAGTCACCAAGGATTTCTTCTGGCGCCTGCACGGCGCGCCTCTCCTCCTCCCAGTCTCCCGTTTTGACATCCGTTCCGGCGCTGACCTTTACCGCCACGTGAGCACTGCCCTAAAGCCCTTCCTGCGACCAGGGGTGTCCGAGACCAAGGCCTCTCTCTCCCCTGCTGGGGACAGTGCTGCATCTCTAGCCGTTGCCCCTTCTCCTGCTGCTGCTGGTGCTGCTGCTGGTGGTGTCGTTGCTGGTGGCACTGCCAATGGTGATGGTGCTGGTGCCAGTGTTGGTGGTGTAACTGGTGATGGTGGTGCTGGTAGTGTTGGTGCAGATGGCACGGCAGACAGAGACGTGCAAGGGAAGGATGACCCTATGGACGAATCTGCAGGGAGGGACGCCAATGCTGGTGATGCAAAAGGAGCAGCAGCGGGTGGTGAGGGTGAGGGAGGGACTGCGGCGACTGCAGGGGAATCTGCAGGGGCTGAAGATGTTGCGGGGCAGGAGGGGAGAGAGGGACAGGCAGTGGCAGTTGAAGAGGAGCCGCCGTTCTCGCTGTCAGTTACTCGAGCACATGTTGAGACAGCTGCTGATGCTATTCGGATTCCCGATGGCACTGATTTACCCAAGGGATTTACTCCCGATATGCTTTCAAAGGATGGGCTTGCGCTGCTTCTGGATTGGTCGGTCAAGGGGCTGAAGGAGCTTTACGATGTCGGGAAGCTTGAGGAGCTGCCCGAGGTGAGCTCGGGCAGTGCAGGGCTGCCCATGAAGAACAAGCGGCAGGAGGGAGTGACGCTGTTCTCATGCCTGGATGCTTTTATCAAGGAGGAACCCTTGGGCCCTGATGACATGTGGTGAGTGATTTTGCTTCTTTTCATGGCTTTGCATTGCACTGTAATTTCTTATGCATCATATGGTGAGTTCATTTCCATTTGTTTTGATTGATTACGCATATTGCTGCTTGCATGTGCATGGTGCCATGTGCTATGGTGTCTGTCTCACTGAGTCATGGTGTCTGACCTCATGGTTTTTTATGACTTCTCTCTGTCACATCTTCCCTGTATCCTCTCTCCTTTTCTTTGCCCCCTTTCTCTCTGACCTCTTCCCCCCCCACCCCAATCAGGTACTGCCCGCAGTGCAAGGAGCACAGACAGGCCACCAAGAAGCTCGACCTTTGGCGACTGCCAGAGATCCTGGTGGTGCATTTGAAGCGATTCTCCTACAGCCGTTACTTCAAGAACAAGCTCGACACGCTCGTCACCTTCCCCATTCATGACTTTGACCTCTCGCCGTACCTCCCGCCCTGCAACGCTGAAGCGGGTGGCAACGTGTATGAGCTGTATGCGATCAGCAATCATTATGGTGGCATGGGTGGAGGGCATTATACTGCATATGTGCTGGTGAGTTGGTTGGTAGAGTCCATTGACGGGATTCAATGCACGTTGTTTCTTCAGACTAGCCATTCACATCTTTCTGCATGCACTGTACTCAATCGATTCTGGTCTGTTTTCCCGTCATCTCAATGATGTTGGCAGCTGGGCAACGATCGCCAATGGCACACCTTCGACGACAGCTTTGTTTCTCCTGCGAACGAGTCACAGATTGAAACACCTGCAGCTTATGTGCTCTTCTACCGGAGAGTTGGGAGCTCGCACCATTACGCAGCATCTCAGAATGAAGCAGCAGGTGATCCACAAAACTCCACCGCTGAGGCCACTGACATGGACCATGATTAAATTGTTCAGATTGACTGACAGTGCTTGTTCCATGATTCTGAAGTTCAATAGTGTGTCTGTTCTGTTCTCTTTAAAGCCCAGCCCCCGAATTACAGAAAAGCCTTCACAAACTGGCCCACTGGATTCATGCAAAAGGGGTTTCGAAAGTTTTCCAAACCTCCAATTGCCTGCCTTTCCGAACCTATTTTTCCCGCTTTGACTCCGTCGAGCAATTTCAACAATCTTTCGAGTTGGAACCATGCTTGCAAAATGCACAGCAAAACAAATGGCAGAATCATGTAAGTCGTAACACTGGTATTCTCAACATGTTAACCGCTGTGTTTTTTTGTTTGCTTCCTTGTTTGTGAAGGGTTCTGTTGCCTCTCATTGTTAGGAGTGTTCAAGCTATGTAGAGATTCTTACATCAACTATAGATTGTACAGCGGATGCAGTACATCATTGGACTAGGCTAAAAGAGGTGAACAAAAGAACCGAAACAAGAAATGTAGTGCCAAGGGTAGCTAAGTGTGAAGACGTGGAATGGTCAGATCGGATGATCACTCTGATCACTCGTCAGCAGGCTTGTCGTCCTTTTTCTCCTCTGCAAATCACAACAAAATGACAGCATGTAAGCAGCCGCATTGGATACAAAAAAGTGCGTGCATAGATAGGGCTAACCAGCACATTACTCACCAGGCTCGTCCTTAGCGGCGGCTTCGTCCTGGAGATCAGATGTCCAGAGTGTCAGGTTGTCACGAAGAAGCTGCATGATGAGGGTGCTGTCTTTGTAGGACTCCTCACTCAAAGTGTCAAGCTCGGCAATAGCCTCGTCGAAGGCTTGCTTAGCCAATTGGCAGGCCCTGTAAAAAGAATAACGGTGTTAGATGAAAGCCCTCACAGGAGAAATCTCTGCAAGATGCAGAAGGTACTTACTTCTCTGGGGAGTTCAAAATCTCGTAGTAGAACACGGAGAAGTTCAGAGCGAGACCAAGGCGGATAGGGTGGGTAGGTGCAAGATCGACAGTGGCGATCTCAGAAGCTGCCTGGTACGCCTTCAACGACTGCTCAGCAGCCTCCTTCCTGTCAGCACCAGTTTTAAACTCCGCGAGGTAGCGGTAGTAGTCACCCTTCCTGAAATACAGGGCAAAAGCTTAGAACCAGATAATGGAAGCAACCCTGCTTAGGCACGAAAAAAAAAAAACGAACGCGCACATTTTGTAGTAGAAGACCTTCGACTCCCCAGTGCCAGATGAGGGGATCAAATTGCTGTCAATGATGTTGAGGATGTCTTGGCAGATATCAGAGAGCTCCGACTCAATCTTGGACCTGTACTCCTTGATCCTCGCCACATTCTGCTCGTTGCCCTTGTTCTCCTCCTGAATGTAGGGGACATAATGGAACGATGAGGACCTACGAAATCAGAATTTCAGGGATCTAAATAAAGACACTTATGAGATTTGCTACAAAATGCGCAGGTCGGACCTTCTGCTCAATGGAAGACATGATTCTCCACGAAGCTCTGCGAGCTCCAATGACGTTCTTGTAGCCAACGGAGAGGAGGTTGCGCTCCTCAACGGACAGCTCGACGTCGAGCTTGGCAACATCCTTCATGGATGAAACCATCTCTGAGGAGGAAAAATGATTGTGTTATTTAAAAGCACTACAGATCTGTAGACGTGGAGAACATGGAAGAGAAAACAAATTATAAAAGAGAACGACATGTACTTAGCTCTGCATTTACTCACCATCGTAGCGCTCGGCTTGCTCCGCAAGCTTAGCAAGGTAAACGTGGTTCTCGCGCTCCTTCTCCATCTTTAAGAAAATAGTAGCTGTAAAGTAAGCAGGGAGACACTATTAAACAGGAAACGCTAGAACCTACAGCATGGGAGACAGAAGGACCTTATGCAAAGGCACTGAACCTGGCACTAACTTGGAAGTTGGAACACACCTTGAAAGTTGGACGAGGACTGGGCAGTAGAGAAACAGGTGAGCGACAAAATGGAAGCTGAGTCAGGTCCTGAAACCTTCATAGAGGATGGATACTTCAGGAACCTTGATCTCTCGACCTCGACAATCAGCCGATGCCACGTGGACCTAGGTTAGGGGGCAGCGAGCCTCCTTCGGAGCCTAGGTACTGCCAGCGGAGCTTAGGACCAGGTTTTCCGAGCTACTGAACGGTTCGGATGCTTCGATTTGCTCTGGATCTTTGTGTAGAGCTTGGTCAACGGCGGAGGCTCAGTGGGTTGCCTGGAAACCGAACCTCAGCTATCATTACCATGGAATTGGTACACCAAGTGCTTCTAAGATGTAGTTTATCTGGTTTTCTCAGATGATTTAGATGTTATTTATGCCTCACCTTTTAACAGTGAATTTGAAGATCATTTACATAAAAACAACTTACAAATGGCTCACTGAACATGCCATTGTTATATTCATCCTTGTGATTTCTCTTTCAGCCATGCCAGCACATCCTTCCACACCTCTTCTCTCTCTGGCTCTGGTTCGCCTTGCAGCAGCTGGTGCCAAGCTGATGGGAATATATGGAGCGTCTTATCTTTACTCGGAGCCTTCTCGTGCAAATCTTTGGACTGCTCTGGATCTGTTACACCATCTGATCCCCCATGCATGATGAGGAATGGCAAATGCAGGTTTGGAATGGAGGCTGTAACAGCATCGGCGAAACGCAGGAGCTCAAAGGCAACACCAAGGCGTGGGTTGCCACTGTAGCGGCGCGGGTTCTTGAGAGCAAGTTCAAGTTTTGCAGGATCCCGGCACGAGAGACTGGATAGTCCATGGGAGAGGAGGGAAGGAGAAAGAAAAGACGGAGCGAAGTTGAAGATGTGTAGTATGTTCAAGGGAGGAGTAGATGTGAAGCAAGTTCAAGAGACTGATGCCCAAAACAGTGTTAAGACCAAAAGAAGGAAGATAATTGCCAGAACAACACAGCACATGGCCTCACCGAATCAGGTCTCCCTTGGTGGCCACAAAGGCACTGTCAGGAATGATCGTTGCAAGGACTCGAAGAACCTGCAGTGCAGCCCAGCTAGGCTGCAGCTCCTCCTTGATGCGCAGCATGGGAGACACCATGATCAGCCCAGTCCAGCTATCAGGATCGCGCCTGAGAACAAAAAAAGAAACACACCACATAAGCAAGCGCACAAAACAAGTTGGAAATAATACAGAAAAGAATGGAAGGAACTGAGCAAGTGTTGGCCGGTCTGAAACCTGACATTGATAGAAAAGAGGCAGAAAGAAACGAATGGGATGGTCGGACTGGCTCGAAAATCAAACGCAGGTGCTGCTGGCTTCTTACAATGCAACGGTCATGGCGATGGCGCCTCCCAGCGACTCCCCGTACACGAACGACGGTAGTCCAGCGAAGTCAGGCTTCGCCTTGACGGACGCGAAGTAGACGCAGCAGTCGTCCACCAGATGATCCGCGGACCTGAACGAGCATCTCAAACCGTCCGATTTGCCATGACCCTCGAAGTCGATTCCGAACACTGCGAAGCCCTCCGAGGCGAATCGAACGGCTGTTAGCTGTGAGGATCGCAGGAGAGAAGTTATGAGGTGGAAGGAAAATAGCTGGTCGTGGCAGGATAGTCGGATTCAGGAAACAAATTGTGATCTTGCCAAAGATCAATCGGAGAGGGGGTGCCTTGCCTGCATCAGCCAATTGCAGCAGTTGGCGTAGCCGTGGCAGAAGAAAAGGAGGGCCGACGCCTTGCGATCGGCTGAACGACGAGAAGGTCCAGAGGACGCAGATCATGGGAGGAAAATGGGAATGGCAGTAGGAAGTGTTTCGATCAGGCACGGAGCAAGCAAGAGCGAATCGCGAATGAGTAGACGTGCTAGCTCGCATGCAGAGCTACTTGCTGATTATCGATCCAAACATTGGTGATCCTCACCAGGCAACCATGACTGCGTGTAGAGGCGGATGTTTCTCGAATTCGTGATGAATTCAGCGGAGTGAACCACTTTATTCTGCTCGTAAAAGGCCGCTGCGCTCGTTCCGAAGAGGGTCCTGTCGAGTTCCTCCTCCGTGGCTTCCAATGGCTGCGCAGTAGCCATGATTGCGAACAGATGGGAGTATTTGTGACTCGACAATGGTAGAAGCGTAATCAGGTTTTATGAACCATCATGAACTCGTTCGCATGGGGATGTACGGTAGCTCAGGTGTTGGAGCGCTCGCTTAGCATACGAGAAGTATTGGGAGTTGTTTCTGGCTGTATTTACTACAGTGAACTTGAGGCATTCGAAGACCAGTGACAGGTAAATGTTACAATGGCTCACTGAACTTGTTTATGTTACCATTCATACTTGTGATTTCTCTTTCAGCCATCCCAGCACATCCTTCCACACCTCTTTCCCTCTCTGGCTCTGGTTCACCTTGCAGCAGCTGGTGCCAAGCGGACGGATAAATATGGAGCGTCTTATCTTTACTCGGAGCCTTCTCATGCAAGTCCCTGGACTGGTCTGGATCTGTTACACCATCTGATCCCCCATGCATGATGAGGAATGGCAACTGCAGGTTTGGAATGGAGGCTGTAACAGCATCGGCGAAACGCAGGAGCTCTAAGGCAACACCGAAGCGTGGTTTGCCACAGTAGCGGCGTGGGTTCTTGATAGCAACTACAAGTTTTGCAGGATCCCTAAATGAGAGACTCGCTTAGCATGCGAGAGGTATGGGGATCGATACCCCACTTCTCCAGGGCTAGCTCAGTTGGGAGAGCGTCAGACTGAAGGTCGCGTGTTCGATCCACGCTCACCGCACAGTTTTGGATGTTCATGTGGCGGTCTTCACACCTCATCCACTTCTGCCAGAATCTCTCAATCTGGCTGTCCTCACTATCTTGTACTACTGCTAGTCCTTCATCCGCAACCCAGTGACATTTGCAGAGTGTTCCGTGGCCAGAGATAATCAGAACCCTCATCACCACGTGCAGTACCTTACTCATCAGAACATTGTACCTAGGTTATTAAGCTGCCACTAGCAGTGGCAGTCATAGATTATAGAAGCATCCTGCAGCCTTATTGTTTAGGCCTCACTTGCTGAGGTGTTAAGGCCTGACAAGGTCGCGAATGAAGGTCTCTACGTCATTCAGATTATCACTGGCCACGGAACACTCGGCAAATGTCACTGGGTTGACACAGTCAGCAAACCGGAAGACACCTCCACTGCCCTTCAGAACAAGCCCTTGTGACCCTCCGTCCTTGCTGGAGCCAACAGAAGCCATGGAATGGCGTGACGAGCGCAGCTTCTCACTGCCAAAAGATAAAAGAGAAGAGTGTGTGTCACATAATGCGCGAGCACAGTGGTGCATGGTAAATAAGGAAAATGGGAGGAGGAATGCATGTCAAGTCGTAAGGTAGCGGTAATGCTGGCGGTGCTGTTTGATCCAGGAACGAAGAAACAAAAAATGGCACACGTGCATGTGACTCACATTTCCTTTTCAAGCTGCTTCCGAATAAACTCCACCGAGTGTGCTGTCACCTTTTCCATCTTGTTGCATGCCAGCAGCAGCGGCACCCGCCTCCGTTGCACTGCAGCTGATGAGAGCAGCTCATACAGATACCTGGAGCAGAAGCATACACCAATAAGCAGAGAGACCATAATATGACCAGCACAAGTGCACGAGATAATAAGCATTCACGCATGCAAACGCGCATTAGATGAGAAGCGCATGGCACATAGGCTGATAGAGCACTTACTCTGCGTTAGGTCGGATGTTGAGAGTGAAATCTAGGGCATCCACCAGGAACACGATCCCACATGCGCGGGAGAGGAACGGAGCCCCCAGGGAGCGCAGGCGGGGATGGCCAGGCAGGTCCACCAGATGCACTGGACGGGCCCTGGGGTTCTGTAAACACACAACGGATTGGAGAGGGAAGCAATGGTATGGGAAGGAGGACGAAGATGAGGAATCCAAGAAGGGATAAGAACGGAATGAGCATTATGAAGCCTGGAGAAGAAGAGAAAGGGCATTATGGAGCACGCCCAACATGCCGGGAAAAGGGACCAAGGATAAGCATAAGCTGCAAAAATAGCCTTTCTATGCTGCCTGCGTGTCCCTGACCATGCACGTTCAGCTTTCCACCTTTGATTTACCTTGCTCAGCTCGGCATGCAGGGGGAGTTTGTCATTGTTGACTGTTTTTGAGGCGACTAGGAAACTAACTTGCTCAGCTCCGCGTGCAGGAAAATCTTGCCATCGTTGCCTGTTTTTGAGACGGCTAACATCTTACCTTGCTCAGCTCGGCGTGCAGGGGGAACTTGTCATCGTTGACTGCCATGGACGTCACTGTACCGCCGTGGGTTGACCCATCCCGTAGCTGCAACGTGCGAGTCAAGAAGAAGGGGGCAGAGCTCCTTAAATAACTCGAAAGTGAAATAATAATGGCTCCTAGAGCCAGTTGACAGTGTTAAAAATTTAACAACAGACGCTTTAAGGGTTTCGAGTAATGATCCAATCCGCACCTTGTACCAGAGGGACGTCTTGCCGGCTCCGCACAGGCCTAGAAGCACGATGGTGTTGAATCGAGGGCCCGAGAAGGCTAACCGCACAGCTGGAGCGGAGAGGAGGCACGTGACCGGACGAATTCGAGCGATCAGGACATGAGAAAAGAGACGGACATGCGAAGAACGAGCGTAAAGACGGGCTTTTTATATAAATATTAGAAGAATGACGCTGCTTTTGATTATCTCTCAAATGATTGATACTTGTTCACGTACCTAGGAGGAATAATGATTGATACTTGTTCACCTACCTATGAGGAATATAAGAGAGGCCAGAAGGACGCCGATCGTGGACAGCAACAGAGCCGTCTCGACGCGAACATTAAGGGCTCGGCTTATATCGAGAAATACGGGAGATTCTTGCACGACAGGGGGAAGAACATTCCAAAGGGAGGTCTCAGCCTTTGAGAGGTACTCGAGAGCTAGAGTCTTAAGTTCCTCTGTTGACGGTAGTTGCTCCATCGCTATGGAGAACGAGAATTCCGCAACACACAAATTCAGATTGAGCAAACTAGGAACTTAGAGTAAGACCAACTAGCCGACTCGTCGGGAGGACGCTTCGGACGATACACATGAGCTGTGTTAAAGCAAGAGTATACATTTGAAAGTACTGTTGCTTTGGAACAGTACCCTCCCTCAGAGACAACCCCAACGAAAACGATGTGGGGTTCGCGAACAGACTGGGCGAAAATTTGGAAGGGAGATGCGACCACGAGAACCCCTCCCGTCACCCAACTCCAGAAGTTCCTCACGAAGACCAAGTATAAGCGACTAATTCCTACCATAGACACTAACGTCCCTATTTTTAGAGACGAGGATTCAGCAAACACAATACATCTTCGAGGATAGACTACTTTACAGTCTTCGTAAGCGAAGTCTCAACCGCCAGCGCATCCCATCCGGTGCCCGCCGGGAGCATTCTAGCCGTATCCGCAGCGCTCGACACCCTCTCAGCGCGTCACCCGCATCGCGCCAAATACCCCGTTGCGGCCCTCATCTCTTAGCGCGACACCGCGCGCCGTGCAACCGCATCGCGCCAAATACCTCGCTGCGCCCCTCATCGCATTGCGCCGCACCTCTTAGCGCCGCACCTCTTAGCGCCGCACCGCTTAGCGCCTCTCTGCGTAGCGCCTCACCCACTGCGATTCCTCTCAAGCTAGGTCGGCAGCGATTGCTTCCCGTGTAACCCACAGCTCGCCTCGCCGCTTAGCACGTCACCGGCTTCACGCTCACCCTCTGCGCGCCTCACATGCTGCTCGCATCCCAGTGCGAATTTCGAATGCACCTCATATGCTGCGCCCCGCAAAACAAACTACGTCACGCGCAACTCGCCGCCCTTTCGTCTCACCTTTGCCGCCAACGCGCTCAGCCATTCGTGGAGCAGGGTAAATCGCCACCGTTGAATGGGCGCGCCGCCATGTTTGCAAGTAGCCCGTCGTCCAACCTCCATCCCCGTTCCCATCATCTCCCCTCCCTCTTCCCTCATTTCCCCCACTCACAATTCCCCCACTTCCTCCTCATTTCCGCATCTCTCCCTCTCATTTTCCCCCCTTCCTCCTCTCTTTTCCCCCCGCCTCCCTCGCTATTTTCCTCACTGCTCCTCCACACTGCCCCCCACTACTCCCACTCATTTCCCCCCTTTATCCATCTCATATTGCCCAAACACTCCCCCCCCCCACCCCCTCCCCGTCTCCCCGTCTCCCCCTCGTTGGCCCCCTTTCTTCCTCACATCTTCTCCCATGTTCCATTTTCCCCACTGGTCCCCCTCCCTTCTCCCTCTTCTCCCTCTCCTTTCCTTCCCTTCTCCCCCAACTCCCCCCCTTTTTCCCTCTCATTTCCCCTACTGCTCCCCCCACCCCCCCCCCATTGCGCCGCTTCTCCCCCACTTTCCCCCCCCAGTTCCGCTTAGCATGTCACCGGCTTCGCGCGTCATCAGCTGAACGCATGCCCCTAAACTCATCTCACGCGCTGTGGACCGCGATCCTCGCACGCCGTCTCGCCATTTCCCCACTTCTCCCTATCACTTCCCCCAGTGCTCACCGGGGTGCACAAGGTGAGTCTCGCCATTTCCCCACTTTCTCCACCTGCTTCTTCTCCTATCCGCCCCCGCTTGCCCTCCTTTTGCCCCCTGCTTCCCCCCTTTTCCTCCATGGCTTCCCCTCCTTTCACCTCTTGCTTCCGCCCTTTCCCCCCCTACATCCCCTCCTTGGATTCCCTTGCTTGTCCTCCTCTCCCCTCCTGCTTCCCCTCCATTATCCCCCCTGCTTCACCTCCTTTCCGCCCCCACTTCACCTCCTTTCCCCCTCTGCTTCCCCCCTTTTCCCTCACGGCTTTCCTTCCTTCCCCCCCTGCCTCCCCCACGTTTCTCCCTGCAGGCCCCACGTTTCTCCCCTGCAGGCCCCACGTTTCTCCCCTGCAGGCCCCACGTTTCTCCCCTGCAGGCCCCACGTTTCTCCCCTGCAGGCCCCACGTTTCTCCCCTGCAGGCCCCACGTTTCTCCCCTGCAGGCCCCACGTTTCTCCCCTGCAGGCCCCACGTTTCTCCCCTACAGGCCCCCTGTTTCCCCCATGCCAGACCCATTTCTCCCCCCTGATAGCTCCAAGATCCCTCCGTGAGAGCCCCATGGTTCCTTCATGCTATCCTCATGTTTCCAAGGCTGGGTGGTGAGTGCATCGCTGCTCACGGCAGCATGTGGAGTGCTCACCAGCAAATGTCCCTCTCAGCCCGCACACTCTCACTCACCAACGCTTGTCACATCCTCTTTTTCCTCCCTCCAGAAGCAACCTTCCTGAATGCTCGCTACACTCCTCTCACTTCCATGCCTGCATGCTCGCCCCGTTTTCCCCCCGTGCTAACATCAGGAGGCTCCCAAAGCTATCCCCATGTCTCCCCCATGCACGCCCCATGTTTCCCCCATGCACGCCCCATGTTTCCCCCATGCAGGCCCCATGTTACCCCCATGCACGGCCCATGTTTCCCCCATGCACGCCCCATGTATCCCCCATGCACGCCCCATGTTTCCCCCATGCACGCCCCATGTTTCCCCCATGCACGCCCCATGTTTCCCCCATGCACGCCCCATGTTCCCCCCCCCACCCCGCAGTCCCCATGTTTCCCCCCTGCACGCCCCATGTTTCCCCCCTGCACTCCCCATGTTTCCCCAGAGCGCACACGGACATATTTCCCCGTCGATAGCCCCATATTCCCCCCCTGCTAGCCCAATGTTTTCGCTTTTACCACTCGCCCCCCTGCTCCCTCGATATTTCCCCAACTGCTCCTCCACACATCCCCCTACTACTCCCTTTCATTTCCCCATTTAGGCATCTCATCCCCACCCCGTCTCCCCCCCATTGGTCCCCCTTCTTCCCCTCATCTCCTCCCTCGCTCTATTTCCCCCACTGCTCCCCCTCACTTCACCCTCTTCTCCCTCTCATTTCCCTTACTGCTCCCCCTCATTTCCACCGGCTCCCCCCCACTTCTCCCCCTCAGTTCTGCGGGCTTCTTGCGTCACCAACTGAACGCATCTCCAGCTGCTCGCATGTCCCTAAACACATCACACGCGCTAGTAACTGCGTAGTTCCCCGTAAGTAACACTGGGTTTAGGTTGCGGGAATTTTGGATTGGTCGTCCTGATTGCCCTTGGCTCAAATGTCCCCGAGCGCCCTCGCTTGTCCCTGGGTCCCCTCGTTTCCACGCTCCAAACCCTAATTACCCCCACTGCTCCCCCGCGTTCCCCCATCTCCTTCCCCTTATTTACCAAGATTGCTCCTCCTTGTTCCCCCATCTCCTTCCCCTTATTTACCCCTCTGCCCCTCCTTGTTCCCCCCTCTCCATCCCCTTATTTCCCCCTCTGCTTCGCTCGTTCCCGACCCTCCTTCCCCTTATTTCCCCCTCTGGTTCCCCTCGTTCCCCCCACTCCACCCCCATTTGTCCCTCTCTACTTCCCCTCGTTCTCCCCTCTCCTTCCCCTTATTTCCCCCTCTGATTCCCCTCCATCCTCCATATGCTTCTACGCATATCCGCCCTCTTCCGCCTCCCTTTTTACTATCTCCCCTCCCTTCCACCACCTCACCGCAGCCTAGGACACCTACACCCATAAAAGGAGTGATTCTTACACGAGGTGAGTCAACCTTATCACTCCCTTCCATCCCTGCCCTGGCTTCACGCGTCTTTGCCGTATACACCCTGTCCTGCCTCTCCCCCGCTGCCCTTCCCCCTCGGTCCTACATCCCCCCTCTACCTCACCAGCAATTTCACCTGTGCATGAACAGCAATGTTCCACCTACTTGGCCTCACTTCCCCCATAGCATGGCTAGTACTCTGGAACCTGCTTGGCCTCCCACCCCCCTCTGCCTTGCTAGTAGTATCTAACTTGCTTGGCCTCACTGCCCCGTTTGCATGGTGAGTAGTTTCCGTGCAGGTGTGTGGAATGGGTCGTCCGAAAAAAACAACGACCACGGCCCGGAAGGACAAGGTGAAAGAGATCGTGAACACCAAGGACAACGAGAGTCTTGCGATAGCCAAACACATGCGTCTTCCGATATGCTACTTACGTTGTGGATTGAGCGCCTTGATGGGCGAAGTTCGGACGGCGACCTTGGGTGATTTAGTGTACTTCCTCCTACATACTGGTCCCGGAGCAATGGATGCGCTTATGATGGCCGCGAGGAATGCTGGTGAGTGACTCAATGCATAGTCGCAAGTTTGAATCGGAAAGCCGTGAGCAACGCGGAAACATAACGACATATCAAGTGCATGTTTTGAGGACGGACAGTCTGAACATGCATTGATGCAAGGTCTGCTGTGAATGTCATGCGTTCAGGTGCTGACGGTGTGGAGGCAGAAATGGCCGTGCAAGAATGTTTGGAAAAGTTTGCCGGAAAATTTCAAGGAGGAAAGGATCGGGCGATTGGCCGACCGGAGGCCTTGGTGACTGGACGTGCGAGTGCCATTGGAGGGTTGGTCTACGCGTTCCCATCAAACGTGACCAACGGCACGACACGAAGCAGCGCTTCTCGGTTTGGCCATGGGGGTGCACGTCGCGGGGCTGCGTATTCAGAGTTGCTGCAGAAAGGTATGAATGCAAGTTTGTGAATCAAACGTCTCTAGACCCTTCATACGGTGATAGCTTCCAATAGCACCCGTCATGTCTAAATGGTGAGAATGCTCCTATATTCTCTAAAACTGCAGGTGGAGAGACGGCCACGACACCCACGCTAGCTGTCGAGGACGAGAGCGAGGAACCTGAGGAGCGTCATCATGTGGTCATTGACATTGACCCGGATGCACCCGTGGCTGTTGGTGATGTCCCCTCGGCCGTCCAGCACGAGGATGTCGATGGGCATGGCGCGCCTACTGAATGCGCCCCTACGAACACCCCAGAGAACGATGAGAATCAAGCTCATGCAGGGTACGTGTTGGTGTGACGCTTTCTCTCATGACCTTATGGTTGCATCGCAATC